ACGACGTGTTTATGGAGATGATATACAGCGTGGAGAGGTCATCGGCAACCCGATACTTCTGGATACAGGACAAGAGGCTCTTCGGTACAAAGATAGGACGCTTCACAGTCGGCTATTCTTTATTGGTGTAACTTGAAACCTTATCAGTTAGACGACAACAAAGAATGCGGATTGTGAGTGTCCCCGGGAAGCGAATAATAGTAGAAAAGAGAACGGACGCACGGTCTCCAGAGCTAACAATGGGCGCAAGTGCGCCCCGCCCAATAGAGCGGTACATTGGCGCGAAATTCAAATTTTAACAGCAAAATTTGTGTTTTTTGTCAGATTAGCCATGAAAAACTGATAATTTCTCATTTGTCTCTCAATAGACCGATTGTATGGGCTATTACGAATTTCTTAAGCGCAAAAGCGTTAAATTTGGTCAAGTCGCAAATCGCATTCATCCGTTTGAAGGTTTTGGGCTAAAACTGCGCGAATTTCAGTTGATTTTCGGTAATTTTCGTGGTTCGAGCGCTCAAAATGTTTGTATTTACGTGATTTATCATTCTCAAAACCAATTCTGTCTGAAAACGGTCGAGAAAGCGCAAAATGAGAAGTGCGCTTTTTAGGCGGCGATCGGCGGCGAAGGCGAAAAAGCAAAGTCCGCGAAAACTGCGCCAAAACGTCATTAATTCTGTGAGAATTAGTGTGTTTTCATGTCGAACAATCATTTTTCATCGCCGTTGACCACAAAAATCAGAGAAAACCTGCTCAATTCATGAAAACGCCATTTGGCCTCTTTCTCTGCTCTGATAAAAACTTGGACGCTTTCTCAATCTGCACTTTTGAGCACTGATTACTTGAAACTGCATAAGTAATCAGAGCTCAAAAGGCAGATTGAGAAGCGTCTGTGACGAGTGAAGCGAGAGAGTCTGAGACTTGATACTTCTGGGAGATGGCACGAACGACTCCCTCTCTGATTAATTCCTCTTTCCTCACCGCCCGTCCTCTCTGTTCAACGTTACTCGCGCTCAAATTTGAATCAACGCGGATACTGTAGCTTGGCGCGCAAAGAAAAACAAAAACGTTTCACTTTCTAACGACGAGTCACCGGGTACCCGGCACCGAGTGGCCGTGTCTGTCAACAACTTGGATGGGCGCCGCATAGAGGGCTAATGCTTTTTTGTTTTTATTTTTGAAGTTTGAATGGAAAGGGAGAGAAGAAACGTCGGATATAAGATCGTGTCTGGAGCAGAAGCAGTGACGCCAACTTTTCAGACTGAAAGCGATGATTGATCAGAAGTATGTCCGAGTTGTACAGACCCACTGATTCACTGATTCTCCCGCTGTTTGCTGGAACTTTCGCCCTGTTCGTCTCAAGTAATTTTCAGCAGGTTTTGCCGCCGCTTCTTTCCGATCGCTCAGTGCTACCGCTGCCCGCTGCTCCCCTTGCCGAACAAATGCCGATCCCTTGCCGATTTATGCTATCGGCAAATTTGCCGTTTTTAGAAGCAAACTGCTGCTTTCTTGCCGAACCCTTGCCGAAAACTAGCTGAGGTGGTGCCACTGTTCCCCCCTGTCCTGTCTTTTCAGTCTGCTCTTCCGTTCCTCTTCCCATCCTCTTTCCCAATTTCCAAAAGCTGTCCAATCAACCAGTTTCCCAAGATAGTCGCTTCAATACTTCATTCTTCAGAGTATTGCATCTGACTATCGTGTGAAGCCGGAGACGGCCAAAAAAGAGATGCTCTCTCCAAGTCGGCACTTGGCGTCGCGATCAACTACTCTTTTCGTTGATCGCGCTACGTCTCAGTGTCAACTTTGAGGAGCATCGCATGAATAATAGAGAATAGCAGATTGAAGTTGAGTCTCTCTCGCCCAATCCACCACACAGCAATGGTTTTCCGCGCGAATTGGGAAAAAACACATTCTGTGCGGCAGATCGAGCGGAGACTCGTGGCCGTCGTGATCTAAACTGGCCACTTCAAGGAGCACCAAGTGAATGTTAGAGAATATCAGATCGCGCCTTCTGTTCGGCAGATCGAGCGGAGACTCGGAGGTCGAATGGCGGACTGATTCGGCGGCGCGGAGAGGACCGAGAGGGGGCGGGGCTAATGTACAGGCGGGCGCCGCTCCTCTTCGCTCCGCCTACAACTCCTCTGCCTCTTTACATCCGTCAGTCAGTCGACATTCTTCCGCTACTATTTCTACTTGCTCAAAATTGGAGATCACGGCCCGAGACCGACTCAGAACTGTCTGTGTCACATTGAGAACTTGAATGTTCTCAATGGGAATAGACTTTTCCGAGATGGATGAGGTCATATGTTTTTGGGATGAGATAGCTTACAGGGTTTGAGAGGAAACTGAACACGAGTCGACACTCTCACAGTCAGCATTTCTAGGCACCTGATACTTGAAGATTTCTCAGTATAAGCAATACCAAGAAGGCTGATTGGGAGGCATCTTTCAGGGAAGAATAGTAGAATGGAGGGAGAGCAACGAGTTCGCATTTACAACCTGTCAGAATTGAGAAGCACGTCTGGTGTCGGAGACTTGAGACGGATGCTTTTGGCGGAAAGATCCGACGACGTGTTTATGGAGATGAGTTATGGCATGGAGAGGTCATCGGTAACCCGATACTTTTGGATACAGGGCCCGCTTTCAGTGAAGAGAAGAACACATCGGACGATTGTGTTTAGTGGTTAATGGTTGAAAACCTCCCCAATCACGAGTAAGTTCTTCTGGAGTACGATAACCAGTGTGAAATTCACACTGTGAATGGAGAAGAGAACCCAGAGTCGGTGACTTGAGACGAAAGTTAAAAGGCTGACTCCATGAGGAACTTTTTTCGGCTCCCTCCTTTTTTCAGTATCGGCGTATTCAAATTGCTAAATGGGAACTGCCGGTGAGTGATACGATGGCCGGTGTTTCTTTACTGATCTTCCCCGATCCCTTTCTGATTCATTCCCTTTTCCTCGCCGCCCCGACTTCTCCTTTCAACATCACTCGCGCTCAAATTCGAATCAACGGGGATACTGTAGCACTTTTCTCTCTCGCTCTCTCCCTCGGCGCTCGCAAAGAAAAACAATAAACGTTTCACTTTCTAACGACGAGTCACCGGGTACCCGGCACCGAGTGGCCGTGTCTGTCAACAACTTGGATGAGCTTTTTGAATTCACTTTCGAATGGGAAAAAAGAAGAGGATGGACGAAATCGACAGTTTTTGGGACTGGCTCCCATCGTAATCGCCACATATTTAATGTTGCGTGAACGGAAACGAGCACCATAAATGACAGGGCAATTGAATAATTCCGCTGCTCCCAGACCAATTTCAACTATTCCAAATTCGATTTGTTATGGTTTTGGGAATGGGAAAGAGTGGCGGTATTGAAGGGAAAGAGCGCTTTGAGGGACTTCAAACGGTTCACGGCTGGCAACGTGGCAATTTTCAAATTCTTACTGGAGTTGTACCGAAGCGGGTGAGAAGCAGTATTAAGCGGAATTCCGTCTGCCGTCTTCCGTCTTCCGTCTTCCGTGGATTTTTTCGTTCCGTCTTCCGTCTGCCGTCTTCCGGGATTTTTCTTCTTACCGTAAAAGACTTTTCAGAAGCAATTTACTAGCCCCGAAGAACGCGAATTTCCACGGGCAGTGACCCCAGATCTAAAATTTTTGTTGCTTTAGTTATTTTTTTCAAAAAAAAAAACCTGAAAAAAAGGTTCTGCATTGACGATTTTTTTGTTCCGTCTTCCGTCTGCCGTCTGCCGTCTTCCGGGAGAAAAATTTTCTTCCGTCTTCCGTTTTCCGTGTTCCGTAAAAAAATTTTCTTCCGTCTGCCGTCTTCCGGATTTCAAAATTCCATTTCCGCTCAACTCTGGTGAGAAGCGCTTTCCGGCCAGAAATTTTCGAACGTTTTTCAGGAATCAAAGTATCTAAAAACTGTTTTTAAAAAGGATAAACTTCGTGGATCGTTCTTTATTCTCTTTTCATCCACACTTTTCCCGTGATTTCTCCATCACACTTTGATGGATTCAGAAGGTAAGTGCCATCTTAGCAAACGACTGTATCCCTCCAATTACCCCCTTTCTCTCTCTCTCCCTCTCTCTCTCGTTCTTTCTCTTGTGTATTCAGTCCCAGGTGGCTGGGAAGAGACGTTGAATGACGTGGCGAGCAGAGATTAGATGACCCGATGAGGCGTATTCGGGAGGTGTCACACTGTGCACGCGAACGATGATTTGGGTTGCGATTGGAAGACAGAACAAGATGAGTGCTCGATGGGAGAACGGGCAGGAAAGCGATTGGCCTGGCCTGGCCTGGCTGGAATTGTGCTATCAGAAACGGGAACTCCTTCGTGTTGAAAAAATTGATTTCTACTGGTAGACATTGAGACGCGAATGGAATATCTAGGCTCCACTGCAGTGTTGAGCGGAATTCCGTCTTCCGTGGTTTTTTGTTGTTCTGTCTTCCGTCTGCCGTCTTCCGGATTTCAAAATTCCCATTTCCGCTCAACTCTGGTCCACTGTTGCATCGGGACAAGCCGGACATCGGTTTCAACCGGAAGTTTGAACTGAAAATCCCAAATTTGTCTGAAAATCTACAAAATTGACATTTTCGAATCATTTTCCAGGGCGGCTCGTTTACCCAACCCTATGATTTTGTCAGGTTTGATCGGGTGATTCCAGTTGGTTCGAATGTCAAGGCCCAAAAAATGCATCCAAATGGTGTTCTTCTTTCCCAGACGTAGCCTTCGCCCACGGCCTGACCTTCTCTCTCGCCACGTATTCTCTGTCTTCTCATCTTCTCTCACCTTACACACTGTTTCGAGGCTCTCTTGTTGCCCGGTGCGGGGGCGGAGACACCGGAGACACCGAGGACCGGTATAAAAGGACGGCTTCCGAGAGGATAATGTCATATAACTCCTCTTCTTCCCTTTGGGCCTTTCGGGTCTTTTATGTCTCTCTGGTCCGCTACTCTGAATCTTTTTTCTTTCTTTCTTCCCGTTCTTATCGCTGTTCTTTCAGTAAGTCATGTCTGCCGAGCAAGCCCTCATGGCGTTCATGTTCCAGTACAAACTGGAACAGAACGCCGTGCAGGCGAACGAGCAGGCGTGGCACCAGCGCAACGCCGAGCTGACGAGGATGGCCAACGAGTCGTCCATCAAGGCGTCCGTCTTCGAGGGCCAGGTGACCACGCTGCACCAAAGGATCTTCAAGTTGGAGGAGGAGAACGCGCTCCTCAAGCAGCAGATCCAGGAGCAGCTGGCGGACGCGGAGAAGGAGAAGGAGGACTTCGAGCGAGTCATCAATCGGCTGACGGCGAGCAAGGAGCTGTTGGAGAGCGTGTTGCTGGGCATTCAGCGACGACGTGAGGAGCAGCTGAGGAGGATGGAAGAGGAGGAAGCCGAGGAAGAGAAACGGGATGAAGTGGGGGAAGCTGAGGAAGAACAAGGAGTGGATGAGGAAGAAGAAGCCGAAGAAGAACTAGAAGAGGTGGAAGATGAAGCCGAAGCCGAAGCTGAAGATGAAGATGAAGACGAGGAAGAAGAATTGGAGGAGGAAGAAGAAGTAGAGGAGGAGGAGGAAGAAGAAGTAGAGGAGGAAGAGCCAGATGATCAAGTCGCTCAAGAACTTCGAGAATATCGAGAAGCGGTGGAGGCAGTTCAGCAAGAAGACTTATTCGCAGCGTTCAGCAGGACAGAAGAGGAAGCTTGCCGACAGCGCCGTCTGATGGCCAATCGGTTCATCGCTTCATCGTCACACGCCTGCAAGTTTCTGCCGCCATTCTTCATCAGTGAGAATCGGAAACCTCCTTTGGCCCGCACGTTCCCCTTTCTTTCGGAGTACTTCGGAGCCTACCCGTACATGACGTCGTCTCGTATCTTCGACAAGGATGTGATGAAGGAGTCGACGAGCAGCGACGAGGACGAGGAAGACGACGTCGAGGACGAGGAGGACGAGTACGAGGATGAGGAGGAAGACGAAGGAACGTTGGTCAACGAGGAAGGATCGGAGAAAGGCGACGAAGATCGCGATCCGGACGGATGGAACCCGATGGACAAGACGCTCGACGACAACCTCCGGCTCTTCTGATCGTCGTCGGAGAGGAGCAACTTTTAGCGGGTCCCCTAATTTTACGTGTATTTTTCATTGATTGTCTAGTATTAATTGTTTTTTGAAAATTTACAAAACCCCCACAAAAAAAGTAAAAAATTGTGTAAAACCCAAAAAATATATAACCCACCCCTTTATTGTATTCTCATCTCATTTCCCCATTTTATGTTCGACTCGATTCAATTTGCTTATAGTTAGTTTTAAAGTTCCTTTGCATCTTGAATAAATTTTGTAGTAGTCGCAACTCCAATGTTTTTCACGTGAACGATCAGATATTCGGTTATCAGAACCGGACTTGTCGGAAATCGGCTCGAAATGACTTTAAAAATTGAAATGAAATTGTCAATCCTCCATCGGCCTGGCCCGGCCCGCGACAGCTCTCGCTTCACGTTCGGAGCCTCAGAGCCCGACAACATAAATCAACTGGCCCGTTCTTCAACTCGGTTCCTCATCCGCCGTCGTTTCTTATTTATGAGCGCTGACAGTGTGCGCATAAGTCTTGCATAACGAAGAATATTCAGTCGACTCATTGGGCATTTTTGGAAATCATAAAGGCAACAGCAGCCCTTCATATCAGTCGAGCACCTTGCCTTACCGTGTTCTTCTGTCATAACCAACCGACACGTCGCTCATTATCCCTTCAAATCAGAACCTTGGAGACGAAGAGAGACGAAGAAGAAGAGGTTCGACGACCCCCGTGTGTGAGCAGATGTTGGTACAACCCGCGGGGGCAAACGGCATTACTATCGACCGGAGCGCACACCGACCAACCACTCCGCACCCTTCTATCTTTTCGGCATCAATCTTTTGAAGCTCCGATCTCCGATCAGTCCCCCCAATCTGTTCCCCCATCTAGGACATCCTAATTACGTCCTCCGAGCCCTTCCCATTAACGCACAGGTTGCTAATCGGTTCCCCATCTGCTACCTTTTTTTTGTAATCCTCTCATTACTATAATCCACGTTAATTATAGACGAGTACCGTCCTAGTGCTACGGTTCCTTTCTTTCAGAATGCTCTTCATGATTCTCGTCATCGGCTTTTTGGAGCTTCTCACTATGCCGTACTTCAAGAGGCTTCTGGTAATAATTATATTCCGAAGCTCATGTTAATGACAAAATTCCAGAGAATGGTCCTGCCTCAGGCCAGAATCGATTACCTTCACGTCTCGATGCGCCTGATCAACGACCTAATGAAGAATGTGGCGGTTCTCGAGGAGAAGCTGAAGGACGTCACAGAGTCCGAGAAAGAGCTCCGCGAGCAACTAAAAGCGCTCACCGATGAACTTCGTCAGGCTCGGCTCAACGAGCAGAACCTGAAAGCGATGAACGCGGGGAAGGATGAGCTGCTGCAGGAGGCGATCGACGCGAAGCTGCAACGGGAGCGGCAAGAAGAGGACTTTACCTTCGAGACGGATGAGATCGTCGGCGAGCTAGTGACGGAGGAGCTGAAGAGAAGAGAGCAGTTGCAGCGGGAGACGGAGGCGAGAGAGGCTGAGAAGCAGTTCGACCAGCTCCACGAAGTGTTTGAGACGTTTGAGACCAACTGCGAGTTTGTGGAGATCCCGCAGAGCTTCTAAATTTGTGTTTTGCCCCTGAAATTTCGTTTTTGATACGGTTCTAAATAAAAAAATTCAAGTCACTTATTTACAGTAATTTCTTCAAGATTCAAGACGCAAGCCCTTTTACTCCACGGGTCTCGCCACGAACAAGTATTCAAGCGCGAAAAGTTGAATATTTTTGCAGCATTCGCGGCCTCAAGTCACTGTTTTTCTTATTTTATAGAATTTCAGTCTGTTTTCAGACTTTCCAGTTATCATCACCAAGATCCAACTAATATTCCCTTGTTTCAGGGCAGTTTCCACGATGGATTGGTTCATGTTGGCATTCACAACGACCATCCTCACCTTCATTCTCGTTCGTGTCCTCCGCGTGTTGGCTCCTGGTCGCACGAGACGTCCCCGATCGTCGACGCCGGTCGAATCATCGTCAGAAATGAGAAAGCTGATGGAAATGCAAATGCAAATGCTCGAAATGAACCGGAAGCAGTGGAGCGAAATTCAAACATTCAATCGGCAGATTCTCTCGAGCCAAAACAACGCCTTGCCAGAAGAGAAGAGATCGAATACTCCGGAGAGCACTGCGCGCGATCTCGTTAAGACATCGGTAAGCTGAATTCCTATTTTCAGTTTTATCAAATTATTATTTCAGAAATATTCGACGCCAAATCGCTCAGCCTCGCTGGAGAACTCTTCCGACTCTGCGAACAAGAGCAGCACGACAGAGCACGGAATGCAGACCGAAGACGTGTTTGTGAGATGTCGCACGCCGATCTGCGACCCTTCCGATATGCCACAGCTCGAGCAGTATGGATCGGCTCCGTTCGACTACGAGTTCGGAGCTCGCCTTCCCCAGCCGTCGTTCTTCGCTAACTACCCGCTCCCAGCCCGTCCGGATTCTCAGACTCCGGCCGATTCGTTGGTCGCAATGCTCAAAGAGAATAATCTTCCATGGGAGTGGTGCCGCACGTTCGACAACAAATCGTGCGCTTCGCTGGCCCAGCAGGAAAAGAACGAGATTATCGGCCAATGGATGCAGGATGTGCAGAAGTGCGAGGAAATTGTGCAACTATTGAATCAGAAGATGGTTCTGATTGCCGCTGAGAATCATCTCGAGGTGTCGGCGGCGGTGGAGAAGACCATGAAGCTCGGTCGGATGGTCGACGATCTTATTAGAGACACAAAAAAGGAGAAGACGGTTAATGAAGAATCGTCTATTGCTTCGGAAATCGCAGAGCTTGCGATGAAAATGAATCCGCAATGCGTTCGCAAAATCAGGGACATCATTAAGAGTTACGACGTGAGGTTCTGAGCCGAAATAAACTGTCTAAAATGCTTTTCAGCCAAACGGAACGCTCACGACGAGGAATCCCGAATTGGAGAACAAGTTCCGTAGACATCTCTCGAGCTCGGGCAGCAGCAGCAACGATTTTTCAGAGTACAGCTCCAGCAGTCAGGACAGTCGGCGCACTGGCTTCAGCTACAACAGCAGTGGGACCTGTAACGCGTTGCCATGCCACTAACTCACCACACGACTCAACATCACTAACCCGCTCATTTTGTGCAATTTGTCCCTTCTCAGCTATTTTGGTTATTCCTCGTATATATATGCACTCATTCTCACCTTCCTGTAGTATAATGAACCCATATGAAGCTCGCATGGCAAAACGTTTAGAAAACAATGTATGGTTCGGTCTGGACCCGCAAAAAGAAGGACGGGAAGCACATAAATATAACACAGGATAGAGAAAAAGCAATGAATGAAAATTGGGGGGTGAAAAGGGACGGAGAAATCTTAATCGAAGACGAGCCGTCGGACGGTGTGACTGTTGTCTTCGTCGCGGCGCCGTTTCTTCTGCGGGTGTCGGTTCGGCAGAGGAAGCTCTTCGTCGGGGCACGCGAACGGCTGCGTTCGGAAGTATTCCATCTGAAGGGACTGCGTGCACGTCAGTCGTTTCACTGGATCGAACGTCCACATTCCCTGAAAGTTTTCCGTTCAATCTGAACACTCTGGGCTCAAATACCGTCATAAGATCGATCAAATCTTGTGAAGCGGCGGAGAAGATGAAATTGAGACCGGGAGTGTCGGTTTGTGGTCTGAAAACGTTGCATTATTTAGAAGAATACGTCTTCGGAAATATGCCTCACTTGATTTGAACATAACTGCTCATCGACGTCATCGCCGGCCACGTCTCCGCCGTCGGCACTCCGAGCACGTTGAAAATTTTGACGAGCTGATCAATGTCGCTGTCTCCTGGGAAAATCGGATTCTGAAGAAGAAGGAGAAGAAGTTGGCGGAGCGTCGTGAGACTTACTCTGAGAAGAAGCTCGGCAATGATGCATCCGACCGACCAGATGTCGATTCCGACTCCGTACGAGCGGGCGCCGAAGAGCAGTTCCGGAGCACGATACCACCGGGTGACCACCTGATGGGTGTAATTGCGGTTGGGCGATCCGAAGAAGCGAGCGAGACCGAAATCGGTGAGCTTCACCCGTCCCATGTTGTTCATCAGCAAGTTATTCGGCTTCAGATCCTGAAAAATGTTTCCTTCATTCTCACAATTCTCGTTTTATGGCTTTGCATATCGACGCGTTTTTACAGCCTTTTAAAGAAAACCGGTCTCAAGTTTGCCCCGTCAAACATTTAGCTTTCCATTTCTATTTCTATTTTGTTACGTACTCTGTGCAGAATCCAGTGAACATGAAGAAACTCGAGCCCGAGCAGCATTTGCATCGTGATATTCTTGATGTGCGCCGGCATCAGAATGATCGACTGATCCTTGACAACGTGCTCAAGATCAGTGTCCATGAAGTCGAAGACGAGCTGGATGCTGGTGCGGTGTCCGATGACGTCGCGTAGCTGAAATCACGCGTACTCTTGAGCAGATCGCTCTCTCACCGTAATAATATTGTCGTGATGAATCTCTTTGAGCAGTTTGATCTCTCGGATCGCCGTCCGATTGATTCCGTCTTTGGCCTCTTCTCTCGATCCGAGTTTGATCTGAAATGTAGTTTCTAACTTCCAAATCCAGTCCAAATCCTATTTTACTTTCTTGATGGCCACAGTCTCGCCGCTTTCCAAATCCTTGGCCATATAGACGATGGCGAACTGTCCCTCTCCGAGTTGACGGATCGTTTCGTACCGTTTGTGGCTCATTTCTCGATGTGTTCGATTGTGATTGCCTGAAAACGGGTTCATATGGTCGTGTGTCGATTTACGGCGAAGCGAGAGAGTAAGTGCGCTCCAATGCGAGCGAGGGCCAAGTCAGCAGACCTCCAGACGAGAGAGGTGAGGAGAACGAGAGCGAGAGAAAAAGAAACCAATGAAAGGGGGCACAGAGCCACGCTCCACTTTCTTTCATTTCATGCGACACAGACGGATTGGAGAAGGAGTTTTTGTGTTTTGCGTCTGGCTCGTCGGCTTTAGATTATAGAATCCAGGCGATTGCCCAGATGCCGAGAGAAAATAATCGTCGTCATTCTCTTCTTCCTGATCCTCAACTCTCCAGCATTCCCCCATAAGTTCCCCACCAGCTGATCAAATTGTCGGTGTCTTCGATACGTTATCAGTTGTGTCAGTTCGACGACTAGTTTTGACACATTGTCAAACCCTCCTCTCGCATGTGATAGTCACGTGTCTATGCAAACGTTGAGTATTGTTCTTTTGTCACGTTTGCCACACACTCTTCTTCTACATCGGCTTTACATGTCTGTTGGCATTGAATTGCGTCAGATTTTGGCAAAGCTTGGTTGCCTTTTGATAGTCATCGAATCGAGTGGAATGCGCGCACTGCGCATCAGCTTCTATGGCAACCGTTGTCGGGGTCACCGTTCTTTCGCCCACTTCGGGTGGTTAGAGGTGTTCACAGTGCTGGCAAAATGCCCTGACTTTTAGACCACTTACATTACACCGCTCGTACCCAAACTTTGCAGGCTCTTAGGGTAAAAGATCCGATGTGCCTGAAACTTAGACCAAAGATACTTGAGCCAGAGTCAATGAAGCCTGCAATATTTGGGTCCGATAGAAATAGCAGGTCGTCCAAAAGTGGATACTCAGATTTCGTTTCACGTGACTTCCAATCAGCACCATCCCTTCTTCGTCAGAACTGTCCGTTACAGTCTGTCCCTATCGACGACGGTTCCAACAACGCCCTTCCATTGTTCTGTCTCCACTCTTCGCCCTTATCTAAGTATCTCTCTGCTCCTTTTTCTCGATTGATATCTCGTTGTTCCGTCGCTTTTCTGTCTCTCTCTCTCTCCGTCTTCTTGTGCCGTCGAGTGTGCAGAGACAGCAAAGAACGGCCCTCCGAGAGAGCGGAAACTCACAGCATAACAGAAGAAGAGGGGAAAAAGGAGAATCGAACAACACAGTGTGAGTGTGAGCGAGTGAGTGGAAGAGAGAGATAGGGGGGAACGCAAGGACACCTTCTCCATCGGAGACAACATACACATCGCCGGTCACGGCCGCTTCGTCCCGCTTCTATTGATTGTCGTTGGAGTCTCTGCGTTGCTTTTCCCGCCGTCTCGTGATACATACTCGCTCTCTGCTCTTTCCTCTTTCTTTCCGTCCTTCTCTGCATTTTCAGATCGTTTTTTTGCTTGCAGGTATCAAATCGAATCTTTCATTTTCTGCCTCACCGACCGTGGCAGAAGAGGGGAAAGAAACGTAAGTGCCGACTGACGACTCCATCTATCATCATGGCCGAAATGAATTCTTCCGAGTACATGCCAGCGGAGGAGAAGTGGACAACCGCTCTGGCGGCATCTCCCAAGGTGCGTTCGAAGCTAATCAGCGCCACATTCAAACAGATTTTCTGATTTCAGGAAATGCTTGACGAGTCCAGAGACTGGGAATCGGATTACTATGTTCTCAAGAAGTCCCATGATCAACTGAAGGGCGAACTGATGTCCTGTCAGTTGGACATCGAGGAGCTTCAGATGAAGTATGAGAAGGAGGAGCGGGAGAAGTTGAACCTGCAACTCAAAATCGCTCTTAGCGGCGAGGAAGTCGATGGAGTGCTGAAGCCAACTGTGGCCGAACTCGAGCGCAAGATCACGGCCCTCGAGAATGAGAATCACTTCTTGGAGACTACTAACAAGACGCTGATGACGACATTGAACGACACTCGCACTCAACTAGGAAACATCTTCCGCGAGTGCAACAAGAAGACTAAAGAAGCCTGCGATTTGCACAAAGAGCTCGAGAAACTCGAAGTGCTCAAGAAGGAGATTGAGGCGGAGCGCGTCGGAATGGACACCGACGCCAACTTGTACGCCTTCAATATGCGTGAGATGCTCGAAGAAATGAACGATCAGGCTTGCAAGTGGGAGACCGAGAAGACCGCGTTGACTGCCCGTTTCGAGGAGCTCGAGGAGAAGCTGCGCAAAGAGAACGAGTGTCTCAAGGCTCAGAAGGAGGACATTCTCAACCACACTCGTGTCGCCGAGAAGATTTATAGTGATCGCATCCAGGAGGTGAACGCGCAATTGCATCGTATTTCCGAGGGAAACAAGAATGGCGATGTCAAGTACGAGTCGAACGCAATCGACGATCTGAATTCAAGGATCGATGAGCTCGCCAAGAAATTGAACGATTCGATGGAAGCTATCGAAGATCTTGAGGAAGAGAACGCCCATCTTCGTGAGAAGATCGAACATGTCAATGAGAAGAATCGTCGGCTGGTGGAAGGAGTCGAGTTCCACCATAAGCTGTATATTGAAGAGCAGAACACCAACAAGGAAGACTGCCGCAAGTTCGAAGTCCAAATAGCCAATCTCAACGAGGAAATGGCAAGGGTCGAGGAGATGCGCGACCAGTACCGTCGTGAGTTGAGCCTCGCCACCGAGATGCAGACTCAGCAGACGATCATGTACGCCAATGACAAGGCCAAGTTTTGTCATGATTTGGAGCGTGTCGAGGAGAAATGGCACGCAGAGTGCGTCAAGCTCGCCGAGCAGATCGAGGGCTTCAGAATTTTGGCCATCACATCTGAGAAGGCTGCTTCGAAGATGACAGAGGAGTACGAGGCAGAGACAGCGAAGCTCTCGTCGCAGATCAAAGAACTCAAGGAGAAGTACGAGACGTACCGGAAGGAGTCGGAGGAGGAGGAGCTCCAGCTGAAACAGGTGATCGAAACTCTCAATCAGCAGCTTGTGGACGCCGAGTCGACTCAGAAGACGACGCTGAACGATTGGGACGACGAGTGCGCTGGACTCGAGGATGAGATTTACGACCTTATCGATAAGAGACGTACCGAGGCCAAGAGGGTGAAGACAATAAAGCGCAAGAACGAGTGGCTCTCAAAGTCAATCAAACGTTTCGCCGACCAACGTCGCGAGGAGATCGAGGCGACCGAATTGGAGATCCGCACTCTCAAGGATCGCTGCGAACTTCTACGGAAAGAGAAAGTCGATTGGCTGACCGATTTGAAGAGAGAGGTGAACGAATGGAAGAACGACGGCGAGGAGAAGGCAGAGCTCAAGAACAAGGTGGATGAGCTCCAGAAGCTGAACAAGTCGCTCGAGGAGAAGCTGGAAAATGTGACGGAGGGCTGGCGCCGTGAGTGCGAAGTCTATCAGGACAACATGACGTCACTGCTCGAGCAACGCAGCAATGAGCAGGAGGAGAGAGAAAGCGTGGAGGCTCGTCTCTACAATATTATCCGAGAAGTATCGCAGGAGAAGAAGAATCTCGAGAGGAGACTATCATCTGCGGCGAAGCAGTACGCCATCACTGGTAATGAAATGATGGAAGCTACGGAGGCGTTCAAAAAGATGATGGATGAGCAGCATGCCGCGTCGAAGCGAACACAGGAAAGCATTTTCGAAGAGAGAACCGAAATTATTAGAATACTTGAGAAGAAGGTGGAAGGACTGATAAAGGTAAGATATTGTCACAGGAACTTGGAGTACTGATTTGATATTTACAGGTATCCGAGGCCGAGTTCCGTAGACGAATGGACGCTGAGGCCACAATCAAAGATCTCGAATGTCTGCTTAAGAACCAGAAGATACAAAACGATGTGCAGCTCCTACAATTCAAAGGCAAGGTGGAGGACTTGAAGGAGGCCAACGAGGAGCTGAAGGAGAACATGGGCGTGGAAGCGCTCGACGATGTACAGTCCGATTCTTCCGACGACGACGACGATGACTCGGTTAGCTCGGGCTCCCGCTCTGAAGAGGAAGACGACGACGACGACGAGGTGACCTCCAACGCATCGCGCACTTCGTGGGACGATTTCGAGAAGATCGACGAGGAGGGCGACAATCTGTACGAGGACATGCCGAAGTTGGCCGATGAGCGTGGAATTGAGGAGCGGAAGGCAGAGCAGAAGAAGAATTTGTAAATAACAATTGAAACCCTGCGAGTCTGCGGGACTGTACACACGCACCTAAGAAACTATGTAGTCCTCCCCAATGTAAATTCCATTTCGCTTGTGTATAAATTGCTAAAAGCGTTCCAACGTCTTGTACCAATGTACCATTTTTCCAAACTTTTGAGTGAATCCCACAATTACTCCTCCAAACTCTTCCTTTACTCCGATTCTCATCTCATTTTCTCCCTTTTCTTCGCCTTCGCGTTCACAATTGGATAAACATTGAGAAAAAAAAAGTATAAATCAGAGCACAGTCCGTGACTTCATTTCGTAGCATTCGAAGGCTACTTCACAAGAAATGTTTATTTCCACTGCCGAAAGGTTTCTTGAAATGTGGGCCACCGTCGTGGAATATTGCGATAAGAGCGAAAAGGAGCTGCTCGATAGGATCGGAGAGAAGAGGGTCTATTATACAGTATTAGTCGGAAATAAACACTAGTAGGTCGGCGAAAAATATATGAAGAGGATTTTGATGGGAGAGGGGAAGAGAGGAAAGCGAAAGCGATGACGATGAATACGAGGAGCGGGGAAGGTGAAAGGAATACTTAAACTGATCAGAAATTCTGAAATACAACCAAAAATCGCTCTTTTCAAAAAATAGTCAATCGAAATCAAAAATCACGGGAGAACTGTGGGAAAAGGGGAGAAGAACAGGGTGTTATATACATCCTCTCTTTCTTTTCACTGCTGCGCTTGCTGGTTCGTCGACGGCTTCACAGCTGGGCGTTCTTTCGACGGTGCACGGATTCCATGCAGACCTCCCGACGATGGCAGTCTAAAAATTGAATCATTTTCTTCTCCGACAACTTCAAAGTCACATCCTTTCACAGGTCCTTCATATTTTCCAACAGAGCACTCCACTACAGTAGTGGCTCATCATTTCATTGTCATTATGCAATTCCCCACCGTATTTGCCCGTAATCGCGCAATATTTGTATCCAATTCACCATCTAGGTCTGTCTACGTGCGAGCACACCATTATTATATTTCTGGTCAGTTGCCAATTGAGATACAATCGTTTCCCGTCCTTCTTTCTCTATGGAGCTCAGATAATCGTCCGACCTCTCCTATTAGATTCAACTGCGCGACAAGAACCACTAATCCTAACGCTACGGGTTTTGAAAGCCCGGCTTTCCGGGGACCAAACATTGCAGGCTTGGCTTGGAGTTGAAAGTCTTGAAAGTCTCAACCCGATTGGCGATCTGATATAGCTCCTTAGGGCTGAAATTCCGTGGTTTTTGCGACAGGAAAAATTATAAAAAGACCAGGCCTCGTCTGACAGGCAATTTGCCGAGCTCGTCCGTCTGTTCGGCATCTGCCCTTCTCATCTTCTAATGACCTCCGCCAACTCGTTTGTGCTCTTCGCTACTCCGTTCTCTCCCAACAGTACACTATTCCGCTCTTCTTTTAGTATGCAACACGAGCAAACAGAGGCCCAGTCTGAGTACGACTATGTGTTCGGGCCTCCTCAAACTGCACCGTCGATGTAGCCTTGGCCTCTGTTACATTACATCATTAGGACGACGTGCCTTCACCGCTTAATCTAGCCTTTCTCTCTCTGACAAAATAGCGTTCACCTTCGAGAGGAAGCAGAGAAGCCAGAGGTGACCTACAGACCGAACGGGCCGTTGCTACACGCCCCTCCTCCGCCCCCAACGACCGCTTCGTCCCGTCCTACCCTCACTCTGCTCTCGCTGTCGAGAGTAGTGCGGTCCTCTCTCCGCGTTCTCTCCTCGCCCGTTATTCATTCACAAGTCGTGTGTGGTCTGCATATTTCCTCCCTCTTCCCGCTTCGATTGATTTCTGCGCTATTTGTGTCGATTATGCGGCAACCTTGTTTTCTGTCTTGCTTCACGTTTCATTAAAATGCATGTTGTTTCTGTGTAATTTTCACATGTCAATGTCGTGCTGATTTCAGACTACATAATACTCCAAATTATGTCTTCTTCGAACTTCGGAACCGTTGAGAACGGCCAAGCCCAAGTGGAGAAGCAGCGTCTGGAGACGGTAAGTAGAGTTAACCTAGTTAGGGTACACAAGAAAATGTTCTCCTTGCCTATTTTTCCATCCGACTGGCACTCAAACTGGTAATTTCAGGAGAACAAGCACCTGATAGTCTCCATCCAGGCTTACATCAGGGCCAATGAGAAGCTGGTGTGCGAGAACACAGTTCTCTACTCCGAAACCAGAGAGATGAAGAAGGAGGTGGATTCGTTGCGGCAGGTAATTCAGAAAATAAGCCTAATTCAAATACAAATTTTTCTTTTTAGGAGAGCGCCGCCAACTTGAGCAAGGCCAACGAGGCCATTCAGTACTCGCATCTCCTGGAGAAGATGCTTGACAGCGCCACGGACGCTACAACCATGTCGCAGGAGCGCGAAAGAGCGACCGAGGCTCTCCAGGCGGAGCTCGACAAGTTCCGCCAGGAGAACATGGAGCTCCATGACATCATGGAGGAGTTTGAGAACATGTGGGCTGCCGATTCGAAGCAGTTCCAGGAGGGACTTAGAGTTCTGCGAGAGGAGAGAGCGCGGCTCGAAGGGGAGCTGGAAGCGGCCGGCTACACAATCGATAGCATGTCAGCAACCATTATCGAACAGAAGCAGGATATCGACACGGCGAACGTGGAGAACGAGGATCTGAGGGAGAGGATTCGGGAGCTGGAGAGAGAACGCTGGCAGATCAATGAAACTGTGCTCCTGAAAGAAGCGCTCAAGGTACTCGGTGATAAAGAAGAAAAGGCGACTGAAGAGCTGCAGATCCTGACCGAGGAAATGAAAATTAAGGATGAAGCCTTCGATTCTGATATTGCCAAGCTCAAGAACGAGTTGGACTGCAACACTCGCGCTCACAACGCAGAGCGAGAAAGTTGGGAAGATCAAGTCAAAATTCTCCAGGACGAGATCGAAAAGCTGACCGCCGACCATGAAGAATACGAGGAGTTGATGTCCGAAGAGATGGATATTGTCAAGACAGCTTTGGATCACAGCGAGGCGGCGTACAGAGCTCTGATCTCCGAACACAGAAACTGCCAACTCGCGATGCTCAAAGGCTCGGAGGACATTAAGCTGGAAAAGGAGCGCATGGGAATGCAAATTGCCGATTTGGAGCATCAGCTGAACTGCCACAAGAATGTCGTTCGTACCCATGAACAGAGTCTAGAGCAAAGGGAGATTCGTATCAAGGAACTCGAGATTGACGCGCAGAAAACTCAGCAGAAGATGAGCGACTTGCAGTACCAACATCAGTGCGACATGAAATTCGCTCTGCATGAAGAAACGAAGAAACACGAACGGCAGATCGACGCCGTCATGACTCACCACAAGAATGAGCTCCAAAACGAACAGGAGGCCTCGAGAGCGATTCTTCTGAGAGAGAGGAACACTCATGCCGAAGTTCTCGAAAAAGCTCAGAATACGATTGCCAAGCGCATTAAGCTCTTCGACACTCTCAAAATATCAACCGACATCACGATTGATGAAATGTCCAGGGAGATCCAATGTCTCAGGAAGACGGCCGCCAAGCATAGCAATAAGATTCGTGACCTCGACGGTCTGATTCTTATGATCCAAAAAGAGCACCTCCGCGAGATTATTATGCTGAACGACGCTCACGCGAAGCTGGTGAACAACCTGGGAGTGCAAACGTTCGATTCGGAATTCGACAACGGCAACAACGACGACGTTAGACCAGAGGAGGAGAACGAGTCGGAGGACGAGGAGGATGAGGAGGATGAGGAGGATGAGGACGAGGAGGATGAGGACGAGGAGGATGAGGAGGATGAGGACGAAGACGAGGAGGAAGACGAGGAGGAAGACGAGGAGGAAGACGAGGAGGAGTCGGCCGAAGAAGAAGAAAACAACGACGAGCAGAACGAGGATGCATCCGATGGCGGGGAAAGCGGCCACGACGATTGGGAGCTGATCAATGAATAATAAATCGGTTCGTATTTGTATAAATTATACCTTTTCTCCCAATTCCCTTAGGAAAAAATTGAAAAAATGCAAATCTCGTTCAACTTTTTCTCAAAATCAGTTCACTTTCCCGTTTGTTCTGTCTTTCATTAATTTCCCTCACATTCGTCCATTTGTATTTTTTGTGATCTTTCCGATTTCTCGTTTTCCGAATTATCTCACAAAAACCAAATAGAAATACATGTTTGTGCTTTCCCGCTTCGTTTTCTTTTTCTTCTTACCCATTCTTGGTGACATTGTGCACATAAGAAGGAACCGGGCGGACCGCCGATTTGCGATTTGCAGAAGACGGTCCGTCGTGCGATGGACGGGAAGGAGTTGCGGCTTTTGGTTTCGAAAGACGGCTGAAGAAGTCGTCGCGCGTTCCGTTCTGGACAAAGGATATAGGGTTGCGTATTTTAGAGATGAGCTACCGGTTGACGATGAGTTCCAGATGCCGCAGATGGTTGGTTCTGAGAACCACGCTCCACAGATCGAGCACGAGTCACAACCGGCGGCTGGCGTGTGGCAAGCGGCTGAAATGAAACTTTATATGAGCAATGAACGAAAAGTCCTCACTGCAACCACTTTCTTCGTTGCCAATCTCGGAGTGGTCGGGTTGACACGCAGCGGAACACGATTACGAACACCTCCGGTCGCCTGAGCTGCAGGGCGAGGAGCTTCTAGTTTCGAATCGGCATGAGCGCTCGGCGGAGCAGTCGGTTTGACAGCACTCATGCGAAGCGTTGAAGAGCGGTTCGCAGTGGCAATTAGACGACCTCTGGGAGTTGTCTTTGTCGCAGAAGCGATCGTTTTGTTTGCGGAAGCGGACCGACGCGGCGGAGCGACCGGAGTGGTTGCGCCGGCGGACGGTTTCATGAAGCTGCGACGTTCGACTCCAGAACCCGCTCCAGTTGTGTTGGTTCGACGAGTACGATCACGCGATCTGTCGCCTCCAGTCATGGACTCCTTGACGACAGACGACACTGGCGTTTTTTGGGCAATCTTCAGAGGCATCACACTGCGACGAACACCAACCGGCTGCTTCGTGGTGGAAGCTGCTTCAGCGGCTCGAGCCATCGACCGAGTCACTACTCCTGGAGTGTGAGCAGCGGCCGCATTCGGAGCGGAAATGGTACGAGAGACCGAGTTGTGACGGGAACGTGTGGCAGAGGGAGCTCTCGGAACCGAAGGAGCACGGCCGACAGGTTCTTGGGAAGGCGCTCTTTTCGTACTGATGGATCGAGAGCGACCGAAAGAGGGGGCGGTTCCCGAAGTGACCGTGACAGCCGACCGACGCTTGCTCTCCTCCTCCTGCTTCTTCTTGAGCTCTGAACGGCGCCGTTGCGACAATCGTTCTTCCGGTGCTTTCGGGGCAAACATCGTGAGCATTTCGAGCTTCTCGGCCAGTTGATTCTCTGGATAGTCGTTGCTGACCGTCTCCTTCGCCTTTTCATTCGGCGCAATTTTGAGTGGTTCTCTTTGCGGCTGCTTTTCTCCGGTGCTCTCCGTCGGCTGATCTCCGCTCACAGTCGTGTTCTCTGACGCAGAAGAGGACGACAAGAAGTTGTCCATGCAAAGTGTGGGGAGACGGTCTCCAGAATCACGGATTGCCGTCGGCAGGCGCATTTTGACCGGGGTGTCACATTCCAAGTTAGCTGGAAAAGATCATTATAATCATTCACGACAGTAGACGTCTTAGTTACGGAAATGCTTCTCAAAGTATGACGAATCGCACGGCTGGTCTCTGCTCGGCGAGCTCGAAAGACGCGAGTAATCCTTGGTTTTCGGAACTGCAATGCTGCTGAAGAAGTTTTCGTCAAAGTCTTGGACCGACTGATTCTTGCTCATCTTCTGAAAATGGATTAAAATGAGGGCAAGAGAAAGGGGAATAGATATCACAGTGTAAATCAGGTCACACAGGCATAAGAGGGAAAATGAGAGAACGGGAGGGGAAGAAGAGTTAACCGACCATATTTTATTTACAGTTAAATTAAGAAAGCGGAATGAAAGATTGTAATGGTGGTTAGAAAGATTGGGAATTAATGAAAAGAGAGAAAGAAATGGCAATACAGTGAATTTTCGCATTGCTTCTTCTGGATGATTGTTGTTGGTCCGTATCGGAGTAATGAATGTGACAGTTAGAGCAGAGAAATCATACAAAAGAAGAAGTTGATGAAATCAGAGATCCAGAGACAGAAAAACAAGTTATTAGAAGAGACGATAACATATATTTACTCGGAGATGTCGAACAGAGGTTGGCGCGAATGATTGCTGCTAGCTGCCGGCGACTTCCAGACGGCCGACGAGCCACGTTTCTTCAGTCGCACAACGTCTCCAAAGATGTCCTTGAGGTTAGGCTGAAATAATTCTCGAATTTTAAATACATTGAATATCAGAATGAGTTCTACCTTTTGGATTTCACCGAAGAACTTGATGACATCGAATGGCGGTTTGGAGGTATGTTTGCGAACATTGTCGCGGACAAGCACAAAGTCCGCCCACTCCGGCACTTCCTTCCTCGGGTCGTCCTCCTGGTCCGTCTCGTCGTCACTGTTCAGATCGTGCAGTCCGTAATCGTTCTTCGATTTCGCCTGATAAGTCCGCGGCGGCGTCATTTCGTAGGCGTCCGGAGGCGGCGATCGTCCCGTTGCTTGCTGCTTCGCCTTCTTCTCCGCTTGCTTGGCAAGTGTGGCCTTCAACTCGGCTTCTTCTCGTTCTTGTTGCTCACGGAGCCGCTGTTCCTCTTCTTCTTGCAGCTTCTTTAGACGATCCATCTCCTCAACTTGATATCGTCGGGCGGCTTCCGCCTTCTCCTCAGCCTCCTTCTTCGCCTGACTCTGTTTCTCATCCGCTGCCACTCGCGCTTGCTCCTCGGCAAGCTCTCGATCCTTCGCAGCCTTCTTCTCAGCAGCCAGCTTCATCAGGTACTGCTCTTGTTCGGCTTGGAGATGAGCGGCGTGCGCATCAGCAGCTGCGGCAGCAGAAGAGACGTGCGATCGTTTCGCCTTCGCCTTCGGTTTCTGCTTGATTGGCGTGATGTCCTTTTCCAGATCCATCGGCTCCGCTTTCACTTGGCGTGAAGTGTTTCGTGGAAGATTGCGAGATGGCTGAAAATAAACTTTAGAGATCACCCTTTCTGAAATGCTCACCGAAAGCCTCACAGTCGGCTCTGCAACTGTAGTTTTCTTGCCATTTTTGGTGGCCACCTCTATACGTCCTCGCTTGGCGTGAACCCGTCCCGGAGTTGGAAAATTTTCGGTGGTCACAGCCGCGAAAATTTTGCGAGACGACTGCGATTTAGACGACGGAGTTTTTGGCTCGCCGACCTGAAGACGAGCCCTGGTTGGTGACCTGTGCTCCTTCTGCATTCGGACAAAGTTCGCGGTCTTCTCCTCTTTCCGCTTTATCTCGTCAATCCTTTCCTGCTTCGCTTTCTCTTGCTCCTTTCTCCGTTCCATCACTGCCACCCGCTTCTCGTCCGCTTTCCGAGCCTGCTCTTTCTTTTGCTCGATCACCTTGTTGCGGAGCTCGTCGGCGTGCTTCATCTTCTTGTCCATTTCGTTCTCGGGCGCCTGGTACGGGTACGGCAAACGATGCGGAGTTCGTGGAGCAGCAGCTGGAGCCTGCGTTCTTCCAGGGGTCGTTTGGAACACGTTGCGAGGGGTGGTCGGAACGGTATGGGCCTGACGAGCCGGGTTTCTGCGCGGCGTTCCATGCTTAACAGGAGTGCGAGAAGAACTGCTGACGGGCTCTAATTTTCGGGAAATGCTCATCTGCTGCATGCGAGTGAGTGTGCTTGGCACAGCGATTCCCTCGAATTCGTCGTCGGTCATCTCCGAACTGATTGGCGGCGTTTCTGGTCTCGGAGTAACATCCTGATCCTCGACGTCCATGTCATCATCACCGTCATCTTCTGGAGCATTGGCAAACATACGGTTTGTCTGTTCGGACTCCGGCTCCAGGTCCTGGTCCTGATCCTCTTCGACTATGGTTTCCGGATGCTCATCAATCTCTTTCTTGATGGATCGTTGTTTAGTCTTGGAACGAGTACTGGCGGCCGAAGATCGTGTCGAACGAATGGATGGGCGTGTTCTCATTGCCGATTCGATTGGTGATGCAACGAGCTGAAATTTTTTTTTGAATAATTCATAGGTTGATTTTTTTAAGAATTTACCTGTCTCGTGACCATCTGCGCAATGTGCTGTTCTACTTTTGCGCACGTAATCGACTGAAGCGCATTCGCAGTGTTTTCATCGGGGATAGCAGAACGAAAAATGTCGACAATATCCTTGAACACTTCCGAAAACACCTCCCCTGCCGCCTTGTCGAGAGTGGTGGCAGCTTCATTCAGAATCTACAAAAGAAACACGAAACCATAAATATAATCGTTCTCAAACTGTACCTTGTTGAACTCCGGAATGTTGCGAAACGCCTTTATCGTCGGCGCATCCGCCTTTCGAGCAGTTGGTCTTTTCTTCGGCGGCATCACTGAAAAACACTTTTGCGCGAAGTTCGACAACACGACGAAAGTGGAACGAGACTAAATTTTGAATAACATTGGTTCGCGCGCGGCGCATTGACGGGGGAGAGTGCGGTGGAGCGCGTTTACTCCATACTTTTGAGGTCTTGTTACGTGTTTTTGCATGTTTTATTTTTTCTTCCAGAACAAATTGAAGAAATATCTGGAATTCATTTGAACAGGTTGATAGGGACGAAAATTGAAACAAATACTGAAGCGAATTCATTTTAAACTGAAAAAGGCGCTCAATTAAAATAATTTAAAAAATGAAAAAGCATTAAAAATACGAAAACCGCGAAAATAAACAGTTTTCAACTTTTTCCAAAAAAAAAAACATTTTGAAACCAATTTCAAGCAATCCCGCCTGTGGTCTCGCCACGAGAACGACAAAAGTTTAAAGGCGCAGACCATTTTTCAATAAAGTTTTGTCCCGATATTGTAGCCCGCGCTTTTTTCAGTTGAAAGAAATTTAAGAAATCGTCCCATTTCTCTTTTGTTTTTCAGTTTCAAATACTATAAATGGAGGCGAGCAGTAGCGTGACGGCGATGCAGAACATCGACGAAACTCTGTCCGTTCAAAGCGATTGGCATTTAGCTCTCAAGTCAGTGAGCTAATAATTTCTTTCTCTCTGGAAACTCGATTGCAATCTAATTAGAAGAGTTTGCAATCTAATAAGAAAAAACTCTATTTCGCAATCTAATTAGATTTAATTGAAGTTCCAGTAAAATCGTATTAGATTACAATATATTTTTCCTGAATTGCAATCTAATAAGAAAAAATTGCAATCTAATTAGAAAACATTGCAATCTAATTAGAAAAATTGCAGTGATTGTAATCTAATTAGAAGATTTTGCAATCTAATTGAAGTAAATTCTATTTCAAACGAGTTCGTATTAGATTGCAAAGTTTTCTAATTAGATTGCGATTGAGTTCCCAGAGCTCAAACAAAAAAAAACATTTCCAGAGAGCCAATATCGCAGTTTTTTGTACGAGTGAAGCCGAACAAAGCGGAAAAGTCGGAATACTTTGATATTCAAATCACAAAGTTGGTGGATGAGTACGGATTAGCCGTTTTGCCCGGCAACGGAAACATCAAAACGTCAGAGTTCACAGACGTCAATTTGGACGAAAAAGTTGAGTAAAACCAGAAATACAACTGACTTTTTTTTAATTTTCAGAAAAATTTGCACATAACGTTCCAAGGGAAAACGACAATCTTCATGCCGCCGTCGAAATCCGTTCGCGTCGCAGGACTCACTTCAGCTCCACGCGTCATTGACTGTTCTTCAGGCGGAATCACAATTGTCTGCGCGGACGGCAGCGGAAAATTCGTCGTTTCATGTGCCAAAACTGCTCGATTATCGGTTGCTTTCAAAAATGGCTAAAACTCACAAAAAATAACGTGTGACTATTCAGAAACTGTTGGAAGGCCACTTGATGGATGTCTATCGGTGCGCCTACTTTCCCTCCGGCCGCGTCGTTCTTTCTGCCGGAATGGACATGACACTCCGCATCTGGACGAGCAACGAAGGGCACTGCGTGCGCATTTTCAAAGGACATCGCGGTCCGATCACCGGAATCGGAATCATCGGCGTCGGCAGAGATGTTCTCTCGTGCTCGAACGACGGAACCGCCCGTATGTGGTGCTGCAATACGTCGAAGACGACAGAAACGTGGAAGTTCGATGCTGGAAAGTGCAGAGATCTGAGAATGTCGGCGGACAGACTCAGGTTCGCAGTGATCTGTGAAAGGGCGTTGCTCTCTGTGATTGATTTGTTCGGGGATAAGGTAAGTGCGCATGAAAGTTCATAACTGAATCTTATTTTCCTTTGAGACTCGACGTGACATTCCCCTGCCGGCGCAACCATCCGCTCTATGTTTCTCGGGCGACAATCACGGAGAAATAGTTTTCGTTGGATTCGGGAATGGCCACGTGGCGGCGTACAGTGTGGTCAGAAAGTGTCAAGTCGGCGACATCGACACTCGCAGAGGATGCGTCAACAGTCTCAAGTTCCACAAAGGACGTCTTATTTGTGCTTTCGAAACTGGCAGCGTGCTCGTCTACCAACTGCCGCCACTTCCGTCCGATTCCTCGACTACCGCTCCTCCTAACATTATCGCCGCCGAATACGAACTGACCGGCCCCGACTGCGATCCGATCTACGACGTCGCTGTTCGCGAATCGACTGTCTACACTTGCTGTCGTGATGGACTCGTTCGAATGTATAACTTGTATTTGTAAATCTGTCGATTGTAATTATTTATTTGAAGTTTCGGCCATTCTCTTATTTTTTGTTTTCGATGATTGTCATCTGATCTCTCAATATCTCTGTCATATCTTCAATGTTCGATGTATGATCGAACCCTTCAGAATGAGCTGTCTCCGCCCGCTACACAGCCTCTACCTCACACAAATTAGATGGAAAACTGTCAAATTCAAGCCAAAAGTACTTTTATACTTCTAATTTTTACATTTTTGTTTTTCTCAGATCGCAAAAACGAGACCGCTGAAAACGGCGTCGGCGCAAGCTCTCGATCACTTTGACTTCTATTACGGACCGCTTTTCGGTAAGAAATGGCCGAGCATCCGGCTTGGACTTCTCTCGCCGAATCGCTATCTGGCTGTGATGAATACGATGAGCAGGAACTGGCAAGCGCACGAAGAGATACTCGCGGACATGGGCTCCAGAGATTTTTTGGCCGGAATCCGCGGAAAAAATGACCATGGAGTCATTGAAACGAAGCGGAAAGCTGTTGAGGAAAGGGCGAATGAGGAGACGCTGAGGGTGAAGCAGGAGATTGCGGTAGAAGAGATAATCTGGAAGTTGGGCTGACAAAGAAGGACTTCTTTCAGATTCCCTCCACGTCATCAGAGCCCTCGGAAGAAGCACTGGATGCCGAGCAAGAATCGATTTTCCGTTCGGCGGCAGGACTCGGCGAGTTCCGAGCCAGTCCCGGAGAACTGTCATCCGGATCACTGCAAATGGGCAAAGGGCCGATAAATAACACGAACGTGGAAGTCACCGGATTCGAGGGAGAAGGCGTTCGCATTCCGAAGAGGGACCACTTTATGTACTACCCGACGAACCTGCGGGTGCGCGCCTTCGAACGGGCGGTCCTTCTGGACTTTCCGGCGCCAATGAAGGACGAAGTTGGCGTTCCCAGCTACTGGCTCCTGGACGGCGGCTCCCTCCTTCCGGTGCTCGCCCTCGGTCTCCAGTCCGACGATTCCCTGCTGGATATGTGCGCGGCGCCCGGCGGAAAAAGTCTTCTCGCCGCCCTCTCGGGCCTTCCCTCAAAAATTGTGTGCAATGACTTCAAATTGGCACGTCTCGGACAACTCAAGCGCGCTCTTATGACTTACGTGCCTGAGGATTCTGAAGTGGGACTATCTCTCCATATTGTCTCCGTTCAATCAACTGTTTTTTGCAGACAATCGAGAAGTTTGTGCTGAAACGAAAGGACGCGTCAGACGTGAAGACGTGGGACGAATTCGAGGCCTACGACAAGGTGCTGGCCGACGTTCCGTGCTCGACGGACCGTCTTTCAGTGAGCACCGACGACGGAAACATCTTCAGCACGGACGCCACGCAGCAAAGACTCGGACTGCCGGTGTTGCAGACCAAGATTCTAGTGTAAGATTCAATTTCTCTGCTGAAAAAATCGAATTTTCTGCCCTAATAGCACCTTAAACTATGCTGAATCTATTTGGACTTTAGAAACGCGCTCCGTTCGGTCAAAGTCGGAGGATCGGTGGTCTACTCGACATGCACACTTTCCCCCAGCCAGAACGAGGTTTTCCCTTCTCTCCCCATCTCCAAAATATTTCTTCCTTTTTTAGGCCGTCGTCGAGAACGCCGTGGCCATCGTCCGCAAAGACTTTGGCATCGAGACGGTCGAAGAGTCCCTGCACCAGCTGGTGTCCCACATGACCGCGTCTGGCCTCTACCGCTTCCACGACACGCCCCTCGGCGCGCTCGTCGTCCCGTTCCTCCCGTCGAATTTCGGACCCATGTACATTTGCAAACTGACCAGATTGCAATAGGTTTTTTAGTTTTTGTTAATTTTGTCGTTATTTATTTGAAAAAAGAGAACACTCGTCATTCGTTTCTTTTCTTCATTCCGCAGTGACCCATCTGCTCTATTGCAATACCTATTTACCAATTCATAGTCTATCATAGAATCCTTCGCCGTCTCTTCTCGCACATTCTTTGTTCGATTGCGCGATTGCGAAATCGTCGTTTCGGACAAACAAGCGGATTTTGGCGCGAATCGATTTCGAAATGGCCGCGCGTCGCCGACTTACCATCTGGCTCTCTTTTCCCTTTTCGGCTCATTACACACTCATTTTCTCTCCTTCTCGGCTCCCAAACGCACGTGTTCGTCATTTTCGTTGTTTTGTTCTCACAATTGATTTTACTTAAAATCTCCTTTTTTTTAAGGAAAATGCCCGAGGACGCCCAACTCAAGCATCTTAAAATCAAGACTGCCGTCGTTAAGCGTCTAATCAAGGTTTGTACTCGGAAAAAAGCGAATTTAGTCGTAAATCACTATTCCAGGAGCACGCGTCGTACAAACTGCAGGTTGTGAAGGACGAGGAGAAAGCGGCGAAGTTGGCGGCCGAAGCGACGAACGAAGACGAGGAATACGTGGCGAAGAAGGCGAAGGAGGTCGTCAAGGAGACGGAGACGATGGTGTGCGACGCGAAGGGACGTCTTAAAAAGGCCGTCACCGATCTCGAGAAGCTGATCGAGACCGTCAACTTTCCGGAGAACACGGGGGAGCTTTTGGAGGCTGAAGGTCAAATTAAAGCCGCCTCTCTCTGCACATAATTTCTTTTTCATGGTGAATGGTGTCGATGTGCTTATTCTCAATATTTTTGTTAATTGAATTTAAAAAATCATTCATGCTTTATGACAGATTGGAAAATGTTGTAAAATCACAGAGAACGGAACACCCGACAAAGGGATTCAATTGTTTTTTTAAATTCGACTTTCTAAGACTAGCGATTCAGAAGCTGTTCGAGAAGTTCTGTCTGACGGTCCAGCCGGCCGAGCACGTTATTTTGAAGTTGTTCAAACTTTTCGTTGAGCCTCATTTCAATGCGATCAAGCTCGATTCCAACGATTCTATGCAGTGTGTCGCGGACGTCCTCAGAAGAAGACGTCGGCAGAGGAGGCTGAACAGAAGTACGGGGAGCTGGAGAAGGGGTCGCTTTCGGTTCATCAGAAGGAACTTCCACGGGCTCTTTTTTTGCAACGATCGTCTCTTCTGGATCTTCTTCTTCTTGAGCAATAGGAATATCTTCCGGTCGTGGCAGATTCTGAGATTCTGAAAGCTCAGATGGCTCCGGCGCGAGTGATGGTGCCTGAATCTTCTCTTTAATTACAATAACCTGAAAATTGTCTGTTCTTTATTCATATCCTTTAAGTGCAAAGGCACCTCATGAACCTCGTCGCCGACTTTGACCATCAAATGACACATCCTTCGGAGACCGCCCATCCACCTGTACACTTGATGCTCCGCGAGCTTCTCCGCACTTAATTTCGTCTTCGTTCCCTTCTGATTCACCGGAAGAGCCAGTCCGTTTTCGTCTGTTTTGTGAATGATTCGATCGAAGAGCAGCGCACTTTCGGCGGAGATTTCCCGGTCTCCAGAACCGCCGAAAATTACGAAACAGTCCTGAGATGCACTGCGGATTAGGGCCTGAAAATAAAAATTGGTTGAACAAAAGGAAAAATAGGAAAACTGACTGTTATTGAGAATCGCAAGAATTCGTTGCGATCGATGAACGCCACTTTCACCGCCTCTTCTCCGTTCACTTCATCCGAAATCACGGTGACGGCCAGATGCTCTTCGTCAAATTCGAACTTTGCTCCATCTACCGAAATCCTTTTCAGAACCGTCTTTTCCTTGTTGTAAATCACAAAATAGAGCTTTTCGTCGCACGGATCTCTATTCAAAATCACACCGATTCTTTGTGAATCCCCGTTTTTCTTCCAGAAGCCGGCGGCGGTGAAGTAGAGAATCGGCTTCGTTGGAGACGTCTCCTTCTTCTTTTCTTCTTGTTCTTTTGAATTGCTCAAAAATTGCTCGCCTAACGTTATTTTCTCGTCGTCGGCGAACAGTTTATCCATATTTGCACTGCAAACATCGATTCATCATGGATTATAGGGAGTTTTTTCTGACCTGTAAGTATCTGAATTACTTCTATACAGAAAATCTTCTGGATCTGGAATCTCCGTTGGTGCCGTTCTTCTTCGAAATCTCTCCATTTTTCACTGTAAAACTAGTTTTAGGCGCCCTGTGAAGTTTTGATGTTTAATTTAATCAGGAGAGAATTTGTGCTTGCACATAAAATTCACAGAAGATTCTTAAAATTTTTGAGCTTCTGAAACACGATTTTCATCTCTTTTTTGTCCAATTTTTTTACCAACTGCCGAATTGCCGTTTTCCGTAAATCTACACAAGATCGTGGCGAGACCCGCGGCCAGACCAGCATGTCCCTTTAAATTTTATGTCAATTTCTCAATTATTCACTGGATTTTCCAAGTTTCTTTCGAGTTTTCCAGCATATAATATGGATATTCTTAATGAAAAAATTAAAAATGTACTTTCAGTTCCGTCTACAACTCACTTGGACCAGCAAAAACAGAACATGGCCTCTGGTAATCGATAGTCTCGTCTTTGACTAAATTTCATAACATTTTCACTTATTTGCAGAAGTCGAGAAAGACGAATGCCAAAGTTGGCTTGCGAAGCAAGATCTGGACAAGATCGGAGTGGACAACCTGAACCCACTCACTGATGAGGCTAGTATCCGCCTAGAACTAGAGGATTTTAAAACGAACATTTCAATTTGCAGGTTATTTCCCGTCAGGCCACCATCAACATCGGAACTATTGGCCACGTAGCGCACGGAAAGTCGACATTGGTAAAAGCGTTCTCCGGAGTGCACACTGTCAAGTTCAAAAGAGAATTGGAGCGTAACATCACCATCAAACTCGGATACGCCAATGCCAAAATCTACAGATGCTCCAACCCGGAATGCCCGAGGCCAGGATGCTACAGGTTATTTCGAGTCCTTCTACAGTTGAAAAACGTATTTTTTGTTAATTGCAGATCCGCCGGTTCTTCTACCCCTGATCGTTTCCCATGCGAACGCGCTGGATGCGGCGGTGAATTCACCTGCGTCCGTCACGTCTCCTTCGTCGACTGCCCTGGTCACGACATTCTTATGGCCACCATGTTGAACGGAGCGGCGGTCATGGACGCCGCTTTCCTTCTTGTCGCCGGAAACGAGCCTTGCCCGCAGCCTCAGACTTCCGAGCATCTCGCCGCCGTCGAGATTATGCAGCTGAAGCATCTGATGATTCTGCAGAACAAGGTCGACATCATCAAAGAGTCGCAAGCTCGCGAAAACCACGAGCAGATCAACGGATTTGTCCAGGGAACAGTCGCCGAGAACGCGCCAGTCATCCCTATTTCCGCACAGCTGAAGTACAACGTTGATGTAAGAATGATCATGTGTTTTAGATTGTTACAAAATTATTCTTTCAGCTCGTGTGTGAATACCTCTGCAAGAAGATCCCGGTGCCAGTCCGTGACTTCAAGTCTCCCGCCCGTCTCATTATTATCAGATCCTTCGACGTCAACAAGCCTGGATCCGAAGTCGAGAACTTGAAGGGAGGAGTCGCCGGAGGAACACTCACCAAGGGAATTCTCAGGGTCGGACAAGAAATCGAGGTCCGTCCCGGAATCGTGTCCAAGACCGCCACTGGTCAGCTGCAATGCCGTCCGATTTTTTCGCGCATCGACTCTCTGTTCGCTGAGAAGAACCAGCTGGAGTACGCCGTTCCAGGAGGACTCATCGGAGTCGGTACCAAGATTGACCCGACTCTTTGCCGTGGAGATCGTCTTGTCGGACACATCCTCGGAGCCGTCGGCACTCTTCCCGACATTTTCATTGAGATTGAAGTCTCGTTCTATTTGCTGCGAAGACTGCTCGGAGTGCGTACTGAAGGAAAGAAGAAAGGAGCGAAGGTTCAGAAGCTGGTTAAGGAGGAGACGTTGCTCGTGAACATTGGATCACTGTCGACTGGAGGACGGGTAACCGCTGTCAAGGGAGACGCCGCCAAGATTAGGTTAAATGATCCGATTTGCACTGAGGTCAGTTTTTTGTAAAGATAATCTGTGTAAAACCATCTGCTTCCAGGTCGGCGAGAAGATTGCGATGTCCCGTCGTTTCGAGAAGAGTTGGCGCCTGATTGGCTGGGGAACCATCCGCAAGGGAACGACCGTCGAGCCGATCAAGAACTGAATGAGCTCTTTTCTTTGTTGCTTCTACTGGTTTCTCATATTATAACCTTATCCAATTGTTTCTCTCTGCTCGCCTTTCCATTTTCGCCCCCTATTTAGTCTGAATTTTTCGCGTTCTGCATCTTTTTCCAATCTTCTTCTTCAAGAGGAGAATTCAGTCGTTCTCCCGTAGTTTTCGGTCCCTGTCTGTTTTTCTTCTGTTTCCTACTACTACTACTATTCCTCAATTTTCCATTCATTTCTGTTGAAGATAATTGGTGTTTGTTTCAATAAATTATTGGTTGGAGTTTGTCGCGTATGGAACACTCGCAAAATAAAAGTGCGGTCCAACATAATAGAACCGCGACATAATAGAACTGTTTTTGTGTATTTATATGAGCAAACAGTTATATTGTGGCCGGTTCTATTGTGTCGCGGTTCTATTTTGCGCAGTTCTATTCTGCGTAGTTCCATTATGTTCGACCGCCAATAAAAGTTCAGAATATTTCTCGGGAAAATTGAAATTTGCGCAGCGTGACCGTATTTTAAAGGCGCAGATAAGTTTTTGTCATGAGGGTTTTGCCACGATTATGTGATTTTTGTTCAAAGATCAGTGATTTCGAAAAGTTTCAACGTGTTACATGCAAATCTGGCTGTTTTGAATCCAAAATTAAAATCTTGCTCATCAGTGTCCTTTTTTTCTGAGTATGCCAATTCGCTTCTCTCCCATTCTATCCCATTCTATTCCAAAATGTTAAATTTGCAGCAAAATGTCGACACCAAAGTATATAGAAAGCCCAAACACGGTTCAAACTTCGCTTTACGGTTACGACAGGCACAAAAAAGTGCAGGTAAATTGTAGGTGTCTCAGTTTCCCCGCTTACAAAACACTTAGTTCCAGCTGAACAATTTACGTGGCAATCCGATCGTTGTACTCCGCTCAGACACTGTCAACTCGGGAAGCGAACGTGGATTCAGCGCCGGAGGACCGGGACCGAAATCTCCAAGAAAATGGGTCGATCGGAGCAATCAGATTCCCGCTCCGAGTAGACCTGCCTGCCGGAAAAATGTGAATCGAGAATTTTGTATTGCAGAGCCGTCTCTCTATCCATCGTACGCCCACTTTCATCACCAATACACGTGCCCGAAGCCGACAAACGCCTCGGCTCCACCGTCGCTTCTTCCCGCCGGACCTCCCATTCCATTTACTCATACCGCCCACGACAGGACCCCGCCACGTCGGTTTCCGCCCGTCCATCCCCTCACTCTCCCTCGCGGCGAACCAACAAGTCCCAAAATGACCGTGGAAGACGAGATGACTGTCCGTCGGCTCTTCGACAAATTGGCCGTCACCACGCCCCCACCGACGTCTTCCTCGTCTTCCTCCTTCTCGAACGTCTCCAGCGACATCACTCTTCTCGAGTTGAACCCCAAAATTGGCGGCAAATCGTTCGTGACCACTCCCGTCTCCGTTTTTGCTCCAACCTCCGAAACGACGTCTTCTACACCGTCTCCATGCCCCGATGAGCTATCATTTCTGGATTCTCCGCCAAGTAGTCTCTCAGAAGCACGAACTGTCTCTTGTTGCTCCGATAGCTTTTCTTCCGTTTCCGTGGACGCCGACGTCGAATCGGGTGCTTCGATGTGCGAAGAAGTGAAGGATAAAGCGAGAATTCACACGTTTGTTCTAAATTATAATAAAAAACTGAAAATAATGTTTTCAGGTGTCCCGATGAGCAGCAATGCTTAATATTCAGAAGCGGGCGGTGTGCGAATGATGCGGAAGAGCGGATGAGCGTGCTCCACTGGTACAACGATCTCATCCAATGGCGCCACGATGTGGTCACTAAACGGGTGTTCGGCCCTCCGCGCTGTCCGCCCGCTCCGCTCACCGTTACAATCATCGGAGCGTCTCGTGCGCAGCGAGCCAACCCGTTCCATCGCATAGGAGAAGTGCATCCGTTCGCCATGGAGGCCATGGACCACGTGCGGAAGAAGATGGACGCCCGTCGCGCGCACCGTCTCATTCCGGTCGACCTGCCGTTGCCGCCCCCGCACGAGTTCATTGCGAATGCCAAGTGCTTGGAGCCGCATCTGTTCGTCGAGTACTGCTACCAACTGACTGCAGCCGCCTACGTCGACAGCGGACTCAATCCGCCGAACCGCCGGCCGCCGATTCCGCCAAGAATCGAGCCGCAGCCCGATCAGACGTGCCGCGAATCAGTCTGCTCGTCGGCGTCGGAAATGTCGTCGGACGGCGAGTATTCCGACGATTCGGACGACACGAAGAAGGAGCGATTGCGAATGAAAATGGAAAGACACACCAAGGTAAACAAGAAAATCCGCATGAATTTCTCTTTAAATGAACACATTTTTAGCGTGAACGACGCCTTCAACAACTCTTCCGTCGCCGCCAAACTCTTGATGAAATCGACGAAGAAGAGGACTATTAACTGTCGAATTTTTTTTCTCGTTTGCGTCCCCTCCAGATATTCACTAAACCATTTTTCGTTTCTTTGGCCCCATGTAGAACCCATTTCTCCCCCCAGATTTCTAGAATTTTCAGCAAGACACTTGAATTTCATTTACGCCGCCCCCACCGGTAAGTTTTCCGATTGTTTTACCACCCGTTTTCTCTTTGCCAGTTCGCGTTCGTTTTCTCGTTTATTGTATTGTGCGCTCTCTCTCTCTCTCTCTCTCTCTCTTTTTCTCTGTTGAATTAATTAATTTATCCATTTCGATTCGATTTGATTATTACTTTTTCAAATAATTGAATTTTTGTTCTGAGCACTTCTCAATTTTTCCGCTGCTCAGAACGTGCTTGTCTCCGGAGATGTGCAGAACGAACTGAGCGTCGGACAGTCCGAGTCCAGAGGCCGTCACGTGGTACTCGATGTCATTGCCGCCGGCGAGGAAGTTCGACGACTTGAAGACGATGTTGACGGGGTAGATTGGTGAAATTCTGCTCAGAATGTTAACCACTTCTTCTGGAAATATCAGGATACGGTGGGCGTTTGATTTGAGATATTTACCCTTGGAGTAGTCCTTTTTGCACCCGTGGAACGTGTACTTGTCCTCGAAAAATGAGCCGATCACCGTCTTGCTTCCGGATCTGATCGCTTTCTGCAGGGTGAGCAGGAATCCACCGACGATCCGTTCCGATCGATCGCCAGCAGCCACGAGATCCGCGGAACATCTGCTGTACCGTCCATTCGTCAAAAAATACTCTCTTCCGTTGTTGCTGATCACAAAAAAGGCGTCTCCGCTCGTGGACAGTTGCGGAATGTCCACACCGAGTTCCAAATGGATGTCAATGTCGGCCGCATTGGTCAGATAATGGGCGTTCAGAGGACGGAACGTGAGATCCGTGGCCTGGCTGAGCATGTGCAGAACTTGCTGCTTTGTGTAGTTTCCCTTGCATCCATTGAACACGAACAAATCGGAGAACAACTTTCCCATTCGCGCCGGGTCCCCGGACTGAACCGCAGATCTCAAAGCGTCGGTGAAGGCGCGAGCGATCATCAGTGCGCCACCGTCCTCCGAATAATAACGAGAGACACAGTTCTTGATCTTTCCTCTCGATAGAATGTACCGTCCGTCGATGTTCAGAAGGAAGAAGAAGGCGGTGATGTCGTCTCCGAATCCAGAAACATTCACGTGGTAGACAATGTCGTGGTTATCGTTCAGAAAGTCAGCCACGAGCAGTGTGATATTGAAGTCGGTCCCTTTGGGGATCTTGGTGAGCATTGCGAGTACGCCCTCCTTGTAGTACGTTCCTTTGCATCCGAAAAACTTGAAATCCTCCGTGAAAAGACTAGAAAGTCTCTCCTCATCTGCTGCTGTGAGAGAGCCCACAAGATCATTGAGGAACTCTTTGACGATGTCATTGGCGGAATCAGAAACGGAAACAGAGAGTTTTCTGGAGCAACTGCAGCAGTTGGACCTCTTTCCGCTGATCAGAGAATAGCGTCTGTTGTTAAGCTGGAGGGTGAACTCAGCTTCGATGACGGGTCCGAATCCAGTGACGACGACTGTGAAGAGGATGTCTGCGTTCTGGTTCAGATAGTGCGAGTCCTTGAAGGCAATGCCAAAGTCGGAGCCTTTCGGGACCTTTCTCAACAGAGCCACGACCTGATCTGAAAATGGCATTCATGGAAATTGGAGACCGCCCTCTCCCCACTCTTGTTGTATTCTCCCTTGCATTCAGTGAACACAAAGTCCTCCGCGAACCGCTTTGAGATCCTGTCTGGGTTTTGGGTGCCGATAGCGAAGATCATTCCTCTGATGTATCCTTGTGCGATATCTTCGGATCCATCGCCAGCTCGGACGGAGCCGCCGATGCAGAGAAGGCAAAGAATAAGAAAGGTCGCGGACATTTTGTGAGGAGAATCGGCGATTGTGATGGTTATATAGCGGAGTGGGCGGGGCCACATAATCAAATCGCAAAATGGGAATGGGAATGGGACTGGGCATTTTCCTCCGATGCTCGGTTGTGTGGGTGGATAGAGATACTGGTCATTGGTCGTTTGTGGATCCCTTTAACCGTTTTTAGTCTTTAGACCCAGTTGGAATGACTCCATTCTTGCATGATTATCAATCTTGGCGTCGAGTATCTACGGTGTTATCAAGACTGAAACTTTCCATGACGATTCGTAATTTTCTGAACATGATTTGAATTTCCCGCTCGTATTTTGTCGCTGTGTAGCCGCTACTCATTCATCATCATTTTGACCTCCGACGAGCTCCTTTCTCTCGTAAAAATATTCACCGCTTTTCAATGCTTGGTTATCTTTATTAGACGAATGAGTAGGAACAATTATTTGCGACTGTAAAGACGTTCGAAGAAATCGTAGGGCCGTCTGTCTGGGCACTTCTCGACTCTTCCGCTGCTCAGAACGTGATTCTCTCCGGAGGTGTGCAAAATGTACTCGGCAGCGGGTCCAAAGGCCACCGCGTGGTACTCGATGTCGTTTTCGCCGGTGAGGAACGTCGACGACTTGAAGACGATGTTGAAGGAACGAGCCGAACGAAGATTGCTCAGCGCCTTGACCACTTCTTCTGCAAGTACGCGCATATTGTCGGCTTCTGATTGACACACTTACTCTTGGAGTAGTCCCTTTTGCACCCGTGGAAAATGTACTTGTCCTCGAAAAGGGAGCCGATCGCTGTCTTGTTTCCGGAATTGATCGCTTTCTGCATAGTGACCAAGAATCCACGGACGATCGCTTCCGATCCATCATCGACAAAATGAGCAAGAAGTCTTTTCGGGCACTTCACAACCTTTCCGCTGATCAGAACGAACTGTCCGGACGATTGATGGAGCACGAACTGAGCCTCGCTGGCCGGTCCCAATCCGGAGAGCGCGACGCTGTAGACGATGTCGGTGTTGTCGTTGATGTAGTGGGATTCTTTGAAAGTAATCGAGAAGTCCGTTCCTTTCGGAATCTTGGCGATGAGCGCGAGGAGTGAGGCCTTTGTGTAGGTGCTCTTGCATCCTTTGAGCACGAAAGAGTCGTCGATCAGTTTGGCGAGTCTCGTCTCGTCCTTGGAGGCGATGGCAGACACGAGGGCGCCGACGAACGCCTGCGCAATCACTTCGGATCCGTCCGTTCCACTGGCCATCAAAAATCGATTGATTGTTTTAGGGCAGTCCGAGCGGGATCCGTAGATGAGTTTGTAGTCACCGTCGTAGTTGTGGATGGCGAAGTAGGCGTTGAACGTCTGTCCGAGTCCCACAAAGTCCACTTCGTACTGAACCTCGAATAAAGATAGGAATCGGGACCTCTTAAAAGTGATTGAGAATGTGGATCCCTTTGGAAGTTTCGAGAGCATTTCGACGGCCATGTCTGCAATAACACAATGATGGAGAAGGACGAGAAAATGATTCTTACTCTTGCTGTACGTGCCCTCACATCCTTTGAACGCGAACTGATCGGCGAAGAGTCCGGAAATGGAGTCCTTATCGCCGGATTCGATCACTTTGACCATGTTCTCAATGAAGTTCTTGGCGACGAGATCCGAATCGGAATCCACCGCCACGGCAAAACTTCTCTCCACGTCGTCGCCGAATCGTCTGCTCTTCGGGCACTTCACAACCTTTCCGCTGATCAGAACGAACTGTCCGGACGATTGATGGAGCACGAACTGAGCCTCGCTGGCCGGTCCCAATCCGGAGAGCGCGACGCTGTAGACGATGTCGGTGTTGCCGTTGATGTAGTGGGATTCTTTGAAAGTAATCGAGAAGTCCGTTCCTTTCGGAATCTTGGCGATGAGCGCGAGGAGTGAGGCCTTTGTGTAGGTGCTCTTGCATCCTTTGAGCACGAAAGAGTCGTCGATCAGTTTGGCGAGTCTGGTCTCGTCCTTGGAGGCGATGGCAAACACGAGAGCGCCGACGAACGCCTGCGCGATCACTTCGGATCCATCCGTTCCTCTGGCGATCGCAAATCGACTGATTCTTTTGGGACACGTCGGGCGGGATCCGTAGATGAGTTTGTAGGTTCCGTCGTAATTGTGGATGGTGAAGTAGGCGTCGAACGTCTGTCCGAGTCCCACAAAGTCCACTTCGTACTCGATTTCCGCAAGAGAAAGCTCTCGGGACCTCTTGAAAGTGATTGAGAATGTCGATCCCTTCGGTAGCTGCGAGAGCATTTCGACGGCCATCTCTGTAAAAAGACAACAATATAATAGAAAGCGGTAATTGGTACTCACTCTTGTTATACGCCTTCTTGCATCCTCTGAACGCGAACTGATCGGCGAAGAGTCCGGAAATGGAGTCCTTATCGCCGGATTCAATCACTTTGACCATTTTCTCAATGAAGTTCTTCGCTACGAGATCCGAATCGGAATCCACCGCCACGGCAAAACTTCTCTCCACGTCGTCGCCGAATGGTCTTCTCTTCGGGCACTTCGGGATCATTCCACGCTCGAGAACCCACTTTCCGTTGTAGGAGTGAATGAGGAAGTAGGCCTCGATGGACGGTCCGAATCCGGAGACCAGCACGTGGTACTCGATCTCATTCGACTTCGGGTTATCGTCTCGGTAGTAGGAAGACTTGAGGGTCATCTTCAAATTGGCTCCCGCTGGCAGATGGCTCAACATCTTCACGACCTTCTTCTTCGTGTAGTTTCCTTTGCAGCCGATGAACTCGAATTCGTCCGAGAATAGCGCTCCGATGGCCGCCTCTACGCCCGAGACGACCGTCGTTGTCATCGAGTCCAGGAACTTCTGGACGATGACGCCGGAGCCATCGTCGGCTCGAACGGAGGCGCCGAGGAGGCAGAGAAGGGAGAGGAGGAGATGGGGGACTGTCGAGAACATTGAATGTTTCTGACGGAAACGTCCGATAGGAACGGTTTTATAGTGGTGTGGGCGGAGTCACATAATCATATCATGAATCGGAATGGGAATAGCCGTTTTCCTCCGATGCTCGGAAGGAAACAAGTGAGTGGAAAGTGCGGGGGTGAGGAAAACGTGAAACAGAAATCAGAAAAACAGTGACCCAACGATGCGAAAAAGATTTGGAAGCAATCACAGCGAAAAATTACATTTAAAATAAAGTTCATTTCACAATCAACGTATAAAGTCAGAAACCAATCGAGTATTATGAGATCCAATGATAAAAAGTGATGGGAATACAAATGTTAGCGGGGCAATTAAGATGCTAAAAATGGGGAAGCCTAGGCATCGACGGCTTGGAAACGGACACGCTCTCCTGAACGAGCAATCGACTCCTTTTTGGTCAACTCGTTGAGCGCCTCATCGAACATTTCTCTGGAGCACGTCTGAAATGAAGGTTACGAAATTGGCGAGGAAAAGGCACTTTTTATACCTTATCGGTTGTCCGCATGGTCTGGTACAACGCCTTCGACGACACGAATCCTTTGGATGTCTGCAGCTGTTTCAGAATCGTCTCGCACATCGCTTCGACGGCTTTCCTTCCGGACGAGCTCATTCCCGATGCCAGAATGGCCACGTCGACACGTCCAGTGGTAGGGTCGACTGCCGATTGACGGAGAGCCTCGCGCCAAAGCCTGAAAGAATAGAATCATCGAGCAGGACGTGAGAAGGGGCGACTCACGTGAATGCCTTCTCGACGTCATCGACCGACACCTCCTGCGAGAGACGGATCTTGGCGTGAGCCTCGGAAAGACGAATGAGCGACTCAAGTTGTCTCGGATAGGCGGTGATTTGCCCGTGTTGGGCGCCCGCCTTCCGCATGAACAAGTACTTTTCAATGATGAATTGTGTGGCGTCTTCGCCTAGTTTCGGATGGATGTTCGCTTTCGCGTAGGCTGGAAGGAAATGTGCTAATTCGGAATACTTCGACCGAAACTCACCAATGTAATCTCTGAGCAGCTGCATGTCGAGTTGCTCGGCCTCCTTCTGACTGCCGTCGTTCTCAAAGTACAGCGAGACGAGATGGTTTCCGAGTCGGCGATCGTGCATCTCGTCCTGCGGATCCACAATCAGGAAGATGAGATCGAAACGAGAGAGGAGCGTGTGCGGCAGTTGGATGTTCTCCACGATCGTCTTGTTGCGATTCCACTTTGAGTCGACCGGGTTCGCGGCGGCGAGGACCGACGCGCGTGCGTTCAGCTGACAGATGATGCCCGCCTTGGCGATGGACAGGGTCTGCTGCTCCATCACCTCGTGCAGAACACTTCGCGCGCTGTCGTTCATCTTGTCGAATTCGTCGATGCAGCACACTCCATTGTCGGCGAGCACAAGTGCTCCAGTCTGCAGAACCAGCTGCTTCGTGTCCGCGTCACGACTGACAGAGGCGGTGAGTCCGACTGCTGAAGATCCCTTTCCGGAAGTGTACTGACTGCGTGGCAACAGGCGGTACACGTACTGAAGCATTTGCGATTTGGACGTTCCCGGATCTCCGCACAGAAGGATGTTGATTTCCGAACGCAGCTTCGTCTTGTGCGTCTCCTCGTCGTCCTTGCGGGTTCCTCCGAACAGAAGGCACAGGAGTCCGCGCTTCACATCCTCGTGCTCGTAAATCGACGGAGCGATGGCTTGTGCGAGCGCGTCCATGATGTCGGGACGCTTCGAAAGCTCGACGATCTGCTGAATGCGCTCCTCTGTGAGCGTCTCTCCGTTGTCCTGATGCAGACGCGACGTGTCCATTTTGCGGAAGTGAAGAGCGTCGATCGAAGTGCGGTAGACAGAAGCTAGAGCGCGTTGCTTCGGATTCACTTTCATTCCCTGCGCTCTGAAGATTCCGGTCACCGAGATACGATCTCCCGGCTGCACCGACTCGACAAGAGAGCCGTGCGCGTAGACGGAGACGGTGTGCGGCGTCTCTCCGGACGGCATGTCATCTGGAGACTCCTGCAGCTTGATGACCTGCTTGTCGAGGAACACGGACCGATTGTGCACCAGCTGGAAGCAGTGCGAGTTGGAGCAGTTCGTGCACACCACCGGCTCCTCGATTCGTCCTTGGTCCACTTCGCTTTCGATTCCAAATGCGCACACGGAGCACTGGAAGAATCCGCTGCGCATCTCCGGAATGAGGGCTGAAGTACGGGTGACCATTCCCGAAATGGTGATTAGTTGGTCGACGTCGTTCGGATTCAGCCCACGCATGTTTCGCGTTTTCTCCGCGTTGAACGGACGCAGTTCGATGGAGTTTGCAAGAGTTCGGTTGAAGCGTTCGACGAACACCTCGTTCACAACGATATCCAGGTATGGGATGACGTCCTGAAAGGAAAATGATAAGTAATCGGGAGGTGTGCAAGGATCGTTCTAACCGCCGGATAGGCAATAACTTTGCGGTAGAGAGGATCAGAGAAAGCTTGCAAATGCGCCAAATTCAGGTTGATGTGCGTGACTTCTGCATCATTGCACTCGAGAAGACGTTCCATGTAGTACGGGTGATTCATGTCGACCGGATGGAGTGCCTCGTCTCCACCAGCCATCATATTCTCGTCCTCGTCCAAATGACTGATTTTGAACGTCGTGAAGAAGTTGCGGAACGATCTGAAAGCATGAAAATAGGCTTCTGTAATTTGAAAACTAGATTTCTCCACCTTTGCACATCGGCGACACAAATGCGTGTGCCCCAGACGTAGAGACGCGGCTGTCCGTCGTCAGCAGCCAACTCGTCCTCCATTCCTTGAATCTGAACGGTCCGATGGTCGGCGGCTGCAATTCCGAGGTCTCCACGGGGTCCTCCACGGCGCATCGTCGAGGCGGACGACATCTGCGAGACAGATCCCATTTCAGAGCCATAGTGAAGAGCAGAAGCCGATGAAGCTGAAAAAAGTTAACTGTCACACATTATTCATGAATTCGTGCTTACTCGATCGCGGGGAAATGTTTCCAGCAGCCGCACGACCCTGTGAACGTGTGGATGACGCTTGCGATGGTGGATCGGCAAACAAATCGGCCGACTCCGACTCAGGCTCACGCGCGTCGTTGGAACGGGGCATTCTAACTGCAAAATTCAACAAATTGAAGAGTTTTAACGGAAAAACAACAAAAAACAAAGAGAAAAGAGGGGAAGGTGACAAAATAGCGGATAAACCATAAATCGCGGATGCCAAAAGAGAGAAAACGATCAGTTGCGCAAGCGCCGTTAAATTTCAAATTTTTGGCGTTTTTAATGGACTGATTGAGACATTTTTGAGACAATATATTGTGGGACTGTTCAATTGAGGTTTTTAACTTAAATAAAATTGCAATTGAATGTCCTAAAATAAGGGTTAGACCGTTAAAAAGAGCGCTTAAAAATTGAAAATTAAAGGGGCGTGCGCAAATGTTCGTTTCCGCTCTTTTAGCAGTTTCTTCCGTTCTTTTTGCATCCGCGATTTTCGGGTTTTCCGCTATTTTGTCACTCTCCCAAAAAGGAAAAATTGCAAAAGGGGCGACAGATGCGGTAAAAGTGTGCGCGCGTTTTGAATTCAAACATTTCGCGCGCGTACACTTTTGCGTACATTGCGGACCTGGCCCTGCGCCAAACACTGACCGTACTGCATTAAAATTCATTTTTCAGGATTCAGCGGAATTCAGGAGAATTTAATCGATCCAGGAGTTGTTTTGTAGCAAATTACAAAATGAACAGCAGATAAAGGCAATTTAAAAGTACATACAACAAGCTGAAACTCATGTTTATTCGAATAATCTCATCAAATCGGTTCATTTTCTTGCCGGCACTTTCTGAAGAGCATCCTCGATTCTTTTGAAGACTTCTTCACTACCAGTACTTCCCATTGTTTTTAGTTTGATCTTGAAGTAATAGAGGGCGGCTCTGACGGCGTACGAGAAGTAAATGGCTTGCGAGCAGGCTCCGGCCCGCTGATCTCTCAACTTCTTGAAGATTTCGTCGCACTTGACCTGTTTTCCAGCTATCACCGCATCAATGAATACCATGGTGAGGACGACGGTCGCAGATCGGTCAACTCCCCGATCACACATGACGACGATTGGGCCATTCTCGCCGATGTAATCCTGAATAGGGGCAATTTATATAAAAAGAATACACAAATGTGCAAGCGAACCTTGAACGGAGCACGGCACAGAGCGAGCAACTTCTTCTCGTCGTTCGGCGTTCTGTTCACCGGCCACGTGCTGCAGTTGTAGACGTTCGCAACGACGGCATTGCTGAAACTGAAGGCGACCGTCTCGACGAGATAAGTGGCCAGCCAGTTCTTGTTCCGGTCGTCCGTTATCACTCTTTTAGTGTTGATCAGAAATCCCCTGATGTTGATAAAGTGCTCCGGGAAGAGCGGAAAGAAGGACTTGTTCATGAGGAGCTCGGTGCGGATCGAGTTGCTCATGATGCTCTGCTGCACCGACTTGCTCGGCTCAGCAGGCGATTCTGCGGGCGTCGTCGGTGTTCCGCTGCTGGAAGTCGTCGTCGTGGAGGGCGTGGCCGGAGATGGAGTCGGCGGCGTCGGTAGTGCTTCCGGCATCTTGTTGAACTCCTCGATCGCTTCGTCGACGTACGGCTCGAAGATCGCGATAACACGATCCGCTTTTTCGAAAAACACCATCTTCCAAAAATCGTAGACAGTGTCCGGGAGTGGGTACTGGGTCATGATGAAGTGTAAATCTGGACACTGCTCGAACTTGACACGACTCGCGTTGATGTAGAACGGCCGCGGCGGGCTCGGCTCTTTCTCTCCGGAACCAGCCTCGACGACCTGAACACGCGAGTGATCGAACATCTCGGCACCGTTCGATCGATTTTTCGACGGGTTCTTCCCCCATTCAACCGTCGTCGCCGTTAGATTTCTATACGAAGTGAGATTTTTGTCAAAGTACGCGTTCAGGCTAGGTTCATCTAAAAGTGAATAGAGTCAGATAAGTTTTCATTCCTCGCTCACTTATTTCGATAATTTGTTTGCAGAAGAACATGATGGCGCCAACGAACTTCTCCTTCTCCTTTTCCTTTTCCTTCTCCTTTTCCTTCTCCTTCTCCTTTTCTTTCTCCACTTCCGCTCCTGTCTCAGCCGACGCCTTCTTGTTCGCCTCCTTCGATTTATTCCGCTTCTCCTTCGTCGTCGGCTCCTTGCTCTTCTTCCTCGTGTTCTTCGTATCCACCTCATCCTCGGCGATCGTGTCGTCCTGCTTCTTTCTTGCCTTTCTTTTCGTCGCCTTATGGTCTCTTCAATATTCCGCATTTCCCAGAACCACTTCGGAAAACTCACTTTCCTCCTTTCGGCGCCATGTTGTTCGTCTCTTCACAAAAGAAAACTTTTTTCAAAAACTAAAAAATCCCGCTTTTCTGTCTTTTTTTATACGATAAAAATGCCACGAATGTTTTCACGGGAAAAAGTCAGGTAATTACAGAAATTCGAAAATGTTCAATTTGAATTCAGAAATTCGAGAGGGTATGAGCCGCGACGCGTCGATCAAATCGGCCACCGAATCCTCCAATCTCGCCACGTTCGAGTGCACATTATTCAGTTTAGCCGCCACGTTCTGAACACAATTTTTGTACTTTTATATTTGCTAAAATGTCTTTCGAACCTGCATTGAAGTGAAGCAATCGGCGGCCGATTCGGTCACTTTCTGCATCGTTTTCTCCTGCGTCGAAATCCGTTTCTGGCACGTATTGATCGTGTCCGCCGCAGCCTTACTCCATCGCTTTTTCAGATTTTTATCGATTGAAACATCTCTGAAAACGTCAAGATTATCCAAGAAGATTCTTCCGGAAATGTCCCACTTTTTCTCTTCGTTTTTCATTTCCTCCGCCGTTTTCCGTGGCTGCTCTTCTTCGTCTGCTTCGTTTTCCAATTCGTCATCGGTCTCGGGCGCTTCTCCGTCGAACGTCATCGAAGACATTTTTAGCGTAAAAGTTGACCAAAAAGAAGAGAAAATTAAGGAAGGGGAAGGAGGAAATCGGCGACGGAAAGACGAGAAGAAGTGGGAGACGCAGGAGGAGAGACAAACGAGGACCAGTGTGCATTTCTTATCGAACGGACAATTGTGACAGAGATCTGACTGAATGCGTTGGATATTCACAATCTTATCCTCCGTGACCTGTTCTGTTCTCTTCGTAACGCTCACTTTTCATTCACGTTTCCCCCAGCACTCCCGGACCATAAAGCATATGTAAATTGGATTTGGGGCCGCCCATCCATTCTGAGCCCGCTTTCATGGAGCTTCTCTTCATAACTCGGCTGTCTGCTCATGTGCTTATTCCACTTTCTCGCTGTGATCGTCACGTCGCTTGCTCAACTTCCAGACGAAAAATGCACAAATTCGCGACTGACTCCGGCCGCCATTCTCGACGTGATTATGGCCAATTACTCGAGATCTCTTCCGGGCAACACTCCGGTTCCTGTGCAGGTGGAAGTGACCGTTCAGGACGTGATGGAGCTCAGTGTGCTCAGCAACAGCTTCACCGCCGACATCTGGTTCAGCTCGATTTGGTACGACTCGAGACTCGCGTTCTCTCATCTGGATCCGTGCCGGCAGAACCTTTCGTTCGATGATCGATTCGAAAAGGTAACAAATCACCTTATAGTGGCATAAAACGACGAGAAACCGCGAGATTTCAGTTAATTTGGTCTCCAAACGTCTGCATAGTCAACACGAAATCAGCCCATGTTCATATGTCTCCAAAGCCCAATGTTCTTCTGATGCTCCTGCCAAACGGGACCGTTTGGCTCAATTACAGAGTGAGTCAACCCTACTATCCTGGCCATTTATCGTCTCAGATTCAGATCCGTGTCCAGTCTCCGTGTTCCATGAACTTGGAACGATTTCCCATTGATACGCAATACTGTCATTTGGTATTCGAGAGTTACTCGTACAACACTGCGAGTGTCTCTGTGAACTGGATGAGCAATCCGGTTACCGTACTCCCGGAAATCTCACTCGCCGACTTTGATCTGTCCAGATACCGTACTTCTAGACACACAGAAGTGACGACACTCAAATCGTTCCAATCAAACTCAAGGTTCAGGTCTATAAAGCCGGCGAATGGTATCGACTGACGGTGGAGTTCGAGTTCAGTCGGAAGTACGGATTCTACATCCTTCAGCTCTACTTGCCCACCTACATCAGCCTCTTCATTTCGTGGATCGCCTTCTGCATTGACACGAAAGCACTTCCAGCGAGAATTGTGCTGGGCGTCAACTCTCTGATGTCTCTTACTTTTCAGGTGAATTGCATCGCTTGTTGAATGTCAAACCGTCATTTATTTTCAGTTCGGAAACATCATCCGCTCGCTGCCTCCGGTGTCCTACGTCAAAGCGATCGATCTGTGGATGGTGACGTGCGTCGCCTTCATCTTCGCCTCCCTCCTCGAGCTCGCGTTCGTCGCCTATCAGGACAAGAAGCTCATTCTGAAATCGGGAAAATCGAACGCGGCGATCAGCACTCTCGTCAGTTACATGAAGCACTTCGAGCCGTTCAACGAGGTCTCCTCGCCGCCGCCGCCGGTCCCGCTGGACGAGAAGAAGGCGACGAGTCGGACGGCGTCGACGGTGACGAATCCGTCGAGGACCGAGTTGGACGGATTGGACACCAAGGATCTCGAGGAGGAGATCGCAGAGTATCGGAAGTTGGCGTACGCGAGGAAGAAGTGGAGACTGCTCGACTTTGGTGCCAACGTCGACCGCATATCGTTCATTGTTTTTCCGTTGGCAAGTCATCTATCAAATGAAAATTGATGAGAATAAGGTGCAAAGTACCCAAATTTAACGATTTGTCTCCTTTGTTATCTAACTATCATCGCTCTTATCGTTCGTGTTGTTCTTTGATTGGACGTGCATTTCACGTTTCGGCAAAATGGTTTTCCGGGTCGGAGCTCCGCCCACTTTTCGCGGGGGTTCTCATCACAAACTAGACGTTTTTCGGATAACATATTCTTGTTGTTTTTTCAGAGTTTCGCCGCGTTCAACGTCGTCTATTGGACCTATTATCTTCAAGACGTTCGCATCTCCACGTGGACTTGACGGGTTGCAAATTGCAATACTTTAACTTTGTGAAATGAAGATCACGTCTCAATATGTTTTGTTATTTCAAGTGAAACAACTCTTGATATTATGAATCTGACCTTCGAAATGACCGTACCCGGAAACTCTGACACATTTCGCCCCGTCCTCACCCAATTGTCTTTGTCTTCTGTTTCGTAGTAATCCGCAACTCAAACATTCCCTCCTCCTCACCCCTCTTTTTGTGCTTATCAACTGCTCTACGTGTGCCCCGTGTGTCTTTCATCGCCCCAACCTTCTGCCCCGATAAAGAAGCAGAAGAATCCCCCCACCGCTCCGAATGGCGGCTTCAATGATGCCTTCGAGCACGTACAACAACGTCAAATCGATGCCGGCGCCCATTCCACGTATGTCAGTCGTTTTTGAGAACAAAACAATAATAGAACAGGTCGCAAATTGGCTCGAGTTTTCAGCGCTTTGGACTCTGAGCTCGGTTCGATTCCAGACGGCGTTGCTCATTTCGGCCGCATGTGTCGTGTTCGGCCTGATGCGAACGTGCTTCGGAATGGCGATGGTGGATATTGTGCGAAGGTAGCGTCGGGGACGGTTACGGTAGTCTCTCTCTCTCTCGCAAATCCGCACTAACTTTCAGTAGCAATAGCAGCGCCCAGCACACCGATTTGCACATGGATTGGAGTGGTGAGGAACAAGCCCGAATACACACTTCCTTCTACATTGGCGCCTTTTTCGCCGTTTTTCCGTCGGAATTTCTCGCCAAAAAGTGAGTGCGTCGTCAGCTGAGACGACGAGAGAGTGCGGCGAAGTGAGAGAGCGAAGAGAAGAAAACGGAAAGTGATGGGTTGCTGAAATTGTTGTTCTTCTCTTCCTTTTGTATCTATTGTAACCGGAACTGGCCGGGGGAGGTGATGGAAGTGCGCTCTGATGAACTAATTGAGTAGATCTAGAGGTTGACAATAGTCGTTCCAAATTTGAGAGACATGGCGCCCAGATCAAGCATCCAGAAGACCATTCGATTCCAGAATGGGACCCAAGAACCTGCTCTCTTTTGCGCTCCTCCTCAACATTGTCGGCTCGATTCTGACGCCATTTCTGGCGATTCATCTCAAAACCTACATCCTGATCGCCGCGGTCCGTCTCGTAATGGGCTTTGGATACGGTAGCGTAGGATGTGCTCCACCATCACCTACCGTAATCCTTCAGGTTTCGTGATCCCCGCCGGCAGCGTGCTCATTTCCAAATGGTTTCCCATCTCGGAAAAGAGCACGGCGATGGCGATTTTCACGACGGGAAATCAGATCGGAATCGCGTTCTCCATGTTCTTGACGGCCAAACTCTGCCAGTTGAACGTCTTCGAGGGATGGCCGCTCGTGTTCGTGGCATACGGTAGGCGTCGGATTCGACGACAATTCACACAGAGCTTCTCTCAGGCCTCATCGGAGCACTCTTTCTGATCGTTTGGCACGTGAGGCTGGCGGATAAGCCGAGGGAGTCAAAGTATATCACGGCGACCGAGCTGACCTACATAAAGGGAGGAAAACAGAGAAGGTGTCGGGCGGAGACCGTCGTCAGGCCCACTCCTTATCGAAAAGTTTGTTTCTCGAGAACTTCGAGAACATGATTCGTTACTTTAGATAATCCTAAACGGATGCGTCTGCGCCATTTGCGCCTGCTCATTCGCCCAGAGTTTTGTGCTCGTCGCCCTCGTCACCTACCTTCCAAAATACAATCAGATTGCTCTGAAGATGAATCTGACACATGTAAGTGTCTCATTACCTGTCGGATTACTGTAGTGGATACTTCAGAACGGCATCTGGTCTTCCCTTCCGTTCATCATTCAAATGATCACCAAGCTGCTGTTCGCCGTGATTGCGGACAAAGTGAAACAGGCGAAAGTGAATGTGACCACCGTGACCAAGGCTTCGAATGCGATTGGTAACCTTTTTCTTGACCGTATCTACAGTATCCTCTTGCAGCCAGTTTCGTGAGCGCTCTGTTCATCGTGCTGGCCGCGCTGGCTCCGTTCCAGAGCGCCGAGCTCGTGCAGCTGAGCATCATCCTCTCGATGGCCGCGTTCTCCGCCTACGTGCCCGGCTACAACACCTCGATAGTGACAGTAGCGCCACAAGTGAGTCTACCGTAACCCACCCACCTACCGTACCTCTCTTGTTTTCAGTTCACCGCATTTATTTCGTCGTACGGTCAGCTGTACGCACAGATTGCGTCAACGCTGGCTCCAATTCTTATCGGTCGGATTACGAGTCATGTGAGAGTGCATTAGAAAGACCTCCCCGCCGTCATTTTCTTTCGTCATTTCCAGGACACTGTGCAAGAGTGGAAGTTGGCGTTTTATAGTTTGGCCGGCGTTTTGGCCGTCACCGGACTCGTTTTCCAAGTGTTCGGACACGGTAATCATATGAAATGGAGGAAAATCGTAATGAATAAATAAAACTGCTCAGGAAGAACGGAGGCGTGGGGCGAGACGCCGTCGAACGCGGCTTCTGCCCGAATATCCACGTCGTTGGCGGTTTGCGAGGACGGAATGTGCAAATTGACGCTTTTGGAGAAGCATAATCACGATTTCCGAACAGAATCCAAATTGTCTTCGGATTCAGGAGTGACGAAGAAAAAGGTGAGACTCAAATTCTGTGAAGTGTCGTGGCGGTGTCTTACTCTTGAAATCTCTTCAAGTTTTCAGTAGGCCGTGTCTTCCTACACCGCTACGACAACTTGCACACATCTACCGTAATCGCCCCGCCGCCACCTTTTTCATTTCTTCGCTGATTTTCAGGCGTCTCGGGTTTCGTACGCCGGCGAAGAAATCATAATTCCGGGACGGATAGAGGATCTCGAAAACGATGTCATCTACAGTATTGAGGAGGAGAAAGAGGATGGACATTGATATTTATTATTACGAGCATAAACCAATTTCATTTCAAAACCCGTTTCATACAATAAATCACAAACTATCATCGGATTTCTAGAGGAAAAGAAGGAGAGAAAGTAACCCTGTCGAAATTAGACTATTGATTTGTTTTTTTCATTTTGCGTAAAGCAGATCACAGATTCGGAATCAATCACGATCGCTGGCCATGTAAGTCGACGACGTGTTATTGCGGTTGATGGAGGAGAGAGTGCCGCCTTCGGATGACGTGTCTTGATGTTCGGCTATGGACTGGAAGACGTTGTCGAGTGTGGATTGGGTCAGAGTGAAGTCGTCCACGTCGTACGTTCGTTTGATCTGACATAAAGGAGGGAATCGATTACAGTATCACAGGGAGATTCTCACCTGATTCACAATCTCTAAAACCTGCGCGACACTCGCCGATCCCTGCTCAATGTGCACGAACGCCGTCGAGCAGTGGACCGCCTCGATGCGTGCTCCGTCGCCCAACTTCATTTTGATCACTCCCGCCACCTCGCGCGCGTTCTCGTTCTTGCCCATCTTCATCGTCAGCATCGACCCCTTGCCGAACTTTGACTTCAAGTGCTGCTTCCCGCCGAGACACCTGATTCTTCCTCGGTCCATGATCGCAATCCGAGTGCACAGTGCTTCGCATTCCTCCATCGAGTGCGAAGTGAGAACTACCGCTTTGCCGGACTTGCACAACCGTTCGATCACTTTCCAAAGGAACTGCTGAGATCCGGGATCCATTCCGGCCGAGGGTTCGTCCAGGAAAATGAGCGAGGGCTGGCTGACAAGCGCGACGGCGACGGAGAGTTTCCGTCGGTTTCCGCCCGAAAGACTCGATGTCTGAGTGTTTGCGTAGGGACGGAGGTGGAGAGCGACCAGGAGACGGTCGATGATCTGAAAGGATTTGGAAAGTACAAGAACGTACTAGTCTCATGTACTAACCGAGTCAATCTGAGCTGGGACAATTCCACGTATTCTGGCGTAGAACTTCAAGTTTTCCCTCGTCGACAACTTCATATTCAGCGCGTCGAATTGAGGACAATATCCGAGTTGTTGGAAGTTTCGAACGTCTGACGACGATCCCGAGTTGATTCTGAATTAATTTCCGTTTCTAGAGGCGCTTCATTCCTAGATTGACATACCTAGTATCGCTCATTTCGATCGATCCGTGTCCTGGCCAAATCTTGGCGGTCAACATTGAGAAGGTGGTCGTTTTTCCGGCTCCATTGAGGCCCAGAAGCCCGAAACATTCTCCCGGTTCCACGGCGAAAGAGATGTCTTTGACGGCGAGCAGCTCCGGATTGTAGGCTTTTGCGAGGTTGCGAACAACCAGGGCGAAGCTGTGATCAGTCGGGATGTTCTCCACTCGGTTCCGCTCCTTCGCCACATCCTCATCCTCGTCGTTCGTCTGATCTCGCACCATCATTGCGCTCGTCAGGCCTCGTTCTTTATTTCGGATGAACGAGAACTCGTCCATCTGCGAGAATATCAGGCATCCGGTGGCGAGGATGACGTGCAGGAAGAGACACATCACATGCAGTCCCATCTGATCGAAAGACAGGAGAGCGGGAAGAGGCAGTTGGCTGATCATGTCCGGACGGTTTATTTGTTCTGAAATTGAAATGAATGCATCTCGTGAGGCGAGGAAAGAAGTAATCTGATTACCCAAAAAGTTGGATCCGATCTTTCTGACTTGATAGATCATGAGCCCTCGGTAGATGGCGATTCCTAGGTTGTACTGCGGAAGGATCAAGAATACGATGGCACAGATGTTATGTGCAGGCAGGAGAGTCGCATCCTAAAGAACCATCATCATAGAATCAGACTTCAGATTGTGAGCTTACTTGAACCATCAGTTGCTCCAGCATGATCATAGTCAACGAGCACACAATTCCGACAAAGTAGGAGCCGATGGCGATGAGCACGAAGGAAAGAGCCGGCACGGCAAACCTCTTCTGGAAGACGTACGCGTAGAGAATGGCCGCGCATCCGTGCATGAAGAAGAGCAGCAGGAACGAGCAGAAGGTGGTGACGTTGGCGGTGAAGTCGCTCACTCCGAACGTCACGTAAATGAGCATTACGACAAGGATGACGCACGTGTAGACGGTCTGAAATCGAGAGGAATTCATTCACGTACAATTTGATAGGCTCACCAGGTCGTACAGATAACTGGTCACCCAGTACGTCATCTTCTTTAATCCTCCGACAATCTGAAGATGAAATGCTTCACACACGCGGTCCTCGACGAGATAGACGGTGAATCCGGCAGGGATCATGGAGAGGACGAGCAGGAGGCAGGTGATGCGGAAGAGAGCGAGCGCCTGAGTGAACGATAGGGCGCTCTGATCCAAAGTCTGCGCGATTGTCTTGTTCATCGGATGGTTCAGTGTCAGAATTCCCAAGTTTTCAGGTGCTGAAATATCAATGTGTAAATAACTCAGTTATCTGTAGAGATATCAAAAAGCCGTCAACGGATAAAATGTGCGAAATGTCTTAATGAACAATTCGATAGTTGAAAACTTTTTGATATCTCTGCCGATAACTATGATATGCTGCCAGTTTTCACAGCACTTACCGACTATCGTATCCTCTTGTCTTAACAGCGCATTCGTCAAGATGTTCGAGGCGATCGGAAGCGCCGCCCATATCTTATTGTTGAACCACACTTTCACGTTCTCCTTCACTTCTAGATTCTGGAGCACGTCATCTACCACTCGGGTCATAGTGATGTTCGCCGCGAACGGATCCAGCACTTTCGGAGTGGGCGGATCGAGATCACTGACGTTTAGGGAGATTATTTGGAACGCTTCGGAGACGTCTGAAACTTGTCGTCAATGTATTCAAAGAACCTGATGAACTGTGTACCTTTGACAGCAGCAAGCCATCCGCTCTTCGACAAATCAATGTCCTCCTGCGTCTGCGCCCTCTTGTTCACATGGCCCAGAGAGAATCCTCCGAGGCTGAAATGTGTGGGAATCAGAAGAGTTCTTAAGATGGTCGACTCACAAGAACGGAGCAGTCTGATTCGAAATCTGCGCAGTCCGAGTGATCATCCGGAACTGCGACAGATTCTTTGCGGACAGGTCGAAGATGCGATCGGTCGAGTTCAACTGAAGCCAATTCGTCTCTCTCCATGGCCAGTCTTCCTGAAAAGTCGGAATTCATAGTGACCGTAATGCATTTTACCACTTACCAATGTGCAATTCCATCCAAAGTCTTCGCATCCGCAATAGATCGGTTCGTTGTAGGTGACATTCGAGATATCCTCGTTGTAATCGAAAGTTCCCAGAATGTTTTGGCATTGATACTCATTCTCCCTGTACAAAAGAGTATTGTAGAATCGATATTCCTCATGCTTACACAGTGTTCTTCTGAATTCCCGGTTGACTCATCGCACGTCCCGGTCCATAGCGATTCCTGAACAAGAGTTCTTTACGCAGTGAGACTCTGAACAGATTCCATTTTCCCAAAATCGGGTATTACTGTACTCACAACATGTCCGTCGGCTCGCCCATCGCACACCTCGGCCCGGTCCCTGGCGACTCAAACATGGCCTTCAGAATGTCGGAAGCCATCGATCGATCCGAGGTGTTCCACGAGTTCACGTAAAAGTCGCTGTGATTTCCGAGAATGCTGGTTTCGAGCGGAAGAGCCGGCATTGAACTCATGAGGTCGGGACGGGACGAGACTTCCAGCAGGACGAAGAGTTCGGTGAACGCCAGCAAAAAGAGCGGGATGATGACTTGGAAGAGGAACGTCCGTTTGCTCTTCAGCGTGTAGTTGGTTCGGCAGACGAGAAGCGCCCAGAAGTGTTGGAGGAGGAGGCGCTTTCCGGTGAGAAGATCCGGCTTCTCAAAGTCTTCGAACTTGATCTCCTCGATCTCGTTGTTCTGCGGCATGTTGTTCTCGATCAACGCCGGATTCTGAGCAATCAGATCGTTCTGCTCTTCTTCACTTCTTCTGAAAAGCGTTGAGTCTATAATCTTCCAAAGGTTGAAGACTCACGATCGACAGAACTTCTCCTTGATCCGTCTGAACCATCCACACTTGGTCACCTTCGGCACTTGATACTCTTTCTGCGGAGCCAACGAGACAAAGATCTGAAGTTTCATTTTGAGTAAAATTATTCCGAATTTACTCACATTCTGAAGCGTCGGAGCCGAGATACCGTATTGCCCTAGACGATATTTTTCGAGATTCTCATCGAGTCGCGAGAAGAACTTTTCCAATTTCTCCGATTCGGTGAGGATAGGAATTCTAGAGTACGTTTTTTATTCGGTTGATCGGTTAGCTCGCAACTCACTTGAACACAATCTCCTCCTCGTTTTCGTCTCCGAACTGCAATCCGATTTCGGTGCCCAACTCGACGACCTGGTTTGCCACGTGGAGGTAGTCAATGTTCGGATCCTCCTTCACCATCGCCAGCGTCATGTTATTTCCGAACCGACGCTTCAGAAAGACGGACGAACCGATTGTGATGCATTGGCCTGAAATGGAAGGGTGTGACGTCAACGGGAAGAGCACGAACCTTGAGAAAGGATGGCGATGCGATCAGAGAGGACGTCGGCCTCGTCCATATGGTGAGTGGAGAGCAAGATCGTGCGGCCCTCTTTGTTCCGCTGCAACAGCTTCCAAATGTCCTTCCTTGCCGTCACGTCCACTCCGGCCGTCGGCTCATCCAGAATCACGAACCGCGAGCCGCCGATGAACGCGATGCCGATGCACAGTCGCCGCTTCATTCCGCCCGAAAGTGTGCGTGCCAGTTTGTCCGCTTTTTCAGTCAAAGAGACGCTCGTCAGAATTTCGGCCACTTGAGCGTCCAAATCCTCGTCTCGGACTCCTTTGAGCGCGGCGAACAGACGAAGTTGCTCGGCGACTGTCAGACTGAAAATCGGGAAGAGAAATGAGAAAATTCAGAGAATGAAGAACTGACTGGCTGAAGATGACGTTGTGCTGTGGACAGATTCCGAGCACATCTCTGACTCGTCGAAGGTCGGTCCGAATGTCACGAGAGTAGATCTTGGCGGTTCCAGACGACGGAGCGTAGAGGCCACAGAGAATGGACCTGAAGAAATAGTGAACATTGTAAATCAGCAAGAAGTATTTACATTGTGGTAGTTTTTCCGGCTCCGTTATGTCCTAAAAGTCCTGTGATTTGACCTTCGTAGAGTCGGAGGTTCAGGCAGTCCAACTGAAATGATAAATAACTCAATCAATCATTTTCCACAGAAAGAAAAGCTTACCGCTTTCGTGCCGTTCTCATAAACTTTGCTCATAGAGTTGATGTGCACGGCGAGTTTGAGGTTAGTTGGCTCCGAATCGAACGAGTCACTTGCTGAAATCAAAGAGGATCTACTCGATTTGAAGTCTCTCACTCACTCGGTATGATATCAAAGTGTTCGTCGTCGACAAACTCCACTCGATTCCGGTATAATCCGGGCGCCCAGTACTTGAGAGTAAACGGGAAGTAAAGCGGTTGTCGGACTCCGTATTCTCCGGGCGCGACGGCCGAAATGTACCAGGCGAGGATCAGAAAGACGGCCGTGTCCACCAGCAGCATGACCATGCACAACTCGACCGACACCCCGAGATCCGGATTTTCCATCTCGCCAATGTCCGCCCACGACGCCTTTTCCATTGCGTTGAACGACTCGAGAAGTTTGAAACAGTGTCCCATTGCGGTTGGAGGGAGGAGTAACTGAAAGAGTTTGGTGGGGCGCGTTTGCGTTATCAAGGAACTCACTGAGATTCGAGTGAAGATCGGAGAAGTGATGCGGTCGGTGCGGAGGAGTTGGAAGGGAATGTAGAAGACGAACCAGAGGACGCAAGTGGCTGCGGTGGCGATGTTGGCGTTGGTGAACAGGGTCGAGAAGAAGATTGACATGGCGATGGAAGCGAACAGGAAGAGGATGAGCACGAAGAGCAGGAGGGTGTAGTCGGTGTAATCGAAAATCTTGGCCACTTTCGAGATGATCGAGATGACGAGCACCGAGATGAAGTTGAGCACCAGCGAGATGAGCGCCCATGAGATGAAGTGCACGGCGTCGCCCAGCCCCATCGCCCTCATTTGCTCCTTGATCTTCTGTTCCTTCTCGTACACAATGTTCTTGACGAGAAGGGCGGAAGGGAAGATGAACGAGATGAGCAGAAAGAGCGGCATGAAGATTGCCACGTTGAAGCTGAAGGCGTAATGTGTGGACGACGGTAGCGGACTAGGGTAGCTTACGTGTCTTTGACCGTGCACGGATACGGTTCCTGTTGGGCATAGACTCCGAAATTCGCGTCGGAGATGTTGGTCCGCTCGCTTATGATCGCACGATCGACGGCTTCTTGCAAAAACGAGAAGCCAAAGGTGAGGTACTTCAAGTCGATTAGTGGTTTGTCACGACTGAACGGGTTGCTCTTGCTGTCCATGAAACTAGTGGTGGCTGCAAATTACAACGTTTTGTTTATTCACCACGATATATCTCAGCTGCTTAAAGAAATATCAACAAGTAGTCAACTGATAAAATATTTAGAAACACAATGCGCATCTCTCATCAGTTGGCAACTTTTTGATATATCCATCAGCAGCTGAGATAAATCGTCTTGAATAGACGGTATTCTATTACAGTATCTGCTTAGCAGCACTTACAGTCAATCATATCCGGATAATGTCTGATTTTGTATGTGGTAAAGTTGTCGAAAGTGGATGCGTTTGGATCTATGTGGAATACGATTCCGGTGAAATACTGATGCATTTCCATCAGGCACACGGCATTCTGCAATAATTTGAGGGTGTCCAGGATTGCGTTGGTCCACTCACCGTCTCCAAATCCTTCTCATTCGCCACAAATCGGAACCTGTCCACCAGGAGACACTAAAAAAAATCATTCCTTTTCTACAGTTTCCCCTGTCTACAGTACCCCAGTATACTTGTTCGCAACGTCTGCCACGTCTTTGGTGATTCTTCCGAAACTGTATTTGTCTGAAGACGGACCGAACAAGTGCTCGAGAATGAATCGCACGTTCTTGTTGTTCAACGCATTCTGGCCGTCTTTGTAGATGTCAATCCAGTGGAGAAGTTTCTGAGAGCTGCTGACATACTTCAAATAACTAAAAAGGCATACGGTACCTGAGAAGCTGGCCAGAGGTCCGAAGAATGAAGACGATCTTGGAGAGTCAGCGCTTCGGACGGATAGGAATAGAGGAGGTTCCGAATGTATTCCAGGTCGCGCAGAGGTTGATTCAGCTGGAAAAAGACGGTAAAGGTCCGTGCTTTGAAGTTCTCGAACCCTGTCGATGACTCTTCGGGTCGCCGCATTGTCAGGAGTCACCAGAATGTAGCCGGACAGCGCCGCGCGCACTTTCATCAGAATCGGACTTTCGAGAGACGAACAGTTCATGTCTGAATGGAAAGGAACTGGAGCGCACGTGCTGTTCCGCTCCTGCTCCTTCCCGGGCGTCACTGTTTGGATGAATCTGCAGCAGAAACAGAAAAATGAGAGCACAGTAATTGTACTCACTTGATAATTTTCTTTCTGAGCTTCTCAAACGGCGTCTCGACTGTCTTATCGTTGTTCGGATTGATGGTTTGTTCGATGACCGCTAAAAACAGACTCGTTTCGCACCAGAGCGCACTTGCTCACCTCGAGGATCTTCGCCACAGAACAGAGCGAGCAGGAGCTGGTCGGTGGTATAGTTAGAGTATTTTTGGAAGAAAATAAGAGTGGGCTCGAAGAGAGTCTGAACGGAAGAGAGAAAAGTGGTGACACGCGTTCTGGAGGGCGTGGGCATTGTGGCCGCGCTCATGAAACTCCGAAAGTCCATGAGCTCTCCCGGCGTCAAGATATCGCACAACTCGTCTCGCTCGTCGTCCGTCATCTCTTGCCCTTTCTCAAACGAAAACGCCTTTTCGAACATGCGTTCATCACAAAACAGCGGATTCGAAAAGAGCAGATCGGTGAAAGTGAGCTCGTTGCGAAGCACGCTGTACACCTCCAGAGCGCCCGGTTCGATGGAAACGTTCAAGAGTTTGCGGGCGGTTTCCATCCGGAGTCCCGTGTTGTTCAGTGACTTTGTCAGATTCTCGCGAGTCGCATCGTCGAAAAGATCCGCGAGACGAATCATTTCAGTGGAGTCTTGGGACTTTCCAGCCAGCCAGTGAATGATTTCCGCGCCGCTTTTCGTAATTTCCTCAAACTTTTTCGGGTTCTTTCCAATCCACCGAAGCTGGAGGGACGAGTAGTAGATAGCGTCGACGATTCTGGAGAATTGTATAGGTAATGTAAAATTTGCTTCGATCACAACTCACATCGATTCATTTCTGGTGAGCTCGCCGTCATCGTTGAAGAGGAAGTGCGCCTCGTCTCCGGTGGTCGGCGATCTGTTGCAACGGTTGGAGAATGAGCAGAAAAACGAGTGGACGAAGGGAAGGAGACCGGCGGAGAGCAGGCCTTTCGAGTCGTAGTGACCTGGAAATCAATTAAATGTAATTTATTAGGTGACAAGTTGTTGATATTTTTTTCTGGACATTGAGATATAATTTTGAATGAACGGTATTGGCACCCTTCTTTTGGGACAAGATATGTGGAAAAACGGTTGAAACCCAGTATTGCACCGGTAAAAATCGGTTTTTCTCGAAAATATGCGCGTCAGTTACGGTGTTTGTCTGCAATTCTACGTCACTGTGTCCACTCCCTCAAAAATACCCCTTGTTTCAAATTTCTTCGCTGAAAACACAGCAGAAGATCGCACCCCAGACTACTGTAGAGCATTAACGTGACAAACTTGCACGAGGTACATCAATCTCATCGACTCACACTGTTCCATTCCTTCGGAAAAGTCTTTGAGCCTAACCAGCGCTATAATAATGAATAGAATGCACGGCACGATGAGTTCGACGGCGAGCCAGAACTGAAATGTTTTGTTTTCGCCGGTTCTCCAGACTTCCGGCTCACTTTCTGGCGCCTCCGAACGAGTACACACTTCCATAGCAAAAAGTTGAGTTGGCGCCAAAAGCCAACCATTCCTAGACCCGGTTCTGTGAATTGGCTCGTATCCGATGATGCATCTGAATGTGTGGAGTTGGCTGAAAATGCTGAAACTCTTTCCGGTCACTTTCGAGTGTGAGTGAGACGGTCTCATCGAATGTGTGTGTGGCAACCATCAAAGGAGCAAACAATGAATTGAGGGGAAAAATAGGGAAGGGGCGGTCAAGGCGTTCATGTAAAGTTCAGCGGGTTTCTATAACGACTGGAAAAACGAAAGAGAGAGAGAGAGAGCGAGAGTTAGGAGTGAAAAGGAAACAGAAGAACCAGTTGGGCGCGTGGAAATGAGTACATTATCAGGTTGGGCAAATAAATGACAAAAGAGTGAGTGAGTGAGAGCAGAGCAGGAGAGCAAAGAAAACGGGAAAGAAGGAGCAAGAGGGAGAGTGACGTGAGTTGGAACGGAGCAGAACTTTCGAAACGGGAGGGGCTCTGGACTTTTGGGTCAACTTCTCCTCGGCCTGACTAGCTCCCCCTCGAAAGGAAGTGCACTTACATCTGTATCTGTCGAGTTGGTAAACACACTCCACCCGTTCTTTTGAACTCGTTTTACAAGACTCCCTGATAAAAAAACTCCCTGATAAAAAAAAGCCCGGGAAATTTTCGATTAGTCAGAAAGAGACCCTAGGCCAGCGAATTTGAATGTTTCTGAAAAAGGTTTGTGAAGACCAGTGTGCCACGTGTCCGAACAGAGTTTTCGAATTTTGCGGAAGCTTTTATCCGACAGTTGCCCTAGAATTTAGTGGAAGCGCAACTACAGCTTCAACGATTGAGCAGCTTGGAAGACATCCCGTTCATTCAAAGCGCTGTATCTCAGCTGCCGGTGGATTTATCAAAAAGTTGTCAACTGATCAAATGTATAAAATGTCTTGAGGAGTAATTCATCAGTTGACAACTTTTTGATATCTCCACCGGCAGCTGAGATACATAAGTTTGAATTAGAGGCATTGTGAGTGCCCTTCTATTGCAGCTATTACTTGGCAAAACGCGGAAATAGACTAGTTTTATGTGGGAGACCAACAAATCGTCTCGTACTGCGATCACATACATTTACCCCTCATTTTCTCTAAATTTTCTTTGCACGAGACTCTATCCTTGTTTATCAAATACTTTCTGAAAATTCGATATTCGACAGGTGCAATTACAAAGTTTTCTTGTTTTCGAAAAAATCCAGATAATTGAACAGGTGATTTCTGGGACTGAGTCATTTTAAGAATTTCCAGGCCAACGGTCAGGAAACCACGCGAAAGCTAATCAGAATTTGAATTTCGCGGGCCACGTCACTTTGTGACCTGGAATTTAAACCGCTCCACGGTCTCCAGAGCTGACAATGGGCGCAAGTGCGCGCCGCCCAATAGAGCGATACATTGGCGCGAAATTTGTGTTTTTTGCCAGATTAGCCACGAAAAACCGATAATTTCTCATTTGTCTCTCGATAGACCGATTGTATAGACTATTACGAATTTTTTAAGCGCAAGAGCGTTAAATTTGGTCAAGTCGCAAATCACATTTATCCGTTTGAAGGTTTTTGGCTAAAAATGCGTAAATTTCAGTTGCTTTTCGGTAGTTTTCGCGGTTCGAGCGCTCAAAATGCTTGTATTTCCGTGATTAATCATTCTCAAAACCAATTCTGTCTGAAAACGGTCAAGAAAGCGCAAAATGAGAAGTGCGGTTTTTACGCGGCGAAGGCGAGAAAGCAAAGTCCGCAAAAAATGCGCCAAAATGTCATTAATTCTGAGAATTAGTGTGTTTTCATGTCGAACAATCATTTTTCATCACCTTTGACCACAAAAATCAGAGAAAACCTTCTCAATTCATAAAAACGCCATTTGGCCGCCGAGGCCACGCCCATATTGTCAGCTCTGGAGACCGTGCGTTCCAAACACTGACAAGACCCAAAATACCCAAAAAGACACTTCCTGGCAAGTGAGAAATATAAATGTATGTGTGTTTGACATGAAAAATGGGGCGAAAAGTGTTTGCACAGGAATGAGCGAGCGACTGGCCAGATGGATGGATTCCGGCCGGACAAAAAGAATCATTGAGCTAATTTGCATTTCAAAAAAACGCATTGAAAAACGTGTGGGCGCGCTGATGATTATTGATCTCGCATTCCAATTGTGATATCAAGAGAGGAGCATCAGAACACGCGAGAGACAGAGAGAAGGCCCGCGATGGGGTGGAAATACGGAAATAATAAACTTTTTCGTTTTTCCGCGTATTTACTCTTGTGCTCTTGTTGCTCCGGAGCCTCCGCGCGCTCAAAAAAACAGAGGAAGGAGGGGGTGGGGGACTCATCATTTTTGGTAGTTTGTTTGTACAAAATACAAACTGTGTGTGTGTGTGTGTGATAAGAAGATGAGAAATGAAAACAGAGAGCGGAAGTGTGTCTAGACGCATCTTAAAATTCCAAAAAAACCGAGAATTTTCGTGAAAATTAGGCCAAAAAGTAGCGGAAAGTCGACCTTCTGGCAATGTCGCTCTACCGCAATCTCACGGGAAAACCCGGCCGCTCTGCAGTAGAGCGCGATTGCCGTATTTCAATGAGTTTCTGTACTTTAAAGGAGCACTGCAATTCTCGTGAATTTGTACTTTTGCAAACGCTGACTCGGTGCTGTCCACTCGTATTTGTGTCCGCTTTTCACGTCAAACGTGTCATGCGTGAGACTCGTGCTCATTAGTGTGACGTCTAGATTTTCCGAACTTTTGCAGAAGTGTTAGGCCAAGAGCGTTTTGGTGCATCTTTGGAGCTTTGAAGGGCACTGAGAAGTAAAGTAATGAAACAGAAAAGACCTTCAAAAACGAATATTGCATGTCAGAAAAGGGAACCATCATGAATATTTAGAGAATTGTGTGCGCATCGGATAAAGGCAATGACTAAAATGACGACGGCGGGGGACTGAAGAGGATGGACGAAAAAGAAGGAGAAAAGGGGTGCCCTCACGACGCAGACGTAAAAACGAAAAGATGGCGACGACGACGAGGAGAAGAAGAAGAAGAAGAAGTAGAAGAAGGCGTCGAGGACGAAGTCTTTTCGTTTGTGCCGAGCCGATTGTTGCCGTGGAAACTTTGGGAAACCAACAATTAGAGCGCGCGAAATCAGAGAGAACAACTGGGAGCCGATGCGCGCGGAAATGGGCGAAATGTGATACTTTGAGTGGCGAGGGGGGGGCACGGAAGGACATGTGTTCGGGGGGAGGATGACGTGCTGAAGAAGATTGAGAGCAAGGAGGTACTCCATTAGGATAGCACTTCAGCAGATTTCCGCAAAATCATTATTCTGGTCTAAAAGTCCAGTAGGTTTCTAAAAGCCTAAAGTTTGACAGTGTTTGGCTTGAGCGTACAAGTCCGAGAAGTCTAAGCTTTGTGCAATCTTCCGGTAGAAGATTCTGACTGTGTTGAGACTACAGGCTTGTTCGTTCCCATGTGACACGTGGCACTCATTAAACTGAATTCACTTTGACTACCGCATCCAGCCACACAATGTGTCCTTCGTTGTGCGTCTCACGGTATGCACAACAGTGTTGAGCGGAAGTGGAATTTTGGAATTCAACACTGATGCACAACCTACCGTATCCTCACACGGTATGTCATGCCCCCTTTTCTGTCCACTGCAGAGCTGTCCATTCCCTCATTCTGCCCTTTTTATTCTCTCCAATGTCCGTCCAATAAGATATTCTGAATTTGCCCTACCTGCCGCTGTGATTTCACAAATGAACGCGTTTCAAAAGTAAGCTTTTGTATTGATATTTTCTGCAAATCAATCTTAATTTCAGAGTGGAGTTGTCATTGACTTCCAGTACGTGCTGGACAAATGCAAAGCAACCGTTCAGCTGCGCATCTTTCTCAAGCCATCATAACATTTCCTCTCCTTTAATTGTTCACAAGTCCACTTACACAATTCCATATTTGACAATAATGATATGCGGACCATTCTGAGATACTGTCTCGATGATGCCAACAATCAATTCGATTCAATGTATATTCATATCAATGAGCCAATCGACATTCAAGGGATAACCAACGGATTTAACGTTTTGAAAATGAAGACTGATCTTTGCCGAAGATTCATAGGGTGAATGATCTTTGAAATAAAGCTTAAAACTTTTATTTTCGAAGACGCAGAGGTAACACAAGAATTGAAGGCGGATTCTATATTTTGGACGACGAAAGGAGGACAAGAGTCGGCCCAACTGATTCTATTCATTATTTTCAAACTCAATAAAGACGTATTTAATTCAGTGCTATCTAAATTTGCAAACACTTTCGCGGTCGCGGCCGGCATTTCACGTGGTATTACGGTAGAGCTTTTCCAACGAAACCCACCGATTCTTGCCTCTTTCGAAACCTTTTTTCTCTTGTTTCAACCACGCACGTGTGTTCATTCAGAACTCCCGCCATAAAAATTTGAATTTATTTTCGAAGGGCGCTACGCACCGATTCAAAATTTTTGTTTGCCGCCTTTACGCCGGCGTGCGCCCATTGGCTGCGTGTCGCCCCTGTGCAAACACCGTTCTAGATATTTTGCGTACTTGGCACCAGATACTACGCAAATTTTAGGCCAGCTGTTTATTTATTCAAATTAGAGAGTGCGAGATTGAAGAGACGCCGACGATGTTCGGTAGGGCGCGCTTGCATGCGCGTAACAGTTCGAACGCTCGTGCCACGGAGAGCACGTAAAAACTGGCGGTGAGAGAGGGAACAAACATGCTCGTTGCAAATGATTTCTTTAATGTCACTCATCAATCTTTTTTGCGTCGCCCCGCCGCCCTTCGCGTACGCGAGTGAGTTGTAACAAGAGCTTGATCGCTCATGAACATTTGTTCTGCTCTTCCTCCTGGAGATCTCTTCCTCCTCGATTCTTCCGTTTGTCCGTCAATTCGCACATCTGTGTCGACATGTGCACAGGGCTCAATGAGCATCGGACTAGCGGATTCTGAAGTTTTTGACTTACTCGATCGGCCGGCGATCGTGTGGCCGAGTTCCAGTGAATGTCTTTTCTCGGCCGTGTACTTCTCGTGGACAAACTAATTTTTCTTAGCATTTTCAGCGTTTTTCTTGAATTTTGGACAACTGTCACTAATTTTTCGTTAAATTTTGAATTTCCATACTTATTGTCTTCTTCTTCTTTTGCTTTAACTATTTTTCCAACTTCAACACACTTTTTTTGAGTAATTTCAAAAAGCAGACCTTCAAAAGGCTTTTCCCCCGTCAGCACTGTTCTATTGATTGTCGTGTTCACCAGCAACACCACGCGTTGCGTCACCGTTCACCATGTGAACCGTCCTGTCGTCCACCGGTCACTCAGTGCCCGGCCGTCCGTAGGTAACCCTTCAGAGACTCTCAGTCTGCGTCTCCTCGCCCCGCACACTCTCTCTCGCCACACGAAGGTCATCGGCTCCTCCTCCGCCCGCCCCATCTTGTATTACCTACCCGCTCGGGCGATTCATTCGTTTTTTTGCGGTTCTGCGTCTACTTTCTTCTCTGCGTCTCTCGCCTGTACACACTCTTTCCGTTATCATTTTGTGTGTTTATCAAATTCATCTGGAGACCTCTCTTATCGAAAAAGGTAGAAACCAAACCAAAGACTTCCTTCTTTGTTTCTTTCCATCCATTTTCCGCCCGTCCGCAAATCATGTTCCGGTGCAATTGACGGTTTCAAGGTTTATGGCCATTCCCTCTCCTCCTTTCTTTTCACTCTTCCGACAAAATGACAGATGTTCAAATTTTACACTTGTCTTCTTCTTCTTCTTCTTCTTCTTCTTCTTTTCCCTCTTTTTCTCCCCCCGTCCACTTCGTATTACGTTGGAAAAGAGGAATCTGTGGGCCCCGAATAACACCTGTGACCCCGCCACACACACACAATGATGTCGCTTTTTTCGTACCCTTCCAACGCCCAAGCGCACGATTTATCGCTTTTCTGATGGAGAAGCGAAGTGACGAAGCCACATGTACACACAAACGGGTTACTGTAATTTTGGAGGCGCCTTTGTGCAGTTTTTAACTTTTCTGAATTATCCAATTTGGAGGATAAAACAATATTCTATGCTGAATCGAAACGTGACGTCAAAAGTTGCAAAACAGTGTCACCTGATTTTACATGCAAAAGTTATTTTGCAATCAGCTGGTTTTTGTACTGCAGGACTTTAAAGTGACACTATTTTGCAACTTTTGACAACAAATTTCGATTCAGCATGTTCTAATGTTTTACCCTGTATCTCTATTTCTCGTTAAAGTATCTAAGACAGTTCCCGTAGATTGATAAAAACTGTCAAAACCACTCAACTTTGCCGCTGCGTTTTTCTAGCTCCTTCCCCCCGTAAAACTGCGTTTCCGTGCATCATTTCCGAGCATCTCCATCCGATTTCTTCCCACGTTTGCACCGTAATTCGACACCGTCTCTGTTGTGTTCTGCTCACCGGCGGGCCGGTTCGTCGTCTGTCCGGCTAGACCGTAATCAATCAGAGGTGATGACGAACGGAACGGCAAAAAAGAGGAGAGAAAGGCGACGAATGAATGTTAGTTGATCGTCGTCCATTCGTCCCTTCTCTTCACACACATTCTCACGTCGCTGCGTCTCTCGCACTTTAGAGCTCTCTCGCACTTTTGCTGACTCTTTCGAGAACAGATTGCACGTGTTGATTGAATCGAATCAGGGCGCCCTCCGATGCTTCACTCCGGCAGCAACAGAAGGTCCTCCACAACTCGATTATGGCCTTTTGTTGTTGCGTGTCCTTTTGCTCCGAGTGGGCTTGTTCTGGTTAGCTGTCGAACGTTTGAAACTTTCTCCGCAGAGCGTAGTAACAACATTCGTGTAAAACAATTGCCATTAGATAACTGAAAACCTACTTTTGTCTGGTTCCCATCAAGAAGATCGTCATCTCGCCTCCTTCCGAGAAAGAAGAAATAGAAAAAGGGAGAAGTAGGAGAAGAAGAAGAAGAAGAAGACAAAACTCGTTCTTGTTTGTATTTCCTCTTTATTCACTCCATCTCCATCTCATCCGTCCTTCCGTCCCCCGCTTTACTCGACTCTAACTCTTTATATACATTTTCAAATTTTTTCTTCCAGAATATGCAAAAATGGTGGTGATGTCGGAACGCGAGCAACTGGCGTGCCTCGTCCAGCAATGGAACGAGAATCGTCTCGATCTGTTCCATTTGACGTATCCGACGGAAGACCTCGAGGTGGAGGGCGTCATGCGATTCTATTTTCAGGTGAGACCCCACTCTGAAATTTATAATATTTGTGAAGATGGACGAATGTTTATCTCCAACTTGTGTGGGAAAGCAGGGAACAAACACACCACAAGTATTATAAACTGATCGGCAAACAGTGAAACGGACCGTCGGCCGACTGTGTTAAGCCCCCCACGAGATGCCCCAGAAAGGAGCGAAACGAATAATAGTAGGGAAAAACACTGAAAAAGCGGTTTTTTTTACAGGACGGAGGCGAAAAAGTGCTGACAAAATGCGTGCGAGTCTCCTCGACGGCGACGACGCGAGCCGTCGTGGATGCGCTCCAGGAAAAGTTTCTTCCCGACCTGAAAATGCTCTCAAACGACACGTACTCGCTGTGGGAGGTGCACGAGAACGGCGACGAACGGCGGCTCGACGAGGAGGAGAAGCCGTTGGTCGTGCAATTGCAGTGGCACAAGGACGACCGCGAGGGACGGTTCCTGCTCAAAAAGGAGAGAGCCGCGCCCGTTCCCTTGGTGGTACGCTTTTACTTTTTGTCATTCTTGCAGAATCTCAGCTCGGAAATTCAAAAACATCTTGTAATGATTCAGAACAGTCAAAAAATTAGTATGCTTTTGACGTGAAACAGCTCTAATAAATGAAATAAACCATTTTCTGAAGATGATTTCCTCCATTTTAGTCAAAATTGAAAAAAATAGTTTTGATTTTCATAGTTTGTGCGTGGGTTTTTAGTACAATTATGTACAGTAACACGATTTTGATAATAGACGTTTGAATTCGCTGAAAAGTTTAATATCTTCAGAATCTACAAGAAGCCGATCAGAAGAATGCGCGATTCGCGAAAAAGAAAGAAAAAGAGCCGAGAAAAAAGCATCAGAAAGAGTTTGGTAAGCAATTTGTTTTCTCTATTCTTATTAATCGAAACCGAAATCCGTTCAGTGCACGTGAACGGCGGTCGGGAAGAGGCTCAAACGTCGGATGACATCTACAAACAAGTGCCGTTCAACACATTCACCCGCACAATTTCGAATCCAGAAGCGGTTATGCGGAAGCGGAGGGAGAAGAAGTTGGAGACGAAACTCAAAGAAATGACGTTCGGTTTGTGCTCAAATGTCTTCGTCATTTAAACACCGATTTTTGTATAGGTGGAAGTCTGAAAGTGTACGGCGGCGAGGTTGTGCCCACCCGGCCATACGTCTCGATTTTGGCGGAAATCCACGAGAGCGCCGAACGGATTCTGGCGGCCGCGCTGGAGAAATACGGTCTGGAACACGCGATGGACGAGTACATTCTTGTCGAGGTTAGTCGTAATTTGAAGAATGCGAAAACAGATCTCGCGCGACCATTTCGAAAAAATTTGTCTCTGTCTGCCTCCCGCTTGCTTCTGTCACATCCCGCCTGATGCTATCACTTTCCATTTTAAATGTCTGACGTCGTCTGCGTCTCGTCACTCTCTCGTCACCACAAAAAGAAAAGAGAAAAAGAGAAGGGAATTTGAAAACCCGGGGGCAGAATCAGTAGTCACTTGACGACGACGACGACGACGACGATTTCAACGTCTTCTCCACACGTCTTCTGATATTCTGGAACTGTAGTAGTCTGCTCTCTCTCTCCCTCTCTCTCTCTTTGACGATGCAATTGTTCTAACTGCTCCGCCCGTCCCCACAATGTCCATCTACCGGCAAGATTCGTGCTGCTCCATCGACACGATCGATGAGCTCTGTGAGCTGCAATACGAGACGGAGCAGCAGCGGCAGCTCCAGAAGGCCGCCCAAGCTGCGGAGCTTCAGCGGAAGCGGAACTCCTCCACGTTCGGAAAGCGGCTCACTCGGCTGCTCTCGTTCGAACGGAAACTCGAGCAGAATACGCCGAAGCTGCAGAAGAAAATGGAAGAGGAACGACCGAAAGCTGCAAATATTCTGATGAATTCACTGCGGCGCTTCACCAGCAGCCGGTCTTCAGAGGTTCGCACGAAGTAGACCTAATTTGAAAGTCGTCCTAATTACCGATTTCCGTGCGAATATCATCAACTGGTCACACTCGACAAAATATCTCTCAACATTTTTCATTTTCATCTCCTTCTTCTCTTCAAGTTGGGAAAGGTTTTGACACAGTGCGCAAAAGGGGGGAGACGGTGCCGATTTGTCACTTTTCGGGTTGCAAAACCCGTTTGAAACGGGCCGCCGAATGAGTCAGACGCGTCGTAGAAATGACCAATTAGAACGGAAACGTTCTTTGAAAAATGAAATTGCAATCAATCGGAATGCGTCAGTTTTGCAGGTCTTCAATGACGATCATCGCAAAAGCATGTCGGACCTGCGAGACGTGGACGGACGGCCGATCGCACCGTCCGAATGCCCGCTCGCCGAAATGGCCGCCCGTGGTGGAAGCGACGGAGGATTCGACTCGTTTTTGGCAATCAAAAGGAAACCCAGTGATTATCAGTAAGTTATAATGTGTTTTGACGGACACTTCCTGGGCTAGATGATCAAATTTCACTGGGATCATCTAAAATGCCAAACATCACACAAAGATGCCGTGTTTATGTATATTTATAAACAAATGTTGCATAGAAGACACTAACATTTTAATAAAAAGCGGCGAGTACTTGAACCGTAACGTTTGAATGATGGCTTTCAGAGTGCCCTCCACTTCAATAATTCCCGCGTCGGTCACTTTGCCAATGGTGCCGTTGACGTCTTCGCCGCCCGCAAATTCCCACTTCCCACTGCTCACTGTTATTAATAATGGTAAAGATTTTGAGCGAGGCTTGTCACAAAAAGAGCTGTAATGGTATACGTAGCTTTAGCTCCGCTTTCTTGTAACATTGTATCAAGAAAAAGGGTTCCAGACGGTCACCTCTCCACACATCGAATAACCCTTCATGACGGAGTGACAGAGGTCGGAAGCGACGCTCAAATGTCAAATTTCTCGCAGCACAATATATATGTGAGTTTTCAAGCCGCCCCATATTTGTTCTCAATGATTGTTTTCAGTTGGACGGTCCGGAAATCCGCGGGCGACACGCTGCGATCGCGTTCATGGAAGGAGTGGTCACACTGACGCCGTCGACTCGCGACGCTTACCTCGAGGTGAGAATTAGTAGCAGATTTAATTATACCTGTAATAGTCATTAGCTTCACATTTCTCTCACTTTCTAAGTGAATCCGTTCCATCGACGTAGACGAATTATTTTGAGAAGGAAGCCGAAAGACGGAAAATGATCTCAGTGTGAAGATTGTTTCGGTTCTATTACGGTATTAATATTATTATTTCCTTCTTATATATATATATTGTATGCAATGTATGCAACCACTCATCGTGACACGATTGGACACACTCCGCCCCTCGTGTTTGTGTGTTTCCATCCAAATTTTTCCCGGCGAAAGCCTCCTTTACCCTCAGTCGTTTTTCGGCCAATCACTTGTCCATTCTGTGGTTTTTGAAGAGCCGCCAGGCACCACGACTGGATTTTGGCGGCTTTTTACACACGAGCACACAAGTACGTGTGGGAGAATTTCGTTCTTCGTAAAAAAAAATACTTAGGATGAAACAATAGGCTAAGCTGAATCGAAACGCGTCGTCAAAAGTTGAAAAGTAGAATAGAATCTTAGCAATTACACTTCTCCTTGGTAACTACCCTTTTTCTGCCGTCGGCTCTTCACCTCTAAACCGCCCTTCACGTCTCTTTTCCGCTTCGCCACTTTCCGCCCTCTTGTCCGCCTCCTTCCGTCCTTTATATTTGCTCATCATTCAGACGTTTTCCTTGCACTTTTACCGACCTTTTCCTGGTTTTCGGTGAGCTTGTCTCGAGTGCGACGAGGATTAGTTTCTCATCAGATTGGTTGCGCACCGAGCGGTATTGCATATTACCCGGATTGCGTAACGCTCGGAAACCGAAGGACACGTTGCATTGGCACTGTCCGCTTACCTCCCTCTCCCGTCCTTCCGCGACATGGCCGTTTTCCATCAAATAGTACTTGTGTCTCGTTCTGACCACTCGAGAATACTCCTCCTCCTCCATCTGATGGTATTTGTCGCATTTTCGCGACGCGTCATCCATCCGCGTGTCATTCCGCGCTCTTTGCGCCCATCATCACCATCATCCATGCTCTTTGCCCTTTTCGGTCTTTCCTCGAACAACAAACGGATGACGTTTTCACCACTTTCCGCGCGGAAAGGGCGAGACTGACCGCGCGATCAATTTCACATTGCGGATTGCAATGAACTGACTATATCCATCTCGTTTCGCGGTTTGGCTTTTCGATTCGACAATTTACCGCCAGCTAGAATTTTTTTAAATTCTTAAAGCTTTTGAGAAGCCTCAACCTAGTGACTACTGATCCCTAAACAAAAAATGCCAGTTCCGCCAGAAAAAACCGCTTCTTCGTGATTTTCCCTTTTTTATCCCCATTTCCATCAGCTGTTCATCCAACCGGAGACGTCTTCTTTTTCGAGTTGACGACGACGATGATGATGGTGACGAATCAAATCTTGCAACAATTTTCCTCATTCCCTCTCCCCCAATAAGCTGCAATCATCCCCCTGATAATCCGTCCTTTCCTTCTTCCTCTTCTTCTTCTTCTTCGTCACTTCTCTGTCAGATCAGAAAGAAATGGAAAGTTTGGCATTGTGCCAAAACATGCAAATTCCACGTTTTGTTATGGTGGTTTTTCGCGGAAACGACCTCGCGAATTGTGTGGACTGTTTGCGCACCACGGCGGGGCCTGCAGCATAGCCGTTTTTTCGCTCTCGCCGAGAAAAAGATGGAATGTTGTGAACAAGATTGGTCGTGGAGCGGACACCAGCCCTCCTCCGGCGGTTCGGCGCCTTTTTCGGATTGAGTAGTCAGCGGTTTTCTCTCTCTTTTTCTCTTTCTCTCTTTCTGTCCTGTACAGCTGCATTATTGTCTCTCTGGATCTTTGTTTGGTGACTCGAATGCTTGACGGTCTGACCGAATGACCATGAACAGCATTATGGCGCCTCCGTTCTGTTGGTTTTTTGCATTATACGACTCTTTTCGCCTTCTCGCTTCATCGCGGCGAACCGTTCACACTTTACCGAGAATCCCCTTGTTCCACTCGGATTATTAGGGGGGAGCATTTTTGAGTTTTGCACCCAAAACCGACGGGACTACCACCAAAAAGGGAGTGTCTTTTACGATTTCCGGAAGACCCGCCCGTCATTATCACCCGACGTTGTCTTCGTCATTATCGCTCTTTTATGGGTTCGCAACCCGATCAGAAGCGTCCTTTATGACTTTTGTGTTGTGGACACTCTGGAGGATCGTACTAAAGTTTTGGAATCAACACGTTCCCACCGTCCCAAGCACTTCATTTCCAGAACATGTTTGCCAATTAATTGGCAATCTCTTTCTTTCTCTCTCTCTCTCTCTCCTCGTTTTCTTTGTGGTTGGCCGCAAAGAAACGGCGCGGCAAGAGACTTTGCTTGGTTTCTGCTGCTAGCGGTGGTGGTGGCGGTCAGCTGTATAATATCGGAATCCCCGATCAATTTCCTCCTTCTCCTTCCAATCGAGACCGCTATTGCGCCCGTTTTCTCCGTCTCTTCTCTCACTTTCTCACATCGTTGATGAAGCATCCAATCGGGGAATTTTCGGAAATTTTCGGTTAGAGAAGATTTTCGAAATTCCTGGGATTTCGCTTCAACCTGTCACATCCTATTAGCCTCATGATCATTGTGTTTTCAGGTGAACGGTCAGCAGCTGATGCAGACACAAATTCTGCGCGACGGCGACACGGTCCGCATCGGAGCGGATCATCTGTTCAAATTCAGTGCTCCTCCTCCGCCGCACAACAATAATCATTATTCGACGGCTGCGGCGAACGGACAACGCCACTTCCAGCAGCAGACTTATCCCGAAATGGTGAGCATTTGTATGATTCCACATGAAAACTCGGTCACGTTACTAATTTTTTGTAGGTCATGTGTACTTTCAAAGTTGATAGCCTAAAACACATAAACAAAATCAATGTACAATCCTCGAAAATACCATATTTGACCAAAAATGACTCATCCCTCTCCTCCTCCGGCCCTCCCTCCGCGCACATTCCTAGCCTCATTCACGCCTGTCTCCTCGTTTTTCCTTCTAAAAAAAATCCAAAAAGCCCTCCGAACTTGCAGGTCGATTCGCGTGCTTCAACGGCCAGGTGCGCCCCCTCGGACTACTGTAGCTTGCCACTGAACGGAGCGCAATCGGACTACTACCCGCCCAGGTGTGTCTTTTTTTGTACAAAAAGTGAACGAAATTGTTTTTGGAGCCATCTTTTCTTTCACTAGTTACTACTACTACTATCTCTGCGCACTCTCTTTTTCCTCATTCATCTCTGTCTGCTTTACACAACAATACGAAGAGGACACATATCAAATATGCAAAACGACGAAGGGACAAACAGTAATATGCAAAATGAAGCCGTCGCCGTCCGTCTCACTTTTGTAGCTGATTGGGAAATTGTACTGCTTTGCTCTGCTTGAAGCGAGAGAGTTTTGAGGTATAAATTCTGGATGAAAAGTGAGAAAAGACACGGAAATTATTGGTTACCTTCTCTTTTTTGGTCTTTTGTCATGTTCTCGTTCTCCTCCTCCTACTTTCACTTTTCTATTCAGCTTCTCCTACTTGTACGTCTTCATATGAAAAAAAGAACTAGAGGGTCTCTCCCCGGATTCAATAATGCTCTTTTGCCCATTTCCCGACCACCCTCTAGGCTTCTGGCCTCTCAAAAATACACAGATATCTATTCTTTGTGCGCCCTCCGACTTTTCACTACTCCATCATCATCATCATCATCCACATCGTCATGAATGCGTGTCATCGAGAAAGGGCAGTTGTGGTGAAACAACAATAACTTTTCTCCCATTATTATTATTATTATTATACATGTGTACATGCTTTTCATGACTCCATCCACAAAACAACAACCTCCAGACGAATGGGTGGCGAAGGTGTGTGTGTGTATAGTTATAGAGTTTCACTTGCCACCCGTGGGTATATTTCTGTTATTTGTTGACTTTTTCCTCTTACTTACGACTCCCTTTTTCGTAGAAATTACCGAGTTCTCCAGAAAGACTTGCTTTCAGCGAAATTGAGTTTTAGTGCGATTTTCTTGAAAGATTTTGACAAAACAATTTGTAAGTCTCGAGATGATTCACTTACAATAAGGAAATACTTTTAGAAAGCCTGGATATCCATTGATTTAAAATTACACTCTTTTTTTTCCGAATTTTCCCAGCTCTTCCTAAAAAGCGCATCCCTTTTCCCGAATCGTTCAATTTAACGAGCAATACCCATTACAAAAGCCTCTTATTGCATGCTAACTATCTCTTTCTCACATATTTACCAAAAAAGGGCACCATCTAGGGTCATTGAATCGAACGACGCTCTTCGATTCACTATCCCTTTCACATGGACTCTTTCTCTCTCTCTCTTTTTCTCTTTCCCGCCTGTACCTGTTATTATTTCGTCCCCCCGGCTCTTCCTCTCTTTGCGTAACGTCCGATTTTCGAACGTTTTATGTCCGGAATTTATGGCTCCGCCGTGTCCGCCGTGTCCGTCCCGTTCGCCGCGCCTCTCCTCCAGCGGGACACACATGCAAGTGTGATAACACTTTCAATATTGTTACCCGGCCGACCTCCCATTTTCCTCCTCGAAAATGGCTAAAAATAACGGGAACAGCTGCAATTTCGGTAATTACTAATCACTTTCCGCGGCGGTGTCGGCCCACAGATTTTGTTTTGCTGGGCGAGCGTTCGAATCTGAAGTTCCTTCGATTTTCAATAAAACTTTTCGCCGGTTTCCAACTAATCCTCTCCGCGCACGCCCGTCCTTACATACTTGACTGAAGGTGGTTTCTCCGATAAAAAAGTCGCATTTTTGAATAATCGATTCGCGAGAATTGCAGAGTGTCATTCACTGATACGGTTTCTGCGTGCGTGTGTGTGTGTGTGATAAGAGAGGAGAAAAAGAGAGCGAAGAAATGCAAATAACTCAGTGACTCACGCACACCTCCACTGCCAAACTGTGTGGTATTTCTTCATGCACAGATCACACTCACGCATTTTGCTGCGTCCGATCCGCTCTCTGCTTTATTTGCTTTTTCGGTGTATAGGGAAACGAAAAGGTTTTTGTTGGTTTTCTGCGCGAACGAGATGATGCGGGGATGGGTTTCTAAAGATGCCACAAAACATGACTCGTTGAAATTTGAAATCTGTTGAATACTTTTTCCCAGATTGACCAGCTGTCTCCAACATTCTTAATTCATTCACGCCTTGTTCTCGCGCACTTTCTCTCCGTTCCGTTCCTATTTCCACTCTTCCAACCAGCACCATCGCCAGATGCGTCGTTTCAACTCGGAATCTCGGCTCCAAACCGAGACCACGTTCGGCGTCTCCTCCCCCTCATCAGCTGCTGCTCCGTCGTCTCCGTTCCGTCCGACTCCCTCAGCACGATACTTTTACCATCGGAGATCAGCCTCCACCGATCAGGAGCCTTCAATGCCTTCTTATTCTGGAGGAGTTCCGGTCCCTCGCCCCAGAAGGGTCACATTCTCGCAACCGGTAGATTCGAAGCCGCCCGTTCCGATCCCAGTTCACAGAGTGGGCAAGGGTGGAAGCATTATCAGTGCGGCACACTTGAGAAATCTGTAAGAACGATGGCTCCAAACATAATTTTTTTTTCAAAAAATATTTCTCCGCGCTTTTCAGTTTTGAAATATTTTTTCTTGCAGTATATCTGGATCGTCCGTGTCCTCATCTCGACAAGAAGATCTCATGATGCAATCGAATAACAGTAAGAATTTTAGATTTAGTTTCCCCGCCTCAATCCTCATTTTCAGACATCCTCCCACCATTCTCACATCCGGCCACAAAAGCTGCCCAAGAACCGTTCCAAATTCCACTTTCCATCCAAATCGGCGACTACAACGTGTGGGATTTTCTCGGCGAAGTGATGTCGAACCGAGCGGCGACGACGTCCGAACTCTCGAGCTTCCGACTGTCTCCCGCCTACTCACTCTACCTGGCTCTCCGGTTTTTCCATTCGCACAACAAACCCTACTCGGTGCAGTTCTTCACGCGCATCGAGTCGAACTTCAAGCAGATTGCGCAGGAATCCTCCTCGAAAGACGATCTGATCTTCTGGCTCGCAAACGCGTCCGAATTCAACCACCTCGTCGAGCGTGACAATGAATTGAAGGCGTCCAGATACGGAAAAGTGTCGATCGAAATCGAGCGGATATTCCGACGACTTGTTGCCGTTCTCCAGAGCGTCATCCGTCCGGCCGCGCGAGCACTTCTTGATATTCATCTGAACGATCACGACGCGACGGGAGAAGTTATTCATTTGCTGGACACGACGATGCGGCAAGCGAGAGTGTGCGGTCTGAACGCCGCGTTGACCATCCAACTGTGCGGACATCTTCTGCACATGATCAACGCGTTCGTCTTCAATAGTCTCGTCGCTGTGAATCTGCCGGCGGCTCCGCTGAGCACACGTCTCGGAAAGTGTCTCCAGTACCGAATCGAGTCGATCCACCGGTTCTGCGAGAGAATGGGCGTCGAACTGGCGGCCGAGTGCCATCTAGACCGGTCACGACAGGCCGCCAATCTGCTCGCCGCTCAGAAGAACGACGTGGCGACGCTGGGCTCCACGTGCTACAAGCTGAACAGTCTGCAAGTCGTCCACATTCTGTCTGGATTCGAAGCGGAAGACGGAGAGATTCCGTGCGACAACGACGTCATCGACAGGATCTGCCGATTGGCGGAAAAGCAGGCGGATGTGCTCACAATCGAAGACGGACAACGGTTGACACTAGAAGAGTCCGACGAGCTCAACCTTCCGTTCTTGATCCCGCAAGACGGTTACTTTATCGAGCAATTCAAGACGGTTCCCGACGGACTCTGGCAATATCTGCAGCAATTGCAGCACAGACGGCTCTGCCACAGCGTTGCCATGCAGACGTCGCAGCCAGCTCAACAGCCGCATCCTTCGATGACGTCGTCCCTTCACGCGATGCACCTCGGATCGGGAGACGCCCTCCATCAACACCATCAGACGCACTACCAGCATCACCAGCAGGCACAACAGCATCAGCCGATTGTGCGAAGTGTCTCGCAGACAACTCTCACCAGCATTCCGACTACGCAATTCGTAAGTTTCCATTTGCACTGTTTCTCTACTCATGAACTCGTATGATTTGCAGGGTGACAGTTTCGGCAGCAACGCGTCGGACACGATCACAAAGATAACACTGCGAAAGAACGGCGGTGGAATCGGACTGAGCATCGTCGCCGGGCAGGTTAGTAGCTGATCTCTAGATTAGGCGAGGAAGCCCGAATTGGGTGCGACTAGGGCTTCTCCCCCCAAATTGGCAACAGTTATTGGCATAACACGCTTGTGAAGTGGCCCATTTCCGGGCGGTTTCGGTTGGGTGTTTTCGTTTTCTCTCAAGGAGAAACAGATTTCGATCTTTCGTTGTTTTCCAACAACCACAACAACAACTAGTTCCTTTTCCCTCCGACCTCTATCTATTTACTAGAATATTTATTATGGTTATCATTGGTGTTTATCAGGTCTCTTAACAAATTTCTGACGAAGAAGAATAACCCCGTTACAGTCGTTGCAGGGTGTCGGAGACAAGCGGATGGGCATCTACGTCAAAAAAGTGGTGGAGAACACACCGGCGGCTCTCGACGGACGGCTCGAACCGGGAGATCAGCTGATGAGTGTCAACGGGCATTCACTGGTTGGCATCTCGCAGGAAGAGTTAGTTTTCGCCGCCCCGATTCTCACAAATGACACTTGCCCAGTTTCAGTGCGGCACGACTCATGACGCAAAGCGGAAACGAAGTGCACTTCGAAGTTCGAAAGCGAGCGGCCCTCCGAAACGGACTCAACAGCTACCTCATCCCGCAGACTCCGACCACCTCCACGGCCAACGGAAACGTCCCACCGTCGCCGTCCGCCGTTCCTCCCGCCTACTCGAATGTCAGCCGAAACTCGTCGTACGACGCTCCGCCGCCTGGTTACAATCATCGGTTTAGCCAGCAAGGAGGACAAGCCCCGCCCGCTCGAACCAGTGCCTTTGTGGCGCCCATCTCTTCCGGTCAAGCGAACCATCTCCAACATCACTATGCGCATCACAACATGCATCACACAATAGCTCCGATCGACCCGCTTGCCAACAGACATTACAGAAGCTCATCGGCAAGTGACTTGCAGCAGCAGCAGCAGCAGCAGATAATAGATGTGAGTCCCTTCTACGTTTCAGACCCCATTTTTATCATTTCCGTTTCAGCCAAACGCCTCGTTCTCCCAATCGTCGATGACGGGAAGCGCGCGCAGTTCTCTGTTCGACAAGCTTCCCTCCCACTACCGTCATTCGACCCGTCCAACTGTCATCCAGCCAGCCCGGCCGGGAGCACAGTCGCCGTCGGCTCTGCGAAGAGCGGCTCCGTCGCCGGCGAACGTGTCGACTACGAGCAACTTGTACCGCCCGACTTCGGCTTCGAATCTGTTCGCTCCGCCCAGAAACACGGGAGGAGGTTTGATCGGATACACTAGCAATGCGGCCAGAGAATCCACCCAGGACATTCATAGAGCGGTGAGTTCGGTCGCATAATTCATTAGTGGACGCTTGCTGTGCTCTTCTTCCTGTTCCTAATCTTTCTTACCTAACCTCCTCGTTTGTTCAGCTCAACGACCTGGAACTCTCGTCGCCGCTGGCCCGTTCCACACCGAACGAAGAGATGGACAGCAGCTACAGGATCCCTCCGACCGTCTCCAACTACGCGCCTCTCCACTCGATCCGTCCCGCGAGCATGTACGGATACGGCAGTCAGGCACCGTCGCCTCCCTCCTCCTCCACCGGAATCACTGTCATTCCGACGATCTCACTGGCCAATAGAACTCCCATGAACATTTCTTCCTCTTCCTCTAACACCTCACCTCGTGTGAATGTGACGATGATGGGTGCGGCTAGGTCAAACAACAATCTAAGCAATTCGCAGGAGCCGGCCGTCGTGAGACCCGCCGATCTGAACATGCCAAAGTCGACGCTTCCGGCAGGTATCAAGGGCGCAGTGCCGACTGCCATCACTCAGGCCCTCCAACTGCAGCAGAACGGCGGCGGAGTCTTGAGACAAGTCCGTCCGACTTCAGGACTTCGGGAACGTCTTCAGGACGCCGATGTCCGTAATCTGGAGAAGACGAACATCGCGCTGATGAGCTACGAAGCAGTCAACGAAGAGCTCGATCATCTGGACACGAAAGGAATGACGATGACCGACGAGGAACAGCGCCGATACCGGGAACTTCTCCACGTCGTCGCCGAGCAAAGCAGGGCACGGAAGATGCTCTCGGAAGTCCGCTCACCTCCGCACCAGCAGCATCAGGAACGCGAAATTCCTATCCAAATTCAGAAAGATCAAAACAGACGTACGGAGACGATGATTGACGACGTGCCGCACTCGAGTTCCAGCGTGGAGAACGTGTCGCCGGTGAGCCCGCCGGAGAGCCGCAAGGTGCAGTTTATCGACGAAGTGGTGCAGTATCAGACGCCGACGAGCACGACGACGTTCTTCGCGGCCGACGTGCCAGTGCTCGACTCGCCAGGGGTTAGTTTCAATCATTCGGTCGGCCAACCAACCAAACCACCGTTTCCAGATCGTCGGCACCAACGAGATCTACCGGGATCCCCGTCAACGCCGTCTCAACGAGCTGCACGATCGGAACAAGAGCTCGGAAAACAGTGCGGACGGCGCGAAACTCGGATTCCGCGACAAGCAGCGGCTGTTCGCGCGGCAAATCGGAGAGGAAGGCACTCCGCGCCAACGGATGGACGTGAGTAGTGCCCAACGGCAAATCGAGACGGAGATTGTTGGCGCAACGACGCCCACCGGTCTAAAGCCATAATTTCTCTTTTTATTTTTCGATATCTAAATACTCTATTAGACTGATAAATTCTAAATGCAATCCGCGCCTTAAACTTGTGCTCTCTAAACCCCCTTTCCCTCCTAACAAAAAACCCTTCTCAACGCTCACTAATCGGTTCTTATGTATTACTTTTTCGCTTTTTGTCTTTACCTATTTCTAAATTTTCTTGCATTTCATTTTTATCTGAAAAAGTGTCGAATAACTGTTCATTTTATCCCCACCTATTCGTGTCCCATTCTCTGCCCCCTTTTTCATGTTTCCCGCCCCCGCCACACACGCTAAAACACACAAACAAAGCCACCAGCCTGGACCTAAATTCGCATCGATTCCATTTAAGAAATTATTTTTTTAAAAATTTTATATATATATATATATATATAAAAAAACAAGTGTACTTAATCATCTGTTGATTCTGCATTCCGAGTTGATAAGTAGAAGGGAAGATCAAGCGAATCAAAGGCAGAGAATGTTTTCGACGAAAGGTGATTCGTGTTTATTATCAAAACGGACAATGCGGATCGCCATATTCGGTTTTGATCGAAAAAAAGATCAAAAGAATGGACGCGCTGATCTTTGCGAATCAGAGAGCGAGCTAGAGCGTAGTGAAACGATGTGTTGCTTTTTCTTTCGCTGTATTTCAGCAGTCTGTAGAGATATCAAGAAGTACTAAACTAATAAAATATGCACAATGTCTTTTTGAGTAATTCGTCAGTTGAACACTTTTTGAGATATCTGCTTCCAGCCGAGATATATCGTCTTGAAGTGGAGCGCGACAGAGCGCGCACTTGCTCTCTTTCGACGTGATCCGACAATTTCTCGTTTGTCCCCCGCGTGTAGCGGATCTTTGTGTTTCAATCCGACCGCATAAAATTCACAGATCCACTTTCGTCACAAGACCCCCGAAGACTATTCTCGGCAACGAAGCTACCGTAATCGGCGGCGATGACTTTTTGTAAGAATCTTTCGATTACATTCCCACATAAAAGATCAAATCTCGTCCTCCTCTCGTTCGGGTGCATTTTGATTCCACTCTCTCTCTCTCTCTCGCTATGCTTTTGTTTCAATTGTGAAAAGAGAGGGAGAGAGAGAGAAAGATGAAGAAGAAGAAGAAGAAGAAGAAGAACAGGTATCCTCCCCGGGGCGAGGAAATAGGTCATTTCCCCCTTTATCACTTTTGTTTCCTTTCGGTTTTAGACTCGATATCAAGTTGATCGTTCATCGACCAATGACGTTTCAAAGTTGCATCCCAACCACTCTCAAAAGGCAACACTTTCGAAATTAGAGCGCTTCGTCCGCTTGTTAAAAAGTTGAACTGCGTTGGCTACCGTAATCCACGGGCGCACACAAAGTGAGAGAGAGAGAGAGAGATTCCCCGCCTCCTTTGGAAATCGTTGCTTTTTGTTCTCGCGGCGACATCTGCATCAATTATTATCCATTCCACACCCCCCACTTCTCACATTTTGATCTTCATTCTGTGCAGAGCCTACTGTGTCCTCATGATAAACTTACTATTATATGTTTCTAGAAGCGAGCCTCCTAGCGCTTTATGCTTTAAAATTAGTACTGTGCTCTCGGTCAACTTTCCTGTACCTCACTACATTTTCACTAAGATCAGTGATCATTCTCAAAAAGATGCAACCCTTAAAATCCACAGTAGTTCTTTCAAACCAAGGGCTAACAATCTGATCGTGATTCTCTTAGAGTCTCACAGCTCGACGCTCCGCCGCCAACGTCTTTCCCTAACTGAACTTTGAACGCATCTCAATTGATCACTCTCTCTCTCTCTTCAGAAGCCATCGAAACAGTCCCACTCACTCTCTCACTCTCTCTCTCTCGTCTACAGTAACCCTCGGGCCGTGGTGCCACGTCAATTTGAGCCACAAACGCGAGAAAAGAGGGCAACATTATGCGAGGAGAAGACGTTAAATGTTGCGACGAATCAAAGTGTGCCGCATAAAAACCATCCTACTTTACCTCATTTTTACGGGTTTTTCGGCTCGAGTGAGAGCAGGTTAGTCGCTGGTTGATTGAACGAAACTATTGTAGAGTTAACCAACGAACATTCTCAGAGTCGGATTCACAAGAAGATTCGGAAGCGGCGCCACGTGGAGTCTATCACTTCAGCGACACCGACAGAGACATCGAGACGAGTTTCAGGATTCCGGATTTCGAGGCGGTCGGTTACTGTTTCTGTGCATCACGGGACCCATTCCTGGATTCTTTCAGTTGGACCCCATCAAAGTGGCGTCGGATTTGATGGCGTCCGCAATGAAAGTGGACACGAAGAGGAAGACGTTGGCGGGTATTCAAATGCCGTTTTCGTTGACGGGAAGACCGATGAATTTGCAGGTAAGAGTTTATTTTTGGAAACGAGTGATCAGTGATTTTTGGGGGTTCCTTGATTTTTCGAGAATGGAGAAAGTGAAAAATATGATAGTAGTGGCGAGGATTCAGATGGGAAACACACGAATATCATTGTGGTGGTGTCTAGTTCGAAGCCACTTTGATAGTAGTGATGTTTGTGCGAATCTTCTGCACGACAACTTTTGCAGATCAACGGAGAGTCGCACGATGCGGTCAGTCTTGTCGACGACCCGAAGAAGCACGAAAAGAAACCGCAAGTCCGGAGGTTTGAAGCCGTTTCGAACGTCTTGTGATCGGAACAACTCAGTTTGCAGGTCCGACATGTCTCCAGAATCACGACGAGCATTCTTGCGGGCACGTCAAGTGTGTCTGGAGCAATCGGCGGATTCTTGCGATGAGGCACTCGACACGTTTCATCGCATTCGATACGGAAAATCATTGTTGATGGGCGCCGCGGATGGAGAGGAAAATGAGCAGTATCGGAGCATCATTGAGCGCCGATTAAAAGAGGCGAATGGCGAGAAGGTGGGATTACGGTAGAGATAGAAAACAATAGTACATTTCTCTAGTTGACACCCCTTTTTTGTACCGCAACTCATAGAGAGCTCCTAATTTGAACCGAACGACGTCTTCTTTTCAGGTGCACACCCCTTCCACTTCGTCTCCTGAAGACGTGACGTCATCTGAATCCGATCCGTACGTCGTCACTTCACAAGAATCTCACGAAGAAGCTGAAGAGTCGGAAGCGCCGGAAAATCCGTCGCAAACTCACCGTTTTTCACACATCACCTTGCCCAAATATCATGACAAAGCACACAATTTTCTGAGAGATATCAACTAGTCATGCACCGAATTGTAGAGTATCGAGACACGTTTAATGAAGACAGTTCAAATCTTTATCAGAGAGCGAATTTGGTGGTGACTGTGGTCGTCGGAGGAGCGGAAACTGGAGTCGCGTTCAGAGTGACGTTGATCTGAAAACAGAAGATGGAAGAGGAAAAGCCGGGCCGCCGACTTTTGTGTAGAGACGCTCGAGCGGCCACTCGTTGAACGCCCGCTTCCAGATGGCTTTGGCCATTTGAGACGCTTCCTGAAATGATCCGAGCAATTCAGGACACTGTGGGCACACGAACCTTGACGGTGTTCGGTTGGATTTCAACCGGAATCTTGAGGCTCTCGACGGCGATTTTCAGCCGTTTCTGGGTGTACTCGTTGATCGCCAACGGCCACTCGTCCGACGAAATCAGAAAGAGTTTGATGATGCGACGCTCGGCCGGCTCCAGAATCCCGGCTGACCCGTCGATCCGAAAGATCTTCTCCTGCAAACATCGGAATGTCCTGTCATCCGCAACTCTCGCGCGATCACCCTACCCTGGCCTTGATGAGATAGGCGATCGGATGCGGCTCTCGATTTTCGATGAAAAACTTGACGAATTGCGGGCTCTTGTACTGCGATTCCGAGTGGAAGCACAACCATTTCGGGTAGACGATGAGCTCGCGATTCGGCGAGGAACAGTGCAGTTTCATGCTCTTCAGCTCCGACAAGCTTTTTACCTTTTGACCTGGAATGGGGTGTTTCGGGGAGTTTGCAGGACATGAGTAAGCACCTTCCACAACCAACGCCATTTCTCGAGTTTCAAATTGGAAATGAGAGAAACATTTCTTTTCATTTTAACGTCAAAGTGCATAAACGACACGTTGGAAATCATATATCGCACGGTCTCCAAAGCTGAAAATGGGCGCAAGTGCGCCCCGCCCCATAGAGCGATACATTGGAGCGAAATTCAAATTTTAACAGCAAAATTTGTGTTTTTTGCCAGATTAGCCACGGAAAACCGATAATTTCTCATTTGTCTCTCGATAGACCGATTGTATAGGCTAATACGAATTTTTTAAGCGCAAGAGCGTTAAATTGGGTCAAGCCGCAAATCACATTTATCCGTTTGAAGGTTTTTGGCTAAAACTGCGTGAATTTCAGTTGCTTTTCGGTAGTTTTCGCGGTTCGAGCGCTCAAAATGCATGTATTCACGTGATTCATCATTCTCAAAACCAATTCTGTCTGAAAACGGTCAAGAAAGCGCAAAATGAGAAGTGCGGTTTTGGTGCGGTTGCGGCGATCGGCGGCGAAGGCGAAAAAGCAAAGTCCGCGAAAATGCGCCAAAACGTCATAAATTCTGAGAATTAGTGTGTTTTCATGTCGAACAATCATTTTTCATCGCCTTTGACCACAAAAATCAGAGAAAATCTACTCAATTTATGAAAACGCCATTTGGCCGAGGCCACGCCCATATTGTCAGCTCTGGATACCGTGATATATCTTTATTGAAAGCATAAACATTTCAAGTTCAAACTTGCTTCTTCTTCTTCACTTCGATCACATCCGGATAGTAGGTGGGCACCGGAGGAGGGACGGTTGGCGGGTACGCAGTTGGATGTTCGAGCGGACGGCACTGGCCGCGGTTGTGGTCGCAAGTCAGGATCGCCTGATTCCAGATGGTTCCCTCGCCACAACTGCGTTGCGTCCACAAACCTGAAAGATCGTTGCACGGATAGTTATTGTAATTCTAATTCTCACCGGAAGCGCACTGATAGAAGTTCTTGCAGTTGTACAAATCCGGCTTGTACTGGGCCTGTCCAGTGGACTCGGTACACGCTCCGTAGAATGGAGTTGTGCTCGGCGGAGTGGGTCTTTGGGTGGTGGTGCTCGGCCATCGGGTAGTCGGCTCAACATCCACACACATTTGGAGATGATCGTTGTAGATGGCGCCAGGCTGACAATATCTGGTGACGTAGCCACGGCCATCCCACGTGCACTCCTTGTACTTGGTATTATCGAACAGGTAAACGGTGCGAGAGCCCGGGAAGCACACTCTTGGGTGAGGAGTGCGAGGAGGAGTAGTGGTCGGGCGAGGCGTCGGAGCGAAGAAGCAAAAGCCGGTCTGAAACGGGAATGTCCAACCGGAACGATGGGGAAAGTCCTTTTACCTCCGGGTTGAACTGATAGTTGGTCATACAGAACTGACGGATCCATCTGTTATCCCTGCACTCGAAGAACGAGTGCGAATTCTGCGTGTCGGCGATACGATCGCCGTTTGTGAAGCAGAAACTTGCTGCTGGATCTGCGGAAACGAGCCCAATGAACGCGGCAAGAATCAGAAGAAGAATCATGGTTTTTCGAGTGATTCTGATGGAGAACTCCGTCGAGATCCTGCCCTTTTATACCCTTCCCGCGAACAATAGATGAATGCTTGTTTCATTGAAAAATTGGAAAATAATGGGAAAAGCGGTGAGTAATCGACGCGTTCTGGAATGAATTCAGAACTATTAGTCATGTGGAAGTGATGTGCAATTACAGAAATACCAAGCTTTGCTATTTCTAACGTGATTCTCATCAATTTCATTTGAAAATCGACAGAGAAATTTGAATTCGCTTGTGGTTTGAATTTCCGCGCAACCGTACTCCGCCTGCGCATCTTCCGTTTGATTTTAAAAAATAGGCGAACGTTTCCCTATTTTTTAAATTAAAAATCTTGTTTGTTGAGCTCAGTAAATTTCGTTTTCTCGGAAAAGTATCTCCGACATTGTTGCCTTTTCAGATGGCAATTGTGACCACTTCACTTGGCGAGCATGTTTCTCCCAAAAAAGAGGTTCGTGGCGAACAATTGAACGAAAAAATGTCTGATTGAATTCGAATTTCCGCGCTGCCGTAGTCGGAATTGCTGCTTCAAATTTTTTCGGAAATCTCGGACAAAACTGTCCGTTTTGCTCGCAAATATCGTATCTTTCAACCATTAAAAGCACTTTCTAGTTATCCCCAACTCGACCGAAACGTCGATGGGACCACGTGCCGCTTGTGCCGCAACTCGTTCCCAAGCAAGAAGACAAGGAGAATTGCGAATCCATTAGCAAGCAAAACCACGCACGGCATGTGAAAGGTATCACCGCGGACCCGCCGCTCAAGCTCACGGGAACTCGACAACAACATCCGAGGGTAAAGTTTCACTGGACATTGTAAAATTCAATCCAAATTTACTAGACGCCCGCGGAGATCCCGGAGAAACCGTGTCAACCACGTAAAGCTGGACAACAACATTCTCGTCACTTCGGTAACGCCACGCCCGACCTTTCCGACGGTTCTCATCCACGCCCTAGCAAGTCCAATTTAGAAGGCGCTGCAAGCAAACAGACCACAAAGCAGGTCGGTTGTTTGTTAGTTATACACAAAAGTGTAAATGATAACCATGCTTACAAGATTCCGGGCCGGGGCGAAGATTTTGCTGAAATATAGATTGAACATGTTTACTCGACCAGTTAGAAAAGTTAAATTCCACGATAAAAACCCTTATGTCAGAGCAATATAGGGAGAAACTGATTGGATTTCAGTCGGCTTCCACGACTCGTGTGGTCGTCACCGCGTCCCAGCTCCAGGATGCGTTTGTTGGCGAGCAATCGGTAAGCAATTCATTTTTCACTCTAACGCAGTCCGTACGATTGTAGGAACGTCATACCGGAACTAGCAACACCGCGCACAAACAAGCTGACAATGGACACCGCGGAGCGAAAGCAGCTGGCACTAAGCCGGTCATTGAAGTGATTGAAATCGAAACCAGCAGCAGTAGCGAGGACGATGACGATTATCGACCAGCTCCGTCAAAAAAGAAAAGGTTGTCGCCAAAGGAAGGAGTCACACTCGATCAACTGAATGAGGTGGTCTCTGCGCGTTTTGAGAAACACGAGGAGTTATGCAAAAACGAGATTGCAAAGCTTTTCGAGATTTGCCAGAGAATCCTCAGCTGGACCGCGGATAGCAACAAAAAGCAAAAAGAGATGGACGAGTCTATTCACCAACTTTTCAATCGCAGAAACAGCCAAGAGGAAGACAACAAGCTTGCATCTGTTTTCATGTCGATGTTTCAAAGAATCATGGCTGACTCGGATAAGAAGGAGCGGTCTCAGGAGCTGCCGAAGACTGATAATAGAGGACCGCGTCAGAGGCCCGCTGTCAGTTTCTATTGAAATCACGATTTAAAAGTGTACTTTTTTTTTAGTTTTGCGGAGCTTGCGGCGTCAGCACCCACGAGCTTCGTGATTGTCGCTCATTCCGAACTCCTGCAGCAAAGATCGCGCAGTACCAGAAGGTCGGACGCTGTATCCATTGTGACAGGATCCACACTGACATCTGTCGATTGGCCGGCAGGAAATGCCAGCTATGTCCGGAGCGTCATTTTTCTGGAATCTGCGCAGTGCTCTCGGAGGATCAGCGTCCGGCAACCACTGAGATCTCGAGAAGAAAGAGGGCCAAAAACCCTATTTCCGGAGTTTCTAACGATGTGATTCCGACGGTAAGCTCTCAGGTAAGAAAAGCAACAATCAACAAAACGAAGAACTGCTTGCTTTCAGCCTCTTCAACCGGATCCCGCGTCGGCCGTTGCGCTGATACAATCGCTGCTCAACAGCATGCAGCATCAGGCAGCGCCGATTCCATCGACTTTGGGCTAGCAGAAGAGGAAATCTACGCGGATCCAGATTACAGGACCTCCACTGCATCGTTAACTTTGTTAATTGTTTTCGTTGACCGCATTTTGCTTATTATTGTTACGCATTTCACTGATTTTGTATGAAGTCAACCGCAAACCAATGTTTCAATGTTTTGAAAAGTTGGTCATTCGTACCCAGAAAGATTATATCGACACTATTTCCTCACCCACTGTTCAAAAACTTCGTGAGCACACGTTTTCTATTGAAATCGCACGCAGTGCTGAATTTCAAAATTCAAGTGAAAAAAGGCGACTGAGTTTGGACGTATTGTCCCAGGAATCCCATTCCAATTATCAGATGCTTTTGGCTCCTCCTTGAATAGTTCTTGCAATCGCGCTCTACCGCAATCCGATGTGAAAACTTCGAAGCGGCGGCGAGCTATTCAGCCCCGAATTCACATTGAGAACGGTAGACCGGGTAGAGCGCGATTTTCGTTGCAGTCCGGTCGGCGGAAAATGTCGTCTAATAAAAACGAGAATAATCGTCCGACGGCTTCTCAGCTGAGTCGCCCGCTCACTAACATTCCTAAACAACTGCCAGCCTGCCGAGTGACCGAAATCATCGGCGTCCGCTCCAAGACTTCAACTGCTGTCAAAAAGAGGTCGACCATTATCTCGCATAAGGAACACAAAAAAGTGCAGATAAAAAGCAACATCGCGAAGAAAACAGGTATTCAAATTCAGCCGATTTTGTCAATAATCGGACCTGTTTATAGACCTTTCTGGCCAGATCGTTCCCAAGGAAGAAGATGCCACCGAATCCGACTCGCACGTCGTTCCGGTCAAACCAAACAAAAATTGGAAATCACCGCCTGTGCAAACTCAAAATGTTCCGAAAGAAGAAGTTTTTAGTGATGAAGAAACGGTAATGAGAAACTGAGGAAAAAGTAAAAAAAAACGATTTGCAGGCGGAAAAGTATAAAAGTGTGAAAACCAGTCGAAACAGTGGCAAAGCGGCTCACGCTCCAAATAAGCAAGTCGTCAAAAACGTTGAATGTAGTGACGACGAAGATGATTCTTCCAAAACAAGAAGGATCCAAGCGCCCAAGGTTTTGCAAAACATCACAGAACGTGATACGCACATTTCCAATTGCAGCAGCGTCAGTTGAGAGCTATGAATGGGAGTCCCCCGACTTTCGAAGTAATTGACCTCGCAACGAGCAGCGATGAAGATGAAGAGGTGGATCAGAAACCGTCTCGAATTGAAGAGAAACAGTCGGGAGCGAGCGCAGAAGCGATCCAAGATGTGAGCACCCGTCTGAGCATTCTGGAGTCGGCATTTAGAAAGTCTGAGAAGAAAAGAGCAAAAGGAGAAGAAAGATCGATTCGTTGGATTGGCAGGAACTTTGAGTTTATTAATGAAGTGAAAACGGATCAAAAAGAACTGATGAAAGTGGCCGAACCAGTCCGACAGCTGACAGCCGACGTCCGTGAACTGACCGAAATTGTCAAAAAGAACTGCAATGGCGGCAACTTGAAAGAGAAGATCGTTCAATTGTTCAAAAATCTTCGAGATCAGTTTTCAAACCTTCAAAAAGTCGTGCTCGAATCGAACAAACCGCAGCCAGAAGTCGTTCCAACCGTCCAGAGTTCGAAGCCAATCAGACAACGACAGGCACGACAGGTAGAATCATCTTCAGTAGCGGAGAGCTTATCTCTACTTTCAGATGTGCGGCGCCTGCAACTGCCGTTCGCACCGTCTTCGCGACTGCCTCCGATTCGAAACGGCCGAAGCGAGAATCGATCAATACACGAAGACCGGACGATGCACGCACTGCGACGAGTTCCACATGCCCGGCGACATCTGCCGATTCGCGAAACGACCGTGCCAACACTGTCCGGAACCCCATCTTTCAGGATTGTGCAAGAAGCGTTACGGCGCCGAATCATCGGCCGAATTCGAGGGACCGGGCGGAAAGAGACGAAGGATGGATTATTCCGGAGTTGTTGGGCGTCCAGTGGCTCTGATTGGGAACTATCAGGTAAAAAGTCTCCATCTTTATCAACTTTTATCAGTATTTTTCCAGAATCACCAACAGCAGCCGGGCACGTCTACTCCCCAAGCGTCTGCAGCAGTCACATCGTCCCCGGTCACGTCGCCACGTAGCAGAACACCGTCTTATTACGGCGAAGGGAACGAAGAAGAGGAGCAAGAGTACGAAAGTGACATTGGAAGCCTCTGCGATTCCGATTAATGATATATTTGTTACTTGATCTGTTATGTTTTGTTTGTTCGTTGTTATTTTTCTCTTTTTTTGCAAAGAGGCTATGAGTTCTTCGCAAGGTTTTTTTTTGTATGTTACTCGACAACTTACCTGTTTTGTATGAAGTCAACCGCATCATTCTTCAAAAGAAACCCAAAATAGGTTTTCGCAGCCGAATTTCATATTTTGCCATGTGCGTTTAATCAAACCGTGAAACTCTAAATTTACCCTTTCCATTAGTTTTTTAATTGTTGCAGGTCGAGTCCACGAAGCCGATTTTCCTTCTCAAGAATGCCGGCCAAAAAACCAAAAACTGGCGTCTGCTCTGAATCTTCCCCGGACGTCATGAAGACATCGGCCATCACATCGCATAAGAAAAAGAAGAATAAAGCGCTTAAGAAAAACGGAGCGTCGAAAAAATCTGTATAAATGACACACTTTTTGATTTAACATTCTTTATTTTCAGAAAAAAAGAAGCGATGGAAATAAAACGAAACAGAACTCAAGTCTCGCTGATAAGAATCTTCGTAAAAACTTTGAAAAACTTTGCGAACGCATCGAGAAGCAAGTGGCGGTTCATGAGCGCATTCCATTAAATACACAAGGAATTGTTGAGCTCATCGAAGTCATCAAGAAGCAAAAGGGCATCTCTGAATCGCTGGAAATCGTTGATTCGCTGGTGGATGTCATCGGCGATGCGATCAAACAACAATACGAAAGCCGTCGGAACGCCGCTGAGAATTCGGAACAAGTTCCGGAACAGAGCGAAGAATCTTCCAGACCAGATATTCAGAAGTTGGAGCCGAAAACTGAGTCTTCGAATACCACCGCTCAAAATTTGGAGCAGTCTTCGAGAGAAACGGATCAGAAGCCGGAACGAACCAATGCGATCGATGGACCGGTAAGACTGTGTTCAGTAAGATCAGAGTCCACTTCAATCTTCAGTCGTGCGGCGCATGCGGCAGCCCTTCGCACCGTCTCGGCAATTGTGACAAATTCGAAACAGCGGAAGCGAGAATCGAACAATACTGGAGAATCGGAAAATGCTCGCACTGCGACGAGATCCACAATCCTCGCGAAGTCTGCAGATTCCCGAAAAGGCAATGCCATTATTGTCCGGGAGACCATCTTCCCGGACTGTGCATACGGCGTTACGGTGATGACGAAGATCAGGAAGAGTATTCTGATGAGGAGGAGGAATTCGAGGAACCGCGCGAAAAGAGACATAGGACGAATTTTCCTGGATGCCAGAATCCGGTAAGAATCGCTTTTTTCTACCCGTACATATGATTCATTTCAGCGTCACCGACCTCAGACAGGCACATCTGATCCGCAGCAGTTCCTCCAGAGGGCTTCGAATTTCATGACGGTAAAAACTGTTCATTTCTCTCGCATTTTTTGAAATAATTTTTTTTTCAGGATTTCCAGCAGCAAGCTCACGTGCCTCTCCACGCCCCGGCTTCTTCGCAGGCTCTCGCGCTTTTCCAGGCTCCCGCTCATTCGCAGATGCCCGTGCTTTTTCATGCTCCCGCGCCTTATCAGACTGCTACTCCTCGCCATGCTTACACTTCTTACCAGTCTCACACTTCTTACCACTGTCACACGTCTTACCAGTCTTACACGTCTTACGTTGCCTACCCGCCTGCACCGGTCTACCCGCCAGTCCAGGCTTACCCAGTTGTCCACGCCTATCCGACTGTCCACGCTTACTCTGTTTTCCATGCTTGTCCGCATTACTAGGCTTACACCCTTTGAACAACCCGAAATTTTATATACTCTAGAATCAGAAGACTACGATTCCTAATAGAAAACTGTTATATTTCGTTCTTTTTGTTGTTTGTGTTCAATTTCTACTTTTCTTTGCTGTTTTTGAGTTAGCCCATAAACTCGGTCGTCTTCGGATGCAAACTTGATGTCTATGCTAGACAGGGAGATTGCTGCAAAACAATGTTCAGAGTATCAACGAGATAAAACAAAACGCGGCAATACTATATATTATTATTTTCAGAAATGTGAGGATCTCAGAGTCTGTTTGACAGACCTAGAAATGTGAAGCATAGAAATTTCTAGTTATGATCTCGCACCACATTCATGTCACCTTTCTGCATTTATAAACATTTACTGTTGAAAAAAAAGAAGTTTCGACATTGGAATCGAAGCTGGCAGCGTGCCAAGGCCCGGCCTCCCAAACGCATATGCTGCGCGCCATTGTTGCAACATTGCCGCACGCTTTATTGTTCTTTGTTTTTGTCTTTATTTTTCGGCTAAAAATCAGCAGAAATTTGGTTTTTTCCCATTTTTTACCCCTATTTATTCATTTCTATCGGCTTTTGCTATAAAAAATCAACTTTGAAAACAGATTTATCGATTTTTAGCTTGAATTTTCGAACATTTCTTGATTTTGTGTTTTTCTCCTTTCGATTTCGGTGAATTTGAGAATTTTCAGGATTTCCACCTACGGAAAAGTCGAACAAGCAACAAAAGGGCATGGATTTCTTATTTTCGTGTTAGTTTTTGACGTAACAATAATTTTCTCTCCGATCAACGTTTATAGACTTCACTCCTCCGCCGTCTTCTCCACTCCGCCGTCAGCATTGGTCCGAATAATTTCGCGTCGATGAAAAGAAAAGGAATATCATCGCAAAACCGCTGACAAGTTAGGAAATGATGCTCTAAAATGCTCTACAAATCCCCCCTCTCTTGCAAAACCACAGTTCAAATGACATTTCAGATTTAGGAGAATGAGCACACTCCATAGAAATAATCGCATCCGAGAATCGACTGTCTCCACTGAGTACCCGGCCCGCAGTCACGGAGCATCCATTGACCTGCAAAATAGTTCATAGTCTCAGTTTCCGTTAAATCTGACTTACTGTGAACACACTGGAAATAGGTTCTGCAGTCGGCGGGATTCGGTCGAAAGCCGTCGGCTCCGGCCGATTCCTGGCACGGTCCGTCGTAGAACGGACGGTTCTCAGTGGTTGGTCTCTTTGTGGACGGTTGAGGGGTACTCGGCCTCTCGGTACTGTATTCCGGGACACACGTTTGGGTGTTTGGGTTATAAACGAGGCCCTGAAGACAGTATTCGAGCACCCATTCGTGTCCGTCACATATCAAAAACGCGCGGGGATCGCCGTTGGGACTGGGACGCATGGCTCCGAACGGACACGAAGAAGGAGGATTGGCGGAGGGAACACAGGTCAGGTTCTGGAAAACAGAGAGAGTCTAGACTATTCAGGTATCCAGAAATCTCACAAATTTATCGAAAACCTCTCCTTGAGCACAATACTTGATGAGCCAAATCCTTGCGCAACACACAAAGTAGGCGGAGTCACTGCCCAGTTCCGCCATCGTCAATCCATCATAAAGACACGTTCCGTTGGGCGGAACAACTTCTTCTGAACAAATTACAATCTTACAGTACTTTCTTTTGTGCTCAACTCACTTTTGACGGCGGGCGCCGTCGACCCGCTCGAGAACAGCAAAGCACATGAGAACAGCAGGAAAAGCATGGAAGGAGAAGAGCGAGAAACGCATTCGGCCGAACGATTTTATATGAATTGGCCACAATAAGACGCTTATCGAAAGGAAATGCCGCAAAAAATGAGTAATCTCTGGGAAATGAGTCATTGTGAGAGGATGGAACTGATTGGCAGGTCACAATGAATTACGGGGGAAACGCCCTCACTTTTCATACATAGGACGTTCGGTGTTTTCAATATATCTAGCGGATATTGTTCATTCAAAGGAAGTATCTCAGCTGTCCGTGAAGATATCAAAAAACTGGTGAACTCATAAAATGTGGAACTTTCTTTCATCTTTCTTAAAATTCATTTCTCATTTCTCAATTCCATAACTACTAACTTTGTCATCATGTTGGTCAGTTCCTCCGCTCCCCTTTCCTCTTCAAATTTCTCAAATTTCCAGAGTGCTAGTCGAGGCAAACGTCTTCGGGACCGTTCGGAAGTGGAGACGACCACTCGGGGCCCGGATCTTTTGCTCAAAGTCACCGATGAAGTATTATAATTTTATGTTCTCAATTTGGAAAAATAATGTTCAGACATCCAGTGAGCCGTCGATTTCGCTCTCCAAATCTGTCGACGAAAAGGAGAAGAGCAATCAATCGCTGGTGCGGAGCCATCACGTTCTCAAGATTCGGCTCAAGAAAGTTGGATCCTTTCGCTGTTCTCTATAGATCAGACAGTGTTCAGATCACGAACTGGAGTGGGTGTAGCGGTGCTCTTCTGGACGACGAGCCCTTCTACCACGGCTACATGTCTCGCGAGGAATCCGAGCGGTTGGTCCGTTCACAGGGCGAGTTCCTCCTCCGCAAAACCGAATTGACAAAGCGCGGCGAAGTGGTCGTTCTGTCCGTTTTCTGGGACGAGGCCGCCCATCATTTGGTCGTCGAGAAGGCCAACAACGGGCTGTTCTACCTGAAAGAGTTCTGTTTCGAAGTGAGACGGAAGTGCGCTCCATTGACAATTTCTTTTTTTTTGCTGTTCAGAACATCAGCGATCTGGTCCGTTATCATCATCAAACACGTGCGGAGGTGTACAAATCGGGCATAAAACTGTTCAATTGGGTCGTGCGCGAGGAGTGGCAACTCTACCACGAACAGATAGTTCTCGGAAAGAAATTGGGGAACGGGGAGTTCGGAGAGGTCTTCCAGGGCATGCTCTCCGTCGGAATCTTCACGAACGACGTCGAGGTGGCCGTTAAAACGATGAAAGGGAGCAAAGTGACGGCCGATGAGAAGTAGCCAGAAGAACCAGTTCTCACGGCGACCAAAAACGTAGAAAGGGGCGGGGCCTAGCGTGCACGTTTATCACCATTTTGGCGCGAATTTCAAAATTTAACCCCATTTTTCATGTTTTTCGTGAAAAATTACCCAAATTTTGTACCATTTCGACGATGTAATTGCATAACTTTGTTAAACTAATCATCACGCACTTTTTGAGCTTAAAACGAGCAGGTTTCATTCAGAAATGAATCAATTGAATCGATTTTAAAGTTTTGTGCTGAAAATGCGCGAATTTCAGTCATTCGCCGATACATTTTGCCGTTTGAACTCTTAAAAAACTTGTATTAACGTGCTTAATCACTTCCGACACTCACACACTCAAATATGCCAAAAACGTCTCAAACGCGGCGTTTCCACGAAAATTTCGATGTTTTCTCTCTTTAATGTCTCTTCTTTCGTCGATATCAAACACAAAAATATCGGAAAAGTGCTGGAATTGCGGCAATTTTCAGAAAACGCGTCTCAGATTAGGCCACGCCCCTTCCTACACTTTTGGTCGCCGTGCGCGCGTTCTATTACTCATTTTAAAGTTCAGGATCACATTTCTGCGAGAGGCGAATCTGATGCTAAAGTTGAATCACAAGTACGTGGTGCGTTTGTACGGGGTGGCCACCCAACAAGAACCGATTATGATTGTGATGGAGTTGTGCACGGGTGGAAGTCTGAAAGGCCGAATCGAGAAGAAGGAGGAGCCGATGAGCGCGGCGACGATGAGAAAATACTGCAAGCAGATCGCGAAGGGAATGCGCTATCTGGAGAAGAAACAGGTGGCTCATTGATCTTCGTACTCCCGTGGATCCCAATAGTTCAGGTGATCCATCGAGATTTGGCCGCCCGCAACTGCCTGCTCGACAAGAACGACAATTGCAAAATCAGCGATTTCGGGCTTTCGCTGTTCGGCAAATCGCACAAAGAGCAAAAGTTGATGAAGGTGCCCGTGAGATGGTTGGCTCCGGAGACCCTCCTCAAAGGCATCTACTCATCCAAATCGGACGTCTGGAGCTTCGGTGTCGTCATGTTCGAGGTGTTCAGCGGAGAATATCCGTACGGCGAGATCAAGGTTCTGAAGGAAGTGCGGCGCAAAGTGGCCCTGGAGCATCTCCGTCTGCAGCCGCCCGGCGACATGCCCGAGGAGGACGTGAAGGTGATGCGGATGTGCTTCGAGACGGTCGACAAACGAGCGAGTTTTGTGCAAATCTGTCAGAAATACAAAGAATTGACAAGCGCGCTGCCGACGTGGAATGGCATTGCGAACAAGCTGATTGGAATTGGAGCGGCCGTCTGACCTAGTCAATAAAGATTTTCGTCAATTTCATGCGACATGGAAATTCAATAAATTATGGGCAAAACGCTGGGAAAGAGATCAAGGGGCTCGCGTTCAGATTTCGGTTTCCTTCGGCGACGGCAACTCGTACATCGCCGACACGTACTTCTTCGAAATCATCGCCTGTCCGAGGTAACGCGGCTGCTTCTCCGAATTCTGCGACCAACGCTCGTCCGCCTGAAAATGACCAGATTTTTCAAGACCTTTTTAAAAAATTTTCGAAAAATATGGTTTTTGACTATTGGATACCTTATTGAAGATCATGTTCGCGTCCTTGTCGGTCGCGAGCAGTGTTCCGCGCACAATCCGTCCGTCGGTCATGTACACCTCGAATCGCTCGCCGATGTACTTTTCGACGGTCAAATGGAGCTCCGACTTCTCACCCGACTCGGCCTTTTTCTCCGCAATCAAATCTTTGCTCTGTCCCTCGACCATTCTGAATGCGAACTTTAATAATAACGTGAAACGTATAAAAAGTAGAAGAGTAGGCTTGAACCACCAAAAGTAATACAATTGAGAAAAGCGTAAAACGCGAACAATATGAATTTATCACAAGTAAAGTCAGAATCACAACGTTGAAAGAATCGATTGGGAGAGCGAATAAAAGCTGCTGCTTATGATTATGCAACCGGGTATATTGAAAAGTGAAAAACGGAAACAAGGAAGCTGCTGACTGGTTTTTCGAGAATAAGTGAATCGTTGAGAGGGAGATTTTCGGGGCAAGGTTTACATTACAAAACTGATAGGATTGGGTACTACATAGAATTGGAAGCTAGAAGCGTGTAACTGTCGGACTCGTCTCCTCCTGCTCGATGCGAACGCGAAGGATCGGTTCCGGATGGGCGGAAAGGCCGGCGGGACGCGGAGGCGGCACCGGGCGGTTGTCCGCGCGGACCGTGTTGCTCCGGCGCGCGGGTGTCGGGCGGTTCGGAGTGGAGGCGGCCTGCGGGGACTGCAATTCAACGTTTGAGAAATTTTCATTGAAGTCTTTGCCTCACCTGTCCTAGTATTGGGGTTTCGGTCATTCTGCGCTCATCGAACGCGTATTTGGAGAATCCGACGATTTGCTCCTTCGGTCGCATGCTAATCATCGGAGACTCCATGCCGTACGCACGGTTCCGTTTGTCCAGAGTGGACTGATCGAATATGGATTCGGTTGTCGTGTTGTTGACCGGCTGAAACCAGATGACGACTATTCATTTAAATTGAAGAGAAGATGTGCGTACTGTCTGTGTGAATGACAAGGAATTGAACGAGGAGTTGATCGAGATCGCGTCTAAATCGGTCGGTCTCTCTAAGTCCGAATCATGGAGATCAATGATCGGACGACAAATTTCGGGAATCGAGTACGGGAACGCCGAGGAAAACTGTAACAAATAGTAGCAGATCTTTCAGGGTTGTAGAGATTCTCGGTACCTCTTCCGGCAATTCCACGTGTTTTTTCCATTCGCAACTCCTCACCCTCCTCGCTAATTCGATCATTTTTTCGTCGAGCGCCGCCTCTTCGGAAGGTGCTCCCGAACTTCTTCCGTTCGCCGGAAGGATCCATCGGAGGTAGCAGTCCGACCACAGATGGATGTCGCAGAAACTGGTGGGCGGACGGATGAACTCGCATTGCAGGAACTTCGAGTTGGAGCAGATCGGTTGATCTGAAAATGTTCATTCGGTTCCCCGAAAGCGATGCGCAGACAAACTTTTCTTGACGGACTCCAAGAACAGCACAGAGTCGTGCCAAATGTTGCCGAACATTCTCGAGTACGCCTTCTCGAAGTATCTATCCAGCGGGAACGGTCCGCCGCCGACTTGCGAGCACAACTGCTCCTCCAGGTTATTGCACGTCATCGCCGGCACCATTCCGGTCAGCGAGAGGTCCCAGAGGGCGATGAGCACGTGCGGCGAGAACGTGAATCTGAAATCGTACGATGTACAGATGATGTCAGCCACAGAAAGTGAATCGCACAGCAGGTGGTGCCCGTCGGCCTTTCATATTTGCAGAGATTTCTCCGTCTTCTCACTTTCATGTACGTTTTTCGCCTTTTCGTCGTATTCTGTCCATAATTCACTTTTGCCTAACACTTTGTCAAAAACAAACACCTTTTCTCTTCCCGTCTCCACCCCCTTTTCATCATGTGCCCTTCTCATTTGTTTACCACAATTCCCCCCAGTCTCGTCGCATTTCTCCCTTACTCGAAAGTGTAGATTCTGTGCAATTGCGCGACGCAATCCAGAAACAGAAGCCACGTCGGCGCGACGTCGGTCCGCGCGGAAGCCGCTCTCGTCGGCGCCTTCCCTCGTCTCGTCGCATCGTCGTCGCGTCCGAGAAGGCGTTCGCCGAACGGATGGCCCAGTGCGATCCACATCTTTTCGATGAGCTGCTGCAGACCGGTGGTCGTCCGGTAGAATGGATCGCAGCAGATTTGCGTGAGACTCGCCACCACAATCGACAGATCGCGGCCCTCCTCCTCTTGCAAAATGACCGATCGATCCCGGTCGACGATCCATCGGACCGTCTCGAAGGTGGTGAGAAGGCACGATTTGACGAGGTGCAGCCATCCGGTTCTGTGCAGTTTTGTGCTCCAATTGTGCTCTCGCGACACGTACTGCTCGTACGAATCTGCAAAAGGGACAGTTCCATTTGAATGCAAAAAATGGCCAACAAACCAATGGCGCAGAGGGACAACAGATGATCGAATGCTTTTCCGACGTTCGCGACAAAGTCCGCGTCCATCCTTATCACGTGCGGTTTTTCCGACGACGGATGGCAACGCGCGATGCTGTCCTGCATTCTGAACAGGTAACGGTGAGAATAAGAGAACCTTAAAGAAATCAAACTTTGCCAGAATCTCGGGCGTCGCCACGTTGTTCTCGTGCTCGGCGGAAATGAGCAAAGAGGCGTTTCCGTTCGATCGTGACCAGACCCAAATCGGAAGTCGTCCCTGTTTGTAGTGCTGCAGTTGTCGTTCGATGTCCGTTCGCGAGAGATAGTTCGAGACGACCACGTACATCGGATATCTGAGGAAACAGGTGTGTTTAATCTCGCTAGACATGATAATGATACTCCTTCTTCGCACTAAGGACAGTATAATATGCTCACCCCTGAGCGGCGTAGTTGAATCCCTCCTTGTGCAGTGCACAGATTGTCCAATTCGAAGATGAGTCCGTTTTCTGCTGACATCTTTGCAGTTCCGAGTACCACGCATCGTATCCATTGTACGGAACTGAAATCGTCACACTTATTATGGGCGCATTTCTCTGCAATCGCCGCGAAGTAATTTTTAGTTGTTCTGTTGTAACTCTCAAAATGTGTGTTTTTTAAATCATTTTCGAACATAACAATCACTTTAAAGTACGTAAATAGAGTGTCGACTCACTCTTCGCCTTCCGTCCCTTTTCGTCCATTGCCGCGCCGACTTGGACCATCTTCTCGATGGGACCGCTCTTGGCGAAGAAGAGGATCTGATTGGCGAGGGCGGTGCCGTTCTGGGACCTTCTCAGATCGACAGTCACCACTCGCATGTCCTTCAGTATCAGTTTAATGATCGAAACGGTTTCCATCGACGACAAATTGTACTCCATTCGTTGGAATTTGTCCGGTTTTCCCTTGTTGCTACTTTTCACAATCGCCACTTCGATTTTGGCGATCGCCGTCAGCGGAACATCGTAGAAATTGTCGAAATACTTGGACCGCTGGGGCAGGTCCCGTTCTTTCGGCACCAGCGGCTCAAATCGTACTCGCACCTTCGTGCACACCACTTTTCCCTGTTCGGACTCGCCGAATTGCATCGAAAACGAGACATTTTCGCACGAATAACTCTCGATTTCGTCTGTAAAACCGTCATAAAGCAATAATCTCAGTGGAGCGCACTTACTCGCCAACAAATTTATCGGCTTTTTTGCGACGCATTCTGATGACGTGGCACTTGTTGCGAAATGCGTCGAAACCGCTATTGACGGCTTTTTTTCGCTGTCGTAGTCCACAAAACTTGTGAAATTCGACATCACCACATCTTTAGCAATTCCTCTATTTTATTTGTCTTTTCTCTGCAAAATTGCGATAAATAGTGACAAGTAACACACTTTTTTCCCGGAAAAGTTTAAGAAATGTGAGAATCTGATTTATTTCATAAATTATCATACTTTTGCAATTTTTTTTCTTGAGAATAGTAAGAAATGTCTAGGATTATGCCGAAAAATGAGTGATTTTACTTGTTATGGGGTTGGGGGCAAAATTTGAGCATTTTGAGGAGGAGAAAAAGTGAATTTCGCAAAAATTTCAATTATTAAACACTATCGTTCTTTTTTCCGAGAAAATCAAATGCGAGGAAACCGTGTAGAGTTGGGGGGACGTTCTGTGTTGATTCCTAGACAAAATATGACAAATCGGGACGATGAAAAACAAAAAAAGCGGGAGGGAACGTATATAACACTTTTTGAGAAAGAAAAAAGGAATACAAATAGTCGAAGAACAGACTAGAATCGTTGTAATTTTCAATAAAATCGTCGGATTTATTATATTATTCAAACGGTATTCCGTATTGTTGAGAGTCGTTGCAGGACCTGAAACGAGCAAAATTAACGGTGGTTTCGGAAAGGGATTTAGTGTTTGGCCAGCTGGATTTCGGTGACTAACCGCCATTTCATAATATTACTTTTTTAAAAAGAGATACTTAATTTTCGCTGAACAGACACTGAAACCAACCGACTGAAACATTTTTCAGTTCTATAACTCCGCCTAAAAACCGCAGTACCTGTCCAAAAGAGGGTCTATCCTGGGGCGAGAGTGCCCATGTTTCGTTCATAACGCGGAACACTTCGGGCGGACATCCTTCCGGCGCCTCCATTCGATATCCTTTCTCTATGTGTCGCACCACGTCTTGAATTGGCTGAAAAGCACGGAAATGCTACAATTTTCGAAAAATGCTTTTTTGGTTGGGTGGTTTTTGTTTGTCGGATAATTGGTAGATGATAGATGATAGAAGTGGAGAGAGAGAGAGAGAGAAAGAAGAAAAAGAGTGTCAGAAACCGAGGAGAGGGAATGATCAGAAGGGGAATGGAGAGATCACACTCGAGCACACGCATTCACAAAATCGGAAAGACTACTTTAGCATCAGAATTATAGCAAATTTATGCTGAAAACGCATTTTGCTTTTAATTTATAAGAATTTGCTTGCTTTCCCCTCCTAGTCATTCCATTTCGAACACATTTCTGAAACTTCACCGGAAACCCCGAAAAGGGATAGTGATAGAAGTGGGAGTCCATTCAAAAACGCAAAAATAAATGCGAATAACATACCGAACGACCGTCAGCACCCTGAAATTCAACGAATGCAATGAGAGGAGGCCCCCCCGAAAAACACAAGTACGAGCAGACTTTTTTTTGAAAGTTCGAAAAACAACGAGAAATTCCTGAATGATAACTTACGATTCTCGGGTAGGGTACCCTTCCGAACGAGAAAATCTCCCAGAGCAGAATTCCGAACGACCAGACGTCGGATTTTGTGGAAAACTGCTGAAGAACACAATATATTCTTTCGAAATCAACGAAATCCGGTCAACTTACACTACTCCTGAGCGCTTCGGGAGCCGTCCATTTGATGGGGAACTTTCCGGACGCCGAGTCGTTCGACTGACTGTTCGCCTTTTTGGCCAGTCCGAAATCGGAGACTTTCGCTACGAGCGACTCGTCGAGAAGCACGTTACGGGCGGCCAAGTCTCGGTGCACAATCTGTTTGGATTCCAGGTAACACATCCCTTGGCAGATGTCTCTGGAAATGAGAAAGATGAGAATCCGATCGGCAGGGTCCGAACTTACATGGCGAACATCATGAGCTGCCTCCTCTCGAGAGCATGTCTCCCCCGTGATCGCAGCAAATCGATGAGGTTCCCGTTGGCCATGTACTCGGTGATCATGTACACATTTGTGTCGTCAAGGACCACTCCGACTAGTGTCACCAGGTTCGGATGCGATAGTCCCCTACAAAAAGTGAGTCGGACGCGTTTCCTAATGATTTTATTGCACTTACACCATGAACTTGGCCTCGTCGAGGAGCGAGTCGAGCATTCCGTTCCCGTGCCGTTTACTCACTTTCAGCGCCACCTTCCGATTCTTGTAGGTGCCGAGCCGAACGTCGCCAAACTCTCCGTGTCCGATCGTGTCGCCCACCTCGATCTCGTTCGACGGAATCACGAGTCCGGCGTGTCGGAACACGGACGTCCGATCCTCCAGATCGGTCGGCGACGTGGAGCCGAACGAGGAGGAGCCGTTTGAGGAGAACGTCGCCGTTTCGCAGATTATCGGCGTCACCAGGCGATGGCACAGTCCGTCGGCGTCCCGTTTGTAGTGCTGAAACAGGAGAGATCCCTCAAAGATTTCCGAAATTGCAGTGTTAACTTGATCTGCGCGCAAAGACTATTAACTTTTTATGACTACCACTGTCCGCTCTCTGTCCCTTTCTCTCGATTTAATTACCGCTCTTCTCTGCTGATACACATAATTTGATAACTTTTCCGTTCAAATACCGGTTTATGACTCATCTCTCCTCTTTGTTTCACTCACCGAAACCAACTGAGTGAGATTGGAGAAGTACTCCTCTTTGTCGCAAGTCAGCTGTCCGCCCGACGTCTGCTCGATCCGATAGTGTTCGACTTTGCCGTGATACGACATGCACAGAGTGAAGTCGCCCGGGAAATTCGTCGATTCTCGCACTAGAAACGTGCCGTCCGGCTTGCCGCGTAGCAACTTTTCAGTGTTTTCTCTGCTGATCATCGAGTGGAACCACGGCTGATTGTGTGCGGCGGTCGAATGATGAGAAGAAGTGCTCGAGGCTGTGGACGGGGCACTCGGATCGCATCCCGCCGCACGCATCCGCACTATTCCGTTGTCGTACGATTGACCGCTGCAAAATTGCCGCATAGAACTGTTTTTAGGCCACCGACTGGTAAAATATACATGATTTACACAGAAACTATGGTAAAATACGGGTTTTTTCACACTTTCTTACTTGATTCGAACGACGCAATCCGCGTGGACAAGCCCTTCTTCCTGGTTCGAATTCCTCGCTCGGTACCATGCGGGGTCCTGCAATTTCATCATTTTTTACAGAAAATTAGCCATTTTGAGCTGAAACTGACGGTGGTCTGCGCGAGTATCCGCACGTGGTCGTCTTTGCGGAAGACGTTGTCTCGCGACGGCATTCCGTGCGAATAGAACGACGGAGAGACTGTCCGCGTGACGATCACGTCGTTGCCCGGCGACAAAAGATCGCGATTCGCGTTCAGTGAGTTCATTCGCGATTGCGAATGAATCGAGTGCGACGAGCACGAGATCGGCAAGCTCGTCGGAAAGTGATGGTGGTGGTTGTAGCTGTTGCCGTTGCTCATTTCTGCAAACTTTCAGATAAAATCGAATTTATAAGCAGTTCAAGTTACCTAAAATACCATTCGCTATGAAATCCTCAATTATTCGCTCAATTTCAGCGTTCGATACATGTCGTTCTCGCCAAAACTTGCTGAAAATCTGTCTGTTTTTTGAAGAAACCAGCAGAATTTCTTAAAGGCGCATGGCTAAATTTCTTCGAATTTCGTCATGCGCCTTTTAACAAAGCACCATTTTCGCATTTTTGCATTGAAAAAAACGCACTTTTTGTTCTGGCGATCGTCAAACTCGTCAGTGGACGAAAACGAGCCAGTCGGACTGCTGCTACTTCCGCCCAACGAGTGTGAGCGCTGAAAAATGGCCAATTAGTCAAGAAAAAGGCGAGAAAAAAGCGAGAAAAACCCTGTCGATGGAGATTTTCGCTTTATGAGCCGAAGGAATTGGCGGCCAATTCCGGAAGTTTCGATGATGGGAGCGACTGCGTTGGGGGTGGAATAATGGGAGCATTTAGAAAGTAATAATACTATTTGTGTTTCTTTAGTCGGGTGAATAACAAGCGAAAGGGGCAGAAGTATTTAGGTAATTTGAGAGAAAAGGGTGGTCAGTCAGCGAGAGGCGCGGCTCGAATTACGCGGTCAATGTTTTTGTGTGCTTTTTAAAGATATCAGGCGTCCGCCCGATTTAGAACTCCTAATTCTCAAGTTTTAAAAGCCAAAATCAATAAAATCGGATATAATTGGTGGCGGCAGAAGCAGAAGCGCGGAGGATCCATAAAACCCAACAAATTGGCACCTTTCCGGCCATGAAAATGATGGGGTCGAAAAAAGTGATGAGGAGGGGGGCAAAAGATTGAAGAGTGTGTGTTTCGAACAAATCGGAAGAACAAGGTGATTTGGGTAGACCTCCGAGAGGCGTCTGTTGGTAAGTGGAAGAGGAGCGACGAGGCAGTGCGGGCGGGCGAAGAGACGCAGACGGACACGCAGACTTGCGACACGGCGAGAGGCCATTCGAATTGCGGAGAGTTGACGCCAGATTACGGCCACAGGGAATGGAAGGAAGAAATGGAGGAAAGAGAGCGAGAGAGAGAGAGAGAGAGAAAGCGACGAACAAACAGAAGAAATCCAAGAGACGGTATTATGCGCACGCGCAAGACGCCCGCATGATCTCTTTCTCTTTCTCTTCCGAATGTCTTTGTACTGTTTGGAACGTTCGGTACGCTGCCCAGGGCGGAGAGCATTTTATTACACCTGTTGTGACCCGCTCGTTAATGACCGCGCCCCGGGCAACATGTGCTGGCCGATCGGCGCGTCTTTTCGGTATTCGTTCCGGAAGGGATTGGCTCAGCTGATCAAACAACGTTATAACGCAAAAAAATCATTTATCGTGCTTTCGGAAATGAGGAAATCGCGCTATGCCACATGGAAATCAGCGAAATTTTAGTTTTTCTTCATGAAATGTTCGAATTATATCAAGTGAGTGAGTCAAAATCTCAGTTTTCCAGTAAGAGCAACGAACAAAAAGCGCCAAAAAAGTGGTGGTGGGGGTGAGATCTGTGTGAACCGGAGGTCGGAGATGCCTGTGCTCTCTCAGTGTGGAAGGTGCTCGGATTTGTTTGAACATTGTTGTGTTTATCGATTTTGGATGGGGCGAAGCCAAAACGGATAGTCTCTTTCGCTCCGAAAAGGTGCCTATACGATCGGAATGGAAAGAGGAAAAGCGTGGAAAAGGAGGTTAAGGAGGGATTAGAAACGGGCGGCAGCAAGTGGAGAGGTCCGAGAAAAGGTTTTAAAGGGGGGAAAGCGGCGGAGTTGGGAGATTACTCCAAACTATACAGAACTTTTGACTTATTCGTCGCTTGTTTGAGGCTCGGAACCGTTTTCCTTCTCCGTCATAACGATTTTCGTTTTTAAAAATCAAACAGACGACCTCCAGACTTTTATTAATAAGAATGACCATCTTCATCATATATTCCCTCTCTTTCAGACGCTTTTCAGAGTCTTCTCTCCATTTACTTCAGTTGCCCGTGTGTGCTGGCCGAGTTTCTCCGTCTCCTCACTGCAAAACCTCGTCCACGTCGGCGTCTCCTCGGCCACACTCGATAGTGTCCCTCCTAGACGCTTCTCTCTCCAATTTCTCCAATTCGCCTCTACACTCTGCTGCCCTAAAATCGTTATTTCCATGTCCCTACTTCATAAATATTCTGTATGAAAGTGAGAATTCCAGACTGAAACCAATTAGTGTTGGGTATTCAAGATTCCGGCCCGAATTCCCGGCTGATTCATCTTGTTTTTCGTGTCCGTTTCAAAGGTAAACGCGTCTATTCAAGCATTCACATTTCTCTCACTGATTGGATGCGGAGCGGAAATAAGGAAACGAGAATCGGCAGTGTCTTCCCATAAAACACTCATTTGTGTGCTCTCCGTTCTCACTTTCCCCGTCGTCTTATCACAAATGTGTTTGTTTTCCCCAATGCGAAAACATTGGGGGCGGCTCGTGCATAATTGTTGCATGCATATCGTTCATTTCCCTAATTCCGACCGAGCCTGAACTTTGTTTTGGTGATCCGCACGCTTGAAAGTTCAAGTGTGTGGATGGCCCATCGCTAATCTTGTTCTCCGAATGATAGTTTGATTAGCGATTAGTCATCGGATTGGTCTCGGACGTTTTTGCAGCTGGCTATGCGCCATGCGCTTTTACGCTCATTTTTCTTTGAAATCATTAACGTCTGGCGTTTATTGCGAAAAATTGATAAAACAACAGGCTTCCAAAATACTGTCAAATTAATAATGTTGCCTCCGGTTCCCCGCCGCCGCAACGCGACCGCTTCGCAGCCGAAAAGACCACGCCCCTTTCTGCAAGTGCCGCACATGCCGCATCAATAAATTATTTTTCTTGGAAAATACACAAATTAAAGTTCGGAATCTCGTTTGAATCTATCTGTTTGCAAAGAAAATTCTCTAAAAACACTCGAAAGCAATTAATTTCCGTCAGGAGTAGCTTTTATTTGTGTATTTTCCAAGAAAAATAATTAATTGACAGGGCATGTGCGGTTGCAGAAAGGGGCGTGGTCTTTTCAGCTGCGAAGCGGTCGCGTTGCGGCAGCGGGGAACCGGACGCAAGATTATTAATTTGATAGTAGGTCTGCATTGTGGAACGAGCTAACGCTCGAAAGCGGCTTTTTGAAAAAGTTAAAATGGCAGACTTTTGGGGTTATTTTTTTTCTAAAAATACACTAAATATCCCATAAAAGTACACTAAATATCCCATAAAGACTAGACAAGGAGAAAAAAAGATGGTGTTGGCCGCAACGAGTCGGTCTGAATGGACGGACCAGAAAATACGGCACCGGTGTGACATGATTACCCGGCCATCCATCCTCATGGGCATCCTTTCAGCCCTCTCTCAGCAAGGGTCTCTACACTAATTCTCGGCCAGGGCTATCCTCTTTTTGTTTCTTCCTGCCTTGCCTGGTTTCCCAAAGACGAAGGCCTCCAAACTATTGACTCTTGTTATGGAAAAGCAGAAAAAGAAACTGTTTTCAAAATTGCACCCATTGAACGTCCTCTCAACGCCCCTTATTTGAATTTCAAACCATTGTCGTCAGACGGTCTGCTCCGCACTGATATCAAGTATAATACAGTCTGAGCGCTAATCAGTACCCGAGCACCTTGTGACTCTTTCTCCCTTTCTCCGTTTGCAAGATGCACAATAATGTGATAAACACACACACGCACACACACAACGATCGGTGCAGAGCGTACTGTAGCCGTGTGCAAAGTGTCGTAGGGTTGAGTGTGCAACTGACATGTCCCCGTCCCCGTTTCCCTTCATTATTCATACTCTTTTCTGTGCAAATCGAGGTTTTCTCTCCCTTCCTCCTCCTCCTCCTCCTCCTCCTGCTCCTTTTAGACGTGCGAGCAGGCAGGCGAAGCTTCTTCCCCTCCGTCCTTTTAGTCGACCAATGATCAGCCATTCGATACGATTCATTGCCGGCCTGGGGGGGAAGCCCTTCGGAATCATATTCAATGGGTCCATTTTACGACCCATTTGTGTTGACGAGTTTCCTTCGGTGCGCTTTTGTCGGCCAGTGTATTTTGGGTGCATTTGTATCGTAGCCATGCAATGTATTTTCGATTTTGAAGCATTTGCATTCAATAAAATACACCTCAGCAGCGTTTCAGACGACAATTTCAAAATGGTCTGTTTGGCCCGAACTTATCAATACCCGTACAAAACATTTTATCATTATTTTTTGATCTCCTAGCTACAGTACCAGAGACCTCTTTCTCTTTTGGTGCGTACGTGCGCCGGGTGCACCGTGCACTCGAAACAGGTGTCAATTCCGACACAAAATCGCATCAATCAAAACGAACCCTTCTTCTTCTTCTTCTTCTTCTTTTTCTTCGTCTCTTGCTTATCATTCGCCCGTTCTCCTGCTTCTCCGACCTCGCTTAAACGCGCATCGTCATCAGAATTACGGCGCCGCCCAATTTCGTAACACCAAACGTTGACCTTTTCATTTTCACATGTTGACGAAAAGAGGAGATAGAATTGATTACAGCGAAGGGGATCAACGCTTTACAACGTGGCGCAGAGTACGGTAGGCAGACGGGCTTCGTTTGCACCCGTTTCCCATAGTTTATCGCTTTCCCATCGCCGGCGTCTCAATTCATCATTTTGCCGCTCCCTCCCTCTCGCACTCGCGTTTGTTAGTGTTACACACACACACACACACACAAAAAATATCGCAACAAAAATTGCGTTACAGGTCAACCGATCCTGTCTGAAAATTGTCGTCAAGTTGGGTGCTAAATGATAAATCACTCAAAGTGTTTGCTCACAGAGCCACCCCTCGGAAGTTCGGTGTGTGGCCGGGCGGGCAAGATGCGGAGCAAAACGAAATTTGATATCTTTTTTTTTTGTTCCCCCCCTCCCGGAAAGTCAACAAACTTGTTGATGTTTGTCGAGCGGACGTAGTTTTGCGTCAGATTCGGTGCATTGGTGTGATCTTTAAGACGTGGGACGACAGTAATATCAAGATTATGAGCTCTCCTAATCCCGCGACCAAAGTGTAATCCACTGCCGCTTATCCTCATCCGTATTCGCGATGACGTTCAAGAATCGAAGAAAAGTGTGGTGATTGCATCAGACGCGCCTACCTACAGTAATCTTCAAAGTGTCAAAGTGTTCGCGATTCCGACGCCTCATCAATCATCGCGTTAGATGGAAAAAGAAATCGGTGAAAAGAACACGTTTTCGGTTTTGTGAGAAGACGCCAAAAGTTGATCGAATTATTTCTGCGGTGATTTGGATTTTGATCGCAACTGAAGATTTGTACAATTTGCACCCGACAAACAAAATGCACATAATCAATTAGACTGAAAAAGACAAGTGCCCGTGCCCTCTTTCTCTCGTTTTTTTCCCCTCATTTTCTCAATTTTCGCATCCGCCGCGCGGGAATACAAAATGAGGCTGAAATTGGATAGAAATGAGCATGCTCTCTTAGTGAAAGAGCTCTTTTTGTGCTGCGGATGCTCGACGAGCCGTGCAATTCCGAGAAAATGCATGAAATTCCAACATCATCTAAAAATAGACATTCAATTCGACGCAAAAGTGCAGACTTGTCTGAAATTCGCCCGAAAAGTTATAATTACGAAAATGGGCAGCTGAAAATTGATTAAAATCTGGCCGGATTTGTGAGCTTTTCCCAGAAAAAGCTCAACAAAACGAGGGTAATCGAGTTTTGGCGCGCCCAAAAATAACTTTTTTTTGCGAGCGAGCAAGTGCGGAAATGAGCGGCCAACTAGTGGGAAAATCTGCGCGTAAACAACTTTGAAACATTCCGTTTTTGTGCATAGAATTTTCACAAAGTTTTGGCGCAAATTTCAAGAGCTTCCGGATTACGGTAAGTTTAAAGGCGCATAGGGAGTATGCAGAACAGTTTGCAAGTCTGAAATAGAAACAAATTTGCAAAATCCTTTCAAAATTTTTGCGGTCAAAGATTTCTCATTTCCCTCGTCGTTTCTAATCACAAGCAACGGATTCGGATATGATTTTAGGCCAAACTAGATTCGGAATCGGTTCGTCGGAGCGCATTTGCATTCGATTTCTTATGAGAAGATCTGCGTCGGCGGGCCGCGCATCCTTCTCCTCCGTCCGCCCGCTTCTGGTCCCTCCTCGACGCCTGCGTCTCTCCAATTCGCCCGTTCTCTCCGCGCTTTTTTGCGTTTTGCCACTAGGTCGTAGATCGCAAACGCATTGACACCGTCGTCCGATATCGGAAGCGACTAGACATCGGGCACTGTCGCCTCTTCTTCTCTGTTCTCTCTCTCTCTCTCTCTCTCCCTGATCTCCACTCCTCTCATTTTCTTGCTTTCAAAAGGAGAAGCCACGCCCCTTTCGGCGGACCGCCCCCTTTTGAGGACTCTCCGTCTGAGAATGCCACTTTCAGAATTGAGGACGCGGCGGGCCCGGGTCGGCTTCTCTGCGCACTCTCGTTCTCGCACACACTCTCGCTCGCCTCGGCCAACTTTTTTGCAAAAGAAAAAGAGAGAGAGAAAACCTTCGACGACGATGATTTGTCGCTTTTTCTCTCGTTTCTATTACTCCCATCACTATTCTCCCGTCTATTTGTGTTCCGAACGTCGGGGAGGTCGTTTTTTTTTTAGGCCAAGGTGGAAAAGAGAAATTGGGTGCCATTTCAAAGACTATTTTGAGACGAAAAAAGAGAGAGAGAGGAGGCAATTTGAATAATTGAGGTCCAGTCTCTCTCGATCTGTTTGTATAAATGAGAGCCGAGCGGCGAAAAGTGCAATGTGAGCAGCAAGCGAGGTGCAAGGCCGAGTCCAAACTCGCTCTAATGAAATTTGGTCCGAGTGAGAAATTGCGGAACATTCCATCCGCATGCAACGCAACTATTTCCACTTCTGATAAGACGTCTAAACCAAAAAATTAATCCGCTAGACCCATCTCGAACAGTGCAGAAAGCATTGTGATAAGCGAGACTGTGTGCGCGTGTGCGTGACTTCTCAATTTCCACAACATTCAATTTATCTGCTCAAAGCTCAATAAAACTTCCTCGTTTCGTCCAATTTCCACATTTCCATTCATCTCTCTATTGTCGTCTGTTTGTACAGCCCTCATTCATTTCAGTACTAAAACGATCAATGAACACTCACAGGACATCCGATCAAATCGCACGATGCTCACAAAATTCGCCACTTGGCCATAGGGCGTCTGGAAATGAAAGTCCTCGCCTTGATCTGTGATCGCACTTTCAGAGTGCTTGAATGTTCGAAAAAGCAAAAGAGGTTTTGGACAACTGAGATTCGAACCAGAGCCTGCAGAATATCAGCCAAAAACGTTGCCACTGCGTCACACGCGCAGCACAGAAATCGTGGTCCCAGGGCGTACTTGTTAGCGGCCGATTTGTCATGGGCCTGGCCGGATTTCAGTTTCAAAATCGTGCCTTTTTGAAATTCCGAGTGTGTAAATTACGTTTTTCAGCCAGAAATAGCCAATTTTAATGAGAATAGTTTTCCGGGTAAAAATCTGACCAATCACTTCAAAACGTGAAATTTTCGAAATTGTTTCTCAAAAAGACACACTGATTGCATGCAGCCAGAGAAAAAAGTGTCTGTTCAAGTTTTCGGTAAGTGCGCCCAAATCGAATCTTCGTTAACTACAGTAGTTCTCAGTTTTCGGCCTCACACACACGCACATGTCGTCCTCATCCGTCATAATCCGCGCCAAAAGACTCTTCTAATCCACACTCCTCCTTCTCCTTCTTCTCTTTTCTTCGCTCGCAACAATGGAGGCTCCGCTTCCTTTGTGATCTTGCGGACTTGTTGTTTTGTTCTCGGAATTCTCGGCACACAATGTTTATTTCATCATCATATTTTTGTGTGCGGCAGCAGCAAGCTTCAGAGGATCAGCGAAGATTTGTCATTTTGCAAAAACGAAATGGAGTTTTACGATCGATCGCATACGCTGATCCGTGTTATTGTACTGGTTTCGAGCGATACTTGACTTACCGTATTCTCGTTACAATCTGTCTCCTCGCATGGAGGTCTTCTTTTCGTTTCAAATGAATGTCACGGTCGATCGCGCCGCCCGCTTCTTCTTTTTCTTTTTCTTTTTCTTTTTCTTTTTCTTCTTGGGCCAAATCGACATCTTTTTGTGTTTGTGATCATGGTGGGCTTACCAAGTTTTTGTGTTCTGATGAAGAAAAGTGAGAGCGCTTTGAGATCTGCTTTCTAGATTTGCATTGAGGTTGTTACACGGACGGTACTTTGTTGCAAGTGAAAGGGATCCATCTTCATTCAAAGTTTAACTGGTTGTATCCTCTGAATCTGGCGGAATGAATGAACATTTTGTGAAATATGTGCAAGTGTGTTCCCCAATGTCTAGTCAAAAGTTACCGTAATCGTTCCACCCGGAGAGCCATGCTATCAGTTCCTGCTCTCTCTCTCTCTCTCTCTCTCTCTCTCTCTCTCTCTCTCGATACTCTTCTCTCCCTTCTTATCGCACACAATGATTTGCATTCATTCGCCGCCCGCGAACTGCCAACTTTTTCTAGGCCACAACGGCCTTACTCCCTTCTATTTCCCTTCTTTGTTTGGACATTTCCACCTAAACACAAACACAAACATTGTGTCCGTTTTAGGCAAGAGATCGGCAAAAAACCCGAAGAAATTGAACAAATATTGGCGTTTCGCTGAAACTGCCAAATACGTCCTTGAACTTTGTTCCCGTTTTGACGTCAAACGTCTCGAAAAGTATTGCACAACACTCGTTTATCAGTAAAGCAACAAAGTGTAGTGCAGGGGTGTGCGGAAAATATTTCGATTTTCCGAAATTTTCCGATTTTCCGAGAAATTTTCGGAAAATTTTCCGACGGAAAATTTTCCGAAAATGTTCGGCAAAATTTTCGGAAAATTTGTGTGGATTCAAGGTCAATTTGTCCGAAACCACCGTATGCTTTTTAAAGGCGCATCACAAAATTTTTGGAAGGGTCTAGCAGCGAGCGTCTTTTTAAATTTGATTTTTAAATTTTACGCAATTTCTTTCGTTTTTCTCATTCTAATGAACCGATTGTTGCGATTTGTGTTGTTTTTTCAGAAAAGCTGACGTAATGGGAAAGTGGGACGTATACTTAACTGGGCGGAAAAACGGTGAGAAAGCGTGTTTTTGCGGCCACAAGTTCAACGCTCAAAAGCAAGGATCTACTTTCGCATATGTCTATCACTTCAAGAACAATCATCCGAATGAGTTTTTGAAGGTAAGCAAAAACTGTTCAATTTAGTAATTTTATATTTCAGCTCGAAAGCGGGAAAGGTGTGCAGGAAGAGGAGGCGAAGGAACCAGCCGCAAAGCGACGTGTCCAACCGAAAATTTTTGAAAGTTTCCACGAGTTTGGCGACAATGGGAAGAAAACAGATGAAATCCATCGTGCGATCATGCAATTCATTGCCACCGCTTCCCTCCCGTTTTTGACTGTCGAAAATGTTGGATTCAAGAATCTTCTTTCAATGACAACGCCTAGATTGAAAATTAAAGGACGGACTCATTTTTCACGTGTGGAACTTCCAAAACTCTACGAAGAATACGAAAACCGTCTGATTGTGGAGTTAAGCGACGTATCCGATGTTTCCATCAGTTTCGATAACTGGAGCGACAGTTCCGGAAGTCACGAGTATTTGGGAACTCTCGTGCATTTCGTAAAAAACGGGGAACTGGTTTTTCGTGTACTCGGAGCAATTGACGTGACGGAGAAGAATCACACGGCCGCGTTTCTTTCCGAAAAATTGACCGATTTATTTGAGAACTTCAGCTTGGGATCTAAAATCCGAGCAATTTTACGAGACGGCGCCTCCAATGCAAAAGCTGCAGCTAGAGAGCTGCACGAGGTCCATTTTGACTGTTTTGCTCACAAAATCAATTTGGCTTCGAAGGAAGGAACTTCCTTGATTCCTGGATTGTCGACCACACTCGAAAAAATTCGAAAAATCTGCCGAAAATTGAATAAGTCGCCGAATGCGAGAAGGAATTGGAAGGAGATCTGCGTTCTCACCGATGTGCCCGTTCTTTTGTTGAAAAAGCACACAGAAGTAAGTTCAAACTACACATTTCGCAATACTCGATTGCTTCAGATTCGGTGGAATAGCATTCACGACGTGTTCGAGAGAGCTATGAAAGTGAAGACTCAACTTGGACTTCTTCTTCTATCCTGCTCCGATTGGCCTCAATTGGACGATTCCGACTGGGAAATCGCGAAATCGGTTGTGAAAGTTTTGACTCCACTGGTCGAAGCGACTAAAATTATTCAAGGAAGATCGTTCTGCGCTTCTGCGATTATCCCAATGTGCCGGGTGATGATTTCTGATCTAGAAGCATCTGATCAATTTCAAACAGCAACTACGGCTGTTGCCAAGAAACTCAGAGAAGAGCTTTCGAAATACGAGAAAATAGAGTATCTCAACTACGCGACGCTCCTCGATCCTCGATTCAAGAATAAGTACTCTGACCCAGACTGGAAACGAAAACTCACAGAATTACTCCTCCAATCGATTCCGAATGATGATAACGATGAAAGCAAAGCTTCAGATGTCGAACCTAGCCGATCGGATCCATTCACTCGCTTCATGGAAGCCCGAGGCGGAGTTTCGCCGTCCAAAAACATAATTGACAGGAGAGCAATGATTATAGGGGTAAGAAAATTCGCCAAAAACACTCCACAACTAGCTTTTTCAGGAAGTCGAACGGTATTTTGGGGAAAAAACAAGTTTCGAGTTATCCCCACTTGACTTCTGGTCAATGAGCAAGGATTCTTTGCCGTCCCTTCACAGCTTCCACGGAAAATTTTTCTGTACTCCCGCAACGACTGCAGAAACGGAGCGACTCTTTTCAACCGCGCGTCTCATTCTCACTGACAATCGGAAAACACTGGACCCGGAGAGCTTCTCTCGGCTAATTTTTTTGCAAAAAAATATTCCATTGCTTGGCTTCCGCCCACTCAAGTGATTTCAAATCATAATAAGCATTTTTTTGTATTAGAACGTTGTTTAAACACTTTATTGAACCAATGAACAAGTGAGTTTTCCGATTTTTCCGATTTTTCCGAAATTTTCCGAAAAAAAAAATTCGGAAAAACCGATTTTCCGAAATTTTCCGAAAAAAAAATTTCGGAAAAACCGATTTTCCGAAATTTTCCGAAAAAAATTTTCCGCACACCCCTGGTGTAGTGCACGGCCTCCAGAGCTGACAATATGGGCGTGGCCTCCTCGGCGGCCAAATGGCGTTTTCATGAATTGTGACAGGTTTTCTCTGATTTTTGTGGTCAACGGCGATGAAAAATGATTGTTCGACATGAAAACACACTAATTCTCACAGAATTAATGACGTTTTGGCGCATTTTTCGCGGATTTTGCTTTTTCGCCTTCGCCGCCGATCGCCGCCAAAAAACCGCACTTCTCATTTTGCGCTTTCTTGACCATTTTCAGGCAGAATTGGTTTTGAGAATGATAAATCACGTAAATACAAACATTTTGAGCGCTCGAGCCGCGAAAATTACCGAAAAGCAACTGAAATTCACGCAGTTTTAGCCAAAAACCTTCAAACGGATAAATGTGATTTGCGACTTGACCAAATTTGACGCTCTTGCGCTTAAAAATTCGTAATAGCCTATACAATCGGTCTATCGAGAGACAAATGAGAAATTATCGGTTTTTCGTGGCTAATCTGGCAAAAACACAAATTTTGCTGTTAAAATTTGAAATTCGCGCCAAATTTTGCTGTTAACATTTAAATTTCGCTCTATTGGGGCCATTGTCAGCCCTGGAGACCGTGGCGCGAACGACATTTATTCATTTATTGAATGGAGAGGGAAGTGTTATCCGTCGAGCTTGTATCCCGGTTTCGCTTTGCGGCACAGCACAATCGTGCTGTCCGAGCAGCCCTTCGCGGTCGCCGAGTGCTCTTTGCCCTGGTATCCGTAGCCGTATTTCTCGTTGCGCACGTCGATCTTGGCGAGGATCTGCTTGCCGCCGGGCAGGTTGACCACGCCCACCGAGATGTCGCCCTTGTGGTTGTTCACGTGCACCGGGTGCCATTCCTTGTCGCCAAACTTGGCCGCCTCCGGGAACGGGATCCAGCCGTAGTCGAAGCCGCGAACACTGTCCGGCAGGTAGATGAGCAGCTGCATTGATCCGATGTTCTTGGCGTACTCGTTGTTGAACCACGAGAAGTTGGCGGCCACCTGAAATTCAGCTGATTACATGCTGTTCCACACTCTCTCGTTCACCTTTCCTCCCTCGTTCCAGACGCGTCCCATGACTGGCTCTCCCTGCATGTACCACAGCGCCACGTACTGGTCGGCATTGACCCCGGGAAGGGTGTCGAGCGACTTGTCCAGAGCCTTGACGAGCGGACGCGTCGGCCACGGATCTCCCTCGCGAATGTCCATCCATTCGTCCCTCTCGACACGTGGCACCGGCTTCGGCGGTGGCGGCGCGGCTCCGCACACTGCGCACGGGCAGTGAGGCGGTCCGCCGATGCAGTTGCGCGTAATGATGAACATGTCGTTGAGCTGCGGACCGAGCTGCTTCAGCACTTTTCCGTTGATCGAGAACCACGCCTCTTCGGTCTTGTTGTCCACGTAGCCCATCAGGTTTCCCTCGTCGCGCTTCCAGAAGATGGGAAACGAGTCGCCGCAACGCACGAGCTGGTGCTTGTCGTCGAGCTTCTCGAGACGGTCCTTGTACTTGATCCACTCGTACCAGAAACCTGAAGACATGAAACCATCTGGGGATGCCAATAGAAACCCCCCTCACCTTGGGTGTTGTGGTCGGCGAGGTACTGAAGCACCTGAATCTGTCCCTCCAGCTGCTGCTTCGTCGTCAACTCGGCGTCCTTGTAGGGAAACGAGCACTCGACGACTCCTCCGTTGTTCCACGAACGTCCGTGAATCGGTTTTCCGTGCTTGTACCACAGCGCCACGTACATATTCTGTTCGCCCATACACTTGACGGGGCTCGGCGGAAAGGGCGCTCCGATCGGCTGGAACGCCCACGTATCTTCTTTCGGCGGCGGATTCGGCATCTTTCGTCGTTAGATCGATGCAATCGTTGACAGATGGTTTGTGCGGTGCGTCCGTCCACAACGTCCTTTTATAGACACCGCTTATCGGACGGCACAATCTCCAGAGGTCCGCGGGTCATTCCGGGATCACGTGGGTACGCAAAAAAGTGTGCACGAACCGGCCAGCTGATGCCGCCGACCGACTCCTCGAGTCTCTTTGACTTTGACCCTTCCTCCGATCAATCTCTCGCGGTCCCCATCCCATCCCATCCCATCGCACCTTGCAAATCATCTCTGAACCACCGCTCGCCGCATTTATCAATGTTTCGACGACGCCGGCGGGAGCTCACTAACCAAAACCAGTGTGTCTTCTTCTCATTCTTCTCCTTTTCCTTTTTCTTCTGCCTCGACATGTTCTATTTTGATTCGTGGACACGACGTAGTCTTTGTTGTGTCGTACAGCAAAATTGGCATCAACTGTCCCATGTAATTGCTCTCTCTCTCTCTCTCTCTCTCTCTCTCTCTCTCTTTCTCTCTCTTTCTCTCTCTCGCTCGCGCGATTCCCTTAAAAGGAGACCTGTTTCCTGCGAATTTTCGAATTGTCATTCGCCGCGAATCTCCGTTTGCTGGTCACTTTCAACCCGACAACACGCGGAAAAAGACAATTTATTCATGGGGACTTTTGACCCACTTGCAATAGTCAATGATCCGACCGGACCCAACTTTGAACGGTTTTTGGACTGGTCCCGAGGACCGGAAAGTCGGATCGGTATGAAGCTTTTGCCGAATATACTATCAAACTAATAATCTTGCGTCCGGTTCCCCGCCGCCGCAACGCGACCGCTTCGCAGCTGAAATGACCACGCCCCTTTCTGCAAGTGCCGCACATGCCCTGTCAATTAATTATTTTTCTTGGAAAATACACAAATTAAGGTTGAGAATCTCGTTGTTTAAAGGACCAGGGAACCCAAAAATTTTTTGATGTTTTTGTAAAATGTTTTTGTGACTGTTTGAATTGTCTCTTATTGCCTCATACACTGGTGAAATGCTGCCTCTCAAAAATGCCAATGAACGAAACGGCATGCAGTTGAAGTTGTGGCCGTGGCCTAGCGCCAATGGCCGAAAAATATATAAATATATGCGCTTCTCGGCCATTTTATTTTTTTCCGCTTTTTTTACAGGTTTTTCCAAAAAAATTCACGGTTTCTCCCATTTTTTTCAGTTGATTGACATTTGTTCGGCACTTACTTATTTTTTTCACTGCTAAAAAAATTGTTTTTCATTCAGTCGATATGAAGTGCCAAAATGGGAGAAACCATGAATTTTTTTGGAAAAACCGGTAAAAAAAGCGGAAAAAAATAAAATGGCCGAGAAGCGCATATATTTATATATATTTTTCGGCCATTGGCGCTAGGCCACGGCCACAACTTCAACTGCATGCCGTTTCGTTCATTGGCATTTTTGAGAGGCAGCATTTCACCAATGTATGAGGCAATAAGAGACAATTCAAACAGTCACAAAAAAATTTCACAAATTAATCAAAAAATTTTTGGGTTCCCTGGTCCTTTAAATCCATCTGTTTGCAAAGCCAATTCTCTAAAAACACTCGAAAGCAATTAATTTCCGTCACAAGTAGCTTTAATTTGTGTATTTTCCAAGAAAAATAATTAATTGTCATGGCATGTGCGGCACTTGCAGAAAGGGGCGTGGTCTTTTCGGCTGCGAAGCGGTCGCGTTGCGGCGGCGGCGAACCGGACGCAAGATTATTAATTTGATAGTACTTCAATTCATTCCAAAGAAACCTGAAAAGTTTAGGTCCGATCGGACTATTGATTATTGCAAGTGGGTCAAAAATCCCAGCGCTGTCCTGCCTGCCCTGGAAGACCCACAAGGTGACGTTTTTCGAGAAGGCCCTGATTCTCTCGATAATGTTGTTGTGCAATATCAGGTTACCGTTCACAGCACTTGTTTTCTCATTTTCCCAATCCGCCCACTTCTCCTTCAATATCGTAACAAAGAAAGAGAAAGAGAGAGAGAGAGAGAGAGAGAGAGAGAGTTTGTTTATTTGCGAATTGGGCATCATCAACCAGCAGCACTCTATCTCTCTCTCCCTCTCGCGTTCCCTAAAGACCAGACAGACTGTCTGTGGGAGCCAAAAGAGCACAGCCCGCCGCTCCTTAAAAAGGCGCCTGTTTATTCACGGGACGGCGACTGGCTCCGTTGATATTGTGCTCTTCGATCGCTCGGTTCGTCCCAGTCTGGTGGAACTCTCTCCTTTTGTTCTTCTCTTCTTTTGTTTGCACGTTCCCACTTCTGTTCTCGACGGGTCTCGCCACGAAAGGAAATTTGCCTTTAGCACTGTACTCAGTTCTTTCATTCATTTCTCTCCGATTTCTATAATGTTTGACCGTTTGCGAAACGAACCAAAAAAGAAAAAAAAAAGACGCTCCCTCCTCTCTCTCTCTCACTTTCGCTCTCTTTCACGTCGTACCCATCCGTCCGTCAACATTGAGAGCACAAACCACACGGCCCCAAGTACACTACTTTCTGGAAAAGCTTTCGTGCGCCGAAACGGCAACATTTCTCGAGGTTCGCCGCAAAAAAAAGATGGCCAGTTGTGATAGCGGCTCGTTTTTATGTGAAAAACGGCTCTTCTCGAGGAGAGTAGACGGAAAAACACGCACATTTGTCTGTTTGCGGTTGGAAAACAGAAGAGGAGGAGGGCGAAGAGGATCATGGATGGATGGAGAAGAAGACGGAACGTCGGACAGACACGTCGTTAGGCACACTGATTTATGGGCGCTCGTTTATTCTGAGTGAGAGAAAGAGCCGCCGGTCTTTGTTTTCTTAGCGGCCCTCGTTTTTGAGAGAAGTCTGGTCGCACGCAGCTTTATCTTTGAAGTCGTCTGTGCTACAGTATGTCTAGTTAGATGACGTCCAAAAAGTTTGGAACGTCATCTGATTCGTAGCTCCCACACTCCATCCATAGGCGTGGAATATGGATGACGGTAACACTGCTCAAATGCGAGGATCCATGAACTCCGTGACCTTGTGCTTTCACTACGGACTCCAGGAACTCTAGGAAACCAGACATTTTGAAACCAAAAAAGACACTATTGTTGTTGTATTCTTGTGCGAGTCTTTCAGGAAAGCCCTGTTTTGAAATGTCTGATTTTGAAATGTCCGGGAGTTTCAATATCACGGTCTCCAGAGCTTACAATGGGCGCAAGTGCGCCCCGCCCAATAGAGCGATACATTGGCGCGAAATTCAAATTTTAACAGCAAGATTTGTGTTTTTTGCCAGATTAGCCACGGAAAACCGATAATTTCTCATTTGTCTCTCGATAGACCGATTGTATAGGCTATTACGAATTTTTTAAGCGCAAGAGCGTCAAATTTGGTCAAGTCGCAAATCACATTTATCCGTTTGAACGTTTTTGGCTAAAACTGCGTGAATTTCAGTTGCTTTTCGGTAATTTTCGCGATTCGAGCGCTCAAAATTTTTGTATTTACGTGATTTATCATTCTCAAAACCAATTCTGTCTGAAAACGGTCAAGAAAGCGCAAAATGAGAAGTGCGGTTTTTAGGCGGCGAAGGCGAGAAAGCAAAGTCCGCGAAAAATGCGCCAAAACATCATTAATTCTGAGAATTAGTGTGTTTTGATGTCGAACAATCATTTTTCATCGCCGTTGACCACAAAAATCAGAGTAAACGTGCTCAATTGATGACAACACCATTTGGCCGAGGCCACGCCCATATTGTCAGCTCTGGAGACCGCGCGCGGGAGTTTCACTATGAACTTTTTATTTTGCCTATCTGACACATGTGCAAATGCACCTAGGACGCATTTCAGACCCTCAATGAATCGATCGAACAACAAACGGCAGACAGAAATGCCAAAACGGCCAAAAAATCGTTGTCAAGCCGCTTGGTGCCATGCTGAGTCAGAGAACCATGTTCGATTCAACCTCTTTTTTGGATGCATTGCCCTCTATTCCCCCCGGCGCTTCTCGTCTCTTTCTTCTGCCAACACCAACATATTCTCAATCATTTTCACACTTCTCCGCCCGCCGCTCGTCCTTCACCCAAAGCCAGATTTTCGCATCCTCATCAATCATGCCGTCTTCTCCTTCTTCTTCTTCTTCTTCTTCTTCTTCTTCTTCTTCTTTTGCAACTTGGTTTCGTTTTCGCCCCCATTTCGGTTTGATCCACATCACACATACCAAAGTTTCTTTCTCTCCCTCTCTCTGCTTCCCGCTCTCCTAATCTGATCGCGAAGATTGGAATTAAAGATACTTTTCATTCGCTTTTCTCCCGCCTGTAAACTCTTTTATTTATTACTCTTTTTTTTGCAGAAACGGGTTGCGACCAATATATTAGAGGATGCACGGACCGATCACGAGAAGCGGAGAGGAAGAAGAAGAGCTGCCGAAAAGAAATTGGCTCGATTTTGATCCGATTCCGGAAGTTGAATAGTAAGAATGATTTGCCCGGCGTACTGCACTCTAACACTTCCACTTTGCAGTCTGATCGGTACCGCATGCAGGCATACGGGCGAGCCGGTCCATTTGATGGGCAACTATGCGCACATGTTCCTGGAAATCAGCGACCTGCCGACTTCGCACTGCCACTATCTGGCTGTGATGGCCGCCGCGCGACACAGATGTCTCTCTCTGATGGACATGCACCGTCGGAGGTTCCTCGAGAAGGGCGGCTCCACCATCTGGATCCTCGGAGTCGATTGGTCCGTGATGCGGTATCGCAAAGTGGATTATCTGAATCGAATGCTCTGCCATCGGCCGTGGGTGATTCACTGGAAGAATTTGGCGGTGAGCTGTTCGGACACCCCTATCCAACATTTGTGCTCTTTGTTTCAGGCGCTGATCGCTCGTCGTCCATCGGACGAAGGACCTTCGTTCTACTCAATCGAATCGCTGCACCAGGCCGTCGGCATCATGTCGATGACCCATGCAATGTGCACCGTCGTCTGCTCGCTGGGCCTCGAGCGTCGTTGCGATCTGTCTCAGACCGAGATCGACTTCCTCAACATTGACGATTTCGACTACTGGCAGTTCCGTCCGTCCAAACGTTTCCGCGTTGCTCTCGACCGCAAAGCGACGCCAGTCGAAGAGCTGATCTGCAGTCTCAAAAAGACGCAGCGAGGAAGAATGCGCCCGGCGGCTAAGATGTGCGCGATGACCTCCGAGACGATCGAGTCGCTCATGAGCGCCCCGGCGGCCACGTTCAGCGCGCACCGCAAGAACTACTCGCCGACCCTGTTGCTCGGAAACGTTGGCCCGGCCGGGGAGAACATTGAGGAGCTGGAGCCGGAGTGCAACTATCCGATCTACACGCACGACCGCACCTTCGGCTACATCGACTTCCGCAAGCGTCCGGAGAAGGACATCCAGCCGTTCAGCATCACCGAATTCGGATGGGACCACGCGTACAACACGATGAACGAGTACACCGACACGCTGACCTCGCGCCTCGACAGCATGTTCGCGAACATTCGCAAGCTCACCACCACCTCCTCGATCTCCTCCGACGACTCGCAATCGCCCGAGGAGCGCAGGAACCAGCGCGACACAGCCGTCTTCCGCGAGGCCATCTGGAATTACACGCAAGGGCTGTACGGAGTGCGCGTCGACGACTACGACTACTCGAAGATCAACCGCGTGCTCGACAGAGGAACGAAGACGTTCATCAAGATTGCCGCGTGCTACCCGCACAAACTGACCACCGAGTTCACGAATGCGATGCCCGGACTGCGCGTTTCCGAGAAGGTTCGTTCTTTCGAATGCACTTCTTCGCATAAAAACCAATGACTGTTTACAGGTCCACGTCGTGATGATGATTGCGATGGCACGTTTCCAGGCGTCAATGTTCCATTACACGCGTGCCGTCAGCAACTACAACACGATGTGCATGTCGAGAAAGGGATGGCGCAGACCGCTCGACTAACCTCTTCTTCTTCTTCAATACTTTAACCTTTTCCTTTTTTCACACACCTCATCATTTTCATCCGCTAGTAGTTGTGTTTTTCCCCACCCCCTCTCTCTTTTTTTTTCCAATTCGTCTACCTCGATGTTCGCGCTGACTCGTCGGCCGCAAATAGTGCGGCGATGGAGCCCGCTTTCATCACTCTCACCGCGTTCCGCTTCTTTTCCCCCCATTGTTGATATACCGCAATTCGTCGACTCACATTTTCTAAACCAAAATCATAGAATAATCCCCCAAAAAAAAAATTGAAAAAATGCCCCAGAAAGTCACAAAAATTGTTTCGAAATTTTAAGCCCTCCATATGAAAATGCGTAATTTTGTCCGTCCCCGTTTTTCCGTCTTGTCTCCGTCGCATAATAGTCACAAACTGAAAAAATTCCAAAAAATTTCCAATTTTCGCCAAGCCGCCGCGCGGCGCCCACTTTATATTAAAAAACTTCACAAAAACATTGGAAAATCTCAAAATCTCACAAAAAAATGCATTTTCACCTATTCTTCTTCCCCCATTTCCGTACCGGTTTTCACGGATTTGTGCGCTTTTCAGTGTACGAATTCGGGCAGGGACCCCCGTATTTTCTCTTTTCTTTTCCGCCACGTCGGCTAGTTTTTTGTTGTTCTTCTCGAACGCTTTATCGATTAATTAGAATTTCGCTTATTCTTGTCCACATTTATTTTTTTTTTCCGAATTTTTTTGTCCCAGCTATACTACCCATTTTCTTGTTCTATTCTGTAATGTATTCCGATTTAACTCTTCCGCCCACACTCTCACCACAATTTTCACATTTAAAGCACCAAACAGTTGGGACGCGAGACGTCCCAAGCCGTTTGGATACCTGTTTCCAGAATCTTTGAATAGAAATCCTTTTTTTCTAACTTTTTCCTACAATTACTGTCTGAATAAATTTCTTTTCGCGTTCTAACTGAATAAAAGAGTGCTTGTTTACTTCAAACAGAAACATTTCCTATCTTGTCATTTTCTCGATTCGCCGGTACCAAGTTTGAAATGTTCGGCCACATTTTTAGTGGAAAATTATTGCGTCATTTCTGTGAGATGCCCCTATAATCGCTGGAAACGGCTCGCGCATTTAAAGATTAGAAAAACTACTTTCAGACTCCAGACTCGAACAAAAGGAGCTCGTTCAGCAAGGAAATAACAAGTTTTTCTCTGCTGAATGAGCCTATTAGGAACATTTCGGTGCTTTGAAAGCTTCTTTTCGTTTCGTTCGCCTAAGAAAAACTCGATTTCAAACGCCCGCCAACGATGATGACCGTGGCCGCTGCAGTTTGTTTTTCTAGGCCAGCTCTATTTTTGTTCAATTTTTTCATTTTCCGATCGTTTTATTGGGTTTTCCAAACTCATATTCGACGTTTTCCCAATCAATTAATGGACAATAATTGCGGAAGCGTAAGTCTTTGCTTACAAATAGCCCAAAAAGTGTCGATAACTCTTGTCAACATGCTGAGTTTATTCAGGAGCGTAAGAATCCATTAACATCAATCAAAATCACATCCGTCTTGTAAAAAAAGATAAATAAACGAGAAATGAGAACTAGAATGCAAGTTCAACGTTAAAACTGTAGTGGAGGGGACAGAAAAGTCGTTTGTCAGAAAAATATGAAAAAAATAGAGAAAAGGAATGTCAGAAATCGAACCTTTTTTATTAAATTTTGTTGCAAAAAAAGAAGAATAGCCAATGACCGAAAGTCTCCTCTTGTTCAGATGTTTGATGGGGGGCGAAAACGTGTTGCTTTTACTGGAACTGGTTGCGGGCGCGAAGATCGGCGAGCACCTCCTCCGGGTTCACTCCGAGACGTTCTCCGGCACGGAGCACCTCGGCGAGACGGGCTTCGATGGCGTGGAGCACTGGAAATTCAAATTTTGAAAATATTTTTGTACACATCACCATCTGACCTATTTAATTTCCAGTCAAATTGCTGGCATACCTCTCTCCGTCCGTATCAGTCATAATCACCTCAATTTCTCATAAAAACTGCCTATTTTCCGTCTGCGCTCTCTCAGTTTCCCGTACTTTTTCTCTTTTTCTCGACGCGTGCATGTTCAACCACACTTTCCTGCTTTTTTGAGCGATAAGAAACAGTGTGAAATGACGCAGATTGAGAGACCCATTCCGGGTTGAAATTACCCTTACTTTGCCTATCGAATCAACAAAAACAGCGGAAGGGAAACGTACGCGGAGCACGGGAATCCTCGTTGATCATCGATCGCTTCATCGGCTGCCACGCCACCATTCTCTTTTGCGGAACGAATCCCAGAAATGTGTCCCGCTCAGGTGCTGCCGCTCCGGCTGGCTGTTGTGGCTGAAATTCACGCATTCGCGGGTCTCGCCACGAAGCTCCGCTCACCTCAACACCGTTCTCCTTCTCGATGTTGTAGAGTTGCTCCTGGAGAGCACGCAGCTTCTCCTCGAGCCCCGGAGCCGATGGTGCGGCTGAAATTAGTTTGGGTTTTCCGCCATTCGATTCCGGAAAATATTTTTCGCTAGATAGCTAGTATATATTCAAAGGTCTTTCCACCTCATTTTCTAGATTATTCTGTCGGCGCCCCACTAGAAAACGACTCGTTTTGCGTCAATGCTTTTTGTTCAAGTAGGTCAAAGCTAATCGAATTTTTAGAAAAGTGCTCTCCCCGTTTCTTGGAACGTTAAGTGTTGAGTGCGATTTTTGAGAGGAAAAGGGTAGGAATCAAAGTCGACGACACTGATTCCATGACTCATTCGCCCCAAAAAAAGCCGATCAAAGCTCTCCGAACCTTCCCCCGACGTTACATTTTCATACAACGTTTCCGGTCAAAAATTCTAATCCCATTAGTCAAACCCTGCCGTGCGTGAGGTGAGTGCTCAGTGATGATGGGCTCTTCCCTTTTTCGCGCGCCGAGTGTGGGAGGAGCACTAAGCGATCAGAGAGTGCTACGTACACGCAATCATCAGGATCTTTGCGCTTCAGCGGAGCCGGACGTGGCTAGACTATTTTTTATGGGACGAGACGAGAAAAAAGGTTGAGAAAATTGGATGGGAAAGGATTACGCGCATAGAATCTCGGGAGGCCAAAGATCCGATAGGGTTAGTTTTGAGAAGGGACAAGAGAGAAACGAGATAATTAGTTTAGTTCAAAGTTTGAAAATAAGAGTTTCATGAAGAATACTAATTTCGTTCGAAACTCACCAAAAACCGCGACGGCGGCGACGCATCCGAGAAGAATCAGAAGTTTCATGATGCTTTGTGTGGTGATGGCTTACTGAAACGAATTTTCGAGTTGAGAAGGTGACACGTGGAAATCAGACACACACACGCACAAACGAGAAGTTGCTATCTCACTTCGATGACAATCGAAAAGGGTTGGCGTCGGTAGGCGAACTGACGGCTAGAATGAGCTTCGAAGGTCTCGGAGCAGAGAGCCGTCGAAGCCACGCCCACTTTACGAAAGAGGGCGGAGCCATCCATCGCCGTCAAGCTCGGGAGCCTAATGACGAATATGAAAAGTCACGAGACATGCGAGTAGTACGGAAATATACATTTAGAGAAAGGTCCTTGACCTCAAGACCCTCCATCATGAGGATAATCAAAAACGACAGAAAAATGGTGACGTCATCATCGACTGGCGGCTCGGCGAGCTCGACGCACATTTTGAAAGTGTCGATGCGCCAAAAGAGAGGAGCGAAATGATGACTGTTATCAGGTGTTATCAGTTGAAAGAAATGAAGAAATTGACTAGGAAAAGAGAGAGAGAGAAAGATCGAGAGAGTCGGAAAAAGATGGTTTCGAAAGTTTTGCGGTCATCGGAAAATTTTTACGGTTTTTGTGATTTCTAGAAGGTTTAGCACATGATAAAAGGGCCGGAAACGTAATGTAAAGCGAGGGAACGTCTGGAATTTGGCAATCGGAAAACTTTCTGTCTCGTCGTTGTTCTAACGTTTCTTAATATCGAATCACGCCCTTGTTTCTCGGAATGCGCTCAGTACAACAGGACGCATTCCATTCCCAAGTAACAATCTAAAAAAATCCCATTTTCCCCCATTCTTCTTCGTTAATAATTCTTATTCGCCTTGACGTTCGTTTTCTTTTGCTCTTTGAATTCACCGATTCTCCCACGGAATTGCGATCGTTTTCAGCTTAAAGATTCTCGGCCTCGGCTCAAAATTAGTCTGCAGAATCGGAATCTGCTCGACCGTCACGTCTGTCGCCGAAATGAGTTCGCGGATGCACAATGGCAATGATGTGTACGAGAAGGTTCGTGAAATCGGAGAGCTCCGAAGCTGGATTATCTCAATTCCACACACAAACACACACTAAAAGGGCATTTTTAGGCGGAGGAATACTGGAGTCGCGCCAGTCAGGACGTGAACGGAATGCTTGGCGGATTCGAAAGACTCCACGAACCCGACATCGCCGTCTCTAAACGGTTTATTCAGAGTTTGAAGAAAAAGGTCAGCTGGGTCTCGAAAATGTGTTTTTACTACCCGACTGAATAAGAATTCAAGTTTAATCCGCGATTTTCAACCTTTTCGCGGTCAGACCTCAAAAATATTACCCTCTTGTCGTTGTTTTCCAGTCTTAAAATCGAATCATTTTCTCTCACTCTTTTGTCATGCCGTCATGATTTTTGCGTTTTGAAAAAGATCACGAATGAACAGCATCACAGATCGGAATGTCGTTCAGTCTGAATGGGTAGGCATATTTAATGAGAATGAAAGTTCGTTGCTCTTTTCTCTTGTTCGAAATTCCGAAAATAGGACGAATAGTTTACACGTTTTCCAGAAGTTGTTTACCCGGTTCTGCATATCGGCTGTAAAATGGAATCAAATGTCACCTCAAATGAGAAAAGCCCGCGTTGATTTCCAATATCATCCGAGCATTGTTTTGCTCTCCGCAACCCCGCGCACTCCCGTCTTTCTGTTTGCTCAACGGTGACGAATTTCACGCCGTCGACCGCTTTTGGAGCAAAAAGCGAAAAGTCACCGAAGAATTTGAATTTTGCGGGATCTGAAAGAAATTTCGAAGATTGACAAATAACGATGGAAGTAAGAAAAGCGAAAAATGTCATTTTTCTTCTCCGTTTTCGGCAATTAATTCTGTGATGAATGATGGCGGAAAGTTTATGAGTCGCGCCGAGAATTTCACAATTCTGCCCAAAATTGTGATGACAATAGTGACGGGGCCGAAATGGGCTAATGAGCGGGGAACTTTCCGGGAAAATGAAATTATTAAAGATTCAAAATTCGGCGTTTTTGTCAGGAACTGATCGGCTCGATGAACTATGCGCTGGACTGCGGGGCGGGAATCGGACGAGTCACGAAGCACCTGCTGATGCCGTTGTTCAAGACCGTCGACATGGTCGATCTGGTCGAGGAGCTGATCGTCAGCAGTGATCAGTACATTGGTCAGTCCCGAAGTCTTGAAACACGCCCTCCAATTCTCAGCTTCAGGCACAGATTCGGGAATCGGCGAGAAGTTCATCGAAGGGTTGCAAACATTTGAGCCGCCCGAAAAACGGTACGACCTCATCTGGATTCAGTGGGTTTCCGGACATCTTGTCGACAGCGATCTCGTTGATTTCTTCAAGCGATGCGCGGTAAATATTGTCGAGCGTAAGAAAATATCAATAAAAGTGATAAATTTCAGAAAGGATTGAAAGCAGGCGGATGCATAGTGCTGAAGGACAACGTGACGAACAACGAAAAACGATTGTTCGACGACGACGATCACAGCTGGACGAGGACGGAGGTGGGCGGCCACTTCTGCTTCGGAGAACGATCAAAAGATGAACTATTCATTTTCAGCCGGAACTTCTGGAAGCATTCGAAGGCGCGCAACTGGACCTGGTCTCGAAATCGATCCAAACCGGATTCCCCAAGGAAATCTATCCGGTCAAGATGTTCGCTTTGAAGCCGAGAAACGAGCAGAAGTCGGAGGAGAGCTGAATTGAATTGTTTTTTGTTTTGTTTTGTTGTTGATTTTCGAACAGAATAATATGGCGTTTTTTGATGTGACCATTTTCAACCCTTTTTGTGCGCTTGCATATTCAGTCGAGGAACAATTTTTACAATTTTAGTGTTTTTCGCGACGACAGTTCGATAGAGAAACGATTTCTGTTAAAATTTGAAAGTTCGCATGCGAATTGGCGTATTCTGCGTTTCGCGTCTGCCGCAAAAGTGGGCGGAGCTTAGGCCCACGCGAAAGATAGCGAGTGGCGGAACCCGCGAGACGTCGGCTGCTTGCGCGCAACCTGTCGCCGCGACTGACCCTTCAGGCTAGACAGAGGAGTTGACGAGAACTCTAATCCATTCTCTGAGCAAGAAGAGTGGAGGAGGCGGGCTCGCATTGGGGGCGTTCGGTTGACGACAGAGTTCTTCTGGAGTCTGCTGCCTCTTCGCAGATCCCACTCTTCGCGGGCTGATTTTTGGTTCTGATCCTCTGTATGAAACGAAATAGCGTTGATTTCGATGAACTTTATTATATTGCAACAAACGAAAAAAGAACTGTAGCTCCGATGAACAAGTGATTAATAACCTGGTGGAGTTCTGGGCGGAGGACAATGATCGCACGATCCCTTCTCTCCGGGTGAACCATCCGATCCCGGCTCGCCGGGCTGACCTGGCTTTCCGTACGGTCCCGGGTTTCCTTGGTCTCCCGGAGATCCCTTCTCTCCGGCCGCTCCGTCCTTTCCACGTGGTCCCGTCGGTCCTGGTGGTCCAGGCGGTCCCATTTCTCCCTGACGACCTGGCGGACCAGCCGGAGCCTCGCCCGCAATCGTTTTTCCGTTCTCTCCCCGCTCTCCGGGACGTCCTGGGTATCCAGGTGGGCCTGGCGGTCCAGCTCTGAAATAGAGTTTTGAGAAAAATGAAAAAGGAGTAGGTGAACTCACGGTCCCGGATTTCCCTTGGCTCCGGCCTTTCCTGGAGTTCCGGGCTCTCCACTCTCTCCCGGATACCCTCTGGCGCCCTTGTCTCCGGGTGGTCCCGTCGGTCCAGGCGGTCCCGGCGGGCACGAACGAATGCAAGCCTCAGCGGCAGCCGCAGGTCCCTCCTGATATCCTCCGTCGCTCCCTCCGACTGCATCGGCTCCGTCCTTTCCATCTTCCCCGGGAGCACCGTCCTTCCCGTCGGCGCCGTCCTCTCCGTTGTCTCCGGGCGGTCCTGGCGGTCCTCTGCGGCACTCGGCGGCCGGGGTTCCGTCTGCGGCCGCGCCCGCCTCCGCGTACTGCTGCCGACGGTTCCGACTCGATCTGTCCGGGATGTACTGTCCGAAAAGCCACGTGCCCTTGACTTGTCTTCTCGTTCTCGCCACCAGCTCTTCGTCTCGCCCACGACTCCGCGCCATCTCCATCGTCTCGGTCCACAAATCTCGGTTACGCGCCTGAAAAAAGAGGGTATGAAAAATAACCAAAAGTTTGCGAAAATTGACCTGACAAAAATGCGCGTCGTTCAGAAGATTCGAATGGATTCTCTGCAGAGCCTGATAGGCGATCGGCGTCAGAATCACAATGGCGAGAATACACGAAGTGGAGAGGGCGACGGCGGAAAACGCATTCCGCCGAAACTTGCACACCTCGATTTCCTCCTCCGCGATCAACGACTTCATATCGAAACGAATGGATGCAATCCGACGGTCCGGCCTTTACTTTTATACGTTCTCGTACCAGTTCTCCAAGATTGGAATCTGTCGGAATTTGTTCGCGAAAGTGTCGAGCCGCTTTCGATGCAGATCGCTCGATTGTATCTTGAGAATTAACTGGTCACTTGGAAAGATTGTGCCGTTATTGTTTTGTTGTGAAATGAAATGCAATGTTGGAATGCGAGAAAGAAGATTAAGAGCATTCATTATTATCACGAGTATTGCAGTTCACAGAATCTCCTCCTTCTTCTAAAATTGCTGAAGAAACACGTGAAAGCTTAGAAGATTATTACAAAAAAAGAATTCAGGAAGAAAAAGAAAATCCTAAACTTTCAAAAGTAACCAAACCTGGAGAAGAATCTAAAAAAAGTAAAGGTATCAAAAAGAATATTGTCAAGTTTTTTTCTGTTTTCCAACATTTTCAGAACGAGAAGACAATAATAACCACAATGATGATTTCCGAATTCTTGAATTTGAAATGTTGATAATTCTATTTTTCTATCTTTCCCATCTTTTAAATACTCTTGAAGTTCTATAGGTGGATCTAATCCAAACGAATCAAAGTAATAAATCTCCTTATTGTTCTTGGAATAACAGACCCAATGAGTACCTTTACATTCAGAAGAATCTAGATTCACAATTCCTACTTCTTTTTCTTTAATTCCTTCACTAGGTGAATGTCTTGCAGATCCTTGTGTTGGTAAAGTGTCTCTCATAAAGACTCCTCGGAAATTCTTGATTTTTAACTCATTGACGAGCTCTTCGAGGTCAAGATTTGTTAGACTTGGTAAGTCTTTTCGGAGACTAAAAGTAGTCATTTAATAAAAAACAAAACTTCAAAACTCGTGGGATGTGTCAACAACTCTTCTATTTTCAACGTCTTGGCTTTGTGTGATTGTGAAAACCAAAGTAATAAGTAAAACAAAAATGGCAAAAACTTTTGGGCCCGCGTGGGAGTCGAAGTGTTATCTTGCCGCATTGCGGGGTACCCTGCTACCGACTGAGCCACGGAGGCGCCGTTTTGCGCTGGAAGAGTTCTCCCCTATCCACCCAGCGCGGCCTAGCAGATACGCAGAGGAGACAGCCGGGCAGTGAGGGGTGTGAGAGAGTGTGTGTGTGCAATGATGTGTTGTTGACCTCTTCCCACACGCGAGTATCTTCCCCTTTTGTGATCTATGTTGTTTTAGCTACTATATGATAGTCTATATCTCATCATTGATGACTGTTCCAATGACAGGCTGTGATTGCGCGCGATGACTCATCGCACAGGTGAACCGCGGTTGATAAATTGTTCAGGGGCCGATTGATTAATCGAGTACCTGAGATGCGGCAAATGTTGGCGCATGATACACCAATCGCGAGCCGGTCGTCTATAATTGACCAACTGCGCATGTATAATTGACTATTCGCTGGCGAACAATTGACAAATCGCCAATTTCCCGTGGCATTCATATTATAGGGGCACCGGACAGAAAGGACGCGCTGTTCGCAATCTGGCCGATTTTCTAGGCCGCGAAGTAATTTTCCACTGAAAATGTGGCCTAATTTTTCAAACTCGGCCCCGAGGTCGCTCAATTTGCACTGCAAAAAGAGTTTACAGTCTCAACAGAGCGCCATTTCTGTGCGGTGCCCCTATAATAGCAGCCCAGGTTTTCCAAAAAAAAAACTTTATTCGGTGTACGATCAGAAGAAAAACTGCAACAAACAGCATAGAAAAACAACTCAACAGGTAAACTAGAATGAAAGAGCGAAAAACAAACAACACCATGACACAATTAAAGCCCCTAACGATCAACGAATCTAACTCAGAAAAATATGTCACATTAATTATCGGAAAGATCTTTGTCGTCATCCTCGACGAACTCGGCGCCGTTCTCCTCGAGGAAATCGTCGTCGTCATCGTCGACGAACTCGTCGTCGCCGTTGATGGTCGCGCCGTTGCTCGGGCCTGCATGATCGTCCTTGTCTTGACTGCCATCGCGTTGAGCCTGTTGGGGAAATTCGAGCCATTGCCTGAAACCAGACTATCTAAATCAGACTTGCCAAATCCCGGGCCGGCCCGGCCCAGTTTTGGCCCGGAAGTTAGACCTCAAAAAAAATATGCAAAAAAAATATGAAATTTTGCGACTTTCATTTCGTCGAACAACAGTTAGAAACTCGCTTTGTCTTCTGCATTTTTCTGATTTCATCGATTCCGAAGCAGAAAAACTATGTTTTCAGAGAAGAGACGCCGATTGCGTCGACGATGAGCGAGAGGGCAGTCAATTGGAGAGCAAAAACAGACTGGTTAGCGATTCGCCTTTTATCCATTATAGCGAGACCAGTTCTTCTATGCACATTCTCCCCTGTTAACCTTCGTCACTCACTTCTCGGTAGAAGCCCGCAACTTTTACGCTAACCTTACGCAACTTTAGCGCTAACTTCACGCAAAGTCTATTCTTAAAGTGCGCAAACTTTGCGTGAAGTTAGCGCTAAAGTTGCGTGAGGTTAGCGCAAAGTTTGCGTAGAGTTAGCGCCAAAGTTGTGTATTAAATGTATGCCCCTGAATACTGCCCTGATTCGTCCGCGCTTCGCCCCGCTTTTCGCCATCAGAATGGACCGGAGGCCCAGTTCTTGGCTTCATCCACAGTTCGCCCTCTGTTCATTCTCTTTTCGTCCAAATTACGTTCTCCACGGCACTCGTGTCCAATTTTGGTCCTAATTTGGCCCAAAGTTCGGACTTTTTGGCTTTTCACCCTCAGCTCGTTCTCAATTCGCCGTGGCGGTTTGGCGGCGCAATCACAGCCTGTCATTGGAACACTCATCAATGATGAGATATAGTAGCTAAAACAACATAGATCACAAAAGGGGAAGATACTCGCGTGTGGGAAGAGGTCAACAACACATCATTGCACACACACACTCTCTCACACCCCTCCCTGCCCGGCTGTCTCCTCTGCGTATCTGCTAGGCCGCGCTGGGTGGATAGGGGACAACTCTTCCAGCGCAAAAGGGCGCCTCCGTGGCTCAGTCGGTAGCAGGAAACCCGCAATGCGGCAAGATGGCACTTCGACTCCCACGCGCCCAAGAGTTTTTGCCATTTTTGTTTTACTTATTACTTTGGTTTTCACAATCACACAAAGCCAAGACGTTGAAAATAGAAGAGTTGTTGACACATCCCACGAGTTTTGAAGTTTTGTTTTTTATTAAATGACTACTTTTAGTCTCCGAAAAGACTTACCAAGTCTAACAAATCTTGACCTCGAAGAGCTCGTTCTGTCGGAATTTGTTCGCGAAAGTGTCGAGCCGCTTTCGATGCAGATCGCTCGATTGTATCTTGAGAATTAACTGGTCACTTGGAAAGATTGTGCCGTTATTGTTTTGTTGTGAAATGAAATGCAATGTTGGAATGCGAGAAAGAAGATTAAGAGCATTCATTATTATCACGAGTATTGCAGTTCACAGAATCTCCTCCTTCTTCTCCTTTTTCTCCTTTTTCTCCTCGTTCGCCTTCTCTTTTGCCATCTCTTTTGCCTTGTCGAGATCACAATCACATTTCTGAAAATCAAAATAGATAACATCACTTCACCGCTCCGGCCACCTGAGAAAAGCCCGCGCACGGCGACCAAAAACGTAGAAAGGGGCGTGGCCTAGCGTGCACGGTTTATCACTAGTTTGGCGAAATTACCCGAATTTTGTACGATTTCGACGATGTAATTGCATAACTTTGTTAAGCTAATCATCGCGCTCTTTTTGAGCTTAAAACGAGCAGGTTTCATTCAGAAATGAATCAATTGAATCGATTTTAAGTTTTGTGCTGAAAATGCGCGAATTTCAGTCATTCGCCGACACTTTTTGCCGTTTGAACGCTTAAAATACTTATATTAACGTGCTTAATCACTTCAGACACTCACTTCGTCTCAAAACTCACGGGGTCGTGGAGGGAACCTCGCCCTCTAAAATTTGAATTTACGCCAACGATAGTTAGATATGCAGGGTGCTTCAGGTTCTCGTCACGAAAGAAAAGATTACTGTAGTACATACACCAGAAAGCCCGTAAATCGACACAGAAATTGCGTCATATGACGCAATTCGGCGCTGGCCTAAAAGTGTGCGGTAGAGCGCACTTGCGCCAGTGTACCTCTCCACGACTCCGTGAAACTATCCAGATCGGCCGGTATGAAAATTCCGAAATTGCGGCGGCGATTGGCCGCGGAGAGCGTATTACGAAATATGCCAAAAACGTCTCAAACGCGGCGTTTTCACGAAAATTTCGATGTTTTCTCTCTTTAATGTCTTTTCTTTCGTCGACATCAAACACAAAAATATCGGAAAAGTGCTGGAATTGCGGCAATTTTCAGAAAACGCGTCTCCGATTAGGCCACGCCCCTTCACGCATTTTGCTTTTCAGTTCGACAGTGAAAAAACAAGTGAAAAAAGTTTCGTTGTCGGTTTTTAGTGTATTTTTTCTGAAAAGAAGATGCAACAAGACACCAGAATACGTTTTGATAACAAAAAAATAATGTTCTGCTTTAATTTTCAAGAATTCGGTGTTCAGAGCAATGCGTGCGGCAGCGTTGCGAAAACTGCGCGCGCTACTTGCAAGAATTGAACTCTGAAGGGGCGGGGCCCCATTTGAACTTCGCTGGCTTTTCTCAGGTGGCAGGAGCGGTGAAGTGATGATATTCGCGGGCCTAGAGCGCGATCGTACCAAGTTCTTGGGCGGCGGCAGCTTGATGCCGTCCCTCATCTCGTCTGACTTCTCCGAATCCGGCAACATCTCCGCCACTTTCGTGTCCTGCACGGCCGGCTTCGGCGGACTCGGCGGTTTGACGGGCTCCGCGCTGGAAGAGTTGTCCCCTATCCACCCAGCGCGGCCTAGCAGATACGCACAGGAGACAGCCGGGCAGTGAGGGGTGTGAGAGAGTGTGTGTGTGCAATGATGTGTTGTTGACCTCTTCCCACACGCGAGTATCTTCCCCTTTTGTGATCTATGTTGTTTTAGCTACTATATCTCATCATTGATGAGTGTTCCAATGACAGGCTGTGATTGCGCCGCCAAACCGCCACGGCGAATTGAGAACGAGCTGAGGGTGAAAAAGCCAAAAAAAGTCCGAACTTTGGGCCAAATTAGGATTAAAATTGGACACGAGTGCCGTGGAGAACGTAATTTGGACGAAAAAGAGAATGAACAGAGGGCGAACTGTGGATGAAGCCAAGAACTGGGCCTCCGGTCCATTCTGATGGCGAAAAAGCGGGGCGAAGCGCGGACGAATGATGACATGAGGATCAAACGCGGGCGTGCTGTCATGTGGCGAACACTTCACTTATTTTTTTCACTTTTTCTTTCTCCGAACTTTCTATTTTTTTATCAATTTGTCTCCTGAATATATTACTTTTTTTCGTGACAGCTGAGGAAAAATGTAAGCTTTTTACAGATTCATGCATAAAGTTATTTGCCCGAGTTGTTGGTGTGGAAAATCAGTTCACAGAATCTCCTCCTTCTTCTCCTTTTTCTCCTTTTTCTCCTCGTTCGCCTTCTCTTTTGCCATCTCTTTTGCCTTGTCGAGATCACCCTCACATTTCTGAAAATCAAAATAGATATCATCACTTCACCGCTCCGGCCACCTGAGAAAAGCCCGCGATGTTCAAATGGGGCCCAATTCTTGCAAGTAGCGCGCGCAGTTTTCGCAACGCTGCCGCACGCATTTTGCTCTTCCGTTCGACAGTGAAAAAACAAGTGAAAAAAGTTTCGTTGTCGGTTTTTAGTGTATTTTTTCTGAAAGGAAGATGCAACGAGGCACCAGAATACGTTTTGATAACAAAAAAATAATTTTCTGCTTTAATTTTCAAGAATTCGGTGTTCAGAGCAATGCGTGCGGCAGCGTTGCGAAAACTGCGCGCGCTACTTGCAAGAATTGAACTCTGAAGGGGCGGGGCCCCATTTGAACTTCGCTGGCTTTTCTCAGGTGGCAGGAGCGGTGAAGTGATGATATTCGCGGGCCTAGAGCGCGATCGTACCAAGTTCTTGGGCGGCGGCAGCTTGATGCCGTCCCTCATCTCGTCTGACTTCTCCGAATCCGGCAACATCTCCGCCACTTTCGTGTCCTGCACGGCCGGCTTCGGCGGACTCGGCGGTTTGACGGGCTCCGCCTCGACGGGCGGCTCTTCCTTCTTGTGCGACTCTGCGGATTTCGACTGCAATTGCGCCGGCATTTCCGCCGATTTCGGTGGTTTCAGAGTGCTCGCCGTGGCATTTCGCGGCGACTCCGTCGATTTCTTCTTCTTCTTCTTTTGCGCCCGGGCGCGCCCCCTATGTATAATGTTGAAAATAAAAAAGTTGTTGGCAAATTCAAAGATGAATTAAATGGTTTAATAATGGAAGAACTTGTAGCCTTGAAACCCAAACAATATGCATATAAAATTGCTGAAGAAACACGTGAAAGCTTAAAAGATTATTACAAAAAAAGAATTCAGGAAGAAAAAGAAAATCCTAAACTTTCAAAAGTACCCAAACCTGGAGAAGAATCTAAAAAAAGTAAAGGTATCAAAAAGAATATTGTCAAGAATGAATTGACTGTTGATGATTTCAGAGAAAGCCTGTTCAACAAAACTATTATTAGAAAAACCAGACTTGCAACGGGCCGGGCCGGGCCAAAATTGGAAATTTTCCGGCCCGGCCCGGCCCGGGAGGATGCACCTAAAAATTCAAAGCGAACTAGAACTTCGAAACGAACATAATTTGCTTCAATTTCGAAGATTCATTGTAAAAACCAGCAGAAATAGAAAAAAAAGACGAAAAAGGCAATGTTATAGCATAAAAACCTGTTAAAAAATAGAAATTGCTGTTTAAAGTCGCAAAATTTTCACAAAAATTACGAAAATTTTCTCAAGAGTGGGCGGAGCGATTGATTGCAACTCTGGCACGCCATTTTAGCAATTTTGCCGCACGCGTTTTCCTCTTCCTTCATATTTTTTTTGCATATTTTTTTTGAGGTCTAACTTCCGGGCCGACCGGGCCGGGCCGGGCCGACGATTTGCTGGCCCGGGATTTGGCAAGTCTGAGAAAAACACAGTATGCTATTAGAAGTGTTAAACATCAAGTATATACTGAATTTCAGAACAAAGTAGCTCTGAATAATGACTGTGGTGAACATAAACGTTATATCATTAAAGATAGTTATAATACTACGGCTTTTGGTAATGTTAATATTAAACCAGAGGTTCTACTGTGATTCATAATACTTTCAACGAAATTAAAGATAGAATTGTACTTCTGAAGTCATTGTTTTCCAACATTTTCAGAACGAGAAGACAATAATAACCACAATGATGATTTCCGAATTCTTGAATTTGAAATGTTGATAATTCTATTTTTCTATCTTTCCCATCTTTTAAATACTCTTGAAGTTCTATTGGTGGATCTAATCCAAACGAATCAAAGTAATAAATCTCCTTATTGTTCTTGGAATAACAGACCCAATGAGTACCTTTACATTCAGAAGAATCTAGATTCACAATTCCTACTTCTTTTTTTCTTTAATTCCTTCACTAGGTGAATGTCTTGCAGATCCTTGTGTTGGTAAAGTGTCTCTCATAAAGACTCCTCGGAAATTCTTGATTTTTAACTCATTGACGAGCTCTTCGAGGTCAAGATTTGTTAGACTTGGTAAGTCTTTTCGGAGACTAAAAGTAGTCATTTAATAAAAAACAAAACTTCAAAACTCGTGGGATGTGTCAACAACTCTTCTATTTTCAACGTCTTGGCTTTGTGTGATTGTGAAAACCAAAGTAATAAGTAAAACAAAAATGGCAAAAACTTTTGGGAGCGCGTGGGAGTCGAAGTGCCATCTTGCCGCATTGCGGGGTTTCCTGCTACCGACTGAGCCACGGAGGCGCCCACAGGCAGATTGCAACGGGCGAAATATGGGCCACCGATGTGCGAACCGATGGGCGACTGAGGAACAACCAAAGACCTCTAGAATGGCCCATCGGTGACCCATCGTACGCCCATCCGGCTTCAGTGGTCGCTCGTCCGCTCCCTTCACCCATCGATGGCCCATTACTTTTCATAAAATCACGGCTGATAGAAATACCAAATTTATTGAAGTAAAACTATAAAATACAATCAAAATACCGAAAATATGAGAAATTCTGAAAAAGGCGATGTCCTCGTGGAATTGTTGATGGATGGGGTTGCTCGTTGTTGCTTGACGAACTGTGCTCATGTCGTTAGTGCTGATCCGTGTACTTGTGTGGATTGTTGCTCGACTTTAGCTGATGAATTCCAAACTTTTTCCTGAAAATGCAGTTGATACTGTTTGTTTTTCGGAAGCATTTTACTTACTTTGTCGAAACGAAGTTGTCTTTTTCGATCATGCTTGTCCCCGGAAATCAGCTTCACTTTGAAGAATGTTCTGAAAACAGCTTTTTATTTTTAGTGTTTAAAAATCATTTTTTGACAAATCACTCACTTCAAGTAACTATGTTTTGTAAGACGTCATTCAGTGTCTTTGTAGAGTGCTTCCAAGGTATCGAGTTCTGAATTTGAGATATTTTTCGCGAATTTCAACATTTTCAATAATCAATGCGAAAAGCATCCACAAAAATTGAAAGAAAAAGCGGAGAAACACTTGTGAAAAAATGCGAAAAAGACAGAGTGAAAACAAAAGTGGAGCGCGCATTCCACGTGACGTTCATCCGATAGACCAAGCCTGGCCCATCGATGACCCATCAGCTCGAGCATCGATGGACAATCATGCAGCATTCATGCTTGTTCGCCCATTCTACGCCCATTCCGGCTGATGTCTCAGCGATGGACGAAGCGTGGCCCATCGATGACCCATCGGTTCGGACATCGATGGGCCAAGCTTCGCCCATCACCCTTTGGCCCATTTTACGCCCATTTTCTCCGATGGATGAAGCGATGGGCGAACAATGGCTCATCGATGGACCATTTTTGACCCACATCCATTTTTGGCCCATATTTCGTCCGTTGCAATCTGCCTGTGCCCTTTTGCGCTGGAAGAGTTGTCCCCTATCCACCCAGCGCGGCCTAGCAGATACGCACAGGAGACAGCCGGGCAGTGAGGGGTGTGAGAGAGTGTGTGTGTGCAATGATGTGTTGTTGACCTCTTCCCACACGCGAGTATCTTCCCCTTTTGTGATCTATGTTGTTTTAGCTACTATATCTCATCATTGATGAGTGTTCCAATGACAGGCTGTGATTGCGCCGCCAAACCGCCACGGCGAATTGAGAACGAGCTGAGGGTGAAAAGCCAAAAAGTCCGAACTTTGGGCCAAATTAGGATTAAAATTGGACACGAGTGCCGTGGAGAACGTAATTTGGACGAAAAGAGAATGAACAGAGGGCGAACTGTGGATGAAGCCAAGAACTGGGCCTCCGGTCCATTCTGATGGCGAAAAGCGGGGCGAAGCGCGGACGAATGATGACATGAGGATCAAACGCGGGCGTGCTGTCATGTGGCGAACACTTCACTTATTTTTCACTTTTCTTTCTCCGAACTTTCTATTTTTATCAATTTGTCTCCTGAATATATTACTTTTTCGTGACAGCTGAGGAAAATGTAAGCTTTTTACAGATTCATGCATAAAGTTATTTGCCCGAGTTGTTGGTGTGGAAAATCAGTTCACAGAATCTCCTCCTTCTTCTCCTTTTTCTCCTTTTTCTCCTCGTTCGCCTTCTCTTTTGCCATCTCTTTTGCCTTGTCGAGATCACCCTCACATTTCTGAAAATCAAAATAGATATCATCACTTCACCGCTCCGGCCACCTGAGAAAAGCCCGCGATGTTCAAATGGGGCCCAATTCTTGCAAGTAGCGCGCGCAGTTTTTCGCAACGCTGCCGCACGCATTTTGCTCTTCCGTTCGACAGTGAAAAAAACAAGTGAAAAAAAGTTTCGTTGTCGGTTTTTAGTGTATTTTTTTTCTGAAAGGAAGATGCAACGAGGCACCAGAATACGTTTTGATAACAAAAAAATAATTTTCTGCTTTAATTTTCAAGAATTCGGTGTTCAGAGCAATGCGTGCGGCAGCGTTGCGAAAACTGCGCGCGCTACTTGCAAGAATTGAACTCTGAAGGGGCGGGGCCCCATTTGAACTTCGCTGGCTTTTCTCAGGTGGCAGGAGCGGTGAAGTGATGATATTCGCGGGCCTAGAGCGCGATCGTACCAAGTTCTTGGGCGGCGGCAGCTTGATGCCGTCCCTCATCTCGTCTGACTTCTCCGAATCCGGCAACATCTCCGCCACTTTCGTGTCCTGCACGGCCGGCTTCGGCGGACTCGGCGGTTTGACGGGCTCCGCCTCGACGGGCGGCTCTTCCTTCTTGTGCGACTCTGCGGATTTCGACTGCAATTGCGCCGGCATTTCCGCCGATTTCGGTGGTTTCAGAGTGTTCGCTGTGGTATTTCGCGGCGATTCCGTCGATTTCTTCTTCTTCTTCTTCCCACCGCATCCCAGGAAAGTGACGGAGATGAAAAGGAAAGGGGCGGCGAGGATCACCGCAACGGGCACGACTATCATTTGAAATTTTATCTGAGTTTTGAGCATTTTGCCGAAACGAGACACTGGACAAAACCTCCGAGTTACTGCTGTGAAGATGTCTCAAAGGATAATGAATCAAAATAAATGATTCGAGCTATCGACTTCCCATTTTCCCCCGATTTCTAATGACAGTCCTGTGCGTCTAGTGCTGTGCCACGTGCGCTTTGCGTTTTCAAATGTTTATTGCAACTCAAAATTGCTCATTGAGCCTACAAATTAGCATATTTATTGAGCGCCAGAACGAAATGAAATTCAATCCGAATTGGTGCTCCAATCGGGCCAAAACTCCTCCTTCATCCGCGTCACAAATGTCATCTGAAGCGAGCATTCGTCCCCGTTTCCCGTTGGCTCAATGGGACCCACCAGATTGGGCGTTCGGTCCCTCATAAACTGCTTGACACGTGCCTCGTTGTGCAGCGGAGTGTACTTGAATTGCGCGAGCACCGCGAATGCTTTGCAGTCGAGCTGAACGAAACGGAAAGACGAAATTGGTTCCGGAAACTGCTTGATGCAAAGGGAAAACGCGTGTTGAAAAGAGTTTTACGCCTTTTTCCGGGTGATTCTTCACAATTTTTGTGTTCGCTAAATTTTTGATCGGAACGGTTTGTGAGCTCGAACCGCGAAAATAACCGGAAAATGACTAAAAACAAATTGAACTTTCTACTGAAAAATGCTTATGGCCACATCCTTTTTCCGCGATTTTCTCACCCATGACGGTTCGCTGACGCTGAAAAAGTATTTATTGGAGTTGAGGAGGGAAGCGAGCGCCTCGAGCATCGCCTCCGTCCGCACCGTAACCTCCTTCCCGGCCGACTTGCCGGACAGTCCGTATCCGCGGACTCGTCGACGTGTCTGAAACATCGCTCCGTTGCACTCTTCCATTCATCCCATCGCCTCTCACTTTTTTCTGCATTTGCGGGACGATCCAATTGCGCCAAAAGTACAACTGAATCTTGCCGAAATCCTCGATAATCTTTCGATCGTCGCGCAGCCACGAGAAATCTTGTCCGCGCGAAAAGGCGAGCATCCACGTGAGCTCGTCGAGGAGGGCACTCAGAGCGAGAGCCTGAGCACGTTCCAGAGGGGACAGTCCCGTGTCGATCGACTGAAACGGAACACTTTCTCAAGTTGGGCATTCAATTGTTCAACTTTTCCGTATTTGGCCAGAAGGTAATCGAGTCCTTCCATCACATTTCGGAAGCAATGTCCGTCCGCCTCAATCAGAGGGAACAGGTGCTCGCGAGGGAGCACGTTGTAGAGGGAGCATTGCATCGTCTGAACATCGGATGGTCCTCCGGTTGGCTCTTGACTCACCTCAAATGGAATTGCCTTGCTGCGGAGTACGGTCTCGAGGAAGAGGCAAGAGGGCGCATAGTAGGGGACGGTGATGCTCCGCGGGAGCTGCGTGAGTAAGGCGACCTTCCGAGGCATCGGAATGACGACTCTTCATGAAACTCGAGATGAGTCAAGCCTTACGACGATCATGTTTCATGATTATTTATGCACATAACATTAAAACAACGTCAAACAATAACGATTTATCCGGAAGGACATTATGAACAACGAACAAATTAGATCATTCTTCGGAGAAGGTTGTTGAGTTGATCCTCTCTGTTTCCGAAGTCTCCACCCTCGACGAAGTGGTTGGTCTTCTTGGTCCATCCTCCAGTTGGGTTGTTCAGCTTGAAGGGCCACAGGAAGTTGGTGGCCTCCTTGAAGTGTGGTCCGACAGTGGCGATCTCGTGAGCCAAATCCTCGAGACAGATGATGTTGAACTTTCCTGAAATTAGACGAATGAGAACAATTCTTTCACATTACGATATTATTACCGAGGCTCTTCTCGACAATGGTGTTGTCGGTGATTGGGACACGGTTTCCATCGACCTTGGCGTATCCGCGCTTGTAGAGGAGATCGTGGATGGTCTTGTTGTTCGGGTATCCCCAAGCAACGTACGGCTCGATGATGCGGAGAAGCGGGAGGGTGGCCTTGTTCAGCTTGACGAACACTCCGTTGTTGATCTGACGAAGACGGAGGATCTGGAGAGCCTGAAAAGAAAACCGTTACAATCATTTTTGTTAAATTCTCATTTCGCACCTTTCTTGGCTTCGGGTGGAGCTGGTTGATACCGCGGATTCTGACCACGAAGGCAACCTTCTGCTCGGCCGGAACGTAGAAGTCTCCCTTGGCCTCAGCCTCGCGTTTGAGTCTGAGCCCCTCCTTCTGGGCGGTTCTGTACTCCTGGACGTACTTCTCAGCACGCTTGAAGTACTGGGTCTTCTTCTCCTTGTTCTTCTGCAAAATGAAACATTTGAATCGATAAAGAGCCAGAAACAAGGAACTAATGAAAAATAAGTGAATTGTCATCGTGTCATTGAGGCGCATTCTGAAGTGAATACACCTCACCCAAAAACAAGATATTTTCTATAGCTCAGTTTTGACGGCTGGTTCGGATAATAATGGGTCCTCTAACCAGTGCTTTTGAAGAGCAAACTGTTTCTTAGCTAATGAAGATGAAACTTACAGCAGCAAGGGTGACCTTGTTCTGAGCAGCCTTGGCGCGAGAATCGGCTCTCTGCTTTCTGCGCTTGAGCACAGTCTCTGGGACCTGTGGAACTTTCTTGCTGAAAAAAAAACATTGTTCTGGGTCGGCAAAATGTTTCTTAAACTTCAAAAGTTTTGAATTTTCGTCTACAAATAAGAAAAATGAATGGAAACTTACGTTGGAGCCATGGCAGGCGATTGATACCCTGCAAATTAAAAATTGTCTGACGAATTACAACGAAAAGCGAGAAAGAAGAGCAAAAAACTTAAATTCGAGCTGAAATAATTCCAGACCCATTTTTGGAATTTTTAGGTTACCATGTTCGCATTTTTAACTAAAAACTGTGACGAAACGCTCAGAAAGCATGCCGCTTAATTTTTTCTTGAAAAACTTTATACATCTCCCGGAAAAACTGGAAGAAAAGGGAAAAATTCATTAGGCCAGCGCGAAAAATAGAAAATTGTGATTGAAAAGGCGCAGCAGCACTCTGGCATACGGTAGTTGTCGTGGCGAGACCAGCAGAAGGGCGCGACGCGGCTCGCGTCGCGTGTCCGCCGAACGACGTGGCTGTGACCGGTGCGCCCGACCTGTTTTACGCTCGATTTTACAGCTTTTCCACGCGTTCCGGGCCCGGAAACCCATTTCGGAATGAAATTAAATGATTCAGACGTCTTCTTTATCGATTTTCAGCCGATTTTATCGAAAAATGGACGCAAAAATCAATTTTTAATGTTCAAGGCTTTCACAAAAACATTGCGAAATCGTGTTGGCAAACACGGTTCCGTCGCTCCCTCGCCCCTTTTTCGGTCTGATAAGCCTCAAATACTCTTTCACAACACTTTTCCCATCCGTTGTGTGCTGACTAACCACCTCGCCTTGATAAAATTGAGCATAAAACTCGGCTCTTCAACACAGGAGATTCCCATTTTGGCTGCGTTCATGCTTCATCTCCTTTGGCCTAATTGCTCATTCGTTGTCCTGTTCCGAAAGATAACATCAGGTGTCGATCAAGCTGTAGCCGGGCAAGATTGTCTCGGCGAAGAACCGGTTTTTGATGTTCAATTCCCGATTTTTTCACATCGCGACGAGAACAGAACATGAAATTTCCAATCTTGTCGCCAGACAAAACGACAGTCGCCTGTTTTGTTGATATCGATTTTACCAATAACACCGCGGCGTGGTCGCATGATTGATGAATCATGTGACCGCCGTCCGCGTCCTATTCTCTCCCCTTCCTTCCTTCCGTTTGTATATATAAACACCAAGCAGAGCTTTTTCTTCTTTCAGAGTTGCGAAAGATGGGCTCTCGTGATGACGAATACGACTACTTGTTCAAGGTTGTTCTGATCGGAGATTCTGGCGTCGGAAAGTCCAATCTGCTGTCCCGGTTCACCAGAAACGAGTTCAACTTGGAGTCCAAGTCGACGATCGGAGTCGAATTCGCCACGAGAAGCATCTCCGTAAGAAATGCGCGTGCCTGCCGTCCGTTTAAATCCGCTTTTCTTTTCAGGTAGAGGGTAAGACCGTGAAGGCTCAAATTTGGGACACCGCCGGACAGGAGCGGTACCGTGCCATTACATCTGCTTATTATCGTGGAGCTGTTGGTGCTCTTCTGGTCTACGATATCGCCAAGCATGTAACGTACGAGAACGTTGAAAGATGGCTGAAAGAGCTTCGCGACCACGCCGATCAGAATATTGTCATAATGCTGGTTGGGAACAAAAGTGATCTGCGTCATTTACGAGCCGTTCCCACCGACGAGGCAAAAATCTACGCAGAGAGGAATCAATTGTCATTTATTGGTGAGCACCAGATGGAGAATTGTTTATGAAATGCGATCATTCTTTGCAGAGACCTCTGCCCTCGACAGCACAAATGTTGAGGCTGCGTTCACGAACATCTTGACAGAGATCTACAAGTCGGTGTCGAACAAACACGTCGGATCGGACCGTCAAGGATACGGTGGAGGCAGTGGAACCATCATTCCGGCTCCACCGACTGAACCACCAAAGAAGCAGTGTTGCAACTCATAAATTACATCGTGTTTTTCGTGATAACGTGTGTATTTCTGGAAATGCCTTGTTCTTTTTCTTTGTTCTGCCTCCATCTCCCCATCCCCTTATCCTACGACCGCCCTATTATCCGCGAGTCGACTCGCCGACGGCTTCTTACATTCACTACGTCTGTAAAGCCGTAGGGCGCCGGGCGCTGGTGTGCGGTATGATTGTAATTTTCACTCAAATTTTCTATTTTATTCGCCTCCTCCATTCTTTATACATTCGCCCCTTTTGAACATCATACGAATCCTTTTTTTCAGAAGATTGTGATCTGAGTTGAGTGGTGCTGCTTTCCTATCACTTTTTCGACTCAAGTTAGCTGCACACTTCAGCACTTTTTATTCTTTCTTTTCTCCAACCTTTATTGTGGCCCAATGTGTATATTCCTAAAATATTGGTTATTGGTACAGAGTGTCTGATGCACATCCAAATTGTGATCGATCGGTTTGCAAATGCCGAGAAGCTCAAAACGTAAAGACAACGAAACACCGCCAAGCAACGCTCGCACTGTACACATCCGTCCTAATCAATTGTTTATTTTCTGCAATTTTTCAGATAGTCATCGTGATAAATATATGAAAGACTCGTGAATTTCAATCTTTACAGCCTAAAACTGAATTATCTGTTGAAGTTTTAAACTAGAAGTTACCGTACTCTTTCAGCGAGGTCCGCATTTTCGCGTCAAGACCACTACAGTAACCATCAATGGTGATTTCCCAAAATCTGTGCATTTTTGCGTAATTTTTGAGGTTTCCAGGCAGTTGCCAAAAAGCTGTGCATTTTCTAATTTTTCAACTGCATTTTTAAAAAAGATTCCTAGGTTTGTTTGTATTGACAGTATCGATCTGACGTGCGATTATCCGTTTTCCCATCGACAATTGGCCGGCAAAGTCGTTGCGAGACCCGTCTGTTTGTGTTTCTCTGCCGCGCGCTCTCTCTCCGCCCTCTCACTTCTCTTGCCGCTCTCCGTGTTTTGCACTCTTCCTCGTCGAGTGTAGTGTTGCGTGCGCGCGTTGCGGACTTCGTCTCACTCATTTTTTTTTTGAATTCTGGCCTTGTGCTCTATCTCGATTACCCTCCGTCATTGCAAACAATTCAGAACGCTAACAGAAAAGCCGTTGACTAACTCGAGTTTCATTTCAGAATGTCGCAAAGTGAAAACGCCGAAGGAGTAGTTGAAGAAGCCCAAGAGGCCGTCGAAGTCGATGAGGAGCAGGTAAAAAACAGGAAAATTGAGCTGAAAAATGGCGGGAACGCGCGGGGCGCTCGGGCAAAATTATTTTTTTTTGCATGCAACCTTCAGAATTTAAACTTCCGCGTTTTTGTTCGGAATGAACATTAAATATGACGCGCAATGGTTCCTACGAACATGAAGTGCAGACAAACTCTGATGTTGCCTAGTCGCGACTAGAAGATTAGGAAAAGCAACAAAAACCACTCAAATGCGGCTAGAAAATTATCGACTTTTTGCAGGTCGACTCGTCGGAGCCAGCACCAACAACAGAGCCAGCTCAACCAGCACCGTCGGCAGAACCGACGACATCTTCGAGACCCAAAAGAAACGCTCGTAAATCGGTGTTGTACAATAATGCCGATTACGAGCTTCAACTGCCAGGAATGCCGAAAGAAGAGGAGAATACGGCGGCCACGGACGCGCTCGCCGATGACGCGCCGCCGAAACCGATTCCGAAAAGAGCACGGGGAGGCGGCGGAGACGTTGTCGCGAGGGGAGCCAAAAGGAGAAAGGCGGCGCCGCATCTGGAGGAGATGGTCGAGAGACGAGATCCGGAGCACGTGATAAATCCGATGGACGGCTCCGATCCGGTCTACGCCGACGACTCGGTGCTGCAGCTCGGAGCGGAAACCGAAATCGCTCAAAGCCATTCTGCAGTTGACGACGACGGACCGCCCATTCTGAATATGCCAGGAGGATACGGTACGAGCCCATAATTGAACAGATCATTCCAGAATTCTCGTTTCTTTTCTTTTCAGACGACGACCGTGTTCACCTGTTGGCCGACAACGCCGACGATCTGGGATTCGACGACGACGACGACTTCCTGGACGGTCGTCCTCCAGATTTGGAGATGAATCTTCCGCTCAAACAGAGACGAGGCCGCCCACGCAAACCGCGCGATCTAGGCGCACCGGTGATGTCTGGTGGACAGCTCGACGTGGAGACTGACGATAAAATGAAGATCGAGCTGATCAAGAAGATGAAGAGCGGACCTCCGAGCAGCAAGATTTACAGAGTGCAGGGAGAGCGCGTTTGCAGCAAAAATCTGGCCGATCGACAGTATCACGTCAAATTGGTAGGTTCTGGGAAAGAAATGACACAAAAAGACTGTATTTTTTTCAGTTTGAAGATGAAGTCGAAATGACGGAGAACGGAGACTGCTACGCGACGGTCATCTCCGGATGCCTCGCCTATCTTTTGCGAAAGGAGCGAATAATAGAGTTGCTCACCAGCGAACAGGAGATTGCAATGATGTAAGGGAAATTTTCATTGTATTTTACTCATTTTCAAACAAACTCTTGTTGTTTTCAGTCGTGAGGGAGGATGGCTGCTCGACAAACCGCCGCGTCTTCCGCCGCTCGTAGCTCACAAAGCGTGCTACGCGTTCTACGTGGACGGCTCCAAAGTGAACTCGGTGAAAGAGGTGTCGAACGACGATCTGAAGCCGTGGAGCTCGTCGGGAAGCGAGAACGGTAACGAGCCGGTCATCAAGCCGAACGTGCGCAGACACCCGGTCGCGAGACTGAGCGGTCGTCTGCAGCCGGTGAAGGGGGATCCGCGCCTCGCGGAACTCCATCTCACCGAGTACAGCGCGTGGCTTCCGAGACAGCCGCGTCTCCGCAAGAAGATCTTCTACCTGTCGCGAGACGGTCTCATCTACGGAAACATCCTCATTCTCTACGACTACACGTGCTCCGGAGAGGTGCCGGTCGTCGTGAACCTGCCGCACGGCAACGACTATCTCCGCAGCGCGATGCTCGAATCGGCGAACTCGGAGCAGATGGGAATCGATATCGACGATTCGCCGGGCTCGAATCCGTTCGAAGAGGAGATTGTGGAGGGAGCGCGCGGCGGAGCGTTCCTCAAAGTCAAACCGAACAAACTCGGATGGGCGCACAACAAGAAGCTGCTGCTCAAGTATCTGATCAACGAACCGGCGCTGCTCGACGAGTCGAACTGTCTGAATCGCCGCGTTCCGTACATGCCGCCGCTGATCCAGACGATAGGAGTCTACGTGTACTTCGTGCCCGCCAACCTCGTCGCCAATCAAATACACCACACTGGCGACGGACTCTCGCCATGGACTGTCAATCGTGAGTTTTCGTTTTTACACACAAAAAAGGGGACGACGAACAATTTCTGTAATTTTCAGCGCACGGAGATACCCCATCGCCCCGCGTTCGTTCGACTCGCCGTACTCTTTCACAAGACGAACACGGACTTCTGCAGCTGACGAAGGAGTCCAGCGGATGGACGAACAACCAATTGTGCCTCGTGGAGACGATGTCAGTGCTCGCCAGATGTCCGCGACTTCGAAAGCGGGTGATCTACATCCAACGCAACAACTCGATCATACTCGGAAATGTTTGCTACATCTACGAGTACGTGCGAGAAGGACCCATCCCGCAGCCGATCACCAAAGGGGAGACCACGTCGAAATCGGAGCGAGGACATCATGTTCCGCAGCCGAAAATCCAGATCGATCCGTGGATGGAGAGGAAGAAGATCGAGCCGGGCGCGCCGAGCACTTCGGACCAGCAGCAAATTGAGGGCGGTTCGCAGGACGCGACGGTCGGAGAAGACGATCAATTCATAGACGTCGAAGATCTGGAAGTAGTGGAGGAGGAGGTGATCGGGCACGATCCGATGCACATGAACATGCCGATGCACCATCAAATCGAGCCGATGCCCGAGCAGATAATGGAGGACGTGATCATGGACATTCCGACGGAAGACGTGCTTAACGACGGCTACGACATTGAGTTCGACGACGATCCGCTGTCAACACAGGAGAATCCGGCGCCGTACTACGAGAATCCACGTCAGCTCGACACCGGACACATCTATCTGACGGTCCGCCACAAAAGAATAGCGGGCACGTTCGAGTCTGTGCTCGAGTGGATCGCCAACACGAACGTCGTGTTAGTCACCTCTTAGGCGTATTTTAATGATTCTATGATTGTTTTCAGTGAAGAACGAGGTCTTCTGAACTACGCGAAGCCGGGCCATCCGCCGATCGTTCGCAACGCGCGTGCGTACGCGTTCTTCGTCGCCGGCACCGCCATATTCCCGCACGATATTAACCGCGACGACTTCTCGCCGTGGTCGCACAACGGAAACTCGCAAAATCCGACATGCTACCGTACGAAAGTGCGAAAAGTGGGAGTGGTGTGCGATGAGATGGGCTCACAGTTTCAGGTATTTCAGCACTGTGCAGATTATGTCAGAGGAGACCTCTTCTTTTGCAGATAAAAGATATCGACTACAAGGCGTGCCCGTTCCACCTCGTCTTCCTCTATTCGATCAATCCACGCGAGCCACGTCTCCGCAAAAAGATCTACTACATGATGGAGACGGAATCGCGGCTCGTCGTCAGTCACGCACTCATCCTCTACGACTACAACCAGGAGGGCAACCTGCCACGTATCGGTGGCGGATACACGAAGAGATACGCGAGACGCACCGCCAAGAGACCGGTTGGTTTTTGAGAACGCGTGCTTGAAAACGAAACGCTTCTCTCTTTTCAGCCAATGCAAATTCACGACGTCGATAATGACGTGTCGGACATATCCGAGTCGGAGAAAGAGTGTCCGTTCGGTGTGCCGCCGCTGGTCTGCGACGACGGAGCGATGTACCTGACACTACACGACATGGACTTCTGGAACGATCGCAATCGTCAACTCCACTATCTGTTCAACAAACCGTCGTTGGTGTGAGTTTCCGTTTCCTTCTGTGCACACTTTCAATGATTTCCGTCTTTAGCGATTCTCTCGGATGCGTCAACAATCGTGTTCCTTCTCTTCCGCCGCCCACAACTGGCAAGGGAGCGTACGTGTTCTTTGTGAATGGGCTCGAAATCGACGCGCGCAATCTGACGTGCGACGGCCTCGTTCCGTGGTCCGAGAATAGCACTTCGAACACACGTGAGTTCGCCGCCCGCTTCCAGCCAACCAATATGTTTGCGTTTTAGACGGCACCACGAAGCGACCAAAGTCCGCGAAAAGCGCGCTCGCTCTGAACCGAGACGGACAGTTGCGTGTGTGGAAGACTCCCGGCCTCCGCGGTGACATTGTCGAGTTCCAGCTGCACGTCTACTCGGCCACGCTGCCACGTTGTCCACGCCTGCGCAAGAAGGTCGTGTACGTGCTGAGAAACGGCCATCAGATCGGCCACGCGATGATCATCTACTGGTACACCGAGTCCGGCGATATGCCGACGCCGATCAATATGAATCAGTTGTCGCCCGAGTTTTCGCTGCAACGTCTACCGCCTAACATCCGCGACGACATTCATGAGCTTCTGAATCGACTGACGCCACCCGAAGTTGCGAAGATCGTTCTGGAGAAGTACGGAATCACGGTGAACACCAAAATGCTCTACTACATCCGAAGACGTAATATCATTTCGATGTCGGGCGGCGAAATCCATCCGGAGTCGTACGACATCAAAAACGAGATGCTGGATCAGAGTTCGTACGTGGACGAATGGGCGCAAGCTCCAGACGGACCGTCGACGTCGACGAGAAGCAAACAGAACACTATGGACGAGGTTCTGGTCGATGGAGACATGCAAGTGGCGCACACTGAAGAAATCCAACCGACGCAGAGACAGCAGCCGAGGGATCGTGAGCAACTGCACGAGCACCAGGAGCCGAGAAGCTTCATGCACAACAAACTAGCCTCTTCGGGACTGATTCGTGGCGCGCAACGCAACGAAGCCATCTGGAGAATCGCGAAGAATTCGTTCGGCGCGGCGACCGAGAACGAGACGTTCGACTTGCTGTTCAGGATGTTGTTCGAGCGGAACGAGGCACGTCTTCTGCAGATAGTCAATCAGACGTTCGGCGTCGAAATATTCCCCGGAGAGGAGGTGATCGATCAAGGAGAAATTATGCATTTGGGTGCCGACGGCGACATTGTCGAGGAAATTGTGGAGGAGGAGGTAGTCAGAGGACCCGACGATCCGCACGTGGGCGGAGAATCCAAAGTGTATCTCGATGATAAGGGCATGTCGAGTGAGTTATAAACGAAGCGAAGTTTATGAACAGTTTGCGGTTACAGATGACATGGAGCAAGTGATTGTGGAAGAAGAGGTGCACGATCACGATCACGACCTTCTCGAACAATCACTCGTCGACGCCAACATCGAAGAGATCGACCCGACCGCCGTCGTGCTCGAAGACCATCATCAGCTGTGAGATCAGCATAATTTGTGTGCTCTGTGAGCGTCCTCTTTTGTTTCCATCATCTACTCCCACGTTTTATGAATTGTTACCGCCTCCAATCTATATAATACTTTTTCGTCTCTATTATTATTATTAAGCACATTAACAGTCACCATTCCCTTTAATTTTTCTCTTCAAATAGTCTCCTCCCTCCCCACATCAATATCAGCAGAAAATTTCTCCGTTTCCCTGAGTACACACACAATTATCAATACTTTCTGTTCCTTTTTTGTCTGTAAACCTTTGATCTGAAAATAACTGAGCTTCGAAAGAGTTCTATTCGAAAAAGTCATAGTTCTCGACGAGGTGATTGATGAGACACGAGTGGTTGTGAGCCGCGTGCATCGCACCGAGCACCGGGTACAGAGGGGTCAGGTAGGTCTGAAAATCGTGGTCGTGGACAGGTTCACCACATTTCATTCTCTCACGTCTGGCTTATTCTCGCAAGCGGAAAAGTGTTCGTCGGGCAGTTCGGTGAGATCTGCAATTGATTCGAATGTTCTCAATGGAGCGCACTTCCCCACCTGCACTTCCGTTACTGCTCGTCACCACCTCCGTCAAATTGGGCGGATTGTATTTGTAAAAGTTGACGGGCAGCACTTTGAGCGCGGCAATGTCCGCCTTGACAAGTGACTCGTAGACGGGCGCCTCCGAATCCTTGAGCAGTCCGCCGCGCTCCCTCTTCCGACACCGGCACGCCTTGAACAGAAATCTCGAGGATTCGGTGGAGCCCGACGGCTCGGCCGCTCGTTTGACGGCCGCCGAATCGAGCAGCGCCGCCGACGGCTCGTTCGTGCCGGGCGACGACGGCGAGATGATGAACTCGGACGACAGATTCTGGTGGTGGATGATCTTCTCGGCTTCCGGCGGTGTGGGACGCGGTTTACTAAAGTCCACGGGGATCAGTTTCTGATCCGTGGCAGTTGGAGGATCGGACGGATCGGCTGGGCCATCAGATGGAGCAGGAGCAGGCGGGAGCGGAGCAGGAGCAGCAAGCGGAGCATCTTTAGCTGCCGGCGGAGCAGTCGGAGCGGGAGCTTCAACCGGAGCCACTGCCTTCTCTTCCTCTTTTTCCTTGCTCTTTTCTTTGCTCTCCTCTTCGACCTCTTTCTGCTTCGTCTTCGACGATTTCTTTGACTTCTTCGCCGGCTCAAACGTGGCAGCCGTGCAGTTTTCAAACGAGTACGGCATCCGCTCGATTTCGACACGTTCCGATTCGGTTCGGCTTCCCACCAGATTCGTCGTGGACACCTGGAATTGGGCACATGATGATATTTGTGTTAAATTAATGTTCTGCCTTTCCCACCCCCAAAATCCGAAACTCACCGGTTCACTGTCCGAGCTTTCGCTTTCGCGGGAGTCGTTCTGACCGCCCGTGCACTTTGGAACACGCATCACGCCGTTCACATTCTGAAAGTTTGATTTTCTTCTTCTTTTAATCTTCTAAAAACGGGCGGATACGTCGAAAGGAGCAGGATGGAGAATATCGGATCCGGACGGTCTGAGCGGCGCCTCTTCTTTGCTGGTCTTAGCCGGTGCGGCCGGCTTCTCCGCCTCCTGCTGCTTCGTGGGCGTTCCTGAAAACCATCACAGTTGCCTCGAATCCAATAAATGAACGGAACGGAGACTTCTCAATTTGCGCACCGGCGCCCTCTTCTTGATCGCCTTTTTGTGCTTGCGCACCTGATATGCACGATAGACGATGAGCAGCGAGATGCCGAGAAATGCAGTCAACGCGATTCTGAAGTGGACGGCAGATTCGGAAGACGTCCGGAAGCGACTCACTTGAGCAAAGGTCTCATGATTTTGCAAAGAGAAGTGTTTCGACTATTCGAAAGTTGAAACTGTTTTTTCTTTGAAGTTTTTTTTGGTTGCGTAAAGCGTGACGGTGAAAGGGTCACGTTAAAATAATAATGTTCACTGAGTTCAATTTTTCCGTCTTTCCACTTTTCTCTTTTCTCAATTAAGACAGTTTTAGGGGATTACTTAAAAACGCCGAATTACCAAAGAGATGACCATATATGGTCTCCAGAGCTGAAAATGGGCGCAAGTGCGCCCCGCCCAAAGAGCGATACATTGGCGCGAAATTCAAATTTTAACAGCCAAATTTGTGTTTTTTGTCAGATTAGCCACGAAAAACCGATAATTTCTCATTTGTCTCTCGAGAGACAGATTATATAGGCTATTACGAATTTCTTAAGCGCAAGAGCGTCAAATTTGGTCAAGTCGCAAATCACATTTATCCGTTTGAAGGTTTTTGGCTAAAACTGCGTGAATTTCAGTTGCTTTTCGGTAGTTTTTGCGGATCGAGCGCTCAAAATGCTTGTATTTACGTGATTTATCATTCTCAAAACCAATTCTGTCTGAAAACGGTAAAAAAAGCGCAAAATGAGAAGTGCTGTTTTGAGGCGGCTATCGGCGGCGAAGGCGAAAAAGCACAGTCCGCGAAAAATGCGCCAAAACGTTATTAATTCTGAGAATTAATGTGTTTTCATGTAGAACAATTATTTTTCATCGCCGTTGACCACAAAAATCAGAGAAAAACTGCTCAATTCATGAGAAAACGCCATTTGACCGAGGCCACGCCCATATTGTCAGCTCTTGAGACCGTGATGGCCATAGTACATCCGCCTGGCTCTATTTTAAATTTTTGCGGTCCTGCCTCCTCCACCTTTTTGATCGTCACCATCTCTCTCTCTCTTCGTTCCTCTGACGTTATTGCTATGCAAGAAGTGAGACTAGTTTAGAGCTGTTTTTATCATCTATTCTCAAAAAGTCCGACCAGGAACCATTGTTTTTCTGAGGAGACCCTTCTTTATTTTTTTCATGTTTTTCCTGGAGGTCTATCTTCCTTATCAACAGCCAATTCCAGTCTCTTTTCAGCAGCTCTCTGACAGACACATTCATTCAAGAACGTTCGCCAGTCTCAGTTCATGCGCCCGTATTCTCACAGCTCGCCCTCTTCTTCTCCTCCGACGACGACGGTTGAGTGCCCTCGAGTTTTGTATTCTGAAAGCATTCCCTCTGAAGATCCCATCCTTTCCCCCCTCCGCTCGTACCTCGTTCGACTTCATTCCCTTGAGCGACGCCTTCTCGAACTTCGGAACGTCGTCCTCAAGCGTCGCGTACGCCGGATCCTTCGGCTCTCTCATCCCGTCCACTTCCCGTTTTGCAGTGCTGAAAATGATCGAACAGATGCACCGCGTGCTCCGTTTCTTCTCACAATTTTCTGGGCGGCTGCACTGCCGGCGGTTTGGGTGTTTCGGCGGACCGATCGGCGTTCTTGAGCTCCGACGCCTTCTCGCGGCTCTTTTCTCCGGATCCCTTCAACTTATCCTCGCTCGTTTTGCTCTTCGCCTGCTCCGGCTCCTTCGAGTTCGCCGCCTTCGCCACCGACTTCTCCTTCTCCTTCTCGTCTATCGATTTCGCGTTTTTCGACGCTTCCGGCGTCGGAGTGGGCGTCAGCGAGTTGGCGGTGAGTTCGGTAGATGCCGTCGCCGCCGACATCGCATTTCTCTGTTTACGCTTCGTCACACACATCACCTCTGCTGATCTGAATGGCTGAAAGTGAGAGGGCGCTGGGAAATGGAGTTACTTTTCTTTTCAATGACCAATGCTCAAAGTCGAAATGGATGAAAGTTATTTTTTTGGAAATACATTACAGTTACGAGCACTGCTTGTCACGTGGAAATTATAAATGTAGAAGCTCTATGCACGTGCTCTTTAGAGTCATGAACTTTTGAGCCATTTGAGATACATTGATCTGATTGGACTGTATTGGGGATCTGAAATTGACTTCAGGACACACAATCTATGTGAAATCGAAATCACAATTACAATGTGACCAAGAACTGTAAAATTGAGAAACAAGTAGCTCCATAGTGTACATTTCAACATGGCAATTTTCATTATAATCAATGGGACACACCCGCGAAGGATTATGCTCATAATAATAATGATATTCACTCCAAAAACGAGTTGTACTCCTTGAGAAACGTCTCAAAAAGCATCGCGTTATGCTTCGAATGTCCGTCGTCAATGACACAATCTCCGCAAATCGCCGCGTTCTCCTCGATATTCCTGATCACTTCCTGCGTGTTTCCATACTCTTCCGCCGCTCGGAACTTTCTCACAATGCCCGATTTCATTGAGCAATCCAAACAAATCCTCAATTTTTTCGATTCCACACCGCATTTACTGCACTTTTGTCTGTTCGACGTTGAATCCACGCTCGGCATCTTCACAACTTGAGCAACACGAATCAAATCGAGCAGTTGTCGATTCACCATTTTGTTGGCAAGCGCGTTCTTTCGGTTGCAGTGTGGGCACTTTTTCGAGTCGATTCTCGTCCGACAAACATCACAGATTGTGTGTCCGCACGTGCCGATGCAGGGGACATGCTTTTCCGAGTCTGAAATGAGGGACTATCAAAGAGAATCACAGTCTCCAGAGCTGACAATGGGCGCAAGTGTCAATAGAGCGATACATTGGCGCGAAATTCAAATTTTAACAGCAAAATTTGTGTGTTTTTGCCAGATTAGCCACAAAAAACCGATAATTTCTCATTTGTCTCTCGATAGACCGATTGTTTAGGCTATTACGAATTTTTTAAGCGCGAGAGCGTTAAATTTGGTCAAGTCGCAAATCACATTTATCCGTTTGAAGGTTTTTGGCCAAAACTGCGTGAATTTCAGTTGCTTTTCGGTAGTTTTCGCGATTCGAGCGCTCAAAATGCTCGTATTTACGTGATTTATCATTCTCAAAATCAATTCTGTATGAAAACGGTCAAGAAAGCGCAAAATGAGAAGTGCGGTTTTTAGGCGGCGATCGGCGGCGAAGGCGAAAAAGCAAAGTCGGCGAAAAATGCGCCAAAACGTCATTAATTCTGTGAGAATTAGTGTGTTTTCATGTCGAACAATCATTTTTCATCGCCTTTGACCACAAAAATCAGAGAAAACCTGCTCAATTCATGAATACGCCATTTGGCCGCCGAGGCCACGCCCATATTGTCAGCTCTGGAGACCGCGGAGAAGAGAACACAAATGTGACTTACCGTATTCTTCGTAACAAATTGGACATTCGATATGCATGACCGCTGAAGGATGAGCTGAAAATTCCCCAAACTGAACTATAAAAGAACTTCCTCATTGCGTGTCACGTTTCTTTGCACCCGTCAATCTCTAAAAGAAGCATGACTGGTCTAAGGAATATTTCTCACTTTAAAACCGGAAATTTAGAAGTAGCAACCTACGCTCTAGCTAGATCTAGTGATAAGTGATAAGCAATTGAGGTCAAAAAGTCAAATGAAATACTGTGAGGAATTTATTTGTGAAAGAAGGTGAGTAAGTGTGAGGAATAAAATAGAACATATTTCGAAATGGAATGGTCCAGAAACAGAAAACAATAAGGAACTCATTTGCAATCGGGACGGCCTGACAACACGCGTTTTTTTTGCTCATAAGACTTTTGAAATTGATCTCTTACACAAATGTAGCCTTATTTGTATAAATAATATATGAACGACTTCTTGAGAGGTCCGTTCGATGTTTTTATGAGCAGCAAAAACCATTTTCGCAGAGTCGGCTCGGTTGCAAGTGTGATTAGGAAGGAATACGAGTGCAGAGGTAAACGTGATAATGATGTGGAAGAGAGAGAGAGAGGGGGCGCGCCACGGTATACGGTTTAGAGCGGCGAGTAGAAGGAAACGATGCAGCGAGAGTTGGCGAACGCCTTCCTTCGCAGATCCAGATCGGGTCTGCGGCGGTGCGGCGGACCCGGCGGCCGCATTTTTGTCGGGTAACGGAGTAGACAGAAGACGGGCGGCGCGTCAAGGTCCAGCGCGTACTCCTCGACCGAAAGCGAACTGGAGGCGTTCGCGTTCTCGTCCGATGACGAAAGATCTTCCGAAGAAGCGACTGGAGCCAGTGGCGGCAGCTCTTGCAGCAGACGTTCTCTGCAAAATTAGAAAGTTCTATCGTTGGAATTTATGAGTCTATGAGTTCTAGTTTGAGAGTGACATGCTATCAAAATTATGACCGGTTCTCCAATACCATTGACTCAAGACGATATATCTCAAGTACCGATAAAGATGTGAAAAAGTTGTCAACTCAAAAATTGCTCATTAACACATTGTGCATATTTTATCAGTTGACCACTTTTTGATATCTGTACAGTCAGTTGAGATACATTAATTCGAAAGGACTTAACACTTTCCTGGGCTAGGAATTGTGAGACTAAATGAACAGATGGACCCACTTTTGTTTGCCGAGAAACTCGAGCTGCTCCTCGAACAACTGCTTCGCCGTGCCGATGTTCGTCGCCGTCTTCGAAGGTTCGCTGTTCCGTCGGTGCTCCTCGATCTTCCGCAAGTTCGCAGACACCTGTAACCGCTCCGTTGCCTTCTGAAACGCCTTCCGTACTCACCTTCTGACTCGCGTCCTCCAACTCGACAATATTGTGCAACGTGGCTTTGTACTGCTTCAACTTCTCCTCGATCAACGTCTGCACGCAGCCCGTCTGCCGTGCCACGTCGTTCAACTGCTCCTGTGCGTGAGCGGTGTCGTGGCGACGGAGCACGCACGGACCGAAAATGAGCGCGAGGTTGTTGCAGCCCATCTTGTTGACCGCTTCCTGATCGGCGACGCGTGCCAGATGGTACATGAGACGGTCGAGCACCGCGCGATTCGGTTTCGGCAGCAGTTCGATCATGACGGACAGGCAGCGGACCCGCTCGCCCATGTCCTCCACTTCGGAGACGTTCAGAAAGTTCTCGTAGAGATCGAAGATGATGATGGGCTCGGCGAGCTCGCGAAAGAACGCCTTGACGAGTGTGGTGAGCACGTGCACTCCCGCCTCTTCCAGATTCACCGCGTCCGCGTCTGGAAGGGAAGAGAAAATGGAAAAAGGAAGGAAAAACGGAGGTACCTGGCGTGGATTCGATGATCTTTCGAATGTTACGCACCTGAGGAAGCGATCCACTTTTTCTGTAACGCAACATTGATATCGAATTAAAGCAGTGTATATCAGCTGTCTATACGGTCTCCAGAGCTGACAATGTGGGCGTGGCCTCGGCGGCAAAATGGGGTTTTCATGAATTGAGCACGTTTTCTCTAATTTTTGTAGTCAACGGCGATGAAAAATGATTGTTCGACATGAAAACACACTAATTCTTACAGAATTAATGACGTTTTGGCGCATTTTTCGCGGACTTTGCTTTTTCGCCTTCGCCGCCGATCGCCGCCTAAAAACCGCACTTCTCATTTTGCGCTTTCTTGACCGTTTTCCGACAGAATTGGTTTTGAGAATGATAAATCACGTAAATACAAGCATTTTGAGCGCTCGAACCGCGAAAACTACCGAAAAGCAACTGAAATTCACGCAGTTTTAGCCAAAAACCTTCAAACAGATAAATCTGATTTGCGACTTGACCAAATTTAACGCTCTTTCGCTTAAACAATTCATAATGGCCTATACAATCGGTCTATCGAGAGACAAATGACAAATTATCGGCTTTTCGTGGCTAATCTGGCAAAAACACACAAATTTTGCTGTTAAAATTTGAATTTCGCTCTATTGGGCGGGGCGCATTGTCAGCAGAGTTGAGCGGAAATGGAATTTTGAAATCCGGAAGACGGCAGACGGCAGACGGAAGAAAATTTTTCTTACGGAACACGGAAAACGGAAGACGGAAGAACATTTTTTTCACGGAAGACGGCAGACGGAAGACGGAAGACAACTTTTCTCACGGAAGACGGCAGACGGAAGACGGAACAAAAAAAACCACGGAAGACGGAAGACGGAAGACGGCAGACGGAATTCCGCTCAACACTGATTGTCAGCTCTGGAGACCGTCAAGCTTGACAACTTTTTGATATCTCTATTGTCGGCAGAGTTCTATTGTTTTGAAGTCTCACCTATAAACGCCTTCCACGAACAGAGCCCTCGTTTCGATGGCGAAAAAGAGGCGGTCCAGGAGGACAGGTGTCGTGTGCTCATCGTCCACAATCGAGCCCAACGAAGCGCCGAAAAACCGGCCTCCGTTTGTCTGAAAATGCAAAAAATGAGCGCGGAATGATGCGCAAATCAGGACGGGCATACATGCGGATCCACAGGTTTTCCGATCAAATGACACGGATGCGACACCTTCGCGTGACACTTTTTGTGGCACGAAATGCGACAGGCGACGCAGATGAACAGCTTCTCGTGGTGCCAAATGAGCTGGTTGCACACTTCGCAGTACGTCGGCACATGCACCACGTCGGCGCGAAAGCGATGACCGGCGTGCACCTGTAATCACGGGTACGGTAGGATTACGGTAGGCGGAAGTGATTAGAGAACTGAACGGGTCGGAATGACAAGAAAACGGTGAGAATTGATTGCACACACAGCCTATTTCTACTACTATCTATCTATCTATCAATCGCTCGCTTTCTTACCGCCGTCACGTCAGACTTTCTGCGTTTCTTTCCGACCTTCTGAAGTGAATACTCGGGGGTTACTGTAGCTCACAACCGTACCTTGATCATTGACGATTTCTCCTTTCCGCGCTTCTTCTTCGATTGTTGGTGCATAAACTCGTTGAGGAATCCACTGAATGGGTTGCGGTAGGCTCGGATTACTGTACGTAGTCTCACTCACCGGAATGCGTTGACTCCGAGTGTCGTCGGAAACGAGACGCCTTCTTCGCGACACACTTTCGTGAGAAGACCCTCGAACATTGTGATGACGTCACGGTATTTGAGAACCGATTGCTCCACCTCAAATCAATATATTTTTTAAGGTTAGTTTTTCATCTGGCGCTCACCGAAAGCACAGCCTCATAGCCGAGCAACTCCATATGGAATGCTCTCAACGATTTCTTGAACACCGCATCCACTACCGTATCCCGTTTCGTCGTGTTCTCCGACAGATTTGTGGTCTTGTTGAAGATGAACACACTGAATTGACGAAGATCTTCCGTCGATTCGACGACCATGTTACCGGGATCGGTCTGTAGGGAAGAGTTGCAAGAAAAAAGGATGGGGGGTACCTACCTGTTGTTTGGTTTTCGTCAAACTGAACGTGCCGGTCGTCGGGATGGGCGACGAGGATTGACGTTGTTTGTGCGGCCTGGAGGCAACGGATTACGGTAGGGAGAGAACGAGAGAGAACGTACATCAAATCCCATGGCCGTTTCGGTGAATGCAGACGCGTCGGCGATCGAACCGGCGACGTTGGATTGCACGGAATCGAAGAAGCGAACACGAAACACTCTTTGTGGAGGCACATTTTGCACCCTGAAGTTAGAAGTTTTGAAAGTTACCGGACGGACAAAAAAGCAGTCAACATTTGCACGCGACCCTCTTCCTAGACTTACTCTGACACTTGTGCGCCTGGGAAATGAAGCCGGTCAGATGACGATTGCACAACGCGCATATCTCCTGCCTATGAAGGCGCGACATCTTGAACTGATGCTCTTTCGAAATGAGCACGTCCGGCGTGAGCTCACTGGTGAAACTCGGTCCCGGCGACGGTTCTTCCTCGTCTTCTTTGCGTCCGAACAACGCCTTCAGATTCTTTTTCGCCTTTTGGAAACCGAGCTTTCCGGTGCCCGCCGTCTTCTTTTTCGAGTGGACTGGACTAAGCTGAACGCGATTGGATGAGCATCGGAAAGCGAAAAAGAGCAGGAGAGCGTACCGTGAACGAGTCGTCACACCTGGACACGGAAAAGTTGTTCGATTCGGTGCTGTTGGCTCTTCGGAGCATTTTGAGCTTGGTCGTCGACGCTGTCGGCGCAAGGGATTGGCGACGGTGATGAGAGAGGTCGGCGCCTTCGACCAACTTCATTTTGGTGTCTTCGAGAATGAAAGTGGCGTCCACGTCGACCGCATCGTCGCTGAAACAAGAGAAGAAGTTGAAGAAGGCGTTGTGTGAACTCACTCCTGAAACGCGTCGCTCTCCTCGGAAATGTCGTCGTCCAGCCCGTCCTGCGTCGACTTGTCACTGTCCGAATCGTCATCGGAAACGACGAACGCCGCCAGCGAGTTCGGATCGTTCAAATCGAACTTTGTCAGGTTGACAGCGTGCACTTTCCGCACCCGGAACGGCGATTTCTTCACTCCGCCCGTCCCGTTTGCTTTCGGAATTTCCCCAATTCTTCTCCTCGCCTCCGCACCTCGATACGCCGATTGAATGGCGAGGACGGCGGTGCGAGTCGCCACGTACTTCTGACGGGCCTTGAATCGTTTCCAGTTGCACTGGATGGTCTGAGCGGCAAGCGCTTTCCGTCTGACGGCATTCCGGGCGATGGAGCCTCTGATCAACGCCTGGATCTTCACGATACCGTCCTTCATACGCAAGAAGCGCTTTCTCGCCAGCAGCGTGCGGAACCATCGCTGCAGAGTATCGATGGATTGCATGATGGTCCTGTGCAGATGGTCATCCAGAATCAACTTCTCCGCGTCTCTCATGAAGATCTTGCTCGTGCCGTACTGAATATTGTCGTTGTCGATGGACGGATGCGAGTGGATGTACTCCTTCACGTCGTCTACCGTACTCTCCCGCCCGTGCCGCAGCAGGATACGGTACTGCTGCACAAAGCTCGGATATTCGATGCGAACCGAGTAGCCGGCTCGCCGGATCCGCACCGTTTCGAGCATTCCGGTGTAGCGCAGCTGACGGAGAATGATGTTGTCGTCGAAGTGATTTGCGATCTGAAACAGAGAAATTGGGTCGGGAAAAAAAAGGAACAGATCACTTTCACAATACCTTATCATTGTTGCTCTTGATGCACCTTATAAAGTACGGCGTCGCGTTGCCGAGAGTGCTCATCAGTCTCGTCAACGAGTACTCAAACTGTTTGGAAACGGAGGACGGCTTCTTGGCGAGTCGCTTTGCTCCGATCGACTCTTTCAGAATTTGCAACGATTTCAGCAGACTCATCTTGTCGTCCGATTTGCCGGCCGGCGTCCTTCTCGCCTGATTTCGAATAGTTTTGAACATGCTCGTGTCGCAGAAATCGGGCACTTCGCAACGGAGCTCTCCGCGCAGGAACGCCGACAGCGCCGAGTCGGAGCCACGGCGCGGCGACGTGGGAAGACAGTCCATGACTCGGAGGTGACCCGCCGATTCTGAAGTGATCGGGGTTGTGGTCAAAGAGTGGTCAACTGATAAAAAGTACACAATTTCTTGGAGAGCTGAAAACTTTTTGTTGCCTTTATCGACAGCCGAGATACATCGTATCGAATGAACTGTATACCCTTTTGTTCAAACCTGTATATCTCAATTGCCGATAGAGATGGCAAAAAGTTGTTAACTAAAGAATTGATAGTTAAGAAATTTTTTACATTTCTTTAGTTGGCCACATTTTGATATCTCGATAGATAGCTGAGATATAGCATTTGGAATGAATCGGCGAAAATCCACAAATCTCACCACTTTTCTGCAACTTCCTCGCCGACTGCTTGAACGCATTCATAGCCCTGAACACACTTCGGACCACATTCCACCGGTGCACCGCCACCGGATCGATTCCCAGCAACGTCTTCATCACCGAACTCGTACTCGATTTCAGCGCGTTCAACACGTCCTGTCGCATCAGATCCTTGTTCTTCTCTCGGAAACCCTAGAGCCAAACGGTACGAGATAGCGAAAAGTCTCGGGACCTACCGTAATCTGGTACTTGACTTTTCCCGCGTAGTGAGCCACAATGAAAGCCGGCTCTTTCTTCTGCGGCGTCTCGTAGTATTCATTGTTCTGCACAACATTGATATGGGGTCGAATTGAGACTAACAACGACTCACTTTCAAAAACTGATTCAACTTGGCCAACATCGAGTCGTCGGTTCCGTTGTTGATGTTGCTCTCCTCGTCGATGAGACGCAGAATGCCGTAAGGTTTGCTCTGGAACAACTGCACGCACTCGGTGTTGTCCGTGTACTCGATGTTCGTCCACGAGATGCCCTCTTTCAAGTACTCCTCCTGCTCGAACTGGAAGATGTGCTGATTGAAGTAGGACTGAAGCTTCTCGTTCGCGTAGTTGATGCACAACTGCTCGAAACTGTTGCACTGGGCGCCGACGTCCTCGAATCCGAAAATGTCGAGAATTCCAATGTAATAACCTTTTCCAGCCGAGAAGTCCTTTTTGAGCAGCGCCTGATTGATGCGCAGTACGATGTAGTGGAAGAGCGAGTTGTAGATGCACTTGGCCATCGCGTTCCGCGTGTTCGTCGCCTCGGAGACACTGTAACGGAGCACGACCGTCTCCGCCTTCATCACGTGCCGTTTCATTGTCAGCGCCTGCATCAGAGTGTCGGTTTTGATGTGAAGAAGGTTGGCGACGAGGTCCACGACTTCTTCGTTCTCAATATATCCGCTCTCGTCGCTGTGATAGCCGTGTCTCTTGATGTAGGTGATGTTTCCGAGCAGCAGAACCGCCGAGATGATTCCGAATATTGTCTGTTGGGTCTTTGCACAGAATCCGACCGAACTCATCGCATGTCGCAGCCGATCGAACTCATTCCGCTCGTTGACACCTTCCAGCGCAAATGGCTCATTCTGCAACGGAAACCGTTTCATCGTGAAGCGCTCCGAAGCTCACCTGATTCAAGTACTTGTAGTCGTTCGGTTTGAGCAGAAAGTACTTTTTGCGTTCCTCCTCGTCGGCTCCCTCGAGCAGATAATAGAAGACGTGGTAGTTGCGTTCGCCTTTCGTTTGGAAGATGATTCGCGACTTCTCGAGCAGATAAATCTCCACGTTCGCACTGAAATCCATGCGGACGTGTCACAAGAACAAGGCGCGTTCACAGAATGACTCACCCGGAAACCATTCCATTCTCGCGATAGTTGATTTTGATAAACTTTCCGAACCGACTGCTATTGTTGTTCGTCAAAGTGACCGCATTTCCGAACGCCTCGAGCACGGGCCCGGCCGACAAAAGTGTCTGCTCGGTGCTGCAGCCGGTGGAGCCCTTCTGCGAGAGGGAGATCAAATGCGACATCAGATGGTTCGTCGACTCTGTTTTGCCGGATCCCGACTCTCCCGATATCACCACACATTGATTCTCTTTTATTCGAAGCATACTGTAAAGTGATGGCCTAGCCACTTTTTTTTCGGTCACGTCACCAACTTGTGATAACAGACGTCGGCTATGGCGAATATGTGCGGAGGAAGAGAGCCGAGACGCTTGCTCTGGAAGTAGAGCCGCGCGTACTTTGGATTGTAGATCGGGAAGAAGCTGAAAGGAGAAATAGGCTGTATCTGACTATGAGCTATATGTAGAAGTATCAAAAAGTTGTCAACTGACAAAGTGCACACAATTTGACACCTTTTTAATATCTCAACCGGTAGTTGCACTGTCTCCCCTTCGGCAAAAAAAAATTTTCGCGCGCTTTTTTGCGTGCGGCTCTCAGTGTCGATTTACGGGATACGGTTTTTCAACGGAAAACGATGTTTTCCCGAGTTTTTCGGATTATGCACACTTTTCCTTCAAAACTTTTGCCTCACGTTTGTTCATATTACCGATAGCCACAAAATGATCACAGAGTGCTCGTGTAAAAGTGAAAATTCGAAGAGTAATTTCGTTTTTTAAATTTTGCTTGAACAAACGCGAACTTTCGGAAGTTTTGAGAAAACAGTTGACAGAATCAAAAAACAGTTGCCTCACGATTTTTCAGCAGACAAAGGCGGTCATTTTGAGCACAGAGACGGCCCATAAAATGCAAAAATGACTGAGAAATTTCAGTTTTTGAGAATCCGGACTGAAATTCACAGAAAAGTGTAATAATGCGCGCTTTCTTGTGGGCAAAACGCTAATTTAAGGTCACAGTTGTCGTTAACAATTCGGAAATTCTCTGTTTTACTTCTTTTTTCTCATTTTCGGATGAAATTTCGGGGTTTTCGGAAAAAAATCCAGAAATTTCAGAGACCTGCTTTTGTTTTCAACGACACTCCGTTTTAACGCGGCGCTCAATTTAGCATTAGCTGTTGGGGAGACAGTGAGTTGAGATAAACCAGTTTAAATAGACGGTATCTATAAAAAAGCTCACCAGAAAGGATTAACGGCCACTAGAATCGGACCAATGTACGTGTAAATGTGTCCATTCGCGAATCGCTCTCGTAAATTGTCCAAAAGCGTTTGCTCCGTGAGCTCCGGCAGCATACAAAGGTCCGCGTACTCTCGATCTTGTGGCTGGGCGAGGAACTTGGTCAAGAAGGCGTCGATCGAAGAGGCGACTTCTGCGCTTCCGAATCGAGTGCCGCCCGTCGCCGCCCGGTATCCGCGGTGTCGGAAAACGAATCTGTTCTTCGGAGTCGCACTGTCCACGACCACCGGCAGACGGGACCAAATAGCCTGCACGGCGACCGGGTACTCGCCCGGATCCAGCCGTCTTTCTTTGTAGGTCTGTCCGTCCGGAGTGCCCATCATCTCGAACAGGTCGAAATCCTGAACCGACTGGCCTTCGAGCTCTGAAATTCGAATATAACCTTCCAGAAATGAGCCCAAAACAAAACAAAACCGACCCGCTCGTCCGGCCAACACCTTCTCGATGAGCTCTTCGGTGGTGCACCTCTTGTGCACCTCCAAATGCACTTTGTCATTTTCGCAGTCCGGATTGAAGCTGTGCATGTAGACGGCGACAGTGTGCGTGTGCGCGTCGTCCGTCGCGTTGATCGTGTGCGCGCGACGGGGAAAACATCCTGTCGCGCCGGCCGATATCGAGTCAAACGACATCAGAACGGGGCATCCGTCGGGCAGCGGATGCGCACGACGATCTGAGAGCGACGGTACATTGCGAAAGCGTTGGTTTATCACAATTGTTTGTGGGAATATTAGAAAGTGGCTAACGAAGAAAACACACAATTTCTTAATGCCGCGTCGGAAAAATCGCAGGTTTTTCTGTTTAAAGTCGGCCGAAATTTGCGTGAAAAACTGGGGGTGCGCACAGCTGAACGAATGTAACCGTACCCCTAAAAACTACGGTATTTTTTGAAAATTTGAATATTTTCAAATATCCTCAGGAAATTAACAAATTTTCAAAAAATACCGTAGACAGCTGAACGAATGTAACCGTACTCCTAAAACTACGGTATTTTTTTGAAAATTTGCGCAATAAATATGAATATTTTCAAATATCCTCAGGAAATTAACAAATTTTCAAAAAATACCGTAGTTTTAGGGGTACGGTTACATTCGTTGAGCTGTGCGCACCCGCGTTTTTCACGCAAATTTCGGCCGACTTTGGACAGAAAACCTGCGATTTTTCCGGTTTTTCCGCGACTTTGGACGCGGCTTGATGAATAATTGGCAACTTTTTGATAATATCTCTACAGACATGTGTAACAGGTATACCGCTCATTCTGAACGATTTATCTCAGCTGTCGGTAGGAATATGAAAAAGTTTTCAACAGACAAGTTGTTCACGAAGAAATTATGCACATTTTCTTAGTTGACAACTTTTTTATATCTCTAAAGGCAGCAGAGATATATCGTCTGGAGAATCATATTCAACTGTACAAAATCTCCGGCGAAAAACGCAACGCATTCTTCCGCACAGCACAAAAAGAAGTGCCGCGGGCGACGGCAGGAGCCCGCCCGCCAGCTCCCGGAGAGCATTTCCGGCGAGAGAGCGAGAAGAGGGAGATTTGTTGCCGGGAATTGCATGTGGGAAGGTGGGACAGGGAGCGCGGAGGAGTCGGAGAGGGCCGAGGCGAGAGAAGACACGAATTACACTTGCACCGCAGACTATTTTTATCGGATTCAGAAAGAGGAAGACGAAAAGAGGGCGAGAGAGAGAGGGAGAGAGAGAGAGAGAGAGAGAGAGAGAGAGAGAGGAGAAGGAGATTTCGATTGGGTTAGATTTGACCTACTAAGGAGGTAAGGAGGCCTAGGAAACTTGAGTTCAGATCAAACTATTGTGAGACCGAGTCTACGAATCTCTAAGGAGGCAATGATCTCATTTTTCGGATTAAACTAAATTTCCACCGACTCCTGCGACGTTCTCAGCAAAACGAGGAACGGGAAATAAAAACTGAAAATAATAAGCGTGATGAGCTACACTTCCCCCCCGCGGGAGAGAGCAACAACACAAGATGTGAGGCTATGTCTTCCTCTTCTTCTTCTTCTTCTTCTTCTTCTCTTTGCATTCAAACAACACTTGGTCCGTCCGTGTGGCTGAGACGCAGATATTGTTGAAAGAAAGAAAAAGAGGATGGATGGAGATGAGATGGCAGATCAATTCGATGATGATTAGTGCGGCACATCGATCGGGGCACGGATTGGAAGATCAAAACGAGGGGGAGGAGAACTTCGAGGGGGACTTCAAACAATACTCAAAAGGGACAAATTGTGTGTCTCTTGTTAGCGTCAGGACATCTGAGATCTGAGACTTCTAAGTGTGAAGAAGTTGCATGAAGTATGAACGAATTGAGAACATTCTACAGTTTTAAATACAACCGAAAAAGCACTTGAAAGCCGGCTCTTATGAATCATCAGGTGAAGATTAAGACTACCAAAGCAGTGAGTAATGCGCTCGGAGCCCGCCCATTCCAATGCTCGAGAGCTATTTCTCATTTCACGCACAGTAACCCGAAATGTTAGCACGCGAAACCAAAGGACTTTTCGAAATTGGCGTTCTTTTTCAAACTTCGACCTATATCTTGAGAACAGGTGCTTTTTTGCAAATTGTTTTGTTCCTAGCTAGGCGTGGCCTCGGCCAAATGGCGTTTTCATGAATTGAGCAAGTTTTCTCTGATTTTTGTGGTCAAAGGCGATGAAAAATGATTGTTCGACATGAAAACACACTAATTCTCACAGAATTAATGACGTTTTGGCGCATTTTTCGCGGACTTTGCTTTTTCGCCGACGCCGCCGATTGTCGCCTAAAATTTTGCGCTTTCTTGACCGTTTTCAGACAGAATTGGTTTTGAGAATGATAAATCACGTAAATACAAGCATTTTGAGCGCTCGAACCGCGAAAACTACCGAAAAGCAACTGAAATTCACGCAGTTTTAGCCAAAAACCTTCAAACGGATAAATGTGATTTGCGACTTGACCAAATTTGACGCTCTTGCGCTTAAAAAATTCGTAATAGCCTATACAATCGGTCTATCGAGAGACAAATGAGAAATGATCGGTTTTTTTGTGGCTAATCTGGCGAAAAACACAAATTTTGCTGTTAAAATTTGAATTTCGCGCCAATGTATCGCTCTATTGACACTTGCGCCCATTGTCAGCTCTGGAGACCGTGGTTTCGACCTATAGCATGAGAACGAATGATTGCAACAGGTGCTTTTTTTCGAATTGTTTTGCTCCTGCAAGATCTCTGACTGGGGAATGATGTACACGGCGTTCGGAATGGAACCGACACCACTAGACAGTCAGAGATCTCAATTTTCGCTGATCATTCATGCAAATTTGATCATTCCAAATTTGAAAGTGACTGCTACCGTACCCCTGGCAAAAGATCAACGAAACGAGAAAAGCGGGAAGCATGATGGAGTTCAAGTGAGGCGAACCGACGATCACATTTGTGTGGGGGGGGGGGGATCTCGTAGAGGGCGAGATTTTCTCACCCTTCCCTTCCGATATTGTGCCACACAGACACACAAGAGAGAGAGAGAGAGAGAGCATTTCTATTTGGACGGTAAACATACTCGACCTCCCGCTCCTTCTTCTCCCTGATTGGGGAGCCCGCCGCCGCCACCGCACTCACTTATCACACCTATTTCTTTGTGATTTGCGCGCGCGTGCGCACCCGACAGCACGTGATCCGCAGAGGCGCAGACGGCGAAGGAGCCCCTCACGCGACGTCACACGTCACAAAGCCGCACGTTCCAAATGATATCGGAGGGCCGCGCGATAAGAGCAAGAGCAGCCAAATTTATTCGAGTGACAAAAGTTCAGTTTTTGTTCGGCGCATCCGGTTGAGCGTCTGGATGAGCCGCTTTGAAGTGTGGAAGTTCCGCGAGGGTCGCGTTGATCCGATTCATGGTCGGGTACGGTGACATGTCCACTTTGTAGCTGAAAAAGTTAATGATCTCTGAGAATCCTCGGGCACTCACATGTTCGCATTGAAAATGATCGACGGTAGCACAATATCGGCGATTGTCAGCTGATCGCCAACGCAATATTTGCCGGAATGCTTGATAAGGAGCTCCTCGAGAGCTTTGAATCCCTTGGTGACGAAGTGATTGCACCACTGCAAGAATTAAGAGATCTACAATACTCTACGCCAATTCCTTTCATTCAAAACGATGTATCTCATCTGTCTGTGGGGATATCGAAAAGTAGTCAACTGATAAAATGTGCGCAATTTCCTAATGAACAATTTATCAGTTGACAACATTTTCATATTTCTACTCGCAATCGAGATATCACTCACCGAATCCCCGAATCCTGGCTCTTTGTCGTTGAGCATTTTATGAATGCTAATCGCCTGAAGGGGCTGGATTCCAGAGGCGACCTGGAAACATAACAGTTTTCAAAGCAAAATAGACAAGAAAAAGGCTCACATGAAGAGCAATAGCTCGCACATACGCCCTCTTCTCAAGCTCTTTGGGGAGCAACGGCGGCTCCGGGTAGGCTTCGTCCAAGTACTCGATTATAGCCAAACTTTCAGATAGGGATAGTCCATTTATGACGAGTGTTGGAACTTTCCGAGCTGGATTATGCTTCACAAACTCTGGATTGCTCTGGAATAGGATCTTTTGCACAAAGTAAAGTTTTATCAAAGTAGATAGCAAACCTTTGACTCCTCGGAAAACAAATCGATCGGACGGTACTCGTAGTCAATGTTCTTCAGTGATAATGCTGCAATGTTTTCATAGACTTTAAAAGTTCAGAACTGAACCAGTCCTCCTCACCTATACGGACCCGCCAGGAACACGAAGAGCGCCAATACGAGTAGAGAATCGGCTTGGCCATGAGAGAAGAACAAATAATAAGAAAAAGGGAAGGAAGGAGAGAGTGAAAGAGTGCGAGAGAAGGGGGAAATGGTGATAAGGGACACGTTGGAGACACATGTTCGGGTGAAAGGGTCAGAGATCAAAGGAGATCAAATGTATTATAGGGGCACCGGACGGAAAGGGCGCGCTGTTCGCAATCTGGCCGAATTTCTAGGCCGCGAAGTCATTTTCCACTGAAAACGTGGCCTAACTTTTCAAACTCGGCCCCGAGGTCGCTCAATTTGCACTGCAAAAAGAGTTTCTCAACAGAGCGCCATTTCTGTGCGGTGCCCCTATAATATGGAACCAATGTTTCAAAAGTACTCTATATCTCGAGAACTAATGATTATTTTGAAAAGTGGTCAACTGAAAATTTGTTCTGAATTTTTTGTCGGCCACGGTCTTCAGAGATTACAATGGGCGCAAGTGCGCCCCGCCCAATAGATTGGCGCGAAATCCAAATTTTAACAGAAAAATTGGTGTTTTTTGCCAGATTAGCCACAAAAAACCGATAATTTCTCATTTGTCTCTCGATAGACCGATTGTATAGGCTATTACGAATTTTTAAAGAGCAATAGCGTTAAATTTGGTCAAGTCGCAAATCACATTTATCCGTTTGAAGGTTTTTGGCTAAAACTGCGTGAATTTCAGTTTCTTTTCGGTAATTTTCGCGGTTCGAGCGCTCAAAATGTTTGTATTTACGTGATTTATCATTCTCAAAACCAATTCTGTCTGAAAACGGTCAAGAAAGCGCAAAATGAAAAGTGCGGTTTTTTGGCGGCGATCGGCGGCTATCGGCGAAAAAGCAAAGTCCGCGAAAAATGCGCCAAAACGTCATTAATTCTGAGAATTAGTGTGTTTTCATGTCGAACAATCATTTTTCATTGCCGTTGACCACAAAAATCAGAGAAAACCTGCTCAATTCATGAAGACGCCATTTGGCCGCCGAGGCGACGCCCGTATTGTCAGCTCTGGAGACCATGGCTGCCCAACATTTTTTTTGTTATCTATTTTGTCTGAAAATACTTTGTTCTAGAGTTTTAAGGCAATTTCTCTGAGCAATTTTTATTTGGCATTCTATACACTTTTCAATTCTTTAGAGCATCCGGCTGCACATCAGCATGGGCCACTCGAAACTCTGGAATCTCGGCCAGCGTCGCATCGATTGTGTTCATGATCGAATACGGAGACATGTCGATTTTGTAGCTGAAAGACAAGTTCACGGATCCGTTGCTAAATGGATCAACAATACTTCTTCGCATTGTAAATGATCGACGGAAGCATGAGATCGGCGATGGTCAGCTGATCGCCGACGCAAAACTTTCCCGAATGTCTCTTCAGAAGTTCCTCGAGCGCTTTGAAGCCTTTAGTTATGAAGTGACACACCCACTCATCTCCGAGTCCCGGCTCTTTCTCGTTGAGCATTCGATTGACGCCGAGCGATTGGAGTGGGTGGATTCCAGAAACGATCTGAGAAGAGAATGTATGCATTCAATGCACGCGATATATCTCTGCTGCCTTTAGAGATATAAAAAAGTTGTCAACGAAGAAAATGTGCATAATTTCTTGGTGAACAACTTGTCTGTTGAAAACTTTTTGATATTCTTACCGACAGCTGAGATATATCGTTCAGAATGAGGGGGTCACTTACATGAAGGGAAACCGCTCTTGCTCGAGCTCTCTTCTCAAGCTCTTTGGGGAGAAACGGCGGCTCCGGGTAGGCTTCGTCCAAGTACTCGATTATAGCCAAACTTTCAGTTAGGGATAGTCCATTTATAACGAGTGTTGGCACTTTCCGAGCTGGATTATGCTTCACAAACTCTGGATTGTTCTGGAAATGTTTTTTTTTCCGATGCACGCAAAATCAAGAAGGAACATACTTTTGATTCTTCGGAATTCAAATCAACCGGTCGATACTCGTACTCAATGTCCTTGAGAGCAAGTGCTGAAGGACTATTTTAATTGAGAAATGTGCTCTTGCCTACCAATCCGAACTCGCCAAGCACATGAAGACTTCCAAGAAGAATAGAGAATTGGCAACGACATTCTGAGAACGTGTAAAGGTTTCGAACAAGAAGTGGGATTATATAAAGGATCAAATGATGACAATGATGATGATGTGTGATTTCACTCAAAGACCAACGACACGGGGGGAGAGAGAGAGAAATGATCTGTTTGGTCTTGGAACGGAAGACGCTCTCAAGAGTACGGTAGTTTGAAGAAGCACCGTAATCGAATCATCATATTCTTTTCCCCCCTCTTTCTTCTCTGACCTTTATGCCTTCCTCATTCCCTCAATGCGCTCTCCTCCGATCCTCCTTCTCCTTCTCTTCACTTTCTTGTTTTGCTCTGCCTTCCAGCAGATTGAAGTGCCTGGAGACCGTCGAAATCCTAATATCCACGTGCAAGCCGCGCGGAACTTCCAGGCGATGCTCAACCGAGCAACTTTCCAGGGACCGGCAGCCATCGGCGCCCTCACCACCGACCAATTCGCCTACTTCCGATGCATAGACGGTCCCGGAAGACGGTTCCAGGAGATTAAGACTAAAGGCGAGAAAGAAAGTTGACGGAAGAAGTGGGAACATTGATTTGCAGCGGACTTCATGCGCGAGCTGTTCGCGTGGTCCAATTCCGGAACGATTACTAGAGTGATCCCGTACGGAGGCGGAATGACGGTGTACGAGGTAGCTGTGGGCCTGAAGCAATTCGAGTACACGATCAGTCATCGGCAGATGAAGTTGCAAGTGGCCAAAGAGAAAGGATGCTAACTTTTCGATATTTGTCCCATAAAATTGTTTCGCTTTTCTCTCTTGCCTGAAAAACGTTTAAACCTTTTGGTAGTACTCACTTTAACCATTTTCGCATGCGATTCAGACAAGAATACGCGAAAAATTCTGACAATCTGTAGAGAACGAATGGAGAAACGGGAACAAATCGGGAAGTGAAGACGGGCGGTCGCCGCAACGCGTAGCAACTAATTTTCCCGCTATTCACTGTCTCCCCAACGGCTTATACTAAATTGAGCGCCGCGTTAAAACGGAGTGTCGTTGAAAACAAAAGCAGGTCTGAAATTTGTGGATTTTTTTCCGAAAACCCGAAATTTCATTCGAAAATGACAAAAATGAAGTAAAACAGAGAATTTCCGAATTGATAATGACAGCTGTGACCTTAAATTAGCGTTTTGCCCACGAGAAAGAGCGCATTATTACAATTTTCTGTTAGTTTCAGTCCGGATCCTCAAAAACTGAAATTTCTCAGTCATTTTTGCATTTCACTGTGCTCAAAATGACCGCCTTTGTCTGCTGAACAATCGTGACGCAACTGTTTTTTGATTCTGTCAACTGTTTTCTCAAAACTTCCGAAAGTTTGTTTTTTCAAGCCAAATTTAAAAAACGAAATTACTCTTCGAATTTTCACTTTTACACGAGCACTCTGTGACCATTTTGTGGCTATCGGTCATATGAACAAACGTGAGACAAAAGTTTTGAAGGAAAACTGTGCATAATCCCAAAAACTCGAGAAAACATCGTTTTCAGTTGAAAAACCGTCTCCCGTAAATCGACACTGAGAGCCGCACGCAAAAAAGCGCGCGAACATTGTTTTTTGCCGAAGGGGAGACAGTGCTATTATTGGAGATCAAGTATGTGCACATCACAGCTACACGACGTGTTTTTCAGAGTCCCGCAAAAAGATTTCTCGGTCACGCGGCTTCTGTGCTTCTACTCTCTAAGCATTCTAGACCCCTACCGTCCCGGTTCCCATCGAATTCATAAAACTTTAATTCGATCAGCGCGTTCCCGTCAAAAGCACCGCTCCTCCAGCGTCTCTCTCTCCATTTCGGACAGAATGCAGTTCGCTCTCCCCCAAATCTTTCTCCTTCTCCTGCTCGCCGTCACTTTTTCCTCCGGTCTTTTCGGTGCTCCGCGACCTCGTGACCCATTGCAAATGGCCAAACGCTTCCAACAGAGCTTCGACAGAGCGATCAACTCGAGAAACAGAGATGCGGTGCTCAATCACCTCACCGACTCGTTCACCTATCAGGGATGGAACCGTACTGTGCCCATGGTCATCAGCAGATGTACGGTATTCTATTGGAGTTGCACACATCAGAAGCATGATCCTTTCAGGGGTGTTCGCGGATTGGGTGCTGGCGAGTCGTGGCATTTACGGAGATGTCTATGAGGCGCGCTTCTATCAGGACAACAATGTGATCTACAAGATGCGCTACTACACGACTGTGATTCAGGCGTATATGGCTTACAGCGGGAAGGTCATGAAGTTGTACATGGGCGAGGATATCAGTCGTCGCTGATTATTGCCAGAATAAAGTTTCACATCTATTACGTACTACTGGGTCCTCAAAGCACGGGCACATAATGTATCGTTCATTCATAGCAACATATCTCAGACGTCGACGGTCTCCAGAGCTGACAATATGGGCGTGGCCTAGGCCAAATGGCGTTTTCATGAATTGAGCAGGTTTTCTCTGATTTTTGTGGTCAACGGCGATGAAAAATGATTGTTCTACATAAAAACACACTAATTCTCATAATTAATGACGTTTTGGCGCATTTTTCGCGGACTTTGCTTTTTCGCCTTCGCCGCCGATCGCCGCCTAAAACCGCACTTCTCATTTTGCGCTTTCTTGACCGTTTTCAGACAGAATTGGTTTTGAGAATGATAAATCACGTAAATACAAGCATTTTGAGCGCTCGAACCGCGAAAACTACCGAAAAGCAACTGAAATTCACGCAGTTTTAGCCAAAAACCTTCAAACGGATAAATGTGATTTGCGACTTGACCAAATTTAGCGCTCTTGCGCTTAAAAAATTCGTAATAGCCTATACAATCGGTCTATCGAGAGAAAAATGAGAAATTATCGGTTTTTCGTGGCTAATCTGGCAAAAAACACATATTTTGCTGTTAAAATTTGAATTTTGCGCCAATGTATCGGGGAACACTTGCGCTCACTGTCAGCGGTCTGCGCAGACGCCTATTATAGGGGCACCGGACAGAAAGGGCGCGCTGTTCGCAATCTGACCGAATTGCTAGGCCGCGAAGTAATTTTCCACTGAAAACGTGGCGTAACTTTTCAAACTCGGCCCCGAGGTCGCTCAATTTGCACTGCAAAAGGAGTTTCTCAACAGAGCGCCATTTCTGTGCAGTGCCCCTATAATAAAAAAATATCAAAAAGTTGTCGACTGACAAACTGTTCAGAAAGGCTTTGCGCATATTTTATCAATTGGTAACTTTTTGATATCTTCAGCGGCAGCTGAAATGCATTGTCTTGAATAGACGCCTTTACCGTAAGGCTTTACGGTACTCAATCATTCCATCACAAAGACAGTTTTAAGCGTTGTCTATCAAAATTATCATGTTTAAAATTCTCTAGTTACAGCTCTCATGCATCTTGCTCACATTGGTGCGAAATGTTTATTCTCTTAACTAGATAATTCACCCTGAAGACTCTGTGCTCCCTGTCGGCGGACAGCTCGTGTCAAATCGAAAATGATAAATTTCTCTCGAACACCCCCGCTTTTCCGAGCATTCGAGGAAAATTCCCATTCCCATTCCCATTTTGTTTATGCGACCCTATTCGCGTCGCTATATAACCATCCCCATCGCCGATTCTCCTCACAAAATGTCCCCGACCGTCGCCTTTCTCCTTCTTCTGTGCCTTCTCTGCTTCGGCGGCTCCGTCCGAGCTGGCGATGGATCCGAAGAGATCGCAAAAGGATTCATCGGAGGAATGGTCTTCGCCATCGCCACCCAAAACCCAGACAGGATCGGAAAGCTGTTCGCGGAGGACTTTGTGTTCACTGGATGCAAGGGAGAATACAACAAGAGTAAGGAGAGGGAGGATTCTAATTTCCATGAATTCCATTTTCAGAACAAGTCGTGGCTCTGTTGGGAAAGGTCCCGAAAGGCTCCGACTTTGACATTGCCTTCAAGGACTCGCACTACCTGAACCAGAACGCAGACGTCCTCTACACAGTCGTCGCCACTGGATTCGGACCCGTCATCGAAGCCGAGTTCACCCTCCAGCAGAACAACAAACGCTACATTCTGATCAGCGGAAAGAAGTCCAACTGCTGAGACGTTATCACTTTTTGAATGCAGAAGCTTTTATAAAGAATTAAAAGAAAAAGACGACGTGAAACTGAGACTTTCCGCTTCATTCCTTCCATTTCAAAAATGAGAGCCCTCTTTTTCGCTCTTCTTCTTCTCTCCCTCGCCGTCTTCTCGGCTCTCGGAGCGCCAATTCCAGAAGACGTGAAAAAGGGCGAGAAGTTGGTGGAATCGCTCCAGAAGGCCATCGAACGGAAGGACAAGAAACTGATCGGAGAGGTGTTCGACGACGGATTCGTTTTCGAGGCGTGCGAAAAGAAGTACACTAAAGGTGATCTATTTCATGAAATAGAAACAAATTGATTCGGTTTGCAGACGACGTCATCCAGTTGCTCGACAATCTCGGATTCAAGATGACGAGTGCCATCGAGCGGAGCACTCAGATTCTGTTGGTCGGATCGAAAAAGTTCGTGGCGACGATTCGCGAGTCGTTCGTTCCGATCACCGCCGAGTTCACCGTCTCGGACGAGTGGAAACTTCTGCACGGGAAGAAAAATTCATGTGACGAGAACACATTTTATCTCAATAAATGAATTTTCCATTTTTCGCCGTGCACAACTTCCGTGACCGCCTGAATTTTGTGCTGGCTTCGTGACCCTTCGCTTCTTTCGCTCGCCGACCACCGTTCAGTCTCCGAACAATCGCGACATGAAACTTCTTCCGATCTTCTTGCTCTTCACGTTTTCGGTAGGCTCCTCTCAACTATCCCGCCTCCAACGACTTGCTTCAGGCGTTGTGCTCGAGTCAAGAGAGACTGAACACGAAGGACGTGGTCCCGCACGCGCCGGTGGTCCGGGACGCGGCCAAGGACGCGGCCGATATTGAGCTGGCGCGTACGACGGCCACCAAGTTCGCCGCCGATCTGATGAACGTGCGGAAGAGCGAGAACATCCACGATCTGACCAACTGGCTCGCCGACGACATCCGCTTTCAGATGTGCGGCATCGAGCTCTATTTCGGTGAGCTCTGAGCAGCAGATATATTATAAACTTCCGGTTCTCCAGGCCACTTCCTCGCCTTCGTAACGAGCGCTCTTCTGGAGAAGGAAAAGTACCCGACGCCGTTGCAACTGGTGGTCGACAACGCGTACACGCGTCCGGAAGACCCGGTGAACGCGACGGTTCCGCGCGTCCCCGACGCGTACCTCTCGATGCTCGTCAACGCCTCCGGCTTCAACTTCGAGGCCAACGATCAGATGATTCTGGACTTTAAGAAGCAGCCGGACGGCTCGTACAAGATGTGGCACGGCGACATTCTCACGTGCCGCATCGTTCCCGCAAAGGACGAGTGATTCGGCTTGGCGACGATCTGTAGATTCGATTTCGTACCTAATAAACGCTTTTGTGATAAATATCGCGTGTTATTGTGACTGATTATGAGACCTGAAACTCTGGATCTGGACACAGTTGATCTCCAATAATAGCGGGAAAGGTGGTTGCCACGCGTTGCGGCATTCGGACCACCCGTTCACTCGCCTCTCCCCCACACTTATTTCAACTTTTCCATTTTCCATTCCTTCTCCACAGATTGTCAGAATTTTTCGCGTTTTCTAGTCTGAATCGCATGCGAAAATGGTTAAAGTGAGCGCTACGAAAAGGTTTGAACAGCCCGAAAACTCGTTTTTCAGGTAAGAGAGAAAAGCGAGTTGGTGACGGTGAATGCGGGCGAGAATCTGGAGAAGCTGATGGCCAAAGGGTACGTGCATCCGATGAAGCACTCGGCTCTCGTGCCCTACTTTGACGAGTGAGTCCTAGAATGAGGATGCGGATCATGAAATTGATGAGTTCAGATTGGAAGTGGAGGCCGACAAGAACTTTCAGTTCATCCTCAACGGACTCATGAACACACTGCTCACTGACGCATATCCCGAGGCTTCCGAATATTGTGAAATGTTTATAAGGTGAGTGAGGTGGCCGGGAGATCCTCTTACTTCGGAAATCCGCCTCACGGTCTCCAGAGCTGACAATATGGGCGTGGCCTCGGCTGCCAAATGGCGTTTTCATGAATTGAGCAGGTTTTCTCTGATTTTTGTGGTCAAAGGCGATGAAAAATGATTGTTCGACATGAAAACACATTAATTCTCACAGAATTAATGACGTTTTGGCGCATTTTTCGCCGACTTTGCTTTTTCGCCTTCGCCGCCGATCGCCGCCTAAAAACCGCACTTCTCATTTTGCGCTTTCTTGACCGTTTTCAGGCAGAATTAGTTTTGAGAATGATAAATCACGTAAATACAAGCATTTTGAGCGCTCGAACCGCGAAAACTACCGAAAAGCAACTGAAATTCACGCAGTTTTAGCCAAAAACCTTCAAACGGATAAATTTTATTTGCGACTTGATCAATTTTAACGCTTTTGCGCTTAAGAAATTCGTAAAAGCCTATACAATCGGTCTATCGAGAGACAAATGAGAAATTATCGGTTTTTTGTGGCAAATCTGGCAAAAAACACAAATTTTGCTGTTAAAATTTGAATTACGCGCCAATGTATCGCTCTATTGGCACTTGCGCGCATTGTCAGCTCTCGAGCCCGTGCGCCTCTTCACAGACACCTCCACCAATTCGGACTCCGAATGAGCAAGCATACCTACCTCTCACTGGTCCGTCTCTTCTACGAAGTCATCGTCAAAGAGCACCAACGGTCGGATCTGATGCTAGTCGCGTGCGCCGGGTTCGCCAAGATGTCCGAGCTGTGTCCGGCGGGCCGGTTCGGATGGCGGGACCTGGTGCTCGACTGGCGTCCCATGTACCGTCTCCTCCTGCTCTCGATCAACGGGAAACTGAAGCCGGATCCGACGGAGATCCTCAGCGACTCGATCCACGTGTTCGCCCACTTCTACCAGCCGACGGAGCACGCGGCGATCTGGGAGACTCTGCTCGAGGAGCTCGCCCTCGGACAGCAGTGGACGATGGAGCGGTTCACGATGCTCTGCTGGAACTTTCTGTCCATTCAGGGAATGTCGGAGGAGGATCTCGAGAAGTACGCGGTGAATTCGTGGTTCCGCGAGCTGTGGAACATGTACCTGCAGGCCGAGATGAACACCAAATTCACCGTCGTCTGTGTGGATTACGTGTCAGAGTGGGTTGCTCGAAAAGTGGAAGGTTTTCAATTGAAACACTTGCAGACTGCTCAGTCACATGCCCGCAGTCTTTGATCTGAGCCCCTACTACGACGTGATCTTCACCAAAATGATGCGAAGCTTCTGTCTGACGGTCCGCGACGGAAAAGTTTCGGTGGGCGACGGACAGGAAGGTCAGACCCTCGGCCATCTGGCCAAAGTCTGCGCGTACACGATCGGAGGACCCAGATCGTGAGTTCACAATACTCCTAACCGATTAGCATCTTCCCGTTCAGAGCTCTCGCTTACTTTCAACGCCTGATGAAGTACATACTGTTCAATGTGCACCCGCAGAACTCGGGCAATCACACCGACCAGATCGGCGACTTCCTCTACAAATTCATCTCCTTCTTCAAGAAGCGCATCAAAGAGGAGCGTCTGGCCTACAAGAAACGGCCTGTTCCGAACGAGTACTACCTGAAAGACGCGGAGATTGATGCAGTAACGGAGGCGATGACCGACCTGGTCATTATGCTCATGTTCTCCGAGGACTATCGCAATGTGAGCGCCCATCTGCAGGTGACTGTTAACTGACTCTATTTGCACAGGATCACAAGCTCGTCTACGTGCTGACCGCCATGAACCGAGAGTACGTGGCGCCGAAGCTGCTCGACCACCTCTACTCGTCACTAACCGCCTTCAGCGAACCCCACCGACTCACCGTCATCATGCAGACCTTCTCGATCGTCTGCTTCGAAGTGATTCGCCTGCCCGATGCGGACTACCGCGCCCCGCGCAACATTGTCTACGACTCGAAGTGGTTCCGCGCGTTCGAAGAGCAACGAACGAATTGGGCGACGTACCGGACGGGCAGCGTAGTGCCGCAAGTGCTCACGCACCAGTTCACGAGCCTCCGCGCGCACGCCTTCTACATGATCGAGATATTCGTGAACAACATCGACGTGAACGACGTCTACCGCACCGCCTCCGTCCTCCGCGCGCTCGTCGTCCTCTTCAGCTCTTTTCCGCTCATGGACTTCTCCGCGGCCATCGAACATCACGGCGACGAGATGAACGACGACGATCGCATCCTCTGCCGCATTTCGAAGCGAGTGCCGACGTTTGTCGAATTTGCGTTCGAGCGCATTCTCGACGTCATCACCTGCTTGTCGGTGGTCCCCGCAAAATCGTCGGCCGGCGTCTCGGTCGGAGTTTCGATGTCAACGGAGTCACAGCAGGCGGAGGGCGAAGAGGAGCTGATACTAAAAACCGGAATCTGTCAGTGTGTCAGCGCAATTTTCGAGAGATCCGATGAGAAGATCAAAAAAGTAAAGAATTCACTCTTTACACGGCAACCAAAAACGTAGAAAGGGGCGTGGCCTAGCGTGCACGATTTATCACCATTTTGGCGCGAAAGAAATTCGAAATTTAACCCCATTTTTCATGTTTTTCGTCAAAAATTACCCGAATTTTGTACGATTTCGACGATGTAATTGCATAACTTTGTTAATCTAATCATCGCGCACTTTTTGAGCTTAAAACGAGCAGGTTTCATTCAGAAATGAATCAATTGAATCGATTTTCAAGTTTTGTGCTGAAAATGCGCGAATTTCAGTCATTCGCCGACACTTTTTGCCGTTTGAACGCTTAAAATACTTGTATTTATTAACGTGCTTAATCACTTCCGACACTCACTTCGTCTCAAAACTATCCTCATCGGCCGGTATGAAAATTCCGAAATTGCGGCGGCGATTGGCCGCGGAGCGCGTATTGCGAAATATGCCAAAAACGTCTCAAACGCGGCGTTTTCACGAAAATTTCGATGTTTTCACTCTTTAATGTCTTCTTTCGTCGATATCAAACACAAAAATATGGGAAAAGTGCTGGGATTGCGGCAATTTTGAGAAAAAGCGTCTCAGATTAGGCCACGCCCCTTTCTACACTTTTGGTCGCCGTGTATTTCTTTCGCTGTCCCACTATTATTTTCCAGCGTCTGTTCAGCCGTCTCTTCGACTACGTCTCCACGTCGGAATTTGCAAGTTACACGGCCACAGAGCTGCTCTCCGGCCTGGTCGGATCGGCCATCTGGACGTGTCCCGACGCGTTCAAGTGGTTCATTGAGTTTGTGTCGAAAAAGTTGAAGGCTCTGATCACTGGTAATCAAATCACGAGCTCGGCGGGCACTCACAATTTTTCGCCAATTTTAGAAGACGTTCAAAAGTCGAAGAATCCCTCGTCGACGGTGGTGTTCCACGTGGTTCTCGCTCGAGCCGTCTACGTGGCACCGCATCAATTGATTCTCAAGAACGAGGCGCTGCTGTGCGAGATCACGGACCTCCTGCTCAAGTGTCAATGCAAGCGGATCTACCGAATGGGCACCGAGGGCGCGCACAGTCTTCTCTTCACGCTGCTCTGCATCAACACGGAACACACGGCGTCGCCCGAGAATCAAAAGTTCCAACGACCGCTGAGCGAGTGGAATCCGATCAAAGAGTGGGCAAAGTGCAACACGTACAAAGACACGGTCATCAAGTGGTACATTCCGGCGAGACAGGAGATTGAGTGTGTCCAACGAGTGTGCAATCGCTTCCTCTTCCCCTACATTCAAATGTTGCGGCCAGGACAGTTGGATCGGTATGTGCTCACATGACACTACAATATTTGTGCTTGTGTTTCAGTGACAACCTCCGTCGCGTCACGAATCATTTAAAAGAGATGCTCCAGAATCTGTGGATTCTCGAGCACCCGAAGAACTGCCGATTCGTTCCCGACATCTACGCCCCATACTCGCTTCCGCCGGCCTCCTCATCACTCGGCGCCGTTCCGATGGTCGAATTCGAGCTGCTCGGAGCAAACGGTGAGAATCCACGAGAGCTGCTCGTCTCGATGGTCGAACGGATGATGCCGGGCACGCAGGATCCGAAGGCGCTCATCAATTTGGCCGCAATCGCTGCCCAGTGCTTTGGCGGCAAGACTGGCTCGTTTGTGAACGCGTACATTGAAGCGTCGCTGGACGAAGTGCATCGCGTGCTCATGGACTCGACGTACGGACGCATCTGGAAGGCGTCGCAGCACACGATGGACGAGTTGGCCTTCTTCAAACACTCGCAACTCGCCGCCTACCACACGAGCAACTATCGCGCGCCCAACGACTTTGATCAGCGAATCATTGCGTGTCTTCTCGAGTGCGCGCTCAACGATTATGAGAAAGTGCGCGACGTGGCGATTGCGCACTTGATGAGCAACATCTCACAAATCTACCGGTGCCGCGACACGCTCGTGCCGAAAGTGATGCAAGTGTTCACGGAGAGCGACGCGAAGCAGACGGGACGGCTCATCGGCGCCATTGGCGTGATGCTCGACTTGGGATGGTTGGGATCGATCAACGCGAGGCTGAGACTCGTCTGCTACGACGCCGTGCTCCGCATCAAAGTGATCGACGACCCGAAGCTGCGAGTGCTGTTCGAGAGAATCCGAGAAGAAGTGAAGAGCATTGTCAACGATCCGATCTATCAAAAAGGCACGCTGGAGACGTTCGAGGAGCGGAACAAGACGGTGAAAGAGTTTGCGACTCCCCTCATCAAGCTCGACGAGTTCTGGAAGCCCTACTTTGCGCCGGAAACGATCAGTGCTCAGCTGAAGCGGTGGTACGCGTTTGAGCGCGAGCAGCACATTCTCCGCAAGCGGCTCGTCGACACGCTCTTCTCGCGTCACATCCACAATCCGGAGCATCATCACACGAGGCAGAAGCTGGCGCGGACGATGGCGTACCACGTGCAGAGAGAAGCGGCCGACGAGCGGACGATCCGGTTGCTGCTGAGTCAGCTGACGGACGAGCAGTACGAGCAGCGGAATGAGGCTCGCGGGTGGCTCGCCTACTGGATGCGGAAGAACAAGCCGCAAACGGTGAGGACGGAGGTGCGGATGCCGCCGCGCAAAGATCACGGACAGCCGATGGAGAGCGGAATTAGGGAGGACAACTTGTGGACGGTCTACGATTCGGCAAAGGTTCCGGACACTGAGCACAAGTGGAACGAGATGATGTTCGTTGAGAAGGAGAAGGGCGCGTGCCGATGGCCGAGGTGAGCCGAGGGCGAATCGATTAAACCTCGCCATTCTTCTGTTTTCAGTGCACTGTCAGTCGTCCGTCCACGCAAACACGGACCTCCACTGGAATGCCGTCCGATGAGCGGCAGCGATCAAGCGATTCTCGACTACTTTTCCGATCCGAAGAGCGTCGCCGACTTTATCAACTGTCGTTGTTCCGAAAAGGACGACTGCTCCGACCCGAACGCCAACTTCTACCAGATCGTGCAGTACGCGATTCGCAACTATCCGGACGCCCACAAGCCGTTGCAAATCTTCTCGCAAACACTCAAATCACTGCTGCTCGGCACCAAACGGCAAAAGAATCAGAATCTGGCCGCCGAGCTGTTTCTCGGAATCGCGCTCGGCCTGAAGCATCGGACGTTCGCCGAGCAGAAAGAGTTTTGGACGCACGTGACTGTCGCGCTCGACGAGTTTTTCAACACGATGCTCGAAGAGGCGGAGACGGCGTGGAGCACCGTCATTCTGCTCCTTTTCATGAACCGCGACCTTCGACGCGTCTGGTGGCTCGTCGAATCGTTGATTGCGGGCGCGCGCAAGTCGACCGCGGCGGCGGCCACTGAATTTTTGCAAGCATTGTGAGTATAGGCGGGAGAAGGGAGAGGAAACGCTTTATTTCAGCCGCTTCACAATACTCTTCCTCAAAAGATGGCGATATACGGAGATTACGAATCGGTTGGTGGAAATTGCGTGGAGCAAACTGGCGTTTGCTCTCACCGATCAGCTGCGTTACGCAATTGCGAGGTGGGCAAAAAACGGCTACTCACGGTCTCCAGAGCTGACAATATGGGCGTGGCCTCGGCCAAATGGCGTTTTCATGAATTGAGCAGGTTTTCTCTGATTTTTGTGGTCAAAGGCGATGAAAAATGATTGATCTACATTAAAACACACTAATTCTCAGAATTAATGACGTTTTGGCGCATTTTCGCGGATTTCGCTTTTTCGCCTTCGCCGCCGATCGCCGCCTAAAAACCGCACTTCTCATTTTGCGCTTTCTTGACCGTTTTCAGACAGAATTGGTTTTGAGAATGATAAATCACGTAAATACAAGCATTTTGAGCGCTCGAACCGCGAAAACTACCGAAAAGCAACTGAAATTCACGCAGTTTTAGCCAAAAACCTTCAAACGGATAAATGTGATTTGCGACTTGACCAAATTTAATGCTCTTGCGCTTAAAAAATTCGTAATAGCCTATACAATCGGTCTATCGAGAGACAAATGAGAAATTATCGGTTTTTCGTGGCTAATCTGGCAAAAAACACAAATTTTGCAGTTAAAATTTGAATTTCGCGCCAATGTATCGCTCTATTGGGCGGGGTGCACTTGCGCCCATTGTAAGCTCTGGAGTCCGTGGCGGCTGAGAAAAGTGTCATCACACATCAACAATGCGTTGTGCAGAGTGTTCCGTAATGCTGCTCAAGTTTGCGAGATGAACCTGACGGCCACGTTCGTCAACGTGGATCCCAAATTCATACCGCCGTCCGTCGACTACACGATCGCCAAGATGCTCGACTACATTCCGCAGCTCAAGATCTCGAATGTGTCGGAGTCTGCGCGGAGCGTCACGTCGGACACGGCGGTGGTGACGAGTCCCGGAGACCCGCCGCCCGCCAAAAAACGACGGGTGCGGAGCCTGTCGGCGGGCTCGGACTCTGACAAACTGGTGAGTTCGCAGGTCTTTCGAAAAACGTTAATCGTTTCGCATTCGCAGTCGATGGCTCACTTCCGCACACTTCTCGAGTACATTCTGCAGTACTACGAGACGTCGATGCACAGTTGGACACCGGAGCTCGTCCAAATCCTGCCCAAACTGATGGAGTTTGCCAACGAGGACGACTATGACCTGTCGGAGGAGACGTATCGCGACGTGGACATTACCCAGAACGCAGCGGTCATCATCCACGACTACATGTCGGGCGCGTGGCTCAAGGAGCAGTTTGTGGGCGACATTGTGCACTCGTGGTGTCAGACGTATTCGACGAACATGCGATCGTGGAAGATTCGACGCGCCGTCGTGAAATTTGTGCAGGCTTCGGTCTACTCGAACATCTTTCCGCTGAGTTTGGAGTCTCGGCGGAGCCAGGTGGAGAAGCTCTTGTTCGAAGCTGTGACCGATGAGCAGGTACCAACAGTAACCCTTTCTACAGTACTCTGCTGCTTCAGATATCCATTCGCCGAGAGGCTTCCAAGTGCCTCCTACTTTTTGTTCACTGCGGATACATTAAAATCACGGACGAGATGGTCGATGCGCTGGCTCGAGTGCTCAACTCGTCCACGGAATCGGAGTCGAAGGTGCACGGAGCCGTATTGGCTCTCGGAGCACTCGTCCTCGCGTTCCCCTTCTCGCTGCCCCTCGAACTGCTCAAACCGCTTCGCATTCTGAACTCTTCTAGCTGCAAACGAGCTCTCATCAAGGTCCAAATCACTTTTCAATCTCCCGCTCATTATTCCCCATTTCAGGACACAATCACGAGTATTGTTCGTGAATTCCGCCGCCAACACCGCGATGATTGGAATCGAACGAAGGAAATACTCGGAGAAACGCTCACTTTCGACATTGAAAACGCGACGGCGCCCGCCTATTATGCCTGAATCGATTGCCTTAATACTTGTACCATATTTGTATAAATAAAGAGCACGTGTTCTTTTTTCTTTTTTTCAGGTTGCCTTCTTTTTAAAGGTGGTGTCCAACCTGACATACAACATATTTTTAAAATAAACTTCGAAGTGGGGCATTCACTTTCCCAAAGTCCCGAATTACAAAAAAAATTCCCAGATTTTTAAGATTTTTTTCAAAAAAGTTAATGGTACCGAGAGAAGTACACGGCGAAATGGAAGAGCTGGCCTAGATTTTTCTAGTCCTCGGATGGAATTCCCCTTTCTTCCGATTTTTTTCCGTTTTCGTGCAATTTTTTTAAATTTTCAATCGTTTTTTCACTGAACACATTTATTTGCAATATTTAAAAAAACTTTCGATTTTTTCTGTGCCGTGACGCCAAAAAAATCGATAATCTGAAACTTTCAAAATTCAGCAAAATTCAGAAATTCAGCCACTTTTTGTAAAACTGAAAATAGGAAGTTTTGGATTTTTTCATTACTTTGAAAAATATAACTTTCTGTAACTCGCAAACTTTAATTAAGACTCAGGAAATGATTGAGCGATCTCTTTCTATTTATTTTTCAGCGCGCAAACCGAAGATTGAGCGAAAAAAACCCGGAAAAAAACAAAAAAAGTTTCAGATTATCGATTTTTTTTGGCGTCACGGCACAGAAAAAATCATAAATTTTTTTAAATATTGCAAATAAATGTGTTCAGTGAAAAAACGATTGAAAATTTAAAAAAATTGCACGAAAACGGAAAAAAATCGGAAGAAAGGGGAATTCCATCCGAGGACTAGAAAAATCTAGGCCAGCTCTTCCATTTCGCCGTGTACTTCTCTCGGTACCATTAACTTTTTTGAAAAAAATCTTAAAAATCTGGGAATTTTTTTTGTAATTCGGGACTTTGGGAAAATGAATGCCCCACTTCGAAGTTTATTTTAAAAATATGTTGTATGTCAGGTTGGACACCACCTTTAAACCTTTTCACGCTGAAAAAGGATACCGTAATCAAAGGCGCAACGCTCATCGCACCTAAAGTTTTAAATTTGTATTTTCTCTGCACGAAATTTGAGTGAATTGTCATCATTTTTAACCGGAATTCAGGAAGTGCTTTCTTCTTTCGGGGGCTTTCGCGCCGAACCAGAACTATTCGAATCAGAACTGCAGTTATCTCTTCCCTTCAGCGAAAAAAAGTTTTCGCGCGCTTTTTTGCGTGCGGCTCTCAGTGTCGATTTACGGGAGACGGTTTTTCAACTGAAAACGATGTTTTCTCGAGTTTTCGGGATTATGCACAGTTTTCCTTCAAAACTTTTGTCTCGCGTTTGTTCATATGACTGATAGCTACAAAATGATCACAGAGTGCTCGTGTAAAAAGTGAAAATTCGAAGAGTAATCTCGTTTTTTAAAATTTGGCTTGAAAAAACGCGAACTTTCGGAAGTTTTGAGAAGACAGTTGATAGATTCAAAAAACAGTTGCCTCGCGATTTTTCAGCAGACAAAGGCGGTCATTTTGGCACAGAGATTTTGGCACAGAGCCCATAAAATGCAAAAATGACTGAGAAATTTCAGTTTTTGAGGATCCGGACTTAAATTCATAGAAAAGTGTAATAATGCGCGTTTCTAGTGGGCAAAACGCTAATTTAAGGTCACAGTTGTCATTACAAATTCTGAAAATGTCTGTTTTACTTCATTTTTCTCATTTTCGGATGAAAGCACATGCCACTCAGCCGAACGATATGCTCAAACGGAAAACAAAGTGGACTCGCGGTCAGTGAAAATCTTGAAAAATAACAGATTTGCTTCTCCGAACCAACTTCCAGAGCATCGCGCCCTCCACTTCAGCTTCAAAATAAACTAAGAATCGAGAGAAACAATACGACGGAGGCGAACTGACGAAAAGAGAAGAAACTTTTGTGAGCTGGCGAGTCTTTGTCTAAAAACTCGAAAGAACCCGAATTCAGTTGAAAATTCTAACCAAGTTCCATTCACAAAATGTTCATTTTTCAGTTCACTCGTAATGCGGAGGCTGGTCGTCGTAGATGGTGAAGAAATTCCGGGCTTGCTGATACTCATCGAAGAACCGCTCGATCGCTTCCATTGCGTCCAATTCATGGTTTCGTCTGACGAAATCTTGAAGAGCTTTCTTCAGTTCTTCTTCGTATTTTTTCAACTGGAAAGCCCGGCCTCCTGATCTCAATAACTGATTTCCAGTCTTGACGAGAAAATTGAAAATATTTCGCATAGGCTGCACAGTTTTCTTCGTCAGCAGCTGAATTCGGACCTTGTTCAAGTGGGCTTCCATGTACAAAAAGTGTAACTACAAGAAAAAATTATTCGTGAAAACTCGCTTTACTTACAGCCTTGAAACGGTAGATGATGACTAGGTGACTGAACACGATGACGACGCTCGATATGAGAGCTCCGAGGCCATTCGAAGCGTATCTGCTGAAAATTTCCGATTAAGATAACCTGAAGAAAATTTCCTCGCTTTGTTTCTAATTAGACCTGAAAATGTAGCGGCCGAATGATATTTTTGCAAATGTCCCCACATTCGCATGCACTATGGGCCTTTTCTTCTCGAGCATCTCATTTTAAAACAGATAAACAAAGTGAGAATGGTCACAAAGAAGAGCAGTTCCGTCCACTAATAAAAAACGTTTATGAAAATGCAAAAATAGTGTACGTCAATAGGCTCATGTCCTCCTTGTTGCTGAAACACTCGAAAAATATCGAGGACGCGCGGTTGATGGCGAGCAGGAGAGCAGCATCAGAGAATCCGAGAATGTTCTACAATAAATTGGATGCATCAGAAGGTGACTGACGGTACTCACTTTGCAGTTGGACTGTACTGTGAGTAGATCGGGGTAGCGTTGTTCTAAATAATTCCACATTTGTTTAAAATTTAGTTTTTGAAAATGCAACTAACAAGATAACGGCCAAAATATTGCAACTGTCACTTTTTGATCTACCTCACATAGTCCGCTGTTAAACTATGAAAATCTTTTGGAAAAATATTTGATCTCTCTCCTCTCTCTATCTCTTTGTCTTCCGCTCATATTGGAAAAGAATATTTTCCCCATTTTTCCTGAAACGGGCACGAGAACACAACTTGGAAGTACATTTATTAGGGGAATATTGTCATTGTTCAGTGAAACAACGAAACAACGAAAGTGTGCCTGAAAATCGCGATCCTCTCCGAGTATAAGATGCGCAAACAAGCCAAAATAACCAATCTGTCGCAAAAAATTGATAACTAATTTTTCAGCAGTGTACAGTTCCACAATGCTCCGCCTCTTCGCTGCTCGTGAAATTGTCCCTGTCGAACTGTTTTGTCGAAGTAGCCACGGAAGATTCGACGCAAAGAATGAAAGAGTACAGAAGACAAATCCAGTTGGCACGGGTCTGAATCCGTTTCTTTCGAATGTTTTAGAATAGCACAAAACTTACCGCAAAGGGGGTCATTTTGAAAGCGGTGAGAAGAAAGAAAAGGATGAGAACGAAGATGTGAACTCGGTTCACAATTATCTTCGAAGGCTTGAAAAAGAGCCTCGTTGGTGGAGCGACCAAATCGATCCAATAAGTAAAATGTGCACATGGGAAGCAGAAGGCGGCGAACCAGTTTGTCTAAAGCAACAAAGTGATGCGCTTTTCGTCATTATCTCAGAACTCACCTCATAGTTGTTGGCGAACAGCATCTCGGCAACGTTGCCGAGGTACGCACTCGCGGCCATTCCGTACAGACTGCCGACCAGTCGTCGTTTCGTTTGTTTCACATACCGAAACAGTAGTACACAGAATATTAACAGCGATGAACAATAGAAAGTGCCAGAAAACAACGAGCCGTCATTGAATATCATGTATTTGTCAGCTAGGAACATGTATCCAGAGAAGAATGCGATAAAGCCAGAGTATCGGGCCAACGACAGCACGAGAATCATTCGAATAGGGTTTGGAAGGAAAAGACGAGCAAGAAGAAGACGTCGCAGAATAGTCTATTGATTCTTCGACTGACGACGTGACGGAGAGGTGGAGAGCGCCCACACAGCTGGCAAGAAGGTATTGACTGAAGTTATCAGGTAACACGTTCATTACAAAAAGACACACAAACGAGTTCGAAGGCGATGAGACGACTGGAACATCTGAAAATTAAAAGATCAGTTGAGGATGTTCAACTTTCCGAGTACCTCTAACGCCTGATGGATCTGCTGCTCGACGGCCTTTTCTTCCTCGCCATCATCTTCGGCGGCACCTTCTTCTTGTGCTTCTTCGATGACTCCGAAGACCGTTTCGATCCACTTTTCGCCGACTTTGTCGATTCTCTCGACGTCTTCTTCGCTTTCGACGGCGACTTCTTCTTCTTCTTCTTCTCCGACTGATTAGTCTTTTTGCTTTTTGTCGACGTGACCGATCGTTTCGACGCCTTCTTCTTCACCGATTTCCCCTTTTCCGACGGTCTCTTGATTGCCGAAGCCGTCGGTTTCTTCGACGTTCTCTTCGACTCTTCCTCCGTCTTTGCCCGTCCCTTGTCTTCTGAATCTTTCCATTTGGTTTTCGGATCGTCTTCGGTGGACTCTCGGCTCTTCGACTTGCTACTACTCTTCTTCTTCTTCTTCCGATTCTCCTCCTTCTTCTTTTTCTTCGTCTGACGCGTGGATTTGGCCGGCGAGACGAGTCGATCCACAGATCGTTTGCTTTTCTTCGACGATTTTACCGAGGATTTCTTCGAAGCCTCTTTCTCCTTGTCTTTCTTCTTCTTTCTCTGCGGAGACGCCGAGTCGGCCATGTCACTGCGACGGTTCTTCGAGGATTCACGAGATTTCGGAATGGGGACAGGGACTGCGACCGGCGGCAAATGCTCCGATTTCGGAGCCGGATGCTGTTGGGTGTTGGGTTCGAAGTGATAGGAAGGATGGTAGGACTTGTCGGTCTGAGCCGGAGGAGGAGCTGGCGGCGGCTCCGATTCTTTCTCGGCCGAGGGCGCGTCCATCGGAGTGAGAGGTTCGTAGATCCGCTCGTAACTCTTTCCAGTCTTCTCGCCTTTCTCTTCCTCTTCCTTTTTCGCCTTTTTCGATTTGTCCGATCTGCTCTTACTTTCACTTTTGCTCTTGCTCTTCTTCTTCTTCTTCTTCTCCTCCTTTTTCTCCTTCTTCGATTTCTGCGACTTCTTCGACTTCTTCTTGCTCGGCGGCTCGTTCTCCTCGGAGCTACGGTGCTCGTTCCTCGGCGGTTCCGGCGGCTGAACCACCTTCTTCTCCGATTGGTCCGCCGGTCGAATCGGATCGATGCGTTTCACTTGGGACCGCTTCGAGCGCATCAATCTCTGCGATTCCCTCGCTTCCTTCGAGCACTGCCCCTTCTGGCATCCGGGCTCGTTGCACTCGAAGTTGTGCACATTCGCGTTCGGCGACTGAAAATGAGAAATTTTGCGTGAAATTTTTTCAAAACTGTTTTCCAAACTGACCACCAACGGCTTGGGCTTCATCCGTTCGAGCGCGTCGGCCCTCAGCTTGCTCATCTCCTCCTTCTCGCCCTTTTTTTCGCCGTTTCCGTTCTTTGTCTCCGCGACCACATCGCTCTCCGTCACCAACTTCTGCGGCTTGCTCCGTTTGCTCCGCGAGCTCCTCTTGCTCTTCTTGCTCCGCTGACTGCGCTCCTTGTTCGCCTTCTTCAACTTTTGACTGCGCACCGACTTGTCCGTCTTCCGATCATTTCCACGGTGTCCGACTGTGCACGCGACCGAAATGGCCACTCCGGTCACTGTGGCCACCGCCGACAAACACACTGAACACGAAAATGATGTCAGCGTCGAAGAAGACGTGAGCAAAATCACCGTAATTCATGGCTTCTCGAAAATGCTGCTCTGGCGAACTCATTTTGATACCGAAATAAAGTACACAAACTGGAAATAATCGCAAAACTTTCGATTGTTCGTTGAAAAGTGGTTCCACGTAAAACATAAAAAACATGAACACTTTCCTCGCCTTTACTTTATTTCTACCGCAACAGATACAAAAAACAAAAAGCAAAAAACCTAAAATGAACGAAGATGAGAACAAGGGAATCGTGTTTCAAGTTGAGCCATTTCTATACATTTTCATTTTCAGACGAACCTCCAGAGCTGACAAATGCGCCGCGCCCAATAGAGCGATACATTGGCGCGAAATTCAAATTTTAACAGCAAAATTTGTGTTTTTTTGTCAGATTAGCCACGAAAAACCGATAATTTCTCATTTGTCTCTCGATAGACCGATTGTATAGGCCATTACGAATTTTTTAAGCGCAAGAGCGTTAAATTTGGTCAAGTCGCAAATCACATTTATCCGTTTGAAGGTTTTTGGCTAAAACTGCGTGAATTTCAGTTGCTTTTCGGTAGTTTTCGCGGTTCGAGCGCTTAAAAATTTACGTGATTTATCATTCTCAAAACTAATTCTGTCTGAAAACGGTCCGCGAAAAATGCGCGCCAAAACGTCATTAATTCTGAGAATTAGTGTGTTTTCATGTCGGAAAATCATTTTTCATCGCCTTTGACCACAAAAATCAGAGAAAACCTGCTCAATTCATGAAAATTCCATTTGGCCGAGGCCACGCCCATATTGTCAGCTCTGGAGATCGTGCGAACCCGAATTTCAGATCGGATATGAGCTGCCGTCGCAGCAGCGCGTCAGTTTGCAGTTGGCGAATCTCCGATGGCACGCCGGCGGTGTTTTCAGCAATGTTTACCGGTACGATTCGGAGTTTCTAACTGTTCTAACAGCGCAATTTCTCAAAATCTAACCGCGCAATTTCTCATCACAGAACACATTATTGCAGGGGAACTCTCGTGTCTCCGGGCGCCGAAAGAGAGATTGCCATCAAGAAAACTTGGCCCAGTACGTTTCTCTTGTCGAATCTTTCAATAAAGCCTATTTAGAGACACCGGAGCGCAACTTGGAAGTCCTTTTTCTGTCGGGAATCAAGCGGAAACCGCACAAAAACGTCGTTCAAATGCTGTTCGCATTCGCGCGAAACACGCAAAGCGCTCAGGGCTCGGACACGAGGAGTTCGGTGAGCACAGCACGACTATACAGTACACAATCGCATGCGTGCCAGGTTTCAGTACTGCGAGTCGTACGTGTTCGAGTTCATGCCGACGACTCTGCACAGTCTGCTAAAGAGCCGCGACGGGAAGATCATTCGGATGCCGGAGATGGAGATGAAAGTGTACACGTGGCAACTGTTCGAAGGGCTACGCTATCTGCAGGCGCACATGATCGTGCATCGCGACATCAAACCCGTCAATTTGCTCATCGATCCCGACAAGAACGTGCTCAAGATTGCGGACTTTGGGAGTGCGAAGATCGCGCAGAGGGGCAGTCCGTCGAGTCCGTACCAGGTGACGCGCTTCTACCGACCGCCCGAACTGCTGCTCGACGCCAACGAGTACTACTGGATGGTGGACGTGTGGAGTGCCGGATGCTGCGTCGGCGAGATGATGAAGGGAAATGTGCTCTTCATGGGCGCCACGCCGAACATGATGCTCAAACTGTTTGTGCAGGCGTTCGGGCTGCCGACGAAGCGGGACCAGGAGTACATGAAGGTGACGACGATGATCGATCCGGTGTCCGACGTGAAGCTGTTGGGTCTGAAGCAGGCGCTCGGCGACGTCAGCCAGGAGTGGGCAGACTTTCTGGCCGAGATCCTCCGCTACCGCCCACGCGATCGCCTCCACGGACCCAAACTGCTCGCGCACAAGTTTTTCGATCAAATCTTCGCGTAAACCGATTTCCGCAAACTCCAGCATCCTATATCGTTGCAGTGACAAATGCGCTCTATCGAACGGACAACTCGTTTCCCAGGTCATCACTCGTGAAGACTATAAAACAGCCATGTGAGTTTTTTTTTTTGGAACAAATTTCATACAAAAAGTATCGAAAACGCACACGTTCAGAAGGAACGATTGCGCGGCGGGCAAAGAATACGCGGCGGCGGTGACGAAAGGAGTGGTGAAGTTCTCATTGAAAGACGTTCCGGCCGCACCTCCGATTCCGACGGCTCCATCGGCTTCCACGACAACGGCCACGGTTCCGGCACCGACGAACACGACGACTCCGGGCAAAGACTCCAAGGATCCACCGGCGCCGGCTCCGAAAGTTCCGTCGGCAGACGCCCAGCAGACGCTCATCTCACCCACAGCTATCATGTCGGCAAAGAGAACTATGAATGTTTGAAGCAAAGTACACTTTTATTTATCTTTCAAGTGACATGAACAATATTCGATTTGGGAAGAATGTAGACAGTGGAAGTGTTGAGCAGATTGTGCACGAGCTCGTGAGTCACGTCGGTGTTCAAGTGAAACACGAAAATGTTGAGAAACGCCTGGAAGATCATTCGGAAATGGCTGAGAAATTGGATCCGATTGGGGAGGACGAACGCGGGCGGCTCGTGGACAAAAATGAGAAACATCTTTCTGACGTTTTCTGAAAACTAACTGAGAATAGGTGAAAGTATTGTTCGGGCGCGTCGAAGCAACGGGACCAGCACGAAAGCGTTGTGATGTAGATGATGACGACGTCGGCTTTGGCAAAGAACTCTGGTAAAATTGAAAACTTTCCTCAGCCATTTTCAAACTTTTCTAAACTTTCTCAAGACAAAAAACTTTTCTAAGAAATTCTTAAACTTTTTCAAGCGGTCAAAACTTTTCCAAGGATTTCTCAAACTTTTTTAAGAAATTCTTAAACTCTTTAATGAGAATTACTGGAACTTTTGATAGCTGCCGATTGCTCGTAAACCGTAAAAATAATGGGAAACCCCGGTTGAAGCGAGCTACATTCCCCCATCATCATCTTGCGAGCTACATTCCCCCATCATGCCATACTTGAAACCTTTTTTTCTGTTTTTCGATGCGCAATTGCAAATCCCCATCGTTTTTTGTTCGCGATGCAATTTGCCCCGGCCATGACGTGTGCGTGGTGTCGCCGCGGTGTTTGCACACTTTTCGTTGGACACGCAGGTTATACGGTCACTTATTCTATTTTCGGGTTTGCCAGCTCGTATTTCTTGTGCATGATATGACTTCTATGTCCGGAATTTCACATTTTAACTTCTTTCGAATCTTCTGCCATCAAATCTCATTTTTGGCGTCTAAAACTTGTCTGCGGACTCAAAATTTGTAAGAATTGTTTAGAAGTTTTATTTAACTTTAATTTTAACACTTTTAATGCATAAATTCTCAAATTGTCGCTTTTTAGCCTATTTCTCAACTCCTTCCACGTCAGCTCAAAAAACCCCCAAAAAGTACGTAAAATGGCGTGGCGGTGTTCGCACAGTTGCGCGTCAATTGACGACGCGTCGTTTTGCAACGTGGATATCGGCGACAAGATTGGATCTTTTCGACGTTCTCTCGAACTTTCCGCCTGAATTTTATAATCGCTCTTCTGAATATTAATAAACCGGGGTAGAATTTTTATCTGAAAACTCTCTTTAACCGCTCATTCCACGTGGAAATCTGCAAAAATCTGTAATTTCAGGGCGCTCCCCGTATTTCTGCTGAGAAGCCGATTTGTGGCCAGAATAAACGGACGCCATGTCGCTTCTCATCAAATTCGAGTCGAAATCGGCGAGAGTGAAAGGTTTGTGGAGAGAATTGCGAAAGTTCCGAAAGAATACCGCCGTTTTTAGGAATTTCATTCCATCCGACACGGCCATGGGTGCTGACGTCTCTGCACAGCGGAGTCATTCAACTCTGGGACTATCGGATGTGTGTTCTGATTGACAAGTTCGATGAGCACGATGGACCGGTGCGTGGAATCTGTTTCCATCACGATCAGCCGATTTTTGTGTCCGGAGGAGACGACTACAAGATCAAAGTGTGGAATTACAAGCAGAAGCGGTGCATTTTCACCCTGCTCGGTCATCTCGACTACATTCGCACGACGTTCTTTCACAACAAGTATCCGTGGATCATATCGGCTTCCGATGATCAAACCGTTCGCATTTGGAACTGGCAGAGCCGCAATTCGATAGCCATTCTCACAGGACACAACCATTACGTGATGTGCGCCCAATTCCACCCGACTGAGGACCTCGTGGCTTCCGCCTCTTTGGATCAAACTGTTCGTATCTGGGATATCTCCGGATTGCGCAAGAAGCAAATGCCAGGAGGCGGCATTCCGACTCGTCCGTCCGGAGCCCAACAAGCCGAGCTCTTTGGTCAACCGGATGCGGTCGTGAAGCACGTGCTCGAAGGACACGATCGTGGAGTCAACTGGGTCGCCTTCCACCACACCAACCCTATCCTAGTCTCCGGTTCCGACGATCGTCAGGTGAAAATCTGGCGCTACAACGAGACGAAGGCGTGGGAGTTGGACTCGTGCCGTGGTCACTACAACAACGTCTCCTCGGTCATTTTCCATCCGAACGCCGAGCTGATCCTCTCGAATTCCGAGGACAAGTCGATACGGGTGTGGGACATGCAGAAGCGCACCAGCCTGCACGTCTTCCGCCACGAGAACGAGCGCTTCTGGGTGCTTGCCGCCCATCCCAGCCTCAACATGTTCGCCGCTGGACACGACAACGGAATGGTGGTGTTCAAGATTCAAAGAGAGCGTCCCGCGTACTGCATCAACGATAATCTGGTGTTCTACGTGAAGGGAATGCAGATTCGCAAACTTGATCTGACTACCAAGTACGTTTTCATCCAAAGTTCAGTTATTTACCTAATTCTCTTTGCAGCAAGGACGTCGCGCTATGCAAGATCCGCTACCCACAGCCCTTCATGCAACCCTACTACTCCCTCTCGTTCAACCCGGCCGAAGGAACCTTCTTGCTTACCAGCCGCACCCACAACAAGGATATGTGCTCGTTTGAGCTCTACAAAGTGGCCAACAACTCGGACGGAAGCACCGAGGCTCAGTGTGTGAAGAGCACCGGCATCAACGCTCTCTGGGTGGCTCGCAACCGATTCGCCGTGCTCGACAAGGGACAGAACGTCTCGCTGCGCGATCTGAGCAACAAGGAACTCCGCAAACTCGACAACATAAACACCGCCGTCGATGACATTTTCTACGCGGGAACGGGAATGATTCTTCTGCGCAACGACGACGGACTCCAGATGTTCGACGTGCAACAGAAGGTCGTCACTGCATCGGTGAAGGTGGCCAAAGTTCGCTACGTCATCTGGAGCAAGACGATGGACTTTGCGGCTCTTCTCTCGAAGCACACACTCACCCTTGTCAACCGAAAGTTGGAGATTCTGTGCACTCAGCAGGAGTCTACTCGTGTGAAGAGTGGTGCTTGGGATGACGAATCGGTGTTCCTGTACACGACCAGCAACCACATCAAGTACGCAATCACCTCCGGAGACTGCGGAATCGTCCGTACTCTCGATCTCCCGCTCTACATTCTCGCCATCAGAGGAAACGTACTCTATTGTCTGAATCGTGAAGCGACTCCAGTCGAAGTGCCCATTGACAACTCGGACTACAAATTCAAGTTGGCCCTGATCAACAAACGCATCGATGAAGTCGTCAACATGGTCCGCTCGGCCAACCTCGTCGGACAATCGATTATCGGATATTTGGAGAAGAAGGGATACCCAGAGATCGCCCTGCACTTTGTCAAGGACGAGAAGACTCGTTTCGGGTTGGCAATCGAATGCGGAAATCTCGATGTTGCTCTGGAAGCTGCAAAGAAGCTCGATGAGCCGGCTGTTTGGGAGGCTCTTGGAGAGACTGCTCTCCTCCAGGGCAACCATCAAATCGTCGAGATGAGCTACCAACGCACCAAGAACTTTGAGAAGCTTGCCTTCCTGTACTTTGTGACCGGAAACACCGACAAGCTGGTGAAGATGATGCGGATTGCTCAGGCACGCAACGATGCTCATGGGCACTATCAAACGGCCTTGTACGTCGGAGATGTTGAGGAGAGAGTGAAAGGTACGCTTGAAAGCTCTGAAGAACTTGTTGTAATTCTGCGTTATTTCAGTTCTCCGTAACTGCGGACAGACTTCTCTTGCTTACCTTGCCGCCGCCACTCATGGATACGAGCAGGAAGCAGAAGAGCTGAAGGCAGAGCTCGAAAGCCGTCAGCAGCCGATTCCGCCTGTCGATCCGAATGCCCGACTTCTCGTTCCGCCTCCACCTGTCGCAAGACTCGAGGAGAACTGGCCACTTCTCGCTTCAGCTCGCGGAGCATTCGACATTCAGCTTCTCGGACTCGGAGCGGCACAAGGACCGGCCAAGACCGCTGGAGTCAAACCAGCTGCCACTGCCTTTGCTGCTATCGAAGATGATGTGAGCAAGCAACCAACAATTCAGTATTCTTATTCATTTTTTGCAGGATGTGGACGTCGGAAATGATGCCTGGGGAGATGAGGAGTACCTGGTCGGAGAGGACGGAGAACTGGAAGTGGACGAGGGAGAAGGACCGATTGATGGAGACGAAGAAGGCGGATGGGATGTGGACGACGATCTCGCTCTTCCCGATGTTGTCGATGAGCAAGGAGGAGAGGATGAGGAAGTGGTTCCGCATCCGGAAGTGGCTCCTTCCGCGAGATGGCCCGATGTCTCAAGACTTGCCGCAGATCACGTGGCTGCTGGATCGTTCGAAACTGCTCTCAAACTGCTCCATGATACGATCGGAGTGGTTGAGTATGCTCCGTTCAAGGAAGTGTTTCTGAAGGCCTACGCGGTCTCCCGTCTTTCTCATCGTGGATGGGGAGGTCTCGGACCAGCTGGACCCGCATTCATCTATCCGATTCGCAACATTCAAGACGAACGGAATCATCTACCGGCGCCTGCATACAAGCTCTCTCAACTCGGAAAGAAACTTCAGAAGGCGTACAATCTGACGACGAACGGAAAGTTTGCCGATGCTGTTGTCAAGTTCCGAGAGATTCTGCTGGCTGTCCCACTGCTCGTGGTGACTACGAAGCAGCAAGTGGCCGAAGCTGAACAACTGGTGACCATCACTCGCGAGTATCTTGCCGCCCTTCTTCTTGAAACTTACCGTAAGGATCTCCCGAAGACCAACGAAGAGGATCTGAAGAGAAACGCCGAGTTGGCCGCCTACTTCACCCACTTCGAGCTGCAATCGGTACATCGTATTCTGACTCTCCGATCGGCAGTCAACACTTACTTCAAACTGAAGCAGATGAAGACGTGCGCGTCATTCTGCAGAAGACTTCTCGAGCTCGGTGAGTTGAAGTGAATTCTTTTGCTCTTTTTCAACTTTTTTCTTTCCAGCCCCGAAGCCAGAGATTGCCGCTCAAATTCGCAAGATTCTGGCAGCTGCCGAAAGAGACAACACGGATGCTCACAAGCTGTGCTACGATGAGCACAATCCGTTCGTCGTGTGCTCTCGCCAGTTCGTGCCCCTCTACCGTGGACGTCCGCTGTGCAAGTGCCCGTTCTGTGGAGCGTCGTACTCGGAAGGACTCGAGGGACAAGTGTGCAATGTCTGCCAGGTCGCGGAAATCGGAAGCAACGCAACGGGACTCTCGATCTTCCCTGCTCCGTCGAAAAAGTGAGAGGATTGTTCTCACACGGACAGTGATCAATAAAAATGTGTGATATGTTATTGTATTGTAATTTATTTGCCTTTTTCCTCCTCTTCTATTCTTTCCATCGGCTCGGCTCTGTTTTTTGTTTTATGAATGTACTCCTCGAAAGTTATTTATTTCCGCTCCCCCCCAAAATGAACTTATAGCTGGTTTTATGGTTTCGGCATCAGATTTTAATGAATTTTTCTGTTTTTCATCTGTTCTCAGGTAATTCTGAAATGATCAGATATTCTAACAGATATGCTTGACAGAATTTATGAATAGCTGATCGCCAAATAAGTGCGTCCGTTAGGCTTCGTCTTGTCCGGGATAGTTGCCTTGTAGTTGATCATTATGAAAACACTCTTCGATTGTTCGTCAATATGAAGCGGAAACTCGACGTCGATTGCAGCGATTGCCTGCCCTTCGATCACTTTATCGTTCTTCCCTTGTTGCACAATTGGAAATCCTCTTGTTTTAAGTTCAAACTTGTATTGAACAGTTGAGTTATTGCAGATTACAATTGTTACGATCTGCCTGCAGCCGATGATGTTCACGTGAAGAGGGTGCGAGGGACGGAAGACTAGGTCTCCGTTTGGATCAGAGTACTGGAAGGCTGTTTCGAAGCCAACCAGCGAACGCCGACTTCTTCTCAAAAAAAAAAACTCCTTTTTTGTCGGCGAACACTTTTTCGCCTCTTTCAAACATTGCATCAGCGAGTTGTTCTTGCACACTGTTGTCGGTGAGCACCTGCTCATTTTTGCTCATTTTCTGCTGTAAACAAACATTGGTACATTAGCGGACTTAAACACTTTTCTCATACCGTGACGCGTGTAATCACTTCAGACGCTTGTTGTCCAATTTGGTGTAGAAAATTGTGGTTTTTTGCCGAATATGGCACTTTGCTCGAATGAGAGCAATTCAATCTGATGTGCAGAGTGACATCGAAGTCCGGTCCGTCGATGGGGATGTCACAAGTGACAAGTGGAAAATTGGTCCCAATTGACGCTTCGTGAGTCCAGTTAGTCTTTTCCAGAGAAATTACAGCGTCATAGGTTAGATTCGATTGATGAGAGCAAGAATTGAATATTAGTAATAATTTTAGAGTTTCCGATGAAACGAATGAGTTTAGAGTCCTGAAAAGAATGGATTCAATGTTGAAGAACGGAAAAAGCGATTCAGTTTTCTTACAGGTCACATTCATCGACTGTTAAAGATCCTTGTTTTCCTTGGTAAGTAGTTAGGTTCCCGTAGAGTCGCAGTTCGAAAGTAATATCGGTTAGTTCCATGCGTTATTGTGGTGAGTTCTTCTTTGAGAAGACTGTTGACTGGCCTCTGATTCAAGAGAATGAGAAATCGTTTGACTTCCCGCCCGCGCCAAACAGTCTTCGAAAACATTTCGGGTTTGATTCAATTGTCCGAAAGGATACTGCCATAGTTTTAATTGTTTCTTTGTTGCCTGGTAGCAAATGTGCATGTTCAAAAAGTGAGAAGAAGATTTATTCAGACAAACATTCCAGGGAGAACTATTCAAAGTCATAATAAAATCGCTCCAAGCCCGCATCCCACTGCGTGTCCGAAATGAAAGCAGCACCAACTAATGCATTGCAGGTTCTTGCATAGCCGGTCCTAACATAAATTGTTCGTTTCCCCTCCTCGAACGCCTTATTCCATCCTTCCGCGGGAACACTCGAATCGAGTTTTGAGACGAACTGTCTTGCACGCTCTTCCAGATAGTCATATTCGGCCTTCGGGTACTCTGAAAATAAGTGGTCAACGACTGTGAAAATACCGATATTTTTGCTACTTATAGTTAGTTCGCTGTTTTTTTTGGCAAAATTGCCTCACTGGCACTTGTCGATAGAGAAAAGGAGAAAGGGAGATGGCAGATGCTCTTTGCCGTGGACGTTGTGTTCGAAGAGAATAATAGGCTACGCGTACTTTGTCAAATAACAAGCAAAATGTAACCAGAAGTGAAATATCATAAATCCTGAATTAATAGGGTATGTGTGGTATCTCAGTGAAGCTAAATATTCAAAAAAAAAAACAAGCAGAGACTTAAATTGTTCACAATTCATGGCAAACTTTAACAACAGTCGCATTTAAACTGTCGCATTTAAACTGCATTTAAACTATTCTGCAATTTAGACCTTCATCACTTTTCCCGATAGATTTTATTTAAGGACCAGCCTTATTAATAAAATTCTTCACGAATTTCTATTTGTTTTTCTGTCTGTTCGTCAGTTTATCTCTCCGAATGTCCGTTTTCTCTTCTTTTTTTTTTTCTTCACTCGTGCGAGAAAATTAAGATGTTATCAAAAAAAGATATATTCAGTAAAAAATTCCAGAAAATGTTTACAATAAAAACTGTTCGAAGTTATAATACCCTGCCTCACATTTCGCCTTATACTCAGTTTCCAATAATAACGCAGCACCAACTAGGCGATGGTAGGTTGTTCCATAGCCGGTCCTAACATAAATTGTTCGTTTCCCCTCCTCGAACGCCTTCTTCCACCCTTCCTCTGGAACACTCGAATCGAGTTTGGAGAAAAAACGTTTCGCAAATTTCATCGGATCATCGTATTCGTTCGTTGGACACTCTGCAATTTTTTTTTAATACTAGTTATTTCAACGATGAACCTCCGAATAATATGTCTACACAGTGCGTGCGACATTCCAACGCGATGCGGGCAAAAACGAGTGGCCAGTGCGTTTCGTGCTTTTCACCGTTCAGATGTGCCAGTTCGATCACAGAGTTTCCGTCGATTTGCACGCGACAAAAGTGTTCGAGAATGTTAATTTCAACTGTTCTTCTTTGTGTTTGTCCGGTTTTCCTCTTTAATTCGCGCATCAACAACACACTCATCACGTGAGGATCACCCTTGATTGTGTCGAATTTAGGCTCTGGAATGTTTGAAAATTACTCGTATTCACCCCGAAAAGCTGTCACTTTTCACTGCCGCTCTGCCTAATTTTATGAACCTGCGGGCCACGTGGTTTGGAAAATACCTTTCGATATCTGAAAAGTTTGCATTAGGACCAGGAGAAGGATTTCTATTCTCACGTCTTTCAAGGCTCGTTTTTGAAAACCGTTCGCAAATGCTCTCGAACGTTTCTTTGAAATTAAAGCTGAACAACTGCCTTCTCGGCTTTAATTTCAACTCGCACGCCTCCAAAATGTCGATAGGCTCGTTGAAAATTAGTTTGTACAACAATAAAATCATTCCATTTTGGTTTTCTTTCACTCTTTGCTCAAAAAATGCTCTAGCTGCCAGAATGAACAAGGATTCCGGGTATTGTGCATTTTTAAGGCTACGAAGGACGAATCTGATGAGTTCATCACTAATGACGGAAGGAAGAATAGTTTCGTTAGGTGGGGGAATGCAGTGAGCGACTATTCTTTCCACCAGAACTGATGTTCCGAATGAAATCGGATGGGAGGATTCCATTATTTCGGCGAATGGAAAGGGTTCCATTTGGGGAGGCGAAAATCGATAAAGAAAAGGAGAAAGGGAGATGGCAGATGGTTTTGTGGGATGGGTACAACGAGTCGAAGGGGAACAGATGCTCCCCGCGAGAGGAGGTGCTCTTTGCCGTGGACGTTGTGTTCGAAGAGAATAATAGAGTAATCATTTATGAGTAACTTTATCAAATAACAAAAAACCATGAAAAACAAGCAGACACTTAAATTGTTCACAATTCATGGCAAACTTTAACAACAGTCGCATTAAAACTGAAAAGTACAGTAACGGGAAGCCTGTTCTTCTTCAAAATTGGTCGCCAATCGAAGTCTCACATGTCTGAAGAATGCCCCTGTGATCGAGAAGTTGGATCGCTCGTAAATCGCCCGATTTCCTTTCTCGAAAAGTGCTTCCCATCCGCCGGCCGGGACCTTCGAATTGACATCCCTGAGCATTGAATCCATACAGTTTTTCAGATATTCCAAACTGTCCCTTGGATATTCTGCAATTTAGACCCCTCGAAACTTTTCCCTCTCTGGTCAACTTACCACCGACAAAAATCTCGATCGTGTCTGTGAAAAACAAGCAGGCACCGTTGAAGAAGAGGCGCGGCCAGAACGTTCTTTCGCGCAAATATCGAAAATAAACCGATTCGACAACGATCCGACCATCAATGATCACTCGATAAAAGTGTTTGAGAACAAAAATCTGAACGCGGCCGAGCCGTTTTTTTATGCTCGTCATCAAAATCTCCGACATCAGAATTGGATCGCTGCTTAATGTGTCAAACTTTGGTACTGAAATTTTAAAATCAATCAAAAGTCGTAGAGTATTATTCGGGAAACACTTACTTTTCAATAGATGTCGGTTCAGTTGCCATCTGTTGAAAGAGACGTGTTCCAATTGCGATTCTCTGAGCATCCATTCCACGAAGCTGACACTTTTTTCCATCGAATCTCGGATCAAACGAAGAAATGCCGGTTTCTTCATTTTCTTCTTTTTCGGCTTCCATTTCCGTTCAGCAATTTCGAAAAAGTCAACAGGTTCAGCGGAAATCACTTTGAGCAAAAGAGCGAGCATTTCATCGTTTTTGCTCATCCCTTCCATGAACGCTTTGGTGGCGAGAAGCGCCAGCGATTTCGGCTCATTTTGTGGACACTCCAGATCATTATTGCTATCCGAAAACTTTCTGAGTTCATTCTCGATGATTGACGGAAGGAGCGTGTGGTTGAGCGAGGAGGGAACGGCCCTTTTCATTACTCTCAATATGAGACATTCCAAACAGTTGACAGAATGAGGAATGGTAATGATGAGAGAATTTGCCATCGGGAGTCGGTGAGGAATCGATGAGGAATCGATGAGGATCGATGAGGACGAAAAGAGATGGCAGATAATGAATGGACTGAGACCGTTGGGTCAATGGGCTAATGAGGAGAGGACGAACAGACAGATGTTTCTTGCGCAAGGTACGCAAGGTCCGAGCGGCAATACGAATATGTATATGCAGTGGAGCGCGTTTTCCAATCATGGAGTTCTATATCGCTACTCACGGTCTCCAGAGCTGACAATATGGGCGTGGCCTCGGCCAAATGGCGTTTTCATGAATTGAGCACGTTTTCTCTGATTTTTGTGGTCAAAGGCGATGAAAAATGATTGTTCGACATGAAAACACACGAATTCTCACCGAATTAATGACGTTTTGGCGCATTTTTCGCGGACTTTGCTTTTTAGCCGATCGCCGCCGATCGCCGCCTAAAAACCGCACTTCTCATTTTGCGCTTTCTTGACCGTTTTCAGACAAAATTGGTTTTGAGAATGATAAATCACGTAAATACGAACATTTTGAGCGCTCGAACTACCGAAAAGCAACTGAAATTCACGCAGTTTTAGCCAAAAATCTTCAAGCGGATAAATGTGATTTGCGACATGACCGAATTTAGCGCTCTTGCGCTAAAAAAAAGACAAATGAGAAATTATCGGTTTTTCGTGGCTAATCTGACAAAAAACACAAATTTTGCTGCTAAAATTTGAATTTCGCGCCAATGTATCGCTCTATTGGGCGGGGCGCACTTGCGCCCATGTCAGCTCTGGAGACCGTGGCTCAAACATATTCATTCAGTGAAGCAACTCAATCAAAACACGCAAACATTTGATAATGATTTCCGACGTACATTCTGTGCCCGGTGCTTGCCGGAAACAGTGCGGTGCCTACGAAAATGTCGTAGAAAATGCCGTTGAACGTGGAAAAGATTCGTCGGTTTCCGCGCACGAACGTCGCCTTCCATTCGTCGTCGGGAATGACCGGATCGAGTTGCGCGATGAACCGTTCGAACTTTTCGTTAAGATCCTCGTACTGCTCGCGCGGAAGATCTCAAGTTTTGCATTTTGTTTAGCAAGTACTGACTACCAAACGACTACCCGAATTGAATTCATTGGGAAGGCTGTAGAGACCGATCGCCGATGTTTTGTTGCGTGGACTAGAGTTGGAGTAGCCGAAAAGGAGGTAAACGTGGTGTGTGCAGGGGGAGAGTGCGATGCGGGCGAAGATGAGCGCCCACGACGTTCCGTGCCTTTCTCCGTCCGGGAACGATAGTTCAACCACCGAAAAACCGTCAATGTACACGCGACAAAAGTGGTCGAGGATGTAAATGTGCACGATGCGGCCCTCGGTTCGCTCCAGTTCTCCCAGCAACAAAAAGCTCATTACGCACGGATCACTCTTGATTGTGTCGAATTTCGGCACTGAAATACTTTGTTTGTTTTGAAATGTTCAGTGGCGTTCCGTGTTCTCACCTCTCAACGCTCCTCGCGCTGTTTTCATAATCCGACAGGGTAAGGGCCATTCCTCTGAAATATTTGAAAGTGAGAACGAAAAAGTCAGTTTGGGCACATTTACCTCTGCCGATAAGTCTGCCAATCTGTTTCCGGAAGCAATCGAACGTTCTCCTCACTCCGCTCCTGGTCTTTATGAGAGTTTCATAAATTAGACTATAGGGCTCCAGGGGCCGTTCGCATTCTTGTGAAATGTCGACGGGCTCATTGCTGATCACCTTGAACATCAGTTCGTCGACTGTGTCCTTTCTCAGTTTTCCTCTGATCAACGCCTTCAACGCCAGCGTTGACAACGCGTGCCCGTTCGAAAGTTCGCCGTCCCGCCAGTTCCGGACCGTGTACGTTTTGAGCTCGTCGATGATGATCGAAGGAATAATGGTGTGATCGAGATGAGGAGGAGTGCAAACAGCACCGATTCTCTGGAGAAGAGTGTCCAGGACCGGCGACGGAATGAGCATCTCCATGCTTTCAAGCCAATCGATATCGACGAGCCACGGTGGAAGAAGGAAATAAAATAGAAGGAAACGAGGGACGGAGCGGAGCGAAATGGCCGCTGGGAGTGTGCGGAACAGAACGATCTTCTGTAGGAAGGTGCTTTTTCTTTCTCTCTCGCTGCCTGCGATCATATAAAAACATTCGAGTCACATTGCGAGCCGATGATATTTATACAATGCCTTCCATAAAAAAACAATAAATTTGCTCCCCTGATTTTGACCAGAATGTTCTGTTCCTACCAGTGTGACTTTTCGCCGTCTTCTACAGTTCTCAATTTAGAAAGACTTTTGGTTTTTTGTTACAATTTTTATAACAACAAAGCGATCTTCAAGTTATTTTAGTATTTTTTCGTTAAATTTGACTTTTCAACCGTTTTTCTCGGAACTTCGGGCGTTTGAGCCTCTAGATTTACTCTCAATGTCGTCAAATCTGACGCCGCCGTGTTTGCGAATCACGTCAGAATGCACACATTTCACCGAGAGCGGCTTTTGATATTTCAAGCCAGCTTTTCAGATTTCTGCTCTGATTTCAACGAAATTCAGTGAAAAATGTGAATTTATAAAAGATCTCAACGTTTTTAACTAGGAAAACTCGTAAATCAGCCTTTGTTCATCAGAATTTCGCAATCCCACCTCGCTCGTTCCGCCAAGAATAATTATAGTCTTAGCGTCTTCAAGTCGCTCAGAAACGATGATTTTCCCCATTTTCTCATCGAAAACCTTGTCATAAAGTCTTCATAAACCGAATTTATCGATTTTCTGTTTACTCTTTGGATAGTGATGAGTCAGTCGGCGGCATTGATTGTTTGACCAGCCGAATACACATTTCCTCTCCTCTTTTGACCTCTTTTCGTTACTTTTTATGCTTTTCCAGGAATTTGCGGGGAACATGTCGGCTCACCAACTACCGGCATGTGTCATCGACAACGGAACGGGTTACACCAAGCTCGGATACGCCGGCAACTCCGAACCGCAGTTTATCATTCCTTCCGGTTAGTTTTGCACGTTTTTCAGTTCAAAAAGCCTTATTTTTCAGCGATTGCCGTCAAAGACAAGGTGGCGAGCTCGAATGCGCAGGCGCTACGCTGGAATAATCGTGGCGGAGGCGCCGGAATCGATGATCTCGACTTCTTCATCGGCGATGAGGCATTGTCACCGGCGGCCGCCAATTATACTGTCAAGGTTCGATAATCTCAGTCATTGTGGCTTTAAAATAACAAATTTCAGTATCCGATTCGTCACGGAATCGTCGAGGACTGGGATCTCATGGAGAGGTACTGGGAACAATGCATTTTCAAATATTTGCGTGCCGAACCCGAGGATCACTTCTTTTTGCTCGTCAGTCTTAATTTCACGGAATGCGAGAATATTTGCTTTTGTTTTTAGACGGAACCGCCACTCAACACGCCGGAAAACCGCGAGTACACCGCCGAAATCATGTTCGAATCGTTCAACGTGCCCGGACTGTACATAGCCGTGCAGGCGGTGCTCGCACTCACCGCCAGTTGGCAATCGAGAGCCGCCAATGAGAGAAGTCTGACCGGATTGGTGCGTTTTTGAAATTTCATTTTATGTCTAAAAACAGTTCAAATAGATTAGAGAAAATGCGTAAAGACACGCGAGACAGAGAGCGAATCATCAAAATGACGGGCGACTTCTAATTCCGCTTGACGACGTGAGAATAGTACCTCGCGAGGAACATCAAAAGGCTTAGAAGCCGCTTCTTCTGAATTCACATGTTAAGCCGGAGAACGGAATGGGCATCCCATTTGGAAGGGTAGAAGGAAACTTATGTGGAATGCAATGTGCAGAACAGAAACAAAACAATTGATTCAATTAAATATATTCATTAGAGTTATAATGTACACAAAAGTGTTCTATTGTCGAAATGATCGAAACTCTCAGGACTAAATATCCTTCGCTGCCGCTCTATTTCGAAGCACTTGGTTTCATAGGCTTTGAAGAAATAATTGTTCGAGTCGACGACGGTTCTCGGAAGGCACATTCTCCCAATTCCATCAGTATCTTGGACTTTTTTAGGAGGAAAAAGGAAAAATAGTGGTACGACGAGGATCCACACCAAGCAAGCGATCACGCGAGCTTTGTAGAACCAATCCATTCTTCGTCGGACTCTTTCTTCCTCGATGTTCTGATATCTTCGTTCCTCGCGTTCGATGTACCGTATGTTGCTCTTCGCCAGTTTGACGTCCTCCTTAATTTTGCTCCATTCGTGCGTCCAAAACGAGCCCCTTTTCGCCGGGTCCAGCTCCAGATTCAGCTCGTACAAATCCGTGCCTTTCCGGATGATCTCCTTGTTATTTTCCTTCATCATGTCGTTTTGAACGTACCAATTATCTTCGCTGGAGTATGCATCGGGGTCCGAGTACATCGTCCACGGGTCCACGAGCCATTCGATGTCTTCGTCGTCGAATTCGTTGAACTCATCGTTCGGATCGATACCGTCGAATGTGGGGGCGGCTGGAGTGTGCGCAGAGCGACCCATAGCGAAAATGACGGAAAGAGAGGGCAGACGGACGGAAAGCAGTGCCGGGGAGGAGGCCGGGAGGGACAGAGAAACAGGTGTTGACACCCGAAAGGACAGATGCAATTGCTGTTCGACGTGGCGTAATTACAAACCCCTAGTGGAGTCTTATTAATGTATTTGAGTAGCACAATAGCTGAAAAATGGAAAGAAAGCAGATGGAAAATGAACACTTTGTTCATTCGATTAGCTGTGAGCAACGTGCAAGTCATTTTTCGAGAGTCTAGTAAGCTTAAGCTTCAACTTCTTCCTCTCGCATCGGATGTCTGACGCCGTTCCGTGTGGACGAGGGAGACGACAAAAAGAAGTAAACCAGTACAAAGTGCAGCAGAAATATGAGGAATTCAATGAGTATCTCGTGGCCAGTCTGTCTTTTTCGGATCTTTTCAACGGAATATCGTCTGCTCATAGTACCCTCCGGAACGTGTTCTTCGAAGAAGTGTATTTGAGGCTCATCGTTGTCATGATCGCGGTAGAGAAGTTCAGGAGAGTTTGATAGACGACACATGATCGAGGAAGACTTTTTGAGTTTGAAAACGACGAAGAGCCGCGAGAGGCGCTTCACTTTTAGTCGCTAAGCAACAGACGTGTTACCCGACGACGAGTTCGGAAGAGAAGAGAAGCATGAACATATTTATCATTGGAGAGACGAGAAGGTGTAAATATCAAAAGAACAATTATATATCACGAAGATGTACTATTCTTTCCTTGTAAGCATATCCATGCATTACTACGGCTCTCCCAGAACTTGTCACAATGATGTAAACTGACGATTACAACGAAAAATAACATGAAAAAGAAGAGGCTAACACAATAAATTTGATCTTCATCGCTCCTCAAATTCGGAAGTTGCACAATTTTCCTTCCGAATAGAGTCATCCACTCGTCCTCCTCGTCATCGTCGTCCTCATCGCTCTCTTCGTCCGATCCGTCTAGCATCCAATCGCCTTCCATCCTCGGAGCTCGTTGAATTTTTCGAATCGACCGTTCGTCGCTCTTCAAATCCTCGGCATAATAATTCCAGTCGTCCCGCCAAAAGACGTTTTTCTCGCTTGAATCCAACTCCATATTCAAATGGAAAAGATCCCACGCTTTCGAGATGTTTTCTTTTCGATCCTGAATGGCGATAAAATCCATCACCTCGGCGTTATCAGGCGTATACACAGCTCCGGGATCGTCGTAACTCGTACGCACGTCTTCTAGGGCGGTTGGCAGACCCACAGAGTCATTTGCAGCGGCGAATCGACCCATGATGACTAGATAGAATAGGAAAATATAGGTTAGAAGGAGCGAGAAGGTGTGTGTCTGTGTATGACGTCTGTTCGGTGAGGTCAGCACTGTTTGAATGTGTGACGTCGACTACGCAACGTGGCAATCGACGATGACGTCACGCGGAGAGACGGAGAGAAAAGAGACGGTGCTCGAGCAGATCTTTATTGTACAACGACATACGGTCATAAAGAAAAACGATTAAAGAAGAAAATAAGAGCGGTATTGTAGGTGTCAGCTGTCGTTTCGAAACCACGCAATCATATCAGCGGAATTCTGCTCGGCAATTGTTGAAACTGTAGAAGAATCTTTCTTATTTGCCCGTTCATCCGATAATTCCATCTCCGCAGCCGCCAAATCTTTTGATGTCCGTAATTGTTCGCGAAGTTGGTCCACAAATTGCAAAAGTTGCAATTCCGTTCCTGAAACGTTGACGGTTCCGTCGGCTTTATCCTCATCGAACAAGGTGACCGAAGAGGATTCGGTTGAGGAGACCATTTAGACGTGGAATATAGAAGACGTGTGACGTAATCTGGCCGTCAACGAACATTATGTAGAGAAAGAGAGACACATAAGAAGGAGAGAAAAGATTAGGGACCACTGGGTGTACGGTCGAACAGAAGACGTGGAACAAGGAAAATAATGTCTAGAGGGATCGGATGAAAATGAAAAACTTGGAAAACTTTTGTCGAGAGGAATTCAAGCTTGTTTTCGAATAGGATTGTGAAACTTGAGGTCATCTCATCTGAATTCTGATTTCATGCTAATATTTAAGCTCGAATTAGTATGATTCTCAAGTGACTTTAGGAAAATAATAGAAAAAGAGAAGAAAAGCTGAATCTTGAACATTACAGGTCATCGACTCGGGAGACGGAGTGACACATTGCATTCCGGTGGCCGACGGCTACGTGATAGGCTCGTGCATCAAGCACATTCCAATTGCCGGCCGCGACATCACCTACTTCATCCAGAACCTTCTGCGCGAGCGAGAACACGCGATTCCGGCCGAGCAGAGCTACGAGGTGGCGAAGACGATCAAAGAAAAGTACTGCTACGTGTGTCCGGACGTGATGAAGGAGTTTGTGAAGTACGACACGGACGCGGCGAAGTGGCTGCGCACCTACGACGGCATCAACTCGATCACGAAGAAGCCGTTCAGTGTGGACGTCGGCTACGAGCGCTTCCTTGGCCCCGAAATATTCTTCCACCCGGAATTCTGCAATCCCGACTTCACGACGCCCATCTCGGACACGATCGACACGCTCATCCAGCAGTGTCCGATCGACGTGCGCCGAGGGCTCTACGAGAACATTGTGCTCTCCGGCGGATCCACAATGTTCAAGGACTTTGCCAGGAAATTGCAGAGGGACGTGAAACGGCTGAGCGATGCGAGACTTCAGATGAGCGAGACGTTGAGTGGAGGAAGGCTGAAGGTAGGAACGGAGGGAAAAAAGAAGAAGAAGAAGAAGAGCTCATTCTTTTGTCATTTCAGCCGAAACCGATTGATGTGCAAGTGATCTCGCACAAAATGCAACGGTACGCCGTTTGGTTCGGAGGATCCATGCTCGCGTCGACGGTCAGTCCAAGAACCGGTTGATATTATCAATTCCCCGGTCGTTTTTCCTAGCTTTTCGGGGTTATTGGTGTTCAATTTTTGAGCTTTATTGAATGATCTGAACTTTAGTGAGGGATGTATTGAAATTAGGCCAAAGTGCAAACTTTTCGACCTAATTTCAATATACCCCACAATAAAGGCTAGATAATACATTCAAGCTCAAACATTCAACACTGATAATCCTGTCATAGGTGTGGGATGTTTTAGAAACGCCAAAACATTTTTCCTACCTGAAATTTCCGAATCAGCGGCAACCGTAAGATCATAAGAAATTGGGCATTGGGCATTTTGGGCAGCCCTAACAAAGGAACCTTTTAAGTGATTAATGGAACCGGCCTAAACTAACGACACAGTTCGAGATAGGGACTTTCAAAATGCTGTCCCTTGTAAAGCTGTCAAATTTTTTTCGAACCAGGCCCCTCCCACCCCGAACTGTCGGCGCTCAACTCAAAACACCTATGAATCCTGTAAAATAAGGAAACAATCCGATGATTGACAATAGAGATGAGAGAACACTTTATTTATTTTTTCAGGCGGATTTCTACCAAGTGTCACACACGAAAGCCGAGTACATGGAGAAGGGACCGTCGATCTGCCGTTACAACCCAGTGTTTGGAGCTCTCACCTAATTCTCCCCTTTTCTCTCTCTCTCTCCCTCTCCCTCTCTTTCTTCAAATACATTTCACTTCCGTTTCTGGGCACCAATTTCTTGTGTATTCCCTCCCTTTTATCTCCGTTACTCCGTGTTGAAATGATAATCTTCTCCGAAAACTTTGAAAGTTCCCCCGCCCCCCCCCAAAGGCGATGGATCGGTCGTGGCAGACTTGATTGAAGTGTCTTGGCTTAAAGTTTCAGACAAAATGACCGGATTTTTGCGAGAAGTCCGACCATTTTGTCTTAGAATCAATATTTCTACAGACAACTTTTTATTGAGATGCTTCACGTCAAGGTAGGGTCCGATCAATTGCAAGTGGGTCTCAAAAGCCATGGCCGTCCGTTGGCCCAGTCCTGAAATTCCGCATGTATTCATCCCCTTCTCCCTTTTTTATCCATCAGTTTCAGATTTTGTGTGTTTCGTTGCATGACTTTTGCTTTAAATTATTCGAAATTCAACCCCGTCTTCATCAAAACCACAATACTTATTTATGCATTCAACAGTACATATTTATATTTATGAATTCACAATTTCCACTTTTTCGCAGAAATGCTCCCCGGATTTTTTCCACCGTTTGATTTCTTTCCTTTATTTTTTTTTTTTGAAAAATCGCGCATTGAAGTTTGTCACAGATGGATCTGCCGATATTGTCGTACGACGAGACCGAATGGGCGAAGACGCACACTGGAAATAAAGTGAACAAGAAGCACGCGATCGCCGGAACTCAGAATATTATCATTGCCGGAAAAGTGGGTCACCGTCCGATTTTGGCCGAGACCATATGCTCAAAATGCCAATTCAGACGATAATCGAGCAGGGCGTCTCGATTCGCGGCGACCTGGCGACGGTGAAAATCGGAAAGTATTGTGTGCTCAAGACGAGATGCGTCGTCCGTCCGTGCCTCAAAATGTTCAGCAAAAAGCCGACGATCTGCAATGTGATCATCGGCGACTACGTTTATATCGAGGAGGTAAGTAATGTTCTCTCAAAGAGCATCTCTTCTCTCAATCTCTTTGCTTCTCCGATTTCCTCTTTTTCTGAACTGAAAAAGTCTAGGCTGTCCATCCGGGCAAGAAAATATCCATTTTTGCAAAACGGCGCTGGATTTCAACAAAATCGAATCTAAAGTTTCATTTTATTCGCTCACGTGAGAATAATGTTTATTTGTGCGCAAAAATGAGAGTTCCGGTGCAATTATCTTGTGGGTGAAAGCTCGTTTTACGAAAATAAAGAACACGTTCGAGATTCTGGAAGAGAGATCTTTACATAAACTGGCAGTTCCAAACAGTGCCAACGTGGTTCTCAGGATTTCGAACGTTTTCTCCATTTTGGTAAATTGCAAAACTACTCTGGATCTCGAGAGTTATCGTGTAACCAAGTACAAGAAGACTGCAAAGTTTGGGCCCGATCGGAAAAGTGCTTGCGAACTATATCTAGGCCTTGTTCTGAGCGAAATTCCTGAAATTCGAATATTTCAGGATTGCGTGGTGAACGCGTCGCAGATCTTCGCGTTCGTGCACCTGGGCGCCCGTTCGATCCTCGGCAACGGCTGTGTGATCCGCGAGTGTTCGCGAGTTCTTCCGGATACCGTCGTCCCGCCCGACGCCATCTTCCCACCCTTCTCCACGATCGCCGGCAATCCAGGTACAGTATCCCGCCAGCTGATCCCTTTTGAAAGTCCCCCCATTTTGCAGCGCGAGTGATCGGCTCCGAACCGCTGTGCACCGAGAATCTGATGACGGAGGCGTTGATGATGTACTACGACAACTTTGTGCCGCAGCAGAGAGCCGCATTCGCATGAATAATGAAGTAAACGGGAGCCGGCCGGCCGGCCATATTCAATTTCCTTTTCTTTTCTCATGCAAAAAAAACAGGAATCTTTAAAAATAAATAAGATTATATCTGTTCCTAAAAAAAAAGTAGTTTCTCAGATCGATAGACAGACTGGTATCGTGGCGTGTGAAGCAGAAGGGGTGACACTGACAAGGTTATTACATCAGAGAGAATGCTAAAAAGTGGGAAAGAAAGAGCGAGATGATGAAAGAATGAAAGGAAATAAATATATTGTTTTTAAAAAAATTAAAAAGCGAAAAACGTAAATTTTGGCATCATGTGTTGAGAGACGGGAAAAATGGGAATGTAATGCAAAAGTTTGGCGATATTAAACACATTATTATATCATCATAATCATAAAGAGAATTAAAAAGTGGCGATCGTGAGCGCCACGTCGATGAGCTGATCCATCAGGACCGTGTACGTCTCGAACTGCAATTTGTCCTTGCTGCTGCGCGGAGGTGGAGCCGCCGGCGATCCCGACGCACTCACATTCTTTCCGGTGACCGTCGCCGCGACCGTGTACTCAAAGTACTGGAAGAAGGTGAGAACGGCGGAGCGCACGTGCGGGATTCGCGTGTGTTTCGCCGTCTCCTCCTGGATCTTCACAAAGTACTTGAGCCGCAGCTTTCGGTTCTGGAACGTTTCGACGCCGACAATGACAAACTCCTCGTGGCCCTGCTGCTCGTCCTCCTTGAACATCTTGTCGAGCAGCTGCTGGATGTTGTCCGTCGCCACCACGTCGCTCAGCTCTTCCTGAAACCGAACACTATGAAGGGGAACGAAGGATCAGACTTTTTACCTGGCTCGAGGATCGCATTTCCAGATGGCGATGCATCGATTCGTACATAGATTTGACGGCCTGCTCGGCCACTGGCCTCATGTCCACATTCCACGATTGAAAGTCGAATACTCTGTAGAATATAATTTTTGAAAATGCCGTTCGAATGTGCTACCCACCGATCATCGTCGTGATTGTCACCGTTCGTGGCCGTGGATGCCATCGAAGTCCTCAGTTCGATGGGCGGGATTCCGATGGAAGTGCCGGCTTGCAACTCGAGAAAAGTGTCCGGACATTTTTTTTTCGGCGGACGCCCTCTTCCTCGTTTTTGCACCAGTGGAATCGCTTGCGGCAAGACGACTGGCGACGTCGACTCCGTTCGTTGCTTTTTCGGCGGTGGAGGTTGTACTGGGGGCGAATAGACGATGGCCGTAGATGTGGAGGGTTGCGGCGGAGACGGCAACCGGACGGCGACGGGCTCTTCGACGCGACTCTTCTTCGTGTACTGTTTTCTGTGGCGTTTGGTCACTTTGGGACGACGTCTTCCCATCGAATCGCCAAAGTACTCGACTTCCTCGTCGTCCTCATGTTCGCCTCGCTCTCGTCTCTCCTTCCTCTTCTTTTTTCCGCGCTTCTTGGATCCCGACCACTTTCTACGCACCTTCAGATCCTCCTCGTCTTCTTCGTCTTCCGGCTCTTCCTCCGACTCCTGTCGATCCGGCTCTTCGTGTTCCTCCTCTTCCGACTGCGGCTCCTCGTCCGAGTCGTCCGGAACGTCGGCGTCCTCGTCGTCGTCATCTTCCTCTTCTTCTTCCGTATCCTCACTCACCAACTTCGATTTGCCGCGGCCCGGCTTCACCTTTTTCCGTCCGAATGTGTACCACTTCCTCTTTACTTTTTTCGTCTGCGACACTGATCTCTGTATATTTTTGAACTTCTTCAGTTCTTCCTGAGCTCCCGCCTCGTCGCCGGCGTCTTTTCGTATCATCCACTTTGGCTTTCGCATCCATCTACGGTGTCCTCGCTTGTCGACCATCCAGTGGTAGTTCGGGCGGTCGTCCTTCGGTGGAACTTCGGATATCGATTCATGATGATGTCTCGGCGATGGCGATCTGGATCCATTGTAGTCGTCGACGGCTTCTACTACTTCTTCTTCATCTTTTCTTTCTTCCTCTACTCGTATCAGAGGTCCAGAAGCCAGCAGATAATCATCGTCAGTGCCTCCTTCGGCCCTTTGCTGGCGATCCTCGTCTTCTTCCTCTTCCGGCTCCTCTTCCTGCTCAATCTCTCCGCTCTCCTCCGCCTTCTCCTTCTCCCTCTCCTGCACAGTCGCCAGTATTCGTGCCGCCAGATCGTCGTCCTCGTCTTCGACCGGAGCACGTGGCGTCAGCGACTTCTTCTTCTTATTCTTCTTTCTCTTCTTCGACAACGGCTCCTCTCCGAACATTCGAAGCGTTTTGTCCATTTCCGACTCCTCCTCATCCGAAGAATCGTCCTCTTTGAGTGGCGTTTTCTGCGGAGACTTCTTCGGAGACACCTTCTTCTTCACCTCCTCCGTCTCAGACGTCTTCTTATACTTTGAAGACGTCGTCGTCACTTCGGTTGACCGACCAGCGGTATACTTCAAAGGTTTCGAGAGCGAATAAGACGTCGGCGTTCCGGGTGGCGAGTAGTCGTCATCCGAGAACTCGGACCGTTGCTGCACCCTCATCTTTGGCTGCTTCACGTACACTTCGTCGTCGTCATCGTCTTCAACTCCGAAATACGATATCGACGCTTTCTTCTTATTGTGTACTGGACTCTCGACCGGCGAGACGTAGTCATCGTCATCCGGAACCTCTTCGTCAAGGTTTTCTGGAGCTGGAAGTGGAGCCGGTATCGCCGGTATATTCTGCTTCATTGGCGAGCTCTTTTTGACCGAAACCGGTTCCGGAGTTACGTAATCGTCATCATCATCTTCCGAACTTGCTGCCTTCTGATGCAGTTTCGTCGGTGGAGACGGCGAAACATAGTCGTCGTCGTCCGGAACTTCTTCTTCCTCTTCCTCCACTGGCGGCGGGGCTTTCGGCTTCTTTGAAGGCGTCTTTTTGATCGGTGACATTGCCGGAGAGACGTAGTCATCATCGTCATCAGGCACTTCTTCCTCTCGAATTGGAATATTCGCCTTTTTCGCCGACGTCTTCTTGGCCGGAGGAGATGCCATCGGGGAAATGTAGTAATCGTCGTCCGGCACTTCTTCTTCTTCCGGAACCGGAACCTTCACTTTCTTCGGTGACGTCTGCCGAGAAACGTAATCGTCGTCGTCCGGCACTTCTTCTTCCAGAACCGTTTTTTTGATCGCGATCGGTTTCTCGGAGTAAGTATCGTCCTCCTCGTTGTCTTTCGGGTGGATTCTCGAGTAGCTCTTCTTCGGTGAGCCAGTCTCCGATTTCTGGTGCTTTCTAGAAGACGTCATCGCATGCATTTCATTGGTCTCCTCTTCCTCCTCCTCCTCAAACACCTTCTTCTTCTGCCCTTTCGGCGACAGGAACATGCCAAAATCGCCTTCCGATGCTACGGACGTCTTCTTCGTAGAGATGTACGTGTCGGGGCTTTGCAGAGAGGAGTTGGTTTGTCTTCCGGAAGGTGTCGGCTCATTGTGCGTCGAGGAGACGACTCCGATCACATTTTGCATCGTGATCTCCATCATTTCCTCCTCCTCCTCTTCCTCTTCTCTCGGAATCTGCTGCTTCTGCTTCTTCTTCATCTGAATCCTCTCTATTTCCATCTCCTCCTCATCGTCCTCGTCCGACGGCAGACAAGCAGTCGAGGAGACCTCTCCGATGACCTTCGGCGAGCTCATTGCACACAGAAGATCGTCGTACTCCTTCGGTCGCACGAACGTCTTCCTTTTCGTCGTCGACGTGCTCGGTCCATCGCTTCCTTCGCGGCTTTCTCCGATCGGTTTATGGCTGTACGTACTTAAAGGGGGCACCTCTTCGTCCATGTCATCTGGCGGTTCTTCGCCCCGGAACATTGATACTCTCGAACTGTCACGACGGTCCGAACGAGAGGGTTCCACGACGGAAGATGGCTCCGATTCGGGCTCCTTTCGCGTCTCCTTCATTTTGAGTATATATGCACGTAGACTGAAAAAGGGTACAAATTAGATTATGGCGGAACTCGGAATGTCAGAAAGTGCCAGGACTTGGCAAATGACCCGAACTTTTGGTTAACTTGCAATATTCCTATCGGGCCCAAGCTTTACCATTCGGAGTAAATAATCCGATAGGTCTGCAACTTGGCTAAAAAATACTTTAATCCAAATATAAGATGTCTGCAAAGCTTGGATCCGATTGGAAAATTGCAAGTGGTTCAAAAGATCACATTTCCGTAAAGCCTGAGCCGGTCATTTGTCCAGCGCTGGAAAATGCCCAATAATGTTTAGTAAAATGAGTGATTTTTGAGAGAAATGAACAGAATAAGATGAAGGAAACACTTTTTCGAATGGATTATTTCAAAAACTGTCAACATTCTTAAAATTTCAATACTTCTGAAATTTTAATGAGAAATCATAAGAATTTCAGAAAAATTATCGTTTTCTACTGGCTCAGTGCGTTCTGTCTATCGAAACATTCACCCACGTATTAGTTCAATCCAATTTCCGAGTTTTTCAAAAATTATCGACTTTTTGCATTTTCAGCATTTCAGACGAACCTTTTCTTCTTCTCTGCGCCAATTCGTTCTCCAAATAAGATATAAAGTTCGCGAAGATCCGAAAATTTCAAAAATTGAACATAATTGAGGATATTCGGAATAACTTGACGACGCATTCTGCAAAAATCGATATTTTTCAAACTTTCGTTGTTTTCATCCGGAAAGCTCGGGGTTTTCGGGGATTTCCAAGCGGAAAGTACCTTCCGTTCAGTGACTGCGGACTGTGATCACTGCCGTAATGCTCTGCGTAACTGCGCCATAGTGTAATTCCCAGTGGCGCCTCCGAATCGTTCTTTCTGTAATTCGCAGCTCGAAAGCGGCCCGAAATTGCTCGCCGAGCCCTTACCTTGCAACCCATTTCAACATTCGTACATCTTCGTACTCACTGTAGCCACTTCGATTCATCTGAAATAATCAATGACAATGTGCTCTTCGAGCTCACAACACTCCCAAACCCATGCAGAATTTTTTGCCCCGCCAGTTATGAGTACCGTTGATAAGTGCACAGTTTGTATTTATAAAAAAGTCAACACACAATCGTTTGGCCCCGCCAATATCCCATAAGTGGTTTTATTACTAAATGAACGAGAAATGAGAAGAGAAAGAATGAAGAAAAAACGAAATTGGTGTCTCCCGCGTACAACAAATAAGGCCTCATGTTTGATATATATAAGGAGGGTGGGTGTGGGGTGGAAATGGGGGAAAGGTGCAATAGCTCGAGGAAAAGGGGAAGGGGGAAAGGATCGAAGCGAAACCAAGGGGAACGGAATAAGTTATATAATTATAATTATAATTACAAGCATGATGAATAGGGTCACTCACTTTCAATACTAGAATTATCAAATCACAGTAGACGAAAAGATGCACTTTGCCGGAGTACCGTTACGTTTCAAGCAGCCATAGAGAACTGCTCGTCGCGAGAATGGTATGAGGTTGAAGGGGAAAAAGAGAGGGAAAAGGAAACAAATTCAGTGAGAAAGGAATGTAGAGGGGAAATCTACAGGATGGAGAGCTTTGGCTGCTCCTTCTGCGCTCCTCCCTTGCCGCCTTTCTTGCCTTCGCCGTATCCCTTGTTGTTGTTGTTCCTCGGTCTGCGCGCAACGTTTTCCGAAGAGCTGATGAGCGAGGCGTCGAGCCCGCGAGCAGCCAGCGAAAGCTGAAGGGTCTGCTGGAGAGCAGCCAACTGATCGGCGCTGAGTCCGGATGATGTCAGCTGAACTCCTCCGGTGTTGATGACTGTCTTCGGAGCGGCTGGAGCGGCCTTCTTCTCTTCTGGAACGGCAACTAATTTGGCATATTGCCTTCTATTCGGAGTGTTCGAACACTTACCCTTGTGGGTCGGGCTCAGATTGACCCCAGAATCGGCTCCGACGGACGAAGTGATGCTCGACTGGCTCGTCGCGTGCTTGATCGGTCCGGCCGCTGGTGGTGGCGAGGCAGTCTGCTTGACGGAGGCCGCCGGCTTTCCGTTAGCAACTGCCTTCTGGGCGCCTCCGAGCGCAGCGATGGCCTTCAGAATGGCGACGGTGTCGAACTGCGAAGCACTCGACGACTTCAACTCCTTTTCGCGCTCGTTCAAAGCCAGACGGATGGTTTTGAAGGCCACAGACAGAGCGTCAGTGGGCGCTGGGGTGCCGTTGACTGGAAAAGAGAAAACAGGTGAAAGATTGGTGAAATGCATGCGCTTACCAGTTTGCTTGGATGCAGCGACAGGTTTAGTTACCGAAGAGGAGACGGCCGGAGCAGCTGGCTTGGCGACTGGGGCTGGGGTAGCCTTGGCCGGAGCTGTGGCAGGTGGCGTGGCGTCGGGAGCTGACTCAATGGCTTTCTTGCTCTTGTTCTTGTTCTTCTTTTTGGCTGCGGTTACGCTCTCCCCACTCGACGTCGTCCACCCACCGAGTATGCTGGCACCTCCATCTGCAAAAAAAACGTGAATAAAAAGTTATGCGATACGTGATGCAAAGCTGTCAGAAACAAGAAAACATCGATAAGACGTACCTTCCAGGAAAGCTTGAATAGTCTTGTTGACATCAAGGTCAAACGAGTGAAGGACCATGATAATGTCGTTGTTTGTTACATTGTCGACGACCTCACGAACCTTGGCGACCTTCTCCTGAATAACCTTCTTCTCGCTTTCCTTTGGTGCCATTTTCTGCAAAAAATTGAGAGTTTGTTTTGTGATTTTAGGCCAAAAAGACGATAAAACACGCAAAATATGGTAAACGGGCGCGGGTAATCGACGTAGAACACCGCACACTTCGGTCGGGTTGGCACGCGTTGCGGTCGCGTAGCGGTCAGCCTGGCACCGAGACGCGCGTCTTGCCTTGGTCGCTAACCTACATAAAGAAGAGCGTACTGGGAGGGGCGATATGCGATCCTTTATCAATTTATACGCGTACTGATTGACACTATCGATCGACTGATAAAATTTTGAAGGCAAGAAGACGAAAAATCGGCGGCGAGATAGCCAAAAACGGCCAAAAAGGGGTGGTTGCCACGAGGAAGGCGCACGGAGTTTTGCAGTGGGACGGGTCTCGCCGCGGAAACGGCTACGGTAACAGTTGTTCGGCTGTGCGCGCTTCTGAGGCCTAAAATTTTGCGAAGAATTCCATTTTTTCCACTCGAATTTTACGATTTTCAACGCCAAGATTTATACTTTTCTACTCAAAATGTCGAACGAAACGTTCCGAAAACGCATAAAATTCTGAATTCATGTCGGAACCATCTCTTTCAAGATTTTCGAATGCAGTTTTCATTGTTTCGCAGTTTTCTTGCCTTCCTCTGAACTCAAACACAAACACGCATTCATTGTTTTTTTTTCAGGGTAAAATGTCGAAGGTTTCGCGCGAGTCTCTCAACGAGGCTATTGCTGAGGTCCTCAAGGGATCGGCTGAGAAGCCACGCAAGTTCCGTGAGACGATCGAGCTCCAGATCGGTCTTAAGAACTACGACCCACAGAAGGACAAGCGTTTCAGCGGATCCATCAGGTAGCTACGACCTGTGAATACAGGGAGTCAGAGCTTTTATAGCCTGACGGACCCCAACCCAGGGTCTTAAATCCTAAGGGGAGGCTTTCTCGCCGAAATAGTAAAGATGATATCATATCTGGTATGATCCTTTTGCTCGTCGATTTTTGAAATAGATTTATATTCCTCCAATTTTAGACTGAAGCACATCCCGCGCCCAAACATGAAGGTTTGCGTGTTCGGAGACCAGCACCATCTTGATGAGGCTGCTGCCAACAGCATCCCATCGATGAGCGCCGATGACTTGAAGAAGCTCAACAAGAACAAGAAGCTTATCAAGAAGCTCGCCAAGGGATACGACGCTTTCCTTGCTTCCGAGTCTCTGATCAAGCAGATCCCACGTATCCTCGGTCCAGGACTCAACAAGGCCGGAAAATTCCCGTCCGTCGTCTCTCACGGAGAATCCCTCCAGAGCAAGTCTGACGAGCTCCGCGCCACCGTCAAGTTCCAGATGAAGAAGGTAAACATTTCGTGAATCGTTTCAGTTTTTCAATCATCATTTTTCAGGTTCTCTGCCTCTCCGTCGCTGTCGGACACATCGGACTCACCCAGGAGGAGCTTGTTTCCAACATCTCCCTCTCGATCAACTTCCTCGTCTCGCTCTTGAAGAAGAACTGGCAGAACGTTAGATCGTTGAACATCAAGTCCACCATGGGCAAGCCACAAAGAATCTATTAATTACTTTGTTGTTATCCAATAAACATTGTTGAACCCAAACGCATATGTTCACTCATTCATATATCTTGTCTAACAATCGTCTGACTTGAGTAGATTGGAAGTTTGTCGTTCGCATGTTAGCACGCCGGGCACTCGTTTCAGATGTCGAAAAATCAGGCTAAATTGACGGCCGCGCAAATCGAGGAGGACAATGAGAGAGGATACACTAAGTCGCCTCATCACATGACCGAGATCACGGGACCGGCGAAACAATTCGTGGTCCTCGTCGGCGATACTGGCAAAGCGGTATTTTGCTGGACTCTATCAACTGATCACCCTTAGTCCCTTTTCAGATACGGAGGCAGATGAATGATGTGTCATTGGGTTACAAAGATCTGAAAGATACATATTACATTGACAATTTGTATGAAAATGCTTTTGTTTGTGGGGAGACTGATTCTATTTCAGCTATTATTCCTGCAAGTACGCCGTCAAAACGTTCGCGACGATTTTCGATCTGGAAAAGGACTACGACAAAGAGAAAACGCTGATTCCGTGTCTTTTGATCGCCTACAACACGTTGGCCGATCTGCGAGCTTCGGAGCGAGTGGCCACCAAGATAAAGGCCGATGTTAAGGTTCTTTCCTGCTGAAGTCAGACGGGATGGTCAATTTTCAGATCGTGGTGGTCGATTCGTTGGAGTTGTGTATGGAAGCTGCCGAAGTGGAGCACTACGCCGTTCACCACGGATGGGAAACGGTCTATCTGAAGCCGAACAGAGTAAACTCAGAAAAAAACTGTTTCTATTTCGATTCTATTAAATTTATCTCAGGAGCAGCTCGAGGAGTCGCGCGAAATTCACGAAAAAGTGGGAATCGATCGTATCATGGAGGCGCTTTCGGTGGCCGATTGGCCGTGGCGGGTGGCGAACATTCCGGAAAAGGCACGTGATTACGCCGATCGTGTGGCTAACCTTGATCTCAGCTGATATTCCAGAATGACGCTCCGATCAATGTGAATCATGAAGAACTGCGGATGAGCAGCGAAATGATCATGGATCGAAGATCAGCCAGTAAGGAACACAATGATGATGACGATTTTAATGATTTCTAACCACGTTTTTGGGTGTAATGATCTCGATCTTTTGCATTCCGAGTATATTGCATGTTTCGTAATAAAAGTGAATAAGACATCCGCGGAAGTAAAATTTCGTTCCGCATCATGCGAAATAGAAAAAATTGGTCAAAATTGAGCAATGTTTGCAATTTTTGTGAACATTTTCTGTGTTTTCCTGATATACAGTTAAATTTATCATCAAAAAAGGGATATCGAGTAAACGAAATGTTGCGAGACTCATCTTGCACGCCAAAAAATACAAAATTTTTCTTTTGAACCCATAAAAATTATTCCGCAAACGAAAATTTTAACTTCCGCGGATACTAGCCAAAAAGTTGAGATATTGCGTAGAAAACGGATAATGTTATTTTACAGATCGTCTGTTGGGCGAATGGACCAAATATTTCAGTAATTTCACGACGGAGCAAGCCACAAAAGCGGCTCTTGAGAAGGCGAAAGCGGAGGAGGAATTCGACGATTTTCCGGCTCCGCAACACGCCGAACGCGTCCATTTGTCTCCGGATTCACCGACGACGACCGAGGGAACCATCGAGGGGAATCTGGATCTTGAGATGCCGGACGACGTCTCCATTTCCGTCGACATCGATCTCGTTTGTGCGAAGAAGAACCAGGATCAGAATGAGGAGGAACCGCCGCCGCCAGTGGAAGAGAAGAAGCCCGTCCCTCAGAAGCAGACAGGTCCGAAAAGGAAGAAGGGCAAGGGCCGGAATCACTAACATGGTAAGTATTTCAACGATTTCCTGAAAATTAGCAATTTTCCTGTAATTTCAGACACTTCTACTCGCTCATGAACTTGACCCATTTTGAAATTTACTCATCTATCTGAATAGTCACCTATTACCCAAATTTAGCCTATTTCTTCATGTTTCATTCCCATTTTTAATGTATTCTCGTGTGAAAAGCCCAACAGTTTGTGTGATTTCCCATCATCGTCCCTCTTGTCTGGTTTACAAGTTTAATTGCTTTAAAGCTTCAATGCCCATAAAATTATGCAAAAAAAATTCAAACTAGTAGTTTTAGTTTCAAAAAAAAAACAGGCGAGGAAATTTGTCAGTAGGCTATTCGCGTTCGTTGTCATATTGTCATAGTTCTCACTTTATTCCACTCGATTGCACGCAATGTTTGTCAACTGGCAATCAAAGGAACGGCTTAAGTCAGACTGTCAACCGAAATGTGTGGGATTCTTCGTGTGCAGGTGAGTTTTTTTTTCCGAGGAAAACGAAAATATTATAGGGGCATTGTACAGAAATGGCGCTCTGTTGAGAAACTCATTTTGCAGTACAAATTGAGCGACCTCGTGGCCGAGTTTGAAAAGTTTGGCTACGTTTTCAGTGGAAAATGACTTCGCGGCCTAGAAATTCGGCCAGCGAACAGCGCGCCCTTTCTGTGAGTGATGCCCCTATAATAGGGAATTGCGAACGAACACGGAATTGAGTGATCCGATGCAAGTATGGGAGAGATATTACCCGCGGATACGCTCACGAAATGCTCATGAAATCGATTGCAGTCTCCATTTATTATATATCTTTATTATTATCATCGATTCGTTGTCCATTCGCAGGTTCTCTTGAGCCCGTTCTTGTGCTGGATACGTTGTCCGAGTGGGACACAAGTGTCGTTGAACTTTCTAGTCCACAGCTTTTACTGTCCGCTTCGGGGTCAGGCTGACACACAAACTCGGACGGTTCGCCCTGGTCCCCTTCAATGCTAACTCAGATGGTCCAATGCATTCTCATAATCGGCTTCCTCTTCAATACCTATTACGACTTTGTTGTTCGCGGACCGATTCCGTCGGCAAACTTGAATGGAAGTTAGTTTTCTTTTCTAAACTGAAAAGTTCGAATTCAAATTCCGTTTTTCAGCGTTTCTTCCCCGATCTTTCTTTCTTTCCGTTTCCTTCAATTCTTTTCTTTTCTTTTCTTTGTGCTTGTCTTCTCTGCAAAATGAGGTGACAACTGTGCCCCATACTGTTCACGGAGACGACGTGTACGAAGTGATCTACGGGGGGAGCGAAGAGTTCGATCAAGAAGACATGAACTCTTATTGCTTTAACGTTTCCGTTCCGACGTGTCCCTCGATCTCCCACCATTCCCGTCATTGTTTCGCAATGTTTGCCAATTGGAATTCGAAAGGGCGAAACCGCTCAGTGCGTGCCAAAATATGTGGAGAGAGTTTGGATGTGCAGGTGATCAGTTTCCCCTTTTATATTATATTATAATCTTGAATCATTTTTCAGGGGTTGTTCTTCATCGTCGCAATTTCACCTTTCGGTGCCCTGCTCGAAGTGGCCGTGCTCCACTTTTTTCTATTCTCAGATGAAATTGACAAATATGAGGTCGATTATCCCGGATACACTTGTGAACTTCTGCGCAAATTTATTCCCGCCTGCATTTACACTGTAACTTTTCATCGTTATTATGGGGCTATTCAGCGTATGTTTGTTTTCCGCTTTTTTTTCGTTTTTTTACACCGCTAGCGGTCTCCAGAGCTGACAATGGGCGCAAGTGCGCCCCGCCCAATAGAGCGATACATTGGCGCGAAGTTTGAATTTTAACAGCAAAATTTGTGTGTTTTTTGCCAGATTAGCCACGAAAAACCGATAATTTCTCATTTGTCTCTCGATAGACCGATTGTATTGGCTATTACGAATTTTTTAAGCGCGAGAGCGTAAAATTTGGTCAAGCCGCAAATCACATTTATCCGTTTGAGGGTTTTTGGCTAAAACTGCCTGAATTTTAGTTGCTTTTCAGTAGTTTTCGCTGTTCGAGCGCTCAAAATGATTGTATTTACGTGATTTATCATTCTCAAAACCAATTTTGTCTGAAAACGGTCAAGAAAGCGCAAAATGAGAAGTGCGGTTTTTAGGCGGCGATCGGCAAGCAAAGTCCGCGAAAAATGTGCCAAAACGTCATTAATTCTGTGAGAATTAGTGTGTTCTCATGTCGAACAATCATTTTTCATCGCCTTTGACCACAAAAATCAGAGAAAACCTGCTCAATTCATGAAAACGCCATTTGGCCGCGGCCACGCCCATATTGTCAGCTCTGGAGACCGTGCCGCTGAATTTGGTTTTTTGACGTAAAAAAAACGAAAAAAAACGGGAAAAAATCATATTTTTCACAGCCATTATTATTATAATCGGGTCATGAATTGTCAGGCGATCATCTCCCTGATTGGCTTCTGGGTCTACTGCATTCCATCCAAACTCTTCCGTACTTTCGCCTTTCTCGCCGTTCGTCCCATTTCTTTCTGCTCATTCACTCTTTCAGTGAATTCAGATTGCCATAGGTATTCTGCTCATCAGCTATTCTTTTAATCCGTACTACGATTATATTCCGGGAAGGATTCAGGGCAATTTTGAAATAGGACGTTCGTTTTTGAGGTTTCTCCTTCTCCAAACACACAATTTTTCAGCATTCTCCTGCTACGTTCTGTTATTGGTCATTTTTCTGATTCCCAGTTCATTCGTCTGTGCGTGGCTTTTCTGCAAAATGAGGTGATCGAGAAGGAATTTGAAAAACGTGTGATTTTCGATGAATTTCAGTAAAATCAGGATCCGCAATGAGTACGACGGGGACGACGTGTACGAAGTGATCTACGGGGAAGAGACGAGTTCGACGAAAAAGGCGATACTTTAATGTTTTGAAGGCAAATGTACAGAAATACATTGAAGAATCAGGAGAGAATGGGAAACGGGGTGCTCACTCGGATCGATATCAGGCTGGGGAAGATAAACAGGAGATGGAAGAGAAGAAGAAAAACGGAGAAAACGAGTGGGGGAAAAACGTGGAAAAGAGAGAACCAGTGCGCATTTGGGCGGGGAAGAACCAGATGAGAGAGGGAGGAGAAAAACTGGGAGGAAATTGGGAGAAATGAAGAAATTCGTGTTCAAATGAATACAATTAATCGGACAAAAATACCCATTTTGGTTGGTGTGTGTGTCGAATCGTTTGGTGACAGAAATAAGGGAAAAACAACGAGTTTTTAGAATAATTGGATAGAAATGTTCGAAATCGATCGATTCAATCATCGCCCGGATGCTCCGGACAGCAATTCTTTCGTTTGAACCAATCGTCGATGCATCTGAAAGAGAAAAATGGAAAATTTAATGTAAAAAGTGGGACACCAACTGTTTGTGGTAGATGCAGAGACACGGTAAACGGGCGATTTTGTGTCCCGCCTCGAGATCCTCCAGACAAATCGAGCACTCGCCCTTGTCCTCTTTCAGCACGTCATCTGTAAAAAGAAAAATTTGATTTTTCCACTAAAATGACACTGGAAATAACCATTATAAGTGATTTTGGGTCTTGTCAGGCACATGACGAGGTGAATGTCCGCATCGTCCGAAGGGACCACTTTGTGGCAAACCGGACATTTCATATCTGAAATCAGTTGGATTCGTTGCATTTTTCGGACGCTCAGAGAACCCGTCCTACCCATCATAAAGACGGGAACCGATCGGCGACTGTGGTGTCCGTGAAGGCGTCCCGGACGAACGTGCAGGCCTCGGGGACGGCTGTAAATTCAGAGGGGGTTAGCGAATTTACAGCTTTTTCGAGGATGTCTGGAAATTGCGCTCTACTGCTTTCCATGTCAATTTGGTGATACATTGGAAAAGAGTTTCGAATGAATGCAAGCCTTGCTATCGATGATCGAATACTACTGTAGGTCAAAATAATAATAAACATAATCTTTGTGTGTCTAGAATTATCGCACACAACACCAACTCTTTGCAGTGTATCTCTTGACCAGACAATCAAATCGGGCAGAAAATCTCACTGAACACGGTCAACAATCAGTGCCAAAATTGAAAAATCGCTCATATTCACCGAAAAACTCGTAAAACCGGCAGGAAGCACTCACTTTCCGTGCACTCCTTGCGACGGTCCCGCATCATCTTCGGAGGCGTTCGAATCGGACGAGGAGCTGAGAAAACGGGCGGCGCGCATTGTCTGCAACAAGCAACACCGTCTGAACACACGTTCTTTTTCATGCCGGGACACCCCTTCCCGCAGTTTCAAAAAGACTGTACCTGCAAGAATTCGGCGGTCGTCATCTGACCGTTTGGGCGTTGCGCCGCCGTCTGTTGGATGGCCAGCTGAAACAAACGATTATTGATTGATTGTGATTGGATCTCGCCACGAAAATATATTTAGTTGCTCAAAACGGAAAAACAACGCATCTCCGTTCAAAAATTGTTTGAAAAGCGAAAAACGAACAGCGGCATCGACAGAATTGCTTCTGGGTCGTTCCTCCGTGACGGACGACTGTCGACCGCCCATCTCTTGTTCTTCGTGTCTCCCCCCGTACACGTGCTCTGAAAATCGCTCTTTTTGTCACAAATTCTGTAAGAAACTCGAAGAAATTTGGCCATTTTGACATAACTTTTGTTATCAGTCGAAAATTATGAAAATGAGCGAAAACGGGAAGAGAAGAGAGAGAGAGGGAGAAAGACGGAAATTGTGTTTATGTATAAACTTTGATGATAAAACCAGAGGAAGAAGTGATCAATATTTATACTTTCCGTTTTTTTTTTGTTGCAAAAACTATGCTCGATGAATAATAAGAATAGACAATCGAATGACGCATTTCAGGCGCAGAATTGAACAATTTCTAAAGAGAAGGCGAATAGTGTCGAATTTCTTGTTTGGACACTGCCCGGGCCCAAATTAGCCGCGTTTAGGGAGGTTCGGATGGAAATCGCACTTATTTTCAGCTATTTTGCCGTCTGTAATGAGGCTCATCAGCACTCTGACACTCACGGGCTCCTTCGGCAGGGGAAAACTGGAAAGAAAACTCTAGAAAACGAGGTCTTTTCAGTTCTTAAATCTTGTTCGTTGTGAGAGTCTTACCGGGTCTTACAACGAAACAGGATGTTGAGAAAAACGAAAAACACAAGTCTCTAAAAATGGGTGCCATCTTTCGCTCCGCCCACTTTTGAACAAAGGTGGGGCCTCACGAGCCGGAAATCAAGAAAAAAGGTCACAATTTATGAGAATTGACAATTATCATTCTCATAGATCGTGGAACTTGCAATTTTATATGCATCGCTTCGATGTCTTTAAAGAGGTCTCGCATCAAATTCTTCCTAATATATATATATACATATGTATGGCGGCGGTGTAGAGGGGAGGAAAAGAGGGAGCGGAGGATTAATGAAGACGACTATTTCCCACTCAGAGAGCCTTCTTTTTCAGATGATGGGGGGTCATGCACAAAAACGCTGTCGGCACTCGGTCCCGAGGTGTTCATTGATTCGGCGCCCGAAACGAGAAACGAGAAGGAGAGGCTGCGGGCGAGAGAGTGTGCGGAGACGAGAGACGCAGCCGGCGAGAGACGGTCACGGGGGTCGGTCCGCACCGGGCGACAAGGGGACGGCGGACAAGGAGGAGAAGGAGCAACAATTGGAGCACAGCTGTGAGGGACCAATTGCAACACTCTCAAATCATTTGATGATGGAGAGACGATAGACGGAGGAAGAGCGAGTGGATGAAGAAGAAGAAGAAGAAGATGACAAGTCAAGAGAGCATGTCTCTTTGAAAAGCTTTGAAATTATTTCGACTTTTCACACAAAGTCAGTCTAAAGTGCTCAGATGTGCTACAATTTCTCGTGTACACAATTATTAACAGTTTAGCCTATACTTTACGTATATTTGTATCGAAAAAGATCAGTCACAGAAAACCGCAACTTTTCAAGACGCCACACACGCGTTTCTGTCACTTTTCGAGCTCTTATCGCCACTTCTTCCCGTCCCGAATGATCATAATCATTTAAAATTGTGAAATTCGTCCCCGTAAAAAGTCATCAAAACAAGTGTGTGCCAACTGGGTCAACACGTCCTGAGCGCAGGGGAAATAATTCAAATTTCCGGAGGGCGAATCGAAAAAATAATACATTTTTCCGCTCGGCTTCCGGATTGATTTCCGCTCCAAAACCTGGCTTGGAGACATTTTTGGGGGGAAAACGACGGAAAGTGCTGGATTTCAAAAGTGAGACGGAATGAATTATGGATGTCAGAGACGGCAGTGAGACCACTCACCAAATGACTCTTTTTTTTTCGAACAAAAGTGCACTTTCCGTCATTTTTCATGCATCCGAGATGAAAAGGGGAGAAAAAGGGCAGGGATGAATGGAATGAGCGTTTGATCTCCGCGGTTTTAAGCGGGAATTAGTTATTTTTTGGACTTGCAAAGTTAGGTCGAAAAGAACTTGTATAAGAATTTTACAATCAGTTTTGCGGCCAGAGAAAATCATACAAAATCGCCCCAGCGAGAAAGATGTAAATGGAGAGGATTAGAGAAACAAAATGCGCGGCCATTTGTGATCGGAGGGGCGAAAGGCGAATCACGCGGTGGAATCAGACCGGTAGCGGGGAGTGGAGGACACTGAAAACAAACAGCGTTTCGGTGTGAAAACAGATGGAAAATTAATGTGTTTGCATGAGAAAAACATACACTCTTTTCGTATTTTGTATTAAATTACAGGTTTTCTTTGGAATTTTGTTGCACAAGACAATCGTTTCATTTTCAATTTCGTTTCCCGATCATCTTACACAAGTTTCTGCTTGTTATGGAATAATCCGTCAACTGACACGCAAAAAACGGGGCAAGAAAACCAATTTAGTTGAGAGCTCGCTCGGAGAGCGAAGAAGAGCGAAAATAGTCATAAAAGATGTACTTGGAGAAAAAGAGAGCGAAAGGGCAAAGTCGTCAAGACGAAACGAGAGAAAGAGCGAAAGAGCACTTTTCGTGGCGGGACCTTTCTTCGAAAAAGTTACAAATTGTGTGTGTGTGTGTGTGCATCGGCAGTTTGTGTGTACGTGTGGGGGTGTTGTTTATGTGGAACCGCTGACTGGTAACTCGTACACCTGGGCTTCTCTCCCTCTCTCTCTCTCGTATTTATTATGAAAGGGGCAGTCGAAACGAAATCAGCGAAATAGTGCGCAAAACGAGGCGATGACAGACAAAAAGTGATACGAATGCGAACGTGAAATGGGATGGGCGAAATGGGCGAACGATTCGAACGGCCGGAAGAGCGGAAGGATCAAAATTGTCGAAAAAAAGTTTGATTTTTGCTGAAAAATTGCAGGTTTTATTGAAATTAGCCTTCTAGTGGTTTTGCAAGTTTTTTAATGAAGATATTGACCAAATTTGCTTTATTTCTGCCGAAGAAAAGCTGGGAAACAGAAACAATTTCGGTTTCTTACATTTATTTTAAAGGCGCATTGGCGAAGTTCCAACATCGGGTCTCGACGCGAGTACCGTAATTTTCCAAGGTTTTTTTGATTTTTGCTTTCACGCTGCAATCTGACAGTTGAAAATAGCAAAAAATCGAACGTTCCTCGAATCTATGCGAAAATTCTAAAAACATTTTTTTTTCTCTGTCTTTTTTTAAATGTTTATCTTAACGCTCAAAAAAGTTTAGGCTCAAAAAAAAGTTTCGTAACCGATTATTTGAGTAGATGAATTCCTCATCATAGAAACAACAGAGAGTTAATCAGAGCCAAAACAAACAATTGTACATGACAATTTGAACTCGGTAAATAAAAAGTGAGTAGAGTAAGGGGGAAAAAGGGGCGGAGCCTTGTAAGGAAGGTACAATGGCAAATATTGATGAGCGGGGACTCGAAAAGAGAAATCTATTTAGGAGAGGGCACTCATCAAATCCGCATCACTTTTTTGTTTGTCGCTTTATTCGCTTTTTGTATAAAAATGACTGTCGTTTCTGTGGATACTAAAAGCGGTTATATTGAGACGGATAATGATCGCGTTATTATGGCTATCCTCCTCATTTTCTTGCCCGTAAGTTTGTTATGACTCCTAAAAAATCCAGTGTTTGTTTTCTTCTAACTCAATTCAGCAATATAAGAAAACATACACTAAGTAGCCCCATCAGAATCGTCTGCTCGTTTCCAGCCGCTGGCGGTGTTCTACAAGTCGCGCGGATGCAGCGGATCCTTGTGTCTCAACATTCTGCTCTACGTGTTCCTGATCGTTCCGGCCTACTGCCACGCCACCTGGTACTGCTTCCTTCGGGGACGGGAACACGAAGTTCGCGCCGAGATCACCGAGAGACCTTGAGCAGATTCGTTATTTTCTCTGGGCAGTGTGTAAATAAATGAAGTTTTTTTTTTGGTTTTTTAATTTCTAATGAAAGGTCTCATGGATTTTGAGCAAATATTAGAAAGTAAGGTCACTGAAACGCAGAAATAATTGGAAATCGCGCTCTATTGCTCGAAACGCAGTCATTCTTCCATTATTCCGAAATTCTAGGCGTGAGACCGGACAAAAACCCGCAAAATTCAAGCTTTCATCGAAAAATTGGTCTAAAATCGATGTTTTCTGGACCTTTTGTGCGTAAAAACCCGAGTGTTCCCCCTCAATTTTGACACCGTCTCTCCACTAACAGTAATTTGGACCGGTTCTTTCAACTCAAATCGAATCAAATCAACAGAGGAAGATGAAATGAAATGGTTGTTGTTGGTTTTTTGAACATGTTTGTGTGTCCGGCTGCCGGTCGACGGGGCGGCAGCATTTTGTGTAAAAAGAAGAATGATGTGGGTGATAAGAGAAAGAGGGGAAAAAGAAGAAGAAGGGCGGCCAATTCGAACGATTTCCCACTTTTCAGCACAACTTTCGCTTCGTCATGTCCATCCCGACCGCCTGTATTCCGCCGGAAACATTCTGAATGCGTCTGTCGTCAGGTTCGGTGTCCACAGTAACCTGCTAATGATCTGCGAGGCCGCAAAACTTATTGACAATTGGGCTCTGTTTCATTTCCTTCTGCACACGAAAAAAAACAAACAGAATGCTCAATTGTGTGTGGTTTTGCACGTTCTTTTCTTCCTCGTCGTCGTTATTATCCCGTCAAAAAGTGAAAACGAAAAGAAAGATGGGCGGTCGGGAACGGCCGAGAGAGATGGAGAAAAAAAGAGAGACCGCCCACGTTCTTTCTTCTATTCATTTTTGTTCTCTTTTCTTCCAAATCCGATGAATAACACGGATTTAGCTCTTCGTATAGCTATGCGCCATTGAACAGAATTTTTGAATTATGCGCCAGAGATGCGCGAAATTCCGCTTTTCGAAGAGTATTCTTTTAAAATTTCGCACTACGCATTCCGCGAACTTAGGTATTTAAATGTTCAGTTCCACGGATCTCTGATAAGCGTCTTCAAACTGTTTTCGTGGCGAGAACCGCAACAGATTTTTTTGAAAGGCGCCTTTAAACGTTGAATGCTCGGTCCTTCAATTTGAATTCCAGTAATTTTTCACGTGCCCCTCTCTCCCAATTTCCTTATCAATTCTCGCAATCGCTCGGTATTTTGCCACGTGTCAAAGTCAATTTGAGCGTTTCCATCGCACAAGTCGCCCATTCCCCGAGACTAATCACTTTCTCTCTGGTCGTCGACTTCTTCTCACTCGAGATGGCATCGCAATTTCTCCGCTCCACCAACTCGCGTTACGTCGCCGGTGTGCTCGCCGCTCTCGGAGCCGGCTCGGCCGTCTACACGCTCACTCCGCAGGTAATCCGAAATCCCAATAATCTCTTTAGTCTTATTTCACCCGTTTTCAGCAAGTGTCCGCCAAGTCCGAAGTCGACGCGGCGACAATCAAAAAGATCGAGGAGGCGTACGCGAAACTGAACGGACCGGAAGGCGCCAAATGCAAGTCGTTGCTCAAGAAGCATCTGACGAAGGACGTCGTCGAGAAGCTGAAGACGAAGCGCACGAAGCTCGGCGCCACGCTGTACGACTGCATCCGCTCGGGAGTCTACAACCTTGACGCGGGAGTCGGAGTCTACGCGCCGGACGCCGAGGCCTACACGCTCTTCGCGCCGCTCTTCGACAAAATCATCGAGGACTACCACGGATTCAGTCCGAAACAAAAGCAGCCGCCCGTGGACCTGGGCGAGGGAAAGACGAAGGAGTTCCCGCCGCTGGACCCCAAAGGCAAGTACATCAAGTCGACGAGAATCCGGTGCGGACGCTCGCTCAAAGGCTATCCGTTCAACCCGTGCCTCACGCAAGACAACTACCTCGAGATGGAGGGCAAGGTGAAGAAGGCGTTCGCCGAGTACTCGGACAAGGAGCTCAAGGGCAAATACTACCCGCTGGACGGAATGAGCAAGGACACGCAGAAGCAGCTGATTGCGGATCACTTCCTGTTCAAGGAGGGCGATCGTCATTTGCAGTACGCGAACGCGTGCAACTTCTGGCCCAAGGGACGCGGCATCTTCCACAACAACGACAAGACGTTCCTGATCTGGGTGAACGAGGAGGACCACATGCGGATCATCTCGATGCAGGAGGGATCGGATGTCGGAAAAGTGCTCGACCGGCTCATCAAGGGAGTGCGTGGCATTGAGAAGCAGGTAAGGAAGGCATTGGGGAAGAGGACCGACTGATTTCCAATTCCAGGTTCCGTTCTCTCGCGACGAACGTCTCGGCTGGCTCACTTTCTGCCCCACGAACCTCGGCTCGACGGTCCGCGCCTCTGTGCATATTGCTCTTCCGAAACTGGCTGCCCGCAAGGACTTTATCCAAATCTGCGAGAAGCTGAACCTCCAAGTGCGAGGAATCCACGGCGAACACTCGGAGTCTGTCGGTGGCGTGTATGACATTTCCAACAAAGTAAGTAAACACGTTCACTTTTTTTTTTTTGAACAAACACTAGTACTTGATGCGTTCAGGCTCGTCTCGGACTCTCGGAATATCAGGCGGTGAAGCAGATGTACGACGGCGTGAAGAAGCTCATTGAGCTGGAGGAGAAGGAGAAGTAGACGACTATTGTAGCGTGAATGCTTTTTTGAAATGAATAAATGGTAGTGAAGGATATTTTCTCTCTTTTTCCCCCTCGCTTACTCTATTGTTACCTGTTTGTACTCGGTTGCTCACGGAGCCCCTCTCCCCCCACTTGAGCGCGTGTTTGCTCGGGGCGCCGCCTCGAAGACCTCGAAGTCGGAGCTAGTGCTATTGATGGCCGACAGTCTTGCGACCCCACTATTTACTAGTATCCGGCGCCCACTTTTTCCATCCGATTGTAATGTTTTACATCCATTCCATGAAAATATTGCAGAAATGGCACCTCCTTCCACTCTGGAGCTGATCTCTCTGCCCGGACGCGGTCGTGCCGAGACCATTCGGCTACTGTAAGTTTTAAAGGGACCGGAACGTGGGACTCATGTCAATTTCAGTTTGGTGTTTGCGGACCGAAAGTTCGTCGACACTCGGATGACGATTGCTCAGTGGAGGGCCAGACGGAAAATGGGTAAGAGGGTCTAGGCAAAAGTTGGGCTATCCGTTTCCGTTTCTTCTTTCAGAAGGCTTCAACGAGGACACGAAGCTGCCGGTGATGAAGATCAACGGAAGCCGCACCATCATCGGAGTCATCGACATTTGCCGTCACATTGCGCTTCAGTACGGACTGTACGGAAGTTCGAGTGGCGATCAGGAGAAAATCGACGAGGTCATTCAGAAGTTGGAGGAGCTGAACACGGCGATGAACCCGATTCTGAGAGCGGTGCTCACGAAGAACTACGATGCGAGGGTATGAAACTCCAGAGCTTGCAATAGGTGCAAGCGTGCGACATTTTGGCGCGAAATTAGCCACGGAAAATCATAAATTTCTCACTTTTGCTCTTGGATACAACATTTAATAGGTAAACACGAACTTTTTAAGCGCTTGAGCGTGAAATTTGGTCGAGTCACAATTGAGATTTATCCGTTTGACGTTTTACGGCTAAAAATGTGTGAATTTCAGTTGTTTTTCGGGAATTTTTGTTGTTCGAGCGCTTGAAATGCTTGTGTTTACGTGATTGCTGACTTTCAAAATCAATTTTGTCTGAAAACGGTTCAAAATGCGCAAAATGATATGTTAGGTTTTTCGGCGACGATCGGCGGCGGAAGATGTACCAAAACGTCAGAAATTTCGAGAAACACCGGTGTTTTCGTGTCAAAGTATAGATTTTCATAGCTTTTGACAGCAAAAAGCAGAAAAACGCCATTTAGGAGACCATGAGATTCCGTTTTTCAGAAAGAGTGCTGGAATGTGTTCAAAGAAGAGTCGCTGTTTCCGTTGCTGCGAAAGTACGAGGAGTTGCTCGGCGAGCAGCGATTCCTCGTCGGCAGTCAGTACACGTGGGCGGACATCGCTCTCATCGAGTTCCTGACGCGTTGCCAGCAGTGCTACGACAGTTTCTACCTGGCGCACTTCGAGCGCCTCCGCACATTCTGCCAAGTCTTCGAGAGCCTTCCGCACATTCGTCCGTACATTCAGAGCCGTGTCGACTCGTTTTTTTGAGTGCAAAATGAATAAAGAACGCCATGGCACTCGACATCATCAAAGAACATCATTGAAAACTTGAAAAGAGATGTACAGTAATCAATTATAATATCTCTTTCTCTCCTCCGTCGGCTTTTCTTTGAAGTTTCTCTCATCGCAAAAGACGATTTTGATAGATACGCTCATCAGTTCGTGTGCGGCGAGAGAGCGTGCAGAAAGCGGAGAGCGCAGAGATGGCAAGGTGTGAAGCCCGGAGAGAGAGAGAAGACGGACACTCCTCTTTTCGACCGAATATAATCATTTTTGACTTCTCAATTCTCAACTTTTATTTCAAAATCTTTATTCCCTATTATTGTCTGTTCACTCGACGCGCCAAGCAAGCGCGTTCCGCTGAACTCAACACTTTGCCATTTTCCTTTTCGTCTCAAACTCCAAAATCGAGAAACCAGCAGCGAGTCCAGCAGAGTGCGTTTGCCTAGCGCGGCGTTACAGTAAACTACATATTCGAGTCCTACTCCTCCGGTTCATCTCTCTCATGATAGTGCAGTGCGTGAATGTACTTTTCCAGGTAGGAAATGATGCGCCACGTGGCTTCTTTCAATCCGTTCTCCTCGATTACCATCTCGAACTGTAAAAAAGGAAAGAATGTGCCTTGATTATCAGGGTATTCCTGGTTTTCGATCTCTCTCTCTCTCTCTTTCTCTCTCGCTTGTATCACTCACTCCTCGAGCCATCGGCTCCGCATCCGGTCCACCTACTCTGTCGTCGTTCATCGTTTTCAGCACGTTCGCCACCTCGATCTCCGCCGCCATTCGCGTCGTTCCCGTGTTACGGAGCAGACGGCACAGAATCTGAAATTTTTTTATTCTAGATCATCGAAAGTTACAGAAGTTCGAACAAATTCGCTCTTTGAAACTGGGTTGAAAGAGGTATTATGGAGTGAAATGTTTAACTAGAAAGTTGTAAAGGAAGAAATTTGCAGCAAGTTTGCAGTTGTCTTCCTTTCCCTGGCCGTTCTGAACCCCGTTCCACCTTTATCATCATAATCCCATTACCTTGTTATCAGAAACTCTGATAAGAAAGAAGATCGGAGCCAACGGCAAGTGTTGCACGTCGTCGGGCGTATGAATGTGCGGCGAGTCGACGAGGAGCAGGTGCAGTTTCGAAGTCATCCGCATGATCAGCTCCACCTCCCGATTCTCGTCCTGTCCGCGCTCGTAATCCGACTCGCGGAGCCCTCGGAGCCAGCGAGCGCCCTTCCGATCGCCCGACTGCTGCCCACTTCCAATGTCCGACTTCACGTACTTCATCTGCTTTCCGAAATACTTCAGAATCTCCTCTCGCAGCGCCAGATGCAGTAGCTGGGTGAGTCGGGAGTGTTGGAAAGTCGGTCCGAGCAGGATGATCGGTCGGCTCGAGGGCACCACTTTGTACGGGCAACTCGGCTCCCAGATGCCGCGTGATCTGTCCTGAGCCGCATGATCGGAGGTACTTTTGGGCGCGGGCGCCGGGTTCGCGTCCTCGTCTGAGACCATGTAGTTGGCGAGGCGACGCGCGGTCGGCACGAAGCCGAACTCGCTGTGCGACCGGACGATTCGGCCGATCCACCAGTCGGAATTGAACTTCTGAGAACGAGTGCGAAAGTGCGAAAAAGGGGCGTAGTCTCCGTTTTTTCGTGACATTGATTCTCTATCGAAAACGAGTGGAAAATCAGCGAAATTAACGCAAAAATTTGGACTTTTTCGAAGAGCTCGACGATTACGGTTGAAACAGGCGGTCCACAAACACAACGCCGCAATAACAGGAAGGACACGCCCCTATTTCCATTTTACGACGCTGTTATAATCCCGAAGAAAGCCCTGGTTTACCGCATGAATATGAATAAAATCGTTGGTCTGAAACGAGATTGTGTGGTCGGGCAGCGGGCTCTTCTCGTCGAGACTTCCGTCGTAATCGCGCATGGCTTGCACCGCAAATGCCACGTGTTTTCTCTGTAAATCCACGACATTCTTCTGGAGCTTAAGGCTGGGCGGCTCACTTTTGCGTGTCTTAGGGATTTGAGCGCCGCGTAGTGCTCGATGCTCTTCCGGTGCTGATCGTCCAGATTCGAGTTGTGCATCAACTTGATGCCGGGCTCAAAAAGTTTCTATTTTAGGTAAACAATTCTGAAAAATCAATCGATTTTTCGAAAACTGCAAAATTTTAGAATCCGGCAAATCTGGCGGTACCTCGTTGGTGGATAGTTTGTACGAGTGCAAGTAGGCCTGAAGGTTCTCCCTGGCCACGCTGTGCATCCTAAACGATGGCCATAGAAATGGAAAATATCCATCTTTTTGGTACTTACCTCGAAAAATGTATCCTCTGGGACTGCGCTCCGAAAGATGTATGGGGCGTGCGCGGCCTGCAATCAACCGCCTTTTTGTTTCCTTTTCGCCCCCCAATATTTTCCCATTTTCAAATTTTCAAATCCAATTGAGCCAACCGACTCGTTAGCCCGTTTCCCTTTTCCGTTTCCTCATTTTGCGCATGATTGCATTCGGTCATCCCGTTTGTACAGGTGTCGGAACACATTCAGAAGAACAAGAAAAGGACGGGAAGACGGGCGCTTTATTGCGTGGGCGGATAGCGGTTAGCGACAGGTGTTTGCCATTCGAATGGCTTTAGGAGCCATTCGGAGCCATTTTAGGAGGGGGTGTCTCCGAGAAGATTGGAGAATTCATTGCCTTTTCATGGAATAGCTTATGATATGGCCAATAGGGGACCAGGCAGATTTTCACGATTTTCAAGCGATGTTTATGTAAACTTATCTCGAAATCACGGTCTCCAGAGCTGACAATATGGGCGTGGCCTCGGCCAAATGGCGTTTTCATAAATTGAGCAGGTTTTCTCTGATTTTTGTGGTCAAAGGCGATGAAAAATGATTGTTCGACATGAAAGCACACTAATTCTCAGAATTAATGACGTTTTGGCGCATTTTCGCGGATTTCGCATTTTCGCCTTCCCCGCCGATAGCCGACGATAGCCGCCTAAAAACCGCACTTCTCATTTTGCGCTTTCTTGACCGTTTTCAGACAGAATTGGTTTTGAGAATGATAAATCACGTAAATACAAGCATTTTGAGCGCTGGAACTGCGAAAACTACCGAAAAGCAACTGAAATTCACGCAGTTTTAGCCAAAAACCTTCAAACGGATAAATGTGATTTGCGACTTGACCAAATTTGACGCTCTTGCGCTTAAAAAATTCGTAATAGCCTATAAAATCGGTCTATCGAGAGACAAATGCGAAATTATCGGTTTTTCGTGGCTAATCTGGCAAAAAACACAAATATTGCTGTTAAAATTTGAATTTCGCGCCAATGTATCGCTCTATTGGGCGGGGCGCACTTGCACCCATTGTTAGCTTTGGAGACCGTGCGCGAAAGTGTTGATTTTGTTACCCAATTATGCTGCGACCGGGTCTCGCCACGAATGTTCGTTCCGTGTCAAGACCCCCCACGCAGATACCGTAATCCCTTCATGCATCTCTTCGAATTCGAAAAACCGCCATCTATGCGCCTGTCGACTCGATTAGCGATGATCTCATCTCTGTTTTGCATTCAAAATCAGACACCCCTCCCATGCGATTTCTCACTCGAAAGATTACCATCTTCTCGTTCGTTCGCACTTGTCACCCCTCAATCCTGCCTCACTTTTCGCCCCACCAAACCCAACTTGAGAAACTGTGTGATTCACTGATTTCAATCGCAAAACAGTACGAGTCGGATGAAATGCGTGGGCGTTGAAATTCAAATCTCGCGTGTCGTGGTCTATTCATCGCCAGCTGTGTCTATTTGAATGGCGAAAGAGACACCATCTGGGCGCACTTGGCAATTAGCCATTGGACCGACCCGAAAAAGGTCCGCGCGCGGCCTTTTCAAATATAATTGGTCGCCTATAAGATTTTGCCGGCCGGCCGTCCGTCCGTCCGTCTGTTCCACCTGTGAAGTGGAGTGGAGTCCATCAACTATTGGGGTCCTAAGTGTGTTTGAGGTGGTACCGTATGGTTGGCGCATAATTGACATGCTAATTAGCTGCTATCCATCTACTCTTGAGACACTCGCTTGCTCCTTTCATTCACTTACAAGTACCCTTTAGAAAACTCGAAAGCGGAGCATTTTGGTGTAAGATGCTCAATTACAATTGTTGTAAAGCTCAAAATTTGCAACAACTTTTATAACTATTCCTTCTCGAGATATAAGCCGCAACGTAATTTGTGAACCCGAGAAAGGTCACAAATCCTTCAGCCAACCGTATAATTAACGGCTTTTATTGTAGTACCCGGCCTAATCCGACCACGCACGTTCAAAAAGTCCCTCCCTTCGGTTCTTTGCCCACCAATATCATGTTGACATGGTTTGTTGCGTGGCGGTCTCCCTAATTACTTGCCCATTCTGTTTGCTCACCCACCTTCTGCGCTCGTCGGTTTTTTTTTGTGTGTAATTGAACCGTTTTAAGAGAAGCCACATATAAAGTAAACGCGTTTCGTCGCATTTATCTGCTGAAACCCGTTTGGCTCAGCAAACGCGCTCCATAGCCAAACGGGTTAGGTTTTTGTGTTTCCTGTCCATTTCCGAGATGCTCTTTTCTGCTGAATCTTGTCGTTGGCACTCGCTCGCTCAATTACCACCCTGTCTTCTCGGGTGACAATCCCACTAATCTCCTCGCCATCATTTGAGACGATAGCCATCTTGAGAGAAAGGTTACGCCAATCTTTACCTAACACACTAATGAGATTACATGCAGATTAGGCGGAGACGGTGACCGCCATTTTTAAATTTGAAAATTGAATTACGCGCCCGAACAATAACAATAAGGTCACTTTTCTTGGCCTACAAATCACTGACATCATCGTTTTAACCCGAAATTGGCACACTTTTCCGAAAAGTTCTACAACTTTGCACTTTCCCTCCTCCTTGATCTTTAATTGCCTCCGATTCTAGAAAAATTTCGAAAAACAACAGAAAGCTCGTTGATTTTGCCTCTAAAACGTTAAAAAAAAGCGAAAGTACACAATTACCTAATCAGTGTCGTAACGTTCAAGTCCGGCTCCCTTCACCAATCCATCATTATCCGCCGGGAATCCATCCATCTTCTTCTTTTTTTTCGTTACGAATCATATAAATAAATGCCGAACAGTCGGATCATTGGTGGACCACACCTAAAAGTATCGCATTTCCGAGCCGGACGGGTCACCAGACGCCTTTTTTTATAAAAGAGGTCAGCCGAAGGACCCCCGCAGCAAAAGAAGAAGAAGAAGGAGGGGTATCAATGTCACTTTTGTTTATATAATGTTTGTGGCAATGAGTAATGAGAAGGGTGAGTCACAAAAGGAGTTGTGCTCCTGCTTCTGCTCATTTTGGGTCGAATGGGCACAAGAAGTTTACGGTACTTTTGGTCTGTCGCCTAACTTTTCTTATTTTCTTAACTTTTCTTATTTATATTTCTTATTACCTTAACTGACAAGTGTTTACAGCATTCTAGCACTAAATTGGCACACTTTTGCTCGAAGGCTATGTTTTTCTCACTGTGAACGTAAAATTTACCAAATTCTGGCGATCCTGGACTCCTGACCAAAAAAAGACCCAAAGAATTAGAGAATTCTCTGAAATTTTCTAGGTTTTTGCAACGAATTTCAAGATTCAAACTGACAGAAAGAGCAAAAAAGATGAGCTGTTTCAGACTTTTCGAGCAGACGCTGAAAAATCCTATTCAATTTGTCGTCATTTTATGCCATAACCTGAAAATCCGCCATTATAAGAAGCATTCCGATATTATCTCTCACCCTTTAATTTGTCCATACCTCCCATTGCCTCAAGTACCGGTAGTTACTCTCTCTTTTCTTCTTCTTCTTCTTTATTTTTCCACATGTTGCGTTTGTCCGTCGGAAAATCGGCGACATCTGTCCAATTGATGGCAGTTTACCTTTTCGTAAAGACGTTTGAGGAAAAAACTATTATTACAGCAAATTCTCAATACATAAGATAGTTTTTCCCATTTTTCGGTCTGAAATTGATAGTTTTATTTAAAAAAAAACGTTAGAATTGGAAGAGATAAACAAAAAAGCGTATTTCGTTGCGAGACCGTTCCAAAAATTTTGCTATGTGCCTTTAAAGAATACGGTATCACTCGAAATTCCGAGTTTGTCTCGACCGAAAAATTACAAACATTTTTCGAAACAATCGGAAATAATACCGCATTTTTTCAAAAGCTCACAGCTAAAGCTTTTCTGAATTTTTATTCTCTCGTTTTTTTCACCTCAATTTGTGCCCTTCCTCAAATATTTCGCATCGATCTAACTACTCAATTTGTCACTCGCTCGCCCCTCTTTTTCATGCCTCTTTTCTTTCCTTCCCCCCATCTTTTCGCCCCAATTTGACCTCAAATTTGACGCGTGTCTCCTCGCACCGTTTCCATTCAAATCGTCTTTTCCTCTCCGGCGCCGGCAACATCAAACACCCCTCCCCACTTTTACTGATTCACTCTCTCTCTCTCTCTCTCTTTTTGGGCCTCCCATCAGGTTTAGTCAGCAGCAGGTGAGAGCGAAAGGTCATTAGAATTATTCAAACTTTTGAGTTTCACGTCATTTCCTCGAATTTCGTGTTCAAATACTCGGAGCTCAAGCAGAACCATTTTGTGTGGGTTCCTGAGAATTCGTTCTTTGACTTCTAGCGAATTCGTTCCGGTTAGAATAGTTTCAGTCTAGTAGCAAACTGTCCCCAGTTGCAAAACGTCAACTAAAATCTCTGGCAACTAGATAATCAAAAGCGTGAATGAGTGAGATATAACTCTTCCAAAAACCTCGGCTCAAACTGACATTGTTTCCAATAGTTTTGGTAGCAAAGAGATTCTTGGTTTCACTATGTCTTTCACTGAAATCAGACGTTTCGCAACTGGCGACACTTTGCAGCCAGACTATAAAAAAGTTCAGCCTTTTCCAATAGTTTAGTATTGAAGTGTCTTGGTTGCAAAATGTATGTTAGTTGCGAAACGTCTTCCACGTCATTGCTCCGCCCCTTGTAAGAAGGAAACCGGAAGAAAACAGGCGGGCTGAAAGCGCTTCTTTTGTTCCGGTCGATGGGGACCGATCATCGTCAAGAGACAATGGGGGCGGATGCATCGATTTCGATTTTGCCCCCTATTATAATGCACAATCTGTATAGGTATTGTGCGTCAAAACGCTGCTTTTCAGCTTCATTTCCTTTTGTGAGCTGAAATTTCCGAATTCCATCCATTTTGCATTGAGGAGTACGGTAGGCAGATCAAAACACAGACTCTTACCAAAACAAGAGTACGTGAAGTGGTTGGTTGCTTGCGCGGGACACTACTCAAGGCACACCTTATCACTTTTGAGTGACTCTCTCTCTCTCTCTCTTTCTTTCTTTCTCGTGTAATACATATGCTAATTATACAAAAGATATTGTCGGTCTGTCAATATTGTGTTCCCGCTCGCGCGCGCGCGCCGACCTACCGTACTCCTAATGCGCCCGCCTTTTAGCACTCGCTTCTTGAAAGGATGGGTGATAAGGAGAGCGGAGAGCTGCTGACTGATATTGTGTCGTTCAAGTGTCCTCTTCGGTTGTCAGAACAAGGCGTACTTGAGAAAGACGGGAGACGGACGGGAGGTACGGTAGGCGGTAACTGATCCTCCTCCTTTTGGCGGATTCTCCCTCTCACTGATATTGTCCGAGCCTACAGTCGTCCGGCTTCAGCAAAAGAGCCTTCGCCCCAATAAACGTACAGTTATATGACACGTTTCTCTCTCCAATCTTACCCATTCCTTTCATCTTTACCGCCATCACCATACCGTGCGAATGTGCCAGTGGAAGAAGAAGACACACCGGCGGCTTTTATTGCCCCAAATACATGTTGTATGCAACGGGTGATAGGTATTACGAGCGTTTTTGGGAGGAGGTGATTTGGATCTGCCCTGCCAAAACATTCTGAGGGGGAGCTCGGAGAGACTTGGTACCTAACTTTTAAGAGCAACACAGTCTAGAATTGTGAGGAATGGTTTAGATCTGTTTTTGAGTATTTATAAGTCATTAGAGCATTTTAGAGCACTGTACCACTCATTCTGAGATTCTTGAAGCTTCTGATAAGTTCCCAACCACTTCGCTTACAGTATTCCTTCTTAGGAAACTATCTCACCGTTAGAAGAAGTCTATGAGCGCTTTTTACTCTTCTGGACTTGTCTCGATCTTTGTTAACAAAATTCTCTAAAATTTCTGCACACGAATCCACCGTATTACTCCTACTGATGTTCTGGACGCTTCTGAACCGCTCTAATCCTTCCCTGTGCCTCGTAGTCTTTCTTCGATCTCTTTTTGTGTTCCCTTGAGCTTCTGCTAACTTTTCAATCAGTTCCAAAGTCCTAAAAGTACTGTATTCCATCTCTGTCCATGTGCAGCTCTTTTGATATCTTCCCCAACCTTTCCAAGGGCACAGTCGCCCTTCTCACCCCTTCGCACTTCCGTTCGCACCCCAGAGCCAACTGCTCCTCTGTCATGGAAGAAAAAGTGAAGAAATGAATCGTGTAGACAAATAGGGAAAAGAAACGAAAGGGGGGACGGGGGTCTTCGGGCGGCAAATGATTTACTGCCCCCGCTCGCCCCCAGCACCCTCCTCTTCGGCTACTTCTTCTTCCTCTTCTTCAGAATCTCTTTCGGTTTACAAGCTTCTTCTTCCTCTTCTTTTGTTTGCTACGTTGAGAGCCCTAAGACGTTCCTCGGATCGTTAGCAGGAGTAAAGTCCTTAGCCTAATTATCAAGTCATCATTATCACTTGTATGCCACTAACCCGGTCCCTAATGAGTCCATGATAAGAAGAGAGGTCGGTCCTCCTCCAATCCTGAGCTCTTTGTGCAGTCAACTGGTGGGCGGGCGGTTGATAAGACCCAGAAAGTGATAAGGGGGAAAAGACGTGTCAATTAGTCAGAATGTGTAGTAGTACACTGTCCTCATGGATTGATGACGAACGCGTACGGTACGTCCTTCTCCCACTATTTTAATGAGGCGCTTTCTACATGTCATGTCAGCAGAGAAGAATTATTGATAGTGATTGGATTCATCCGCCTAGGTCCTTCGAAAATACTATCGGGACATCCCACCCCTCTTTTTGCGATCTTGGGGCCTAATTTTGCAGCCGCGAAATGAGTTTCAGTTGTTTATCATTTTAATTCTAGAACAGTTTTCTCTGTGTTTAATTGGCGCCCCGTGCTGGAGATCAAATTTACAAAAGCGCGCATTCACTTTGAAATGCTCCGATAGTAGTAGAACCCCGTCCGGTCCCTGTCGGATGATGATCGGTTGATGACAGAGAAGTGCGAAAAGCGAGGAGTCCATCGGTCAGTTGAGAATCTAAACAAAAGTGGAGCAGAGCGGCGTGCCCCGCCGAGATCATCCATTATATTTATGACAAAGACAGATGACAGGCGACACAACCTACGGGCACCGGGTTGGGGTCCACGACAACTGGCGCCATTCGGATTGTAACGTTTTTGGGTTCTAGACTGTACCATTGATACTGTCATCTTCCGGAAATCGGTGACGGTACCATAAACGCGCCACTGCACCATAAACGCGCCAAGGTCTTTCGGCCGCCCGTCCAAACAAACGTGCGCGCCTATCCAACTATGGAAGTGTCCTTCAAAAATTCAAACGTTCCTCCTCCTCCTTCTCCCACTCCTTTTTCCTTACCTCCTTTTCCACGCTAATCCGCATGCCTGGTTGCATGTCAATTGATGATCAATCGATCTGTTTTCTGTAGTCCTCCGCCAATATTTCTACATAAATTATTGACACTTGCCCCTCCCCGTCCCCCTTCCGCAGGGCTTTCCATCTTTGGGCAGAAGAGATATGGGACGGAGATGGCTGTCGCCACGCAATTTTCAAATTAGGATGGGGGGACGAAGAAGAAGAAGGAGAAGAAGAAATATGGGCAGAAGGCGATCGGGGCGGAGAGATGCGTATCTCCAAGACGGACGGCGATTGCGGTGGTGCTACTTACTTTTTACCTTCTCGGTGTCAAACCGGTCATTTCACACGTTTTAACAACCCCTAATCACTCTCAATGTATCACTATTTTCATTGGCAACCTTCCAGAGCCACAAATTGTAGCCCCTTCACATTTACGGCCGAGTTTTGCGTAAAATTGCATTTCGCCTTTTCCCGAAACGTCTCTGTGCAAGTTTTACACAAAATGCTGAAAATAAACATTTTGACACGAAAATTTCCAGTTAACGGACTTTCCGGTCTATCCTACTGCGATTTGTGCGATAGAGCGCGATTGTATCATCTTCGTGAAATCCGACATCCCTGTTATCACTTTCGAGTATTTTTAATGCTAAAACTGACAGTTTTGGGTAGTTTGACCGTCTGAAAAGCGTTAAAGACCTTCCCAACGACCCACTTCTCTTGTTTATTATAGGCCACTCGCACCTGAAACAAAACGGACAAATGTGCCTTTTACTGTCCCCCATTCCCCCATTCCCACCATTCCCACCATTCTCCCCCTCTTCTCACCCGCTGGTTCTGCTGTCACTTTCTGATCGCACCCAGTTATGACGTGGCATTGAGAGAACAGCACCGGAAATCGAATGGAGATGGGAAGGCATCGATGTTATAACCAATTGGAACCGCCCATCAAAGTTGGGCGGTTCTTTGTGAGATACGTTGCGTACTTTAATTCATTCCAACGTTTCTATATTTTCTTGTGTCCAGGTGTTTTAGGCGATCAACCATCGGTTCGGCCTGGAAACAATTACGTGTTGCGTTGCGTACCTCATTCTATCTTTTCTTTATTTTGCTACTACATCATATTAACATTATTGTATCTAGGAGTTTTTTGGGCCATCTGTCCGGCCCAAAAACAATTAGTTTCACTTTGCACTCAAAATCATCGGTTGCAAAGTGTCCTTTCAAAGTTAGTTGAAAGGGCGTGCCTCTGCCTATTTTTGGGCGCATCTCATTTTTTTCTCCTTCTTCTTCTTCTTGTTCCTTCCTTCTGCTGTTGGTGGGGGGGTCACAAACACAATGTCTGCCTGCCATTCTCTCCTTCCGCCAGTGAGAAAACGAAGACGCAGACGGGTCGGTCGTGTGTGAAGAAATTTTTGTGAACGGCCGCCGGCGCCTTCACTGTTACAGTCCTTATCAAACTTTCAGTCCATTCTTTTCTCTGCGCTTCATCGCTCTCTATTCCACTCTTCCCGACCTCTTCGGGGCCGTTTTTCTGCAGCTATTATTGTCGGCCACCTGCGCACACACACACACACACAGACCCCCTTCCCTTCCCTTCCCTTCTTCTTCTTCTTCTTCTCACACACCATTTAGCATGGGCGGTCGTTGGTGTCGGTCTCTCTCCGGAGAGACGCAGACACAATTTGGCGGTGGCGGTGGGCATGGTGTACCGCCGAAGACACCGACCGACCGCGCGCGCGCGCACCACCAACCGACCCGTCCGGCGGGCCGATCGGCTGGTCGGCCCCCGCCCGCCCCGTCATTTATTTGAATTTTATGGATCCTTTTCGCCTCGTTTCGTTCCTTTCGTTCGTTCCAAGCGGGCTTAACGTGTGTGTGTGTGTGTGTGCGTCCCGCTGAGCCAGCGGGTTCCTCTTCATTTGCATTTGATAATTAGTCCAAGCGTTTCACTTTTCGAATCGCCCTGGCCTAGTTTTCCGTTCGGCCATATGGTCCTCGCCGCCATTCCGTCCGTCTTAAGACAGCTGTTTTTGCTCTGGATTCTATTGATTTCTTTCAAGTTTCGCGCTCATTTCCCTTCAAATGGACTAGGTTTACCACACCGTTCAAGAACTCGTCCCCCGCTTTTTTTGCTTGATAAAAACGCGTTTTTCTTCGTTTTTTTCATCAAAAAATCGAAAACAATTTAATGAATTGCAGACACAAAGATGATGGCCGACGAGGAGCTCGGCGACGAGGTGAAAGTGTTCCGACAGGAGGAGGACGCCGACGACGACGATCCGATGATCGGCGGCGAAACGTCAGAGCAGCAGCTTGCCGACGACAAAAAAGAAGCGGTGATGGAGGCGGAGATGGACGGTGACGCCACCGGCGCCAGCCGATTACCCTCTATTGGCGGTGAGTTTTCGATATTTTGTGCAAAAAAAAACAATTTTTCCCGGAGGAGATCGTAAATTTCTCAAAATTGAAATTCTCCCTGCTCCACCGACGGCGGGCCACCAACCTATTATCACACAAAAATTTTATGGACCTCCTCCTGCGTCTCGGTGATGATATCCTCGATTTCTCCCATTATTACACACACCTTTCTTTCCAATTGGAAAGAAACTTGGCCCCAATTTTTGAGACACAAAGTGATCGTGTATGATAATGGGAGGCCCCGGTTGCGCAACCGCTCATAATGACGGAAAAGGATGTTGCGCAAGACGGGCGGAACACTGTCCGCGTCTCTTCCGCTTCTCCGCACTCTCTTTCTCCCCGTGTGTGCTAATCCGACAAGTACACCTACTTGAGCACAAGTTTGGACGGTCCCAGTTGTGTATGCGAAAACGACTGTAGTACGGGTCACGGAACGGAGTGGAAGAGAGCGGATTAAAAAAGTGACAGATGGCGATGGATTAATGAGCCTGATCGGACGGGCATGATGATGATGATGTCCCAGGAGGTGGAGAGGGGGCCCAAATTTGAATGGTTTTTGATTCGGTTTTTATTCAAAAGCGTTAATTTTTTGGAAATACAGCAAACTCATATTTGCAGGTATCAAAACAGAGTCGTTCATCAAAGCAGAGCCGTCGCCCTCATTTCCGATGATGCCCGGACTGTTTCCGGGCGCAGCGTTCAGTCCAAGCTACGCGTTACCAATGTTTATGCCTCTTATTGTGGTGAGTTTTTGTTTTGTTTTGAGACTTTGCGGGTTTGGAAGGTATTGGAAAGCACCGGAATGCTCTGGAAAGCACCGGAAAACACGATTCCACTTTTTTGGTAACTTTCGTGCCACAAGTCGATTAGTTCTCGTCTCCTATTCGAAAAATCATCGTGTCGTGTCTCGAACAAAACATGTCAAGAGCCCAAATTATTTCCTCTCTCTTTCTCTCTCTTTTCTGGTAATTATCGCCTCGTTCCCGACACCGATACAATGGTGGCCTTCTTCTTCCTCCTCCTCCTCCTATTCCTTTTCGTCGTCCCGGAGAAAAAGACAATTAGACACCCGGCCGATTGGTGGTACCTCCCCGACCATTACACGTGTTTGGACACCCCCCGGGCTTTTGACAACGGAACACACACACACAAAACAATGCGTTCAAAAGAGGGAAGGTGTCTTTTGCACACCACAATTGATGATGATGACCCGCCGAGAAGGGCTCTAATTGCTTCCGGTAGTTGATTGGTCCGGGAGGGCGCACGGAAAACAAATAGAATTGCGACTTTTTTTTTGAAAAATGGAGACTACGGTAGAGGGATTTTAGAAGTGGAGCTAGAATTTGTTGAAGTTAAGTATCTCAAATTTAGTACTGTCTTTGGTTCTCCTGTACGCAGCGAGAGATTTACTCAATCATATACAGTGTCCTTCTCAAATTAAGAGACATATAAGCGTTATCGAAGACTGTAGATTCCGATTATCTGGATTTCCTAGATTCACAAGCTTCTCCGTTTCCTCGGCTCCTCCCCTACCGTAACCCTCCCGCTCGCGAGCTTCACCGCGTTTTCAAATCCGACCGTTTCTCAAGTGCTCGACCGCCAATCGGCGGCCGCACCCGCCTGTTTGCATTGCAATCGTTCGCAGCTCATTCATCCGACTCGTCATACATCATTATCATCATCGGTATCATCATTGAGAGTGACAACACACACAAACAGACACACTCAACAAGGACTAGAAGAGTTGCTCTTGAAATCTTACGGATATATATTGACACGGAAATGATCACATGAACAGAGTGCAAAAATCATTAGATACTTGAACAATACACAACTAATTTTAATTTTTCAGCCCCCGTACGGATTACGTTCACCCAATCTGATGTTCCCGATGGGCGTCAGTCCCTCCTTCCCGATGCCCCTAGCCAGTCCGTTCTATGGAGCAGCAATGGCGGCGGCAGCGAAACAGCATCTCGAGAACCAGGCGCCGATGCACATGCGCGGGCCGATGAACCCGCTGATGCGGATGCCACCCTACATCAATCCGGCGATGATTCCGCAGCACCCAGCAGATCGGCGGATGCACGGCGGCGGAAAAGTGAAGAAGGAGGATCACATAAAGAAGCCGTTGAACGCGTTCATGTGGTTCATGAAGGAGAATCGGAAGAAGCTGCTCGAAGAGATTGGAAACAACGAGAAGCAGAGTGCAGAGCTGAATAAGGAGCTGGGCAAGAGATGGCACGATTTGCCGAAGGAGGAGCAGCAAAAGTATTTTGAAATGGCCAAGAAGGACCGCGAGACGCACAAGGAAAAGTATCCGCAGTGGTCGGCGCGCGAGAATTATGCGGTGAACAAGAAGAAGACGAAGAAGAGGAGGGACAAGAGCGTCGGTGAGTTTTTAGAAAATTTCCCATCTTCGGCTAATTCTCAATTTTTTAGCCTCGGAGAATAGTGACCAGAAGAAGTGTCGGGCGCGGTTCGGCGTGAACAACCAGGAGATGTGGTGCAAGTTTTGCAAGCGGAAGAAGAAGTGCGAGTACGCGACCGATCGCTCGGGCTCCTCCGACATGGTCGACGCGTTGGACGGAAGAGGTACGAGCGGCGCGTGCAGTAGCGGCTCGAGCTCGGAGAGTCCGTCTCCGAACACGGGTGCCGGCAACGCCAATCATATGATGGCGGTGGCGATGGCTTCGGCTCAGCGGCAGCATCAGCTCAATCAGATGATGATAATGCAAATGAGTCTAGGCTCTTCGTCGTCGCTCGGCATTGGAGGACCGTCGCCACTCGCCTCGTCTTCGACGTCGACGGGCAGAAGTCCGACAGAGGAGGATCCGAACGCGTCGGACTCGGACACGGACGTCGAGGAGGATGACGATGTGGAGATTGATCCGACGATCACGCAGCAGACGCACGAACTGATGATGCAGGAATCGGTGTGCACACTCTGAGCAGCAGCCTTCCCCCCTCCCATTTTTCTTTTCGCTCCCCGCTCTTCTCGTCCCCAGTGTCCAGTTTTTCGCCTCCCTCAAAGCTTTCTCCCTCCCATCTCTCGATATCATTTTAGGCCTTTATTGATAAGTTAATGTTGCTCTTTTTTCATCGTCTTCAAATTTCGCGGGTCTCTTCAATCGTCGGCGTCTCCCTTCCCTCACTCTGCGCATTTGAAATTGTGAACACTTCACTTAACTCTCGCCACTAGGACCAAAGACTTTTATGTTTGATGTACATCCTCCTCCCCAACCAAGAAATATGTTGTTTTCCCTTTTTTCTTATCTCTGAATCATTTTCACACATAATCATGCTCTTCTCTCCCACACCCAAAAGCATCATTCAATCATTTTTGTGTACTTCTTGTGCTATTTCGACGATATTGCCCCTCTCTATCTTCTCCCTCATCCCAATTGGATAAAAATAATTTAAGTTTTAGCTTTATTCGAAAAAATCACATGAGCCCGTCGATGAGCACCATCAGAGTGAGACCGACGGAGGCGAAAACGGCGACCGCGCTGAAAACCATCTGGCATTTGAACGCCGACAACGACGGAAGATCCTCGTGCAACGCCGCCTTCGAGCCCTTCGAGACGCCCTTCTTCTTATTTGCGCCCTTTCTCTTCGTCGCCGACTCTTTCGAATAGCTCGCCGAACCTTTGCGCGTCTCCGGAGCCGCCGGTTGCACTTGGAACCTGAAATGCAAAAGTTCTGGACACCACTCGGCACCAATCGCAAACTTTTCGGCGGTGGAAGCGGGCGCGAGTTCGTTGACGGGCTGCTGGGCGACGTCCGGAATCGGGGTCCCGTTCGGAGTGGTGGAGCCAGTCGGCGGAGGGGGCGGAGCCAACTGAACAGACGATAGAGAGCACGGGAATGTGGAAACTCACCAGATCTGGGCCTAGAAACTCGTACGCATCATCCGGCATCACTGCTTGTTTTGATGAGAAATCGGATGAATCAATGCAAAGATTGAAAGAGGAAATGACGCGGGAAATGTGGAAAGGGCTCCTCGGAAAAGAAAACGGAGCTCACGCGAACAACCTTTTCGATGGCAACATGCTCGTGAATTGGCAACGGCCTTGTGCGGTCTATTTGCAATGTACAAGTGCATATTGGCACACTACTGCAATGCACTCGGTGTACATCGGAAGTTGAATCATGCACGTCTGGTCTCGTAACTCGTGCGCGGTTGCAGAAAGGTTTCGACTTCAGTAGAGAGCGTACACAAAATTATGTTTGCAAGAAACTTGGATAGTACGGTCTCCAGAGCTGACAAATCAGTGACAATATGGGCGTGGCCTCGGTCAAATGGAGTTTTCATGAATCGGGCAGGTTTTCTCTGATTTTTGTGGTCAAAAGCGATGAAAAATGATTGTTCGACATGAAAACACACTAATTTTCACAGAATTAATGACGTTTTGGCGCTTTTTCGCGGACTTTGCTTTTTCGCCTTCGCCGCCTAAAAACCGCACTTCTCATTTTGCGCTTTCTTGACCGTTTTCAGACATAATTGGTTTTGAGAATGATAAATCACGTAAATACAAGCATTTTAAGCGCTCGAACCGCGAAAATTACCGAAAAGCAACTGAAATTCACGCAGTTTTAGCCAAAAACCTTCAAACGGATAAATGTGATTTGCGACTTGACCAAATTTGACGCTCTTGCGCTTAAAAAATTCGTAATAGCCTATACAATCGGTCTGTCGAGAGACAAATGAGAAATTATCGGTTTTTTGTGGCTAATCTGGCAAAAAAACACAAATTTTGCTGTAAAATTTGAATTTCGCGCGAATGTATCGCTCCATTGGGCGGGGCGCACTTGCGCCCATTGTAAGCTCTGGAGACCGTGAATCGTATTAAAATAGAGAAATTTATTATTATTATCATTATTATGCATCTTATGATCAGCATTATTAACACAATCAACGCCTACAATCGTTGCATCAACCCGTTTCTCAAAGAAGCTCATTTTGTGTGTCTAAGCCGGCGGAGCGAATCGAATGTTCAGGTCCTGATCGTTGTCGTGTCCGAGATTGGCGCCAATGTACAACGGATCGTATCCGGGAATGCCGACCACAACGCCCATTCCGTTGCCCTCTTTATCGTGGATCTTGGCCGACGAGGAGAGTTGGCCCTGCAAACGAAACAGTCTTTCCGTAAAAAGGGTATATCTAGGGTGTGTGTAAAGATATGAAAAATTACCCAACTGAGAAAATGTATAGAATTCCTTATTCAACAATTTCCTAGTTGACAACTTTTTGATAGCTCTCCCAGCAGCTGCGATATACTCACCAATTCCATCAACTGCTCGTGCAGTGGCATTCTCTCCCTTTTCAGAGCCTCACTTTTGGCTCGATGATATTTGAGAAGTTGGCGTTCACATTCAAACTCACTTTCTGTCAGACAGCTCCTAAACTGAGATTGTTTTTTGAGGAGAAACAACGACAACAAAAAATAGTACATTTTGGCTCTGTGGAGCACACTTTCCGGTGATTCCTCATGAGCCCGAGTGTCGATCCCTTTCTCGAAGATTCTGGAAATCACATCAGAAATGAGACGGCAATGCTGCCAAATCAAACTTTTGATTGACAAAGTGCAAATTGATGGGATCCATATTGGGAATCGGCAGATAGATCCCGTTGATCTCCTTCCGATTGTTGACGAACAATCCGTCAGTGTCGAGGAGGCGATGCTCGTCCGGCAGTCCGAAACTTGCTCCCGCCGACACTTCGTTCTCCGTGTAATGGTAGAACGCCTTGGGAACGGTGAGTTTCTGCCCGTCCACAGGGATCTAAAACTGGGGGAGACTTCTTGGAGATGTCAAGACGACGGAGAACACGGAAGAATTTTTATCTTTTTTAGAACATTTTTTCATGAAATGTGATCAACCGATGAAATGTAGAGCAAAGTGAACTCTGCTCATAGAAAAATAATTGCAAATTTAGCTTTTCATACAAAAAAGTTATTCGAGTTGTTCCGTGAAAAATGGCTGAAAAAAAATGGCAAGACGGAAGGACATTTTCAATAACTTTTTTGTATGAAAAGTTAAATTTACAATTATTTTTCTATGAGCAGAGCACACTTTGCTATACATTTCGTCAGTTGATCACATTCCATGAAAAAATTTTCTAAAAAAGATAAAAATTCTTCCGTGTTCTTCTGTTGAGTTCTTCCGCGCAACTCTGTTACCCACCTGCAAGTACGGTTGCGCCCCATAGTTCTGTCCGTTCTCGATCGTTCCGAACGCGAACTTCATCTTGTCATTCTCGTCGGCTTTCCGGGAACGATCCACGATTCCGGCGGACGCGCCGGCTATGAGAAGCGATGCGAATAAAGCGAAACGATAGGGAAACGACAACATGAGGGGAAAGTGATAACGGGCGGATTGGGATATGATAGGGAGGGGGGCTTTCACCGTTTGACATTTGACCAAAACGGAGACAGGTTCACGAGGGAACCTGTTCTGAGCGAGAAGCGACCGGCTAGCATTGCATCGAGACATCGCGGCAGAGGTAGATCGGATAGAGAGCGAGGGAGACGTCAAAGTTCATCGACAAAGCAGAAAGTTGAACGGGAAAGCTAGGCCATCAAAGGTTATCCGCGCCACGGTCTCCAGAGCTTGCAATGGGCGCAAGCGCGCCCCGCCCAATAGACCGATGCATTGGCGCGAAATTCAAATTTTAACAGCAAAATGTGTGTTTTTTGCCAGATTAGCCACGAAAAACCGATAATTTCTCATTTGTCTCTCGATAGACCGATTGTATAGGCTTTTACGAATTTCTTAAGCGCAAAAGCGTTAAAATTGGTCAAGTCGCAAATCAAATTTATCCGTTTGAAGGTTTTGGCTAAAACTGCGTGAATTTCAGTTGCTTTTCGGTAGTTTCCGCTGTTCGAGCGCTCAAAATGCTTGTATTTACGTGATTTATCATTCTCAAAACCAATTCTGTCTGAAAACGGTCAAGAAAGCGCAAAATGAGAAGTGCGGTTTTAAGGCGGCGATCGGCGGCGAAGGCGAAAAAGCAAAATCCGCGAAAAATGCGCCAGAACGTCATAAATTCTGAGAATTAGTGTGTTTTCATGTCGAACAATCATTTTTCATCGCCTTTGACCACAAAAATCAGAGAAAACGTGCTCAATTCATGAAAACGCCATTTGGCCGAGGCCACGCCCATATTGTCAGCTCTGGAGACCGTGTGAGACAAGAAATAACTAGAATCTGTTGAAATTCGACGGTTTTATAGGGATTTCTGATATCAGTACGTGCATTATCAGTCTAATAATTTCTGATAAAGCATCTAATCGTCTAGACGTCAAAGTTCATCGACAAAGCAGAAATTTGAACGGAAAAGCTAGGCCATCAAAGGTTATCCGATAATATTTACAGATTAGATGCTTTATCAGAAAAGATTGGACTGATAATGCTCGTACTGATATCAGAAATGCCTATAAAACCGTCAAATTTCAACAGATTCTAGTTATTTCTTGTCTCAGTGCATATCAATTGTGCATATCGATTCACTATGACTTCGAATGGACTCGTCCAACTTCCAGGTACCTCCTCTGAGACCCTCCTGATAGACCCAATCGATGATCATTTCAGTGGGAAGTTGTGTGGAGAAGTGGGCGATTCAGAAGAAGCTTGGCGAGGGATCGTTCGGCGCCGTGTACCTGGTGAAGGAGAAGGAGAAGGGCGGGCCGGAGTACGCGCTGAAAGTCGAGGCGGAGGCGGATCCGCTCGGACTCCTTCGCATGGAAGTCACCGTTCTGATGGAGGTGCAGAAGCTCAAGGCGCAAGGACGGCACTTTCTGGAGCTCGTCGACCGGGGAAGTGTGAAGGGAAAGTTCAATTTCCTTGTGATGACGCTGGTCGGGAAGAGTCTGCAGGCGCTGCGGGAGACTGCCAAGTACGGAAAGTTCACGTTCGGCACGGCCATTTCGGTGGGCAGACAGTGTCTGGAGGCGATCGAGGATCTGCACGCGATCGGCTTTCTGCACAGGGACATCAAGCCGGGCAACTTCACAATCGGACGCAAGGAGCGGAAGGAGCTCGACAAGGTCTACATGCTGGACTTTGGGATGGCGCGAAAGTACGCGCACGAGGACGGAACGCTGCGGAAGCCGCGAGCCCGCGCCGGCTTCCGCGGGACCGTCAAGTACGCGCCGATCGCCACTCACACGCAGCGGGAGCAGTGCCGGAAGGACGACATCGAGAGCTGGCTGTACATGATGATCGAGTGGACCGTCGGACACCTTCCCTGGAAGAACGTCGCCGAGTCGAACGACGTCGGCGCCGCGAAGAAGGAGGCGAAGGCGACGAAGACGACGTTGTTCGGCGGGTGTCCCAAAGAGTTCTCGGAGATATTTCCGATTCTCGACAAGGGAAAGTTCTACGACAATCCGGACTACGCGAGCATCTACGAGCTGCTCGGCAAGGCGATGGTGAACACGAACTCGGACGAGTTTCCGTACGATTGGGAAAAGTTGAACTTCTTCTATCAACAGTAATGAGTTGAAGTTTTATTGAAAATGAAATTGAGCTTGAATTCATATACAAATGCAAATACGCTTCACAGAGAATCCTGAGCGAAAAAAAGGCGCTCTACCGGAACTTTAGATCATGGTTTGGGCGGATATAAAGCAGTGTCTTGAGTATCAGCTTAGGGGAACATTTCGAGCAATTCCTCGACGCTTTCATAATTGTACTTTTTCTCGTTGACCACATTGCAGACGGGCGGCTCGGTCCAGTCCGGAAGAAGGATTTTGTAGCAGAATTGGCCGGTGCAGAAGTGCGCGTGGACAATTTCACCAAACTGAAACAAGAAAATTGAGATATCTCCGCTGCTTGTGAAAATATCAAAAAGTTGCCAACTGATGAGTTGTTCATTAACGTATTGCGCACATTTTCTTAGTTGACCACTTTATCCTAACTCTACAGGTAGCTGAGATACGTCGGCTAGAAAAGAGCGTACCTGAGGGAAGGCGGCCACAAAAAGCGCTCTCTTCACGTTCGTTTTAACGCTCTCCGCTTGAGTTTGAGCAGTCGAAGAGAGCATTGTGACGAGCTGAGTCTTCAATTTGTCAAACTTCTCAGACACTTCCTTATCGACGGGCATCTGGAACTTCCACAGAGCATACGCTTCCTTGCGCAGCTCATTCGCCACTGCCAAATCAATGTACTGACGGTTCTTCTGAATTTGTATTTTTTTTTTCGACGCCTCCACGGTTTTTATAGCTGACAATGCCGCCCAATAGAGCGATTAATTGACGCGAAATTCAAATTTTAACAGCAAAATTTGTGTTTTTCGCCAGATTAGCCACGAAAAATCGATAATTTCTCATTTGTCTTTCGATAGACCGATTGTATAGGCTATTACGAATTTTTTAAGAGCAAGAGCGTCAAATTTGGTCAAGTCGCAAATCACATTTATCCGTTTGAAGGTGTTTGGCTAAAACTGCGTGAATTTCAGTTGCTTTTCGGTAATTTTCGCTGGTCGAGCGCTCAAAATGCTTGTATTTACGTGATTAATCATTCTCAAAACCAATTCTGTCTGAAAACGGTCAAGAAAGCGCAAAATGAGAAGTGCGGTTTTTAGGCGGCGATCGGCGGCGAAGGCGAAAAAGCAAAGTCCGCGAAAATGCGCCAAAACGTCATTAATTCTGAGAATTAGTGTGTTTTCATGCCGAACAATCATTTTTTATCGCCGTTGACCACAAAAATCAGAGAAAACCTACTCAATTTATGAAAACGCCGTTTGGCCGCCGAGGCCACGCCCATATTGTCAGCTCTGGAGACCGTGGCGCCTCTTCCAAGTATATTCGTCACTCACCGACACCGGAAAATAGTCGTTGGCCTTGTCGACAAACGCCTGAACCTCCTCGTGCGTCGGGTTCAGCTGGTAGCACAACTCGAGGTTGTCCATCAGAATCTCGATGAGTTTGGTCAGCAGCTCGGACAGACTGATGACGTGTCGGTTGAACGGACCGGCGATCGGGTAGAAGACGTCGAACGGATCCATGACGGTGGAGAACTCGAGCTCGTACTGGAAACGGTCCTTCGTCACCGATCGGATCACTTTTTGAAGGTGCTCGATGTCGTCGATAGCCTCGTGAATGCAGGCAATCGGACCGGGACGGAGCGGCGGAGAGACTTCTGGGAAAGGGGGGGGGTTTTTCTTTGGTGAATAAGTACAATACCAAGTACCAAAGTGCAAATCGTTGAAAGTGAACTTATATCTTCGGAGGGCGTGCCGAAGATCTTCGACGAAAATGAACGAGTGCTCGTTCTGCTCGGCCATCGAATACACATTGATTATTCTCAGAGGAATGATTTGTTTGGGCGACGAGGTCTGAAAACAAAAAAAATGCGTTCCAGCCAATTTCTCGATGAAAAGCACCGACCTCCATGCAACTGTACAGTTTCTTCGTCTGCATGCTCACACTCGCATACTTTTCAAACTCGAGCACTTCGGCCGCCCATCTGAAGAATCGTTCCGCAAAGATCAGCAGGCCCTTCTGCGGCTCCGGCTCTTTCGTGATCGGGAAGGAGACCTTGAGGAAGTCCATGAACACCTTCTGGAACTTCTTGCCGGCCTTCGATTGCAGACTCCAAAACAGGTGCTCGTGGCTCTCTTTGAGCACCTCCTCCTCGATCTTGTACTGTTTCACTTTCGATTTGCCGATTTTGATAAAGTTGTTCGCCGCCGGGCTCTTTCCTTTCGCCTTGTTCTGAAATCGTTCCGATTGAAGAAAAATGATGGGGTTTGACATACACAAATAGGCAGTTGCTTCATGAAATCTCGAAAGATCCGCTTCCGATTGTCGAAATAGTCGAGCTCGTAGTGATGATAGTCTTGCAACACGCGCTCGAACACCACGTCCAGCAACTTGCTCACGTAGGCCGCCTGCAGAAAATGATGGATAGTTTCTGTGAGCAGTACGGTGCCCCCCCGCGATCTCACCGTAGTCTCCAGGTTCTGAATGAGAATGATCTCGGTGCGAATGCGTTCGACCTTCGAGAAAACCACTTGATAATGGAGCGCCCACATGTGCTCCACCATAATCGGAAACTCGTGTCCGAGAATGCCCTTCACATCCGGCACCATCAGAAAGTGCTGGAAGATGTGCGTGAGCTGCGTGTCGGGCACTGAAACATATTGTCGATTTGTCTGAAAGTGTTTGAAGGGGGGAGGGGCGCTCACGTGTTTTCATGTTCACTTTGTTCGCCACTCTTCGCATCAACTCGATCTGCTCTTTCGGCGCATAGACCTTTTCCTCTTCGATCGGCGAATGTCTCATCACGTAGGCGTACTTCTGAAAAAAAAAGGGGCGACGCTTCGTGCAACGATGAACAAACGTACTTGAGCTGGAAGGAAACACTCGAGAAATTTGACGAACACACTCCCGCTGACGTTTCCGTTCGTCGGCGTTTTCTCGTGATAGCACACCATTCCCTTGTACTTTGGACGCGCTTCCAGCGGGTTTCTGGAACAGGATTAGGAGTATTGTAGTTTATCTACAGTAAAACGGCCGAACCGTAAATCTGTAGACTTAAAATAACGGGAAAACCAGAGGAACATGTCGAAACCCACGGTCTCTAGAGCTGACAATGGGCGCAAGTGCCAATAGAGCGATACATTGGCGCGAAATTTGAATTTTAACAGCAAAATTTGTGTTTTTTGCCAGATTAGCCACGAAAAATCGATAATTTCTCATTTGTTTCTCGATAGACCGATTGTATAGGCCATTACGAATTTTTTGAGCGCAAGAGCGTTAAATTTGGTCAAGTCGCAAATCACATTTATCCGTTTGAAGGTTTTCGGCTAAAACTGCGTGAACTTCAGTTGCTTTTCGGTAGTTTTCGCGGTTCGAGCGCTCAAAATGCTTGTATTTACGTGATTTACCATTCTCAAAACCAATTCTGTTCGAAAACGGTCAAAAAAGCGCAAAATGAGAAGTGCGGTTTTTAGGCGGCGATCGGCGGCGAAGGCGAAAAGCAAAGTCCGCGAAAAAAAACGTCATTAATTCTCTGAGAATTAGTGTGTTTTCATGTCGAACAATCATTTTTCATCGCCTTTGACCACAAAAATCAGAGAAAACGTGCTCAATTTATGAAAACGCCATTTGGCCGAGGCCACGCCCATATTATCAGCTCTGGAGACCGTGAAACCGGACATTTTGAAACTAGACAAGAATAGTAACAAGAAAAGATCGAGAATAGTGTCAAAATGTCCGGATTCGAGCTACAGTCGATCCGAAAACTGTTTCTCCAGAGCCAAATCAAGACGACATCGATGTTTGCCAAGTGTGTGCCGTCCAATTCCAACTCACTTTTTGGGTACCGGCGGTGGCGTTGGCTGAAAACAACGACACATTTCATTGTCCTGCCGCGCGAAGACATTTCAAAACTCACATCTCTCCGCTCAATTTCCCGCTTCACGGCCTCTTCGAACTTTTCCGGATTGTCTGAAAGAGACGGTGTTTATCAATTTCGCCCCCTCCCCCAATCGCGACGATTACACTTTTCCGATCGTTTCATCTGCTCCAGCAGGAATCCGAAAATGTACGATCGTTCGGCGCAACTGTAGAAGTGATCGGCGGGGATTTCGGCGCAGTGATTGAAGTAAATGTACTCCTGAAGCAAGCAAGGATTTTGAGGTCAACAAGTAGAGAAATCACGTACCTTGAGGTCGAGAATCTCGTGGAATGCTCTGAAGATGCACTGCCCGGACACGTGGCGCTCGTTCTCCCGATCTTCGCTCATGACTGACCTGAAGAATCGAAGAAACGGAGAATGATCAAGAACGAAAATGGAAAAGGAAGGGAAAAGAAGTGAAAGAAACAGCAACGCATGCGCACGACGCGAAAAAGAGAGCGCGGAGAGGCAGACTGTGAAGGGAACATTTTGGCGGCGGGGGGAAACGAAGGGGGAAAAAAAGGGGGACGACGAGTGCGAAAAGAGGCGGGACGACTGGGAAATTGGGCAGAAAACGGGTGTGCACCTGGTGGGAACAGACTCACGGACTGGGCAGACGGCGACGGATCTTTGATCTCTGTATGTCTGCGAAGAATATACATTTGCTTTGTCAGCAGAGAATGTTCTGCGATTCTTCGTTCCTGTTTCGAGGTTTTTGTCAAGAATTTTCAAAACGGACGAAGTGTCTTGCATATTTTGTTTTGTTTCATTCAATTCTCTACAAATGAACGAGTGCCTTTCTATGTATTTTCTAGACTTTTGACTTTTTTTTCTGGAAAGTCTATGCAACGCGTGTGCACGTTCAGGTGCTGAAAGATCGTCGCGACACCTGATTTCCGCACACAAAGCGATGTTTGAAGTGGAAAGCGACGGCTCTCATCATTACAGACCGAAATAGCGCCGAATGAGCGGTTTAATGAGCAATTGAGCCATTTCGATGAAAAAATGAAATTGAATGGGAATGTGGAAAGCGGAAGAAAAAGTTGGGAAGGACATTTTCAATTGTTTTTTTTTGAAGGTTACTCACCGGTGCATTATGTTTTGGGAACACGTCACCGCAATACACCGTACACAAATTGCTTTTTTCAATTACAAAGTGTTGGCTTGTATGCTTTACAGTGTACGCATTCAAACGTCTCACGGTCTCCAGAGCTTACAATGGGCGCAAGTGCGCCCCGCCAAATAGAGCGATACATTGGCGCAAAATTTGTGTTTTTGGTGCTGCCCCGAATCGGAACTTCCCGAATCATAACTGGTACGAATCAGAACCAAGTAGCACTGAAAATAGTTCTGATTCGTACCAGTTCTGATTCGGGAAGTTCCGATTCGGGGCAGCACCGTGTTTTTTGCCAGATTAGCCACAAAAAACCGATACACAAGCATAATTTCTCATTTGTCTCTCGATAGACCGATTGCATAGGCTATTACGAATTTTTTAAGCGCAAGAGCGTCAAATTTGGTCAAGTCGAAAATCACATTTATCCGTTTGAAGGTTTTTCGCTAAAACTGCGTGAATTTTAGTTGCTTTTCGGTAGTTTTCGCGGTTCGAGCGCTCAAAATGTTTGTATTTACGTGATTTATCATTCTCAAAACCAATTCTGTCTGAAAACGGTCAAGAAAGCGCAAAATGAGAAGTGCGGTTTTTAGGCGGCGATCGGCGGCGAAGGCGAAAAAGCAAAGTCCGCGAAAAATGCGCCAAAACGTCATTAATTCTGTGAGAATTAGTGTGTTTTCAAGTCGAACAATCATTTTTCATCGCCTTTGACCACAAAAATCAGAAAAAAAACCTGCTCAATTCATGAAAACGCCATTTGGCCGAGGCCACGCCCATATTGTCAGCTCTGGTTCCTTTCAAGAGTAATGTTTTGCAAAATTGAAAAGAAAGACAGTTTCCGACTGATTGAAGCTCAATCGGCATTTAAAATGATTCAATTTACTGTAAACAAGGCACACAAAAAGAGACGAAAAACAAGGTGAAGAACACAAATAAATTATCGAAAATGAGAGATACACGTTATTAACTAGGGAATGGCCTGCACTTACCTTGGGCTTTTGGAATGGGACCTATATGATTCGAAAGAGAATTTCACGGAGAATCCGAATCTGCTCTCCATTTTTGCTAAAGAGCACTGGCTGGCGAGAAAATCGCATCTGAAATTCCAGTGCTAAATTCATTTTTTAACATGTAATCTGCAGTTTGGTGCAGAGGGTGTGGGCGCCCGAGCGACTGTTGTTGTCACTCGCCCAGTTTCAGTGCTTCCGCAGCAGCTGGATGGTCGAATGGTTAGTGAGTTAGAGTTGTAAGTGGTAGGTATGGGGTTCGTGTCCGCGCTATGGAAAAGTTTTTGGCAATCTTTTGCTCTTTTTTTTCGAACAATTTCTGGATATCACTTTTGCATTTTTTCGTCATTATTTTTTTAACGAGTCGTAGCTACTGACCCTTCAAAGTCCCGAAAAATGAATCTCATCGCTCTGACCCCAGTACTCACTTTTTTCTGCCTGTTTCTGCCTCATTTTCTAGCAAGTTCATCTTCGGCGACCTGTATCTCAAGAACCACGCGTCCGTTGCAAAATTGGTCAACTAGTAAGTTAACGCACATTATCTCGTGAATAACTTTGTAGTTGATCGTCTATTTTAAAAAAAATTAGTTTTCGAGTTATGAACTGTTTTCCTAGAGCGACAAAAGCTGGGGTCAGAGCGACGATAACTCGAAAACTAATTTTTTTAAAAATAGACGATCAACTACAAAGTTATTCACGAGATAATGTGCGTTAACTTACTAGTTGACCAATTTTGCAACGGACGCGTGGTTCTTGAGATACAGGTCGCCGAAGATGAACTTGCTAGAAAATGAGGCAGAAACAGGCAGAAAAAAGTGAGTACTGGGGTCAGAGCGATGAGATTCATTTTTCGGGACTTTGAAGGGTCAGTAGCGACGACTCGTTAAAAAAATAATGACGAAAAAATGCAAAAGTGATATCCAGAAATTGTTCGAAAAAAAAGAGCAAAAGATTGCCAAAAACTTTTCCATAGCGCGGACACGAACCCCATACCTACCACTCACAACTCTAACTCACTAACCTCTCGACCATCCAGCTGCTGCGGAAGCACTGAAACTGGGCGAGTGACAACAACAGTCGCTCGGGCGCCCACACCCTCTGCACCAAACTGCAGATTACATGTTAAAAAATGAATTTAGCACTGGAATTTCAGATGCGATTTTCTCGCCAGCCAGTGCTCTTTAGCAAAAATGGAGAGCAGATTCGGATTCTCCGTGAAATTCTCTTTCGAATCATATAGGTCCCATTCCAAAAGCCCAAGGTAAGTGCAGGCCATTCCCTAGTAAGGGGAGGAGGAGGGTGGCACACGATTAGAATGTCTAAGCATGACTGACTTGACTGGACGTCATTCTGGGCGGTGGCACTGGTTTGAGGGGCGTCGACGGGCGCGGAGAAGTCGTCGAGGCCAGCGAATCGGAGGCTCGGAACGAGGAGACTCTCTGCGGGAGATGGCTCACTTGGGTCGGACGCGAACTGAAGAGGATTAGTTGAGGAGGTGCGGAGGAACTACACTCACACAACGGCCATTCCGTCCGGAATCTCGTCGTCAATGTGTCTGATCGTGTCGGCGTCGCTTTCGTCCTCGTTGCGGATCGTCAAGTCGACCACGTCGTCGTCGTCCTCCTCGTCATTCTCGTCGCCGTAGACGGATTCCTGAGCGGTGAAATAGCCGGAGATGCCGGACGAAGTGATGCTCGTGGCGCGCGAGTGATGTTCGTCCTGACAGTGTCACGCGTCACTCGGGAGGGGACTGGCGGGGGTAGGTCAGGACGAACATGGATGTGTGGGGAAGGGGGGGAGGTACCGTACGCTCTCTTACCTTATTGAAATCGACATTGGTCGGCGGAATATGGTAATCGCTGCTCACCAACGAAAACTTTTTATCTGAAAATGGAGAGCCTAAACCGTTTCGTATTGTTAGTCTCCTTTTTTCGCCGCCTGAAAACTCACTCGGCGGCGTCGGTTGCGGCTGTCTGACCATCGTCGGCGTCATGTTCAACGGAACGCCCTCGTCGGGATAGAGACCGTCGCCTGGGAAGTAGCAGATGCTTCGAGAACGGAACGCATCCGAGGACTTACGGGCATGAATCTTCTCGCGGCAGCACTTCATGAACGTGAAGAAGAGGAGCAGGAAGACGAGCGCCAGCAGAATTATTATGAAGAAAATCCACAAGACTGAACAAGAGATGTATATATTTCTGAGCTGCCAACTAGTAAATAGCTCATACACGGCGACCAAAAACATAGAAAGGGGCGTGGCCTAGCGTGCACGGTTTATCACCATTTTGGCGCGAAAGAAATTCGAAATTTAACCCCATTTTTCATGTTTTTTGTCAAAAATTACCCAAATTTTGTACGGGTTTCGACGATGTAATTGTACAACTTTGTCAAACTAATCATCGCGCACTTTTTGAGCTTAAAACGAGCAGGTTTCATTCAGAAATAAATCAATCGAATCGATTTTCAAGTTTTGTGCTGAAAATGCGCGAATTTCAGTCATTCGCCGATACATTTTGCCGTTTGAACGCTTAAAATACTTGTATTAACGTGCTTAATCACTTCCGACACTCACTTCGCCTCAAAACTATCCAGATCGGCCGGTATGAAAATTCCGAATTGCGAAATATGCCAAAAACGGCTCAAACGCGGCGTTTTCACGAAAATTTCAATGTTTTCTCTCTTTAATGTCTCTTCTTTCGTCGATATCAAACTCACAAAAATATCGGAAAAGTGCTGGAATTGCGGCAATTTTCAGAAAAGGCGTCTCAGATTAGGCCACGCCCCCTTTCTACACTTTTGGTCGCCGTGGCTCATCGAAACATTATGCACACTTTTCGATAGCTCCACAGCCAACACTGAAACTCACGTGATCCGCTGTCCTGTTGTGTCCAATCGGTGCTGTCGGCCGAATCGTCGGGCGTTTCAATGTCACCATGATAGATGAATCGTTTGAAATCCGTTTCCCAGACTGGAAACTTGACCCGATTCTGATAGACTATAAACCAATAAATTATATTAGACTATTTGAAGTGCACTCAAGAGAACCTGGTAGCGAATTGGGCACTTCGAACTCGGCGCATCCTCCCAAAACGGCTTTCTCGGCTCGGATGAGCTTGCTGCGGTGGTGCGAGGGATTCGCGTAATAGGCGATTGGCTCGTAGGTCAGAGCCGCGCCTCTCTGGTAGTCGATGAGCAGATCTGAACGACCGGGGTTCGGAAAGAGGTCTCAGAACGATCGGCGCTCACTTGAGATGCATCCCTCGAATCCGTTCTTGACGAGACCGTCGTCTTCGGTGAGCGTGTCTCCGATTCTGACGGTTGTCGCGCTGAACAAATCAATGTTCTTGTCAAACTCTCGGTATTCAAAGTCTTGGCGCAGTGAGTCAATCTGAAAGGGATCTTGTGCTCTTGAGTAATTTGAAGAACCAAACCATAACGGCCGTCGACGCCGCTTGATTGGTCTGTACGACGACAAAATGACGGTATCCGTCGAGGAAGTCGCCGACGAAATTGAGCACTTCCGACTTGCCCTGCTCATAGGTGATTGCCACGTTGATCGTTCTGTTCGGGTTGATCTCAATCTCCAGTTTTCTGCAATGAAACCATAATGCACCATCTCCCGTACCCCTTTTCCTGACCTCTTTTCCTTGAAAGTGACCGACGCGAGTACGGCCTTCTCCTCCAATTCTTCCACATCTTTCGCCGAGAATGCGAATTTCAACAATTGCGGAATGCGGCCGTTCCGCTCCACGAATATCTGTGCCATCTCTTGTGAAATGTCAAACTCGACGAATCCGTTCGTCTCGAGACGAACACCTTCGTCCAGAGAGCACGTGGCGCCGGTGTAACTGGTTCTGGAGCAGTCGCACGTCGTCTTGACGGCCGACGGATCCGTGTTCGTCCAGGCGACGGAGCAGTGGCCGCCGTTCGAGCAGGACAGCGCCGAGCAGCCGACGTCGCAGCCGATGTTCACTTGGACCGGACCGTACGCGTCGTACATCTCGCTCGTCGCCAGCTGACTCGTTTTCGCTCGCATATCAATCAATTTGCGGTCGATTTGAAGTCCTCGAATGCATCCATAGAATCTGGGGATCGGCGATTCGTACTTTGGAGCCAGGAGAAGTGAGCCGTCTGAAATGGGTAATCTTTCGCTTTCGAGTTGTCTAAAACTAATGCCGCGTCCAATGTCTCGGAAAAACCGTAAAAACCGCATATTTTTCCGTCCAAAGTCGGCCGAAATTTGCGTGAAAAACGGGGATGCGCACAGCTCAACGAATGTAACCGTACCCCTAAAACTACGGTATTTTTTGAAAATTTGTTAATTTCCTGAGGATATTTTAAAATATTCAAATTTCTTGGGCAAATTTTCAAAAAAATACCGTAGTTTTAGGGGTACGGTTACATTCGTTGAGCTTTTCCGAGACATTGGACGCGGCATAATAAATACCATTTGTGCTCGCTCCGACATCGACGTTTCCGATGAAGACGAAGGTGTAGGGATCGGGACGGATCGGAGCGGCGAATCCGACTGGAAGACGGACGACTTCGGAGCTGTAGACGCCATGGAGACGAGTGATGGGCAGTTGGGAGAGGAGACGAGACTGAAACGACTAGAAGAACTGGATTACGGTAGAAGAGAGCTCACAGTCCGAATCGTGCAGGCGGCGTCGTCGACTTGCAACTGCGACGACTTCGAGTCGTGACTGATGGCCACCTGGATCCATCGCATGTCGCCGAACTCGGTGCCCGGTTGTGCACGCACAGTGCACTGCGACACAATGTCGAGATTGTTGAGCGTCAGCGTCACGTTGACCTCTTCGGACAGATGCACCTGCAGAAAGTTGTTGTTCTGATCGTGGGCGAAGAAGAGAAGCGCGTGCGTTCGGTCCGTTCGCACGCTGAAGTAGATCGGAGCGGTCAGCACGGCGGAGATGTTGTCGAATTTGAGATGTCCTCCGTGGAACGAGACCGACGAGTTCGCGTTGATGTCGATTTCGCAGTTGACGCCAGAGTGCACGTCCGGAAACGCACATCTACAATAGGCGGAGCCGTCGACAAAGTCTTCGTAGCACTTGGCGCCGTTGTGACAAAAGTCGGCGGTGCAGAACGATTCGCAACTCGTCGCGATTTGTGACGACGCTTTTCCAGAAGCTTCGAGAATCTTGTGAAGGTCTACAGACTCGTCGTTGATGAGCACGTTTTGGATGCAACCAATGAGACCACTGGAAAAAAAAGAGTATAGCTGGATTGTTCACAAGTTCAACTCACTCTCCCTCTCCGCCCAACACGACGCTTCCCTCGAGCACCGCGTTCTCCCGAATGCTCATCAGCACGTGTGCCCCATCTACCGTAACCCGGATCTCTCCGTCTGCGAGCTCGATGAGCACGTGATGCCACGAACTGTCGTTCAGTCTGGAATACAATACAATTCAACTCAACATCTCTTTGTTCGCCACTGTCTCCACAACAGCTATTGCTAAATTGAGCGCCGCGTTAAAACGGAGTGTCGTTGAAATTTCTGGATTTTTTTTCCGAAAACCCGAAATTTCATCCGAAAATGAGAAAAATGAAGTAAAACAGAGAATTTCCGAATTGTTAACGGCAACTGTGACCTTAAATTAGCGTTTTGCCCACAAGAAAGCGCGCATTATTACAATTTTCTGTGAATTTCAGTCCGAATCCTCAAAAACTGAAATTTCTCAGTCATTTTTGCATTTTACGGGCCGTCTCTGTGCTCAAAATGACCGCCTTTGTCTGCTGAACAGGCGTGAGGCAACTGTTTTTTGAATCTGTCACCTGTTTTCTCAAAACTCCCGAAAGTTCGCGTTTTTTCAAGCCAAATTTAAAAAGCGAAATTACTCTTCGAATTTTCACTTTTACACGAGCCCTCTGCGATCATTTTGTAGCTATCGGTCATATGAACAAACGTGAGGCAAAAGTTTTGAAGGAAAAGTGTGCATAATCCCAAAAACTCGGGAAAACATCGTTTTCAGTTGAAAGCGCGTCTCCCGTAAATCGACACTGAGAGCCGAACGCAAAAAAGGGCGCGAAAATTTTTTTTTGCCGAAGGGGAGACAGTGTGTCCTAAGAATGTCTCACTTGTTCTGCGATCCGATAGTCTTCACCGCTTCAAAGTTGTTGATCTGAACTGTGTGAGCGTCGAGAAGCGAGACTCCGATGATGTTCTCTCCGTAGTTCCCGCGCACAGTGACCAAAGTGGCCGGAGTGTCGGAGGTACGGAACTGGAGGTCCACAGACTCGCCGGACCACGGACCAACTTGCAGCTCTGTCTTCTGAGCAAATCGGATCGGCTTCTCGTTCTCTGAAACACTTTTTTTTATCGGTACCCCGCTCTCAGCACCGACGACTCACCGTATCCGGAGCACTTCAAATCCGAAATGGTCAGCTCGGCTCTCACGTCGGCCTCGTCGAAAAGCGTGACGACTTCAGAGATGCCCGCCTGTCTTCCGGTCAGTTCTCCAATGTCCTCGGCGATGGCGCCAGAGTCACAGTTGCATTTTTCTGGAAATTTCTCAATTTGATCAGGCGAACTCGTTCATTGGAATCCCATTCACACACTCATGCAAACGCAAACTCAAACTCAAAAACCAAATCTCTTACGATTCTTAATATTCACATTTTCTCCGTTCTTGGCAAAGTGACCGAATCGTGTGTGAACGCCTAAAGTGGCCTACATCTAAATAACCTAACCGCCTAAAATAAACGGTACCTCCGGACTGACATCCAGTGTCCATACACGGGCAAGAATACTCGAGCCGTCCGATTTGACGGATTTTGTTCGTCGCGTTCGAGACACTCTTGAACCACGTCTTTCCCTCTTTGAATCTGAAGAAAACGAGTGAAATATGTGGAAAAAGTGTGTCGGTGTACCGTAATGGAGCCTTATTGCATCGATAGTTGACGTTTTGAGAGCATTTTCCCGAATTTTTAATGTACTTTGACAGTTGCCAGTTCTAAAGTTCCGGTGTAGTCAGGGAAGACGTCCCGTGAACTTACATTAAAGTCGCGATAGCTCAGCACGAAGAGCGAATGATTCTGAAAGCCGGCGTCTCGGACTACGGTACCTGCGGCCATGTCATGAGGGATACTGGTTCTGGAATCACAAATATTATGAGTCTACAACATGACTCTACAAGACTTACTCTCCGTTCGAGCACATGGTCACCGACGGATCGAGTTTTCGGTTTCCATCAACATCGACCCACGTGGGACCGTTCGGAAGCTTCAGAAAGTCGTAGGCTTCCGCGCAGGAACGAGGCAGGGTCGCTAAAAAAATTTGGGAAAGGAGAAAAGAATGAAAGTTGAAAGCGGTGCACTCACTGAACTGACAGTACTTGCCGATGTAGCCGTCGCGACAGAAGCACGTGAACTCGGTCTCGCTCTCCTTCTTGCAACTGGCTCCGTTCTGACACATGTAGGCGTTGGGCTTCTCGCAAGTCGATGCCGACATTATCCGCGGTTCTGAACACGTGAAAAGTGGTCGGGGAAACGGGGGTCTTGCTAACTTTTCTTGTTGCCAGGAATTGGGAAAAGGTTGGCGGAGAGCGGCTCGTCGTCGCCATCTTCAGTCTTTCCGTCGTTCGCTTCTGGCTCGGAGGGAAGCACCTGAATGTCTCTTTTCAAAGTTAGAAGCTATCCACAAACTGACCACAACCGGATCGGCGGAGAACATTTTGGCTCCAGAAATGCTCGACGCTTCCTCGTCGACACACGGCCGCACTTTTGTTGTCACAACCCTCGAATCGTTGTAATAACTCATGAGATCAATGATGTCGTAATGGTCCACGTAAATGTTCTTGACACAGGCGGTCACTCCCACTTCCGACACGTCCGTGGGGATCGGAGCGCCGAACTGGATGGTGGTGAAGTGCAGCGATTCGTTGAAGTGACGGCGGTGCGTCAACTGGTCCACGTACAAAAGGATGCTCTCGTTTGTGAAACGGACTATTATGCTGTGGAATCTGTAAACTCAACTATTATGCCGCGTCCAAAGTTTAAGAAAAGCGTCCAAAGTTCAAGGGAATCCCAGCAAAATCCGCGTGATTTCCGGGGTTTTTTTTTTAACTTTGGACGCGGCATTATACATGTGCGCGGCACGGTCTCCAGAGCTGACAATATGGGCGTGGCCTCGGCCTAATGGCGTTTTCATGAATTGAGCACGTTTTCTCTGATTTTTGTGGTCAACGGCGATGAAAAATGATTTTTCGACATGAAAACACACTAATTCTTACAGAATTAATGACGTTTTGGCGCATTTTTCGCGGACTTTGCTTTTTCGCTTTCGCCGCCGATCGCCGCACTTCTCATTTTGCGCTTTCTTGACCGTTTTCAGACAGAATTGGTTTTGAGAATGATAAATCACGTAAATACAAGCATTTTGAGCGCTCGAACCGCGAAAACTACCGAAAAGCAACTGAAATTCGCGCAGTTTTAGCCAAAAACCTTCAAACGGATAAATGTGATTTGCGACTTGACCAAATTTAACGCTCTTGCGCTTAAAAAATTCGTAATAGCCTATACAATCGGTCTATCGAGAGACAAATGAGAAATTATCGGTTTTTCGTGACTAATCTGACAAAAAACACAAATTTTGCTGTTAAAATTTGAATTTCGCGCCAATGTATCGCTCTATTGGGCGGGACGCACTTGCGCCCATATTGTCAGCTCTGGAGACCGTGATGTGACGGATACAAAATCCATAAAAGCTTACATGGAATCATCGGGTTTCAGGTCGAACTCGAAAATGCTCTCAGTGCCCAGCACGACGTTTCCCTTCGTGCCGACGACGTAAATCTTGAATATCTGCCGGATCGTCGTCTCTCCGTACACTAGAATGCCCTCCTTCGCATCGGCATCCGAGAACCGAAAGTCCATGGCGATTCGCGAGACGTACTGGTCCGGTGTCCACGGGGTGAACCTCAGGTACGCGGACGCCTCCTCGTTCTCGTCGTTGTTGCGCAGTTGGACCGTTTGGGCGACTACAACGAAAATGTATTGTAGGTCAAGTTTTCTGACGACTCACTTCTCCGACAATTCGGTCCGGTCATTTCGGTTGCGTAGCAGTCACACGTGGGCACCTCCAGAAGCTTGCACCGTCCCTGCAATCAGTTCACGATCTTCACGCCTTCTGCCGTGCTCCTACCATTCCACAATCCCTCGTGGTGCACTCATCCGCTTCGGGACACGTGTCAACGTCTTGATACGCAATCGGAGTGCCGTGAGCCGTCGGCGGATTCGTGCCCGCCGAAACGGCCACAATGGAGACGCATCCGATCATCGCCTGTCCGCCGCCGCCCAAAGTGACCACCACTTCTGTGTTGGCCACGTGGATCGGCTGGTTGAGCTCGCAGTTCAAGTCGTCGGCCGAACCGATTCGGTACCAGAGGTTGCGGGCGGTGCTGTTCAGGCCAACGGCCAGACTGTGCTCGTGCTGGTCTCAAATTATATCGATTTTCTTGCCCAGAAAAAGAAGCGGCAAAAAACAACTTACTGACAGGAACATTCTCCATTGGTTTGTTGAGAATTTTCACATGCTGACTATTGTAGAGGTCGATTTGAAGGTTCCCTTCGGCAATGCTCACTGTCAACTGAAAAAGCAACTTTACGAGTATGAAACGGGGAAGGGAAAGTGTACGAGCGCTTCCAAAGATCCATTGGAATGAATGAAACGAACGCTGTAGACCTGGCCAATGTGAGTGGAGGCTTGGAAAGTGACGGCGAGAATCAGCTGGTCGTCAGTTTCTGAAAATAATCAGGATTGGCCGATTTCTGAGCAAACAATGCATTTTACACTTTTCTGCAAAAACGGAATTCACGGTCTCCAGAGCTGACAATGGGCGCAAGTGCGCTCCGCCCAACAGATTGACGCGAAATTCAAATGTTAACAGCAAAGTTTGTGTTTTTGCCAGATTAGCCACAAAAAACCGATAATTTCTCATTTGTCTCTCGATAGACCGATTGTATAGGCTATTACGAATTTTTTAAGCGCAAGAGCGTTAAATTTGGTCAAGTCGCAAAACACATTTATCCGTTTGAAGGTTTTTGGCTAAGACTGCGTGAATTTCAGTTGCTTTTCGGTAATTTTCGCTGTTCGAGCGCTCAAAATGTTTGTATTCACGTGATTTATAATTCTCAAAACCAATTCTGTCTGAAAACGGTCGAGAAAGCGCAAAATGAGAAGTGCGGTTTTTAGGCGGCGATCGGCGGCGAAGGCGAAAAAGCAAAGTCCGCGAAAAATGCGCCAAAAAGTCATTAATTCTGTGAGAATTAGTGTGTTTTCATGTCGAACAATCATTTTTCATCGCCTTTGACGACAAAAATCAGAGAAAACGTGCTCAATTCATGAAAACGCCATTTGGCCGAGGCCACGCCCATATTTTCAGCTTTGGAGTCATTCCAGACATTATATCTCGGGGAGAGTCCCTCAAAGTATCTGCGCCTGTTCTATACAATATTATATACATTACGATACATGCCATCCTGAGTCATGCAAAAACATGTACTTGGTAGCCGCCGGTAAAGCCGTCCGTACCATCGTTCGATCATCGACAAACTCATCATTTCGAAAACATTGATGATGCATTCGTACGAATATGCCCTTCAGAACAAACATTCGCGTGTTTGCCCACACACACACACGCACATCGACACTTTTAAGGGTCTCTTGCGTCCTTTCACTTCTTACCGCCGCCATCATTTTTATCAGTTTGGGGTCTCTCTCTCTCTCTTGACACTTGCATTTGAAAGTTGCGAAGAGCTCTCGCCGAACGAACCTTTCAACTTCCAGTTCTCGGCGGTGAAATTGACGTAGGAGCTCGGGAATTTCAGAAAAACGCGGTCCTTGGCGGGCACTTGCTCGTTACCCACCAAACTGTGATTCTCATCATCGTGCGCACTAACTGTCCACACGACAGCTAGTGCCAGTATCAACCGCCACATTCCTGTGGTTTTCTAAAAAAAAAAGAAGATGATTACGAGGATGGGTTCCAGATGTATCGGAAAAAGAGGAAGAATGTTGAAAGGGCGGAGGAATGCGATGTGATGCGCGGCACGTTTCAGTGTTTACCCCGGAAAGAAAGAAAGTGAGAGAAAGACGCAAATGGGGGTTATAATGATAACGAGGAGGCGGGCACGGGCAGGAAATTATTAAACTGTTCTGGAAGCGGAAAAACTGCACGCAAGCCTTTATTGGATGCTTGGTTTCGGAGTTAACAGGTAGACGGAGAAAGAAAGACGAATTTGAGTACTAGGACGGTCCTGGATGGGTAAGAGTTATGGCAAGAGTTGGTGACGACCGAGTTCCAAATGGGGACTGTGAGGGAGCGGAAATCTTTGACAACGGATGAAGAGGATAGGGCTATGAAATTATTAGGATTGGGATAGGTAATGTTAAAAGATTGCTCCGAAAAGTTGCAGAGATAAAGACACTACTTAAAGCAACATTCAACGTTGGAAAGTCGTATTATGCAATTTTATGGCTAACATTTTTGGAAAGAAGTTGCACTTGAAACGTGCGGAAATCGACTTGAAATCAAAGTGGAAGATAGTTTTGTTAAGACTTTTAATTTTGCAACTAACAGGAAGTTGAGAGTACGTATAGAACCAACGTGAAGCAGTTTTAAGATAATGTTGCAATTTTTTGAATCAAAGTACATACAGCTGCCATTCGAACTCTCAATCAGAGTGTTCTTCTCTCATTGCTAATGAAAATGTGTGTCTACCTAAATGAGCATTGAAAGTTTTCAGAATAATGAAATTGTATGAAATTTCACCACAGTCTTCACCAAATATTTCTCAAGGCTCAAATCAAAATATCGTTCCAATAATAATGGTTGTACCTACGTGTACAAGTACTCAAAACGCTTCTCCTGCCCCAATATTATTAACCTTGAAAAAAGGAGGAAACTTGATGGCATAAAAGGTGAAAGTGAGACGGGGCGACGGAAATGGAAGAGTGCGTGAGTGAGTGTGTGTGTGGACGATTGAATGAGTCAGATCTGTGTGTGTATGATACGGAGAAACGGAGAAGAGCTGAGAAGGAGTGGAGGCGACAGTCGATGTGCTTGTGCATCATTCCATTCCGAACTGATAACGAACCATCATCGCGCTCCGCTTTCTTCGCACTCTCTTTTTCTTTCGGTTCTTCTTCCTCTCTTTAACAACAACTACTGTTTCCCCTCATTGTTTGTTTTCTCTCTTTTAGAATCAACTGATTCACATGTAAATGGGATACAATCGATGACGATCGGTAAAAGACGGGGAATAAGTGAAGCGCCGTATTCGAAATGTCGTAAACAGTTCAAGTCGCACGATTTTTCGCTTTATCTTCAGCAAAAACGTCAGCGAAAGGTTACAGACTTATGCTAGAACAATGGGTATATCGAAACACGTGTGGCTTTTCAATTTTGCTGCCCAATTGTGATCTAAAAAGTACAAAGTTAGTCCAAATCGGCATCAAAATTGAAAAACACGTCAGGAATGCTCTGTAGGTCTTGTTACGAGATACCAAAAAAAAAATATGAAGGCGGTTATTATACGGGATGGAATTTGCATGCAAATAGAAAACTCATCGATGATATAATTCAAAGTGTAGCTAGGTAGGTAGACATGAAAATTACAGAGTCTTTTGGTATATATCCCACACGATGACTCCGTTATTCTCCGGCAGCATTGAAAACTTGATCCCATTCTGGCTCATGAACTTCTTCACTGCCGTCTTCAGAAAGTTGTCGTTCGTCTCCGAGTGTTTCCCTTTTCCGATGATAATCTTGACTTCTGCAGTTATCCGATCTCTATCAGAACAGAACCGTAACACTTTTCAACAACTCACTTCTCAGAGGATGAGGATCAGTGCCGGTTTTCAGATTCTCAATTGCATTCAGTAGTTCGGCGCAGTACTCCGCCACGTGTTTCGTTGTGAACCAATGCACGTCGATCCACAGATCTTTGCGAGTATAACTTTGTAACGATTCGAGAGCGATATTACGTGCGTAGATCAATCCGTAGATTTTTTCAAAAATCAAACGTTTCTGATTGCTACTGGCGGCATTTTTCAGATCAGCATACGCCTTCTTAATGTTTTTCCTAACTACGATGTCCTCATTGAGTACTTCTTTTGTTCTTGACAAATCCTTATCGTTAAGCACGTACTTCTCATAGATCCACTCCTTCATCACTCCGTACTCGCCCTCTTGAACGAACTCGGCGTAGAGATCTTTCGTGGTTTTTTCGTCAATCTGAAAAATGAGTGCTTTTAAGCTTTAAAAAGTTACATCCGCCTGCTCTGGCAACTCGATATTAATCTAATTAGAAAGTTACTGATCTAAACGCGGCCTCATTAGATTCGACTGTTTTTTCTTGGCGCAATCAAGATTTGAGCCAACAAACGGTTGGCGTGAAACTTGATTTGAGCACTTATTAATCTAGCTAGAAGATTTATTAATCTAGCTAGAAGATTTATTAATCTAATTAGGTGTCATATCAATCTTACTAGGCCGCCGTTAGATAAATAACAAAATGCGAGAGTGTTGCACATCGTGTTTCTCAAAAATTATATTTAGGGACTGATCAAGCGTTTTTCTTCGCTCTGTTCTCACTTATACATTCCTAGTAGCCATTGAATGGCTTCAGGTTCTAGTATTGAACTCAAATACGGAAAGAAAATGATAGATAGGTATCAAACTCAAACTCGATCAATGAATTCTATGTAATCGATTGCGCAACAAGTAACATTGTTCCTAAACAGCGTCATAAAGTCCGAAAAACGAAATCGACTGAAACTCCTTGATTTTTGGCGTTACTAACCTTTTTTTTGTGAAAATGAACATCTCCGAAAAACGCGTACCTTAGCCTCATTCTTTTCCAGCAACGCAATGATCTTTTGTCGGCTCTTCTCGTAATTCCGGCATGTTCCGTAGTAAATGCTCTCGACGATCTTCTCTTCAACTCTCAAAACTCGAAACTCGTTCTTCAGTTTTTGCAACTTTTGATCGTGCATTGCGGCCATCTGAACACCACCGATACAGAATTGGAAAGATCAACACAAAAACAAGACAAAGCACGCATTCGATCATGTATTCGGACAAGAGTGAGCAGCAAAAAAAGTGGAAAAATGGAGGAGGAGACGCAGAACACAAGCAGTTAGAGGGCAAGCAAACAGTTTCATCATCATCAACGCATTTTCACACGGTCAAAACTGAGAGCCACGTATTCGGAATTGTCGGTTTCTCAGCTATTGCGGGGTGCCGTCAAAAATAGCGTAAATACACTAGGTTCACTTCAATTTTTCGAAGATTGCGACGAAAACGATGTAGGCACCGCGTCGAAAATGTTGAAATTTCATCGGGAAAGTGAGTAAGCGTCTGGTGTTTGCTCAAGTCTGAAACAATAAGGAAGAGATTTTCTGGTAACATCAAGGAGCCGTTCAGCAGTGCACTTGCCGAGTTTGGTACGAATCTGATCATTCTGACACACTGCTATTTTGAAGGGCGATAAGAATTTATGATCACACATAACGAAACCATGAGAACAGAAAATGTGAGCAAGTTTAGATGTGGCCGTAAGAGAAAAGGTGGTACCTTAGACCTGACCTGGACTTTTGAAATACTTGCAATGATCCAATTGTACCCAATCTTTGCAGGATTGTTGGACTTGGATTGAGAGCCATTGGGACCAAGTTTCAGCCCGATCGGATCGTCGGGTCCCGAGCAGAGTTGAGCGGAAGAACTCAACGGAAGAACACGGAAAATTTTTTATCTTTTTTAGAAAATTTTTTCATGGAATGTGATCAACTGACGAAATGTACAGCAAAATGAATTCTGCTCATAGAAAAATAATTGTAAAATTAGCTTTTCATACAAAAAAGTTATTCGAGTTGTTCCGTGAAAAAAGGAGGGCTATCGGAAGACGGAAGGACATTTTCACGGAACAACTCGAATAACTTTTTTGTATGGAAAGCTAAATTTACAATTATTTTTCTATGAGCAGAATTCATTTTGCTGCACATTTCGTCAGTTGATCACATTCCATGAAAAATTTTTCTAAAAAAGATAAAAATTCTTCCGTGTTCTTGCGTTGAGTTCTTCCGCTCAACTCTGGTCCCGAGATATGTGGATCATTGGCCGATTTTTTCCAAAAACCCGCTCCTCCTCTCGGGACCGGATGATCCGATCGGGCTGAAACTTGGCCCGAGTATGCTTCAACCCATGTCCAAGAGGCCTGCAAAGTTTATGTCCGATCGGAATATTGCAAGCCAACGTAAATCCCGGACCGGCCATTATCTGTGTGAGATATTAGAAATTGATGAACACGTTTTTATTCTTTGCAGTTCACACACTAATCCTGTCCCAACTCGGGCAAGTACTTGACGAATCTGCGGATGTCCTGCGAGGCGGCGAATCCCCTCTTCACCTGCATCACCAGCGACGGACGGTGGAACTCGCGACGTTGCGAGAGACGCTCCTTCAGCGGATGATTCTGAATTGAACCATGAGGGGAGTGGACGAATGAAAGCGATAGGACGCACTCCGGAGATGAAAGTGCGCACGAAGACGGGAAAGTGATAGAAGAGGAGTGTGGCGATGCACGCGTTGAGCACGCCCATGAACTGAGCATCTTCGGCGGCGATCAGCAGGTTGCACACGTACAGAAAATCGTCGCGGTTCGTCGAGAGCTCTTCGCAGCAGTGCTTCTCGATCGAGTTTTTCAGCGCTTTCATCTCGAAAACCTTCCACTGAATGCCCAAATCGTACACTTCTTTCGCGAGTCTCGGAGGCAACTGCGCCGGCTTTTTGTATCTTCCAGTGACCAAATAAATCAGAGCCTGCAGAACAGATCAGTTTTACAGAGACGTTTGGGATAACTGACAATTTCGATGCTCTCCAGACTGTCGGCTCTGCTCACAGTGTGCTCGGTGCTGTGCTCTTTCAGGTGTTGCCGGAAATAGGAAGAGGCGAGGCAGACGATCTCCTTGTTCGTCATCACAAACTGCGAACCGTTCGACGTCTTCAGTTTCAGGTCGTGGCGAGATCTGAAGATGTTTCAAAGATTCTTCTTCATTTTTAAAACTCCCGCTCGCACGGTCTCCAGAGCTTGCAATGGGCGCAAGTGCGCCCCGCCAAATAAAGCGATACATTGGCGCAAAATTTGTGTTTTTTGCCAGATTAGCCACGAAAAACCGATAATTTCTCATTTGTCTCTCGATAGACCGATTGTATAGGCTATTACGAACTTTTTAAGCGCAAGAGCGTCAAATTTGGTCAAGTCGCAAATAACATTTATCCGTTTGAAGGTTTTTGGCTAAAACTGCGTGAATTTCAGTTGCTTTTCGGTAGTTTTCGCGGTTCGAGCGCTCAAAATTCTTGTATTTACGTGATTTATCATTCTCAAAACCAATTCTGTCTGAAAACGGTCAAGAAAGCGCTAAATGAGAAGTGCTGTTCTGAGGCGGCTATCGGCGGCGAAGGCGAAAAGCAAAATCCGCGAAAAATGCGCCAAAACGTCATTAATTCTGTGAGAATTAGTGTGTTTTCATGTCGAACAATCATTTTTAATCGCCTTTGGCCACAAAAATCAGAAAAAAACCTGCTCAATTCATGAAAACGCCATTTGGCCGAGGCCACGCCCATTTTTTCAGCTCTGCAGATCGTGGCAGCAGAGTTGAGCGGAAGAACTCAACGAAAGAACACGGAAAATTTTTTATCTTTTTTAGAAAATTTTTTCATGAAATGTGATCAACTAACGAAATGTATAGCAAAGTGAACTCTGCTCATAGAAAAATAATTGTAAATTTAGCTTTTCATACAAAAAAGTTATTCGAGTTGTTCCGTGAAAAAGGGCTAACGGAAGACGGAAGGAATAACTTTTTTGTATGAAAAGTCAAATTTACAATTATTTTTCTATGAGCACAGTTCACTTTGCTATACATTTCGTCAGTTGATCACATTCCATGAAAAAATTTTCTAAAAAAGATAAAAATTCTTCCGTTGAGTTCTTCCGTTGAGTTTTTCCGCTCAGCTCTGGAGACCGTGCAGCTCGCTCACTTATTTGTGAGAGCATCGAAGTAGAACGCGTTCATGTCGGTGACCTCCGGCGCTCCCTCGCCCACCAAAAAGTTCACATCGGTCAGTTCGTTCTTGCGGAACTCCATGCGCGTCACCAACTGCACCACGAGATCCTTGCCGCGCACCTCGTCCATCGCGTGTGCCAACTGCCGTCCGAACTGCGAATTCGCCTCCGTCTCGTAGATCTTGTTGTCGTTCTGTCGGTTCCGATGCGTCCGGCTTCTCGCCTGCGTCACTTGGACGTGTCGTCCGTTGATGAAATACTTCAGGGTCGTGGTGATGTTCTCCTCGCCGTCCAACACGTTGACGGTGAAGAAAATGCGATGGACGGGCGGGTAGATGTCCCGCGAGCCGGTGCCGTTCAGTGAGATCTGCCAGTTGGAGGTGCGTGTGGCCAGGGAATGGCCGCCGAATTGTTTGTGCATTATAATGTCCCTAAAGTCGATTATTGTAGGTCACAGTGCCTTTTGTCCAACTTGCCAATCCAAAAGGGAGCTCTCGAAAACGGTGGCGAACACGCCTTTGACTCGCGGATCTTTGTGGCCGATTGTGAAGTTGAGGTGATGATAAAAAGTGACAATATTGTCGGCTTCTCGATATTCTGCAACAATTTCTCGATGGAGCGCGGTAGCTCTCGCTCACTTTGCTCCATACTCATCGCTTTCATTTTTGCGCGGAAAACTTTGAAATGACGAGGAACAATTTGAATTGTTTTTCATCGACACGTGAAGATTCGAAACGTTTCCAAACATTTCTACTTTTTTATCGTGAAAATGAATGAAACTGGTGATCGTTTGCTAATAATTCAGAACCTTGTTTCTCAATGTCGGTTCCAGAAAACAACACAATCTCGTTCGTGCACACATTCCGATGTGAGGCCTCGAAAGTCCGTCACATGATGCCGAAGCAGTTCGTCACTTGCCACGAGTATCAGTTGATCAACTGGCAAGTGGCCTAACTTCCCCCAGCCGTATATTTCTAGGCCATTGCAGGCACGTTCAGATCGCCGAGAACGGCGGCATTCCCTCGTTCATCCAGAGCATTCTGGGCACCGCTCGCCAGCGGCCCGTCCATCAGATCACTCTCTATCCGGCCGGACAACGTGAGTGCCATCCGCCCGTTCGGAAAGTCGATTTCACGCTCAAGACCTTTTTGAATGGAGTCGGTGAGTACCACAACTAGCCAACGCCCATTCGCTCTTTGGCTCCAGACCTGCTCCCCGCTCTTTTCTACTCCCATCCGGCCGGATATCCGTCTCGAATGAACGCCTTCAATTCCGGGTACTGTACTCCTGAGAACGGAGAAATCAACGAGCGATTCGTGGCGCACATGGAGAGCCGGAGCGGCAGAGTCGAGTTCGAGGTGCAAACTCTGATTGTGTTCGATGTTCAAGACTTTTTGAGCGTAAAGTACTTGAATCAGGTGACTGCGAAGGCGATGCCCACTGAGCTCAACTTTCGGTTCAACCTTCTGACCAATCAGTGAGTCTCCGATGCTCCAGAATCGCAATCCGATTGTCAGAAGCACTCACAACTTCACGCTGCTCACCGCCGCCGGTCTCTGTTTTCCGTGCAACAAGGAGGCGCTCTACGTGGCTTCTCCTTTCTTCCGCAAACATTTGACGCCCGAAATGAGCACTTTTCAGTTGGAAGTCGAACTTTTGGAAGCTGTGGAAGTGGTGATCAAGCCCAACTTTTCATTTCGACTTTCCGAATTTCAGATAATCACCTGGCTCCTAAGCGAAACCTATCATCCACCGGTTCAAATGAGTCCCCAACTGGCCGGAGAAATCATGAAATTAGCGGAACGACTTCTGCCGCGTTCTCCGCTCAAAAAACACTTGTCCGGCTCGATTGAACGCCACTGTTTCGAGGAGGTGGGCAAGAATCGCGAGGATGTGAAGCACGCAAAGCAAATGCTCCTCGTCGCCCATACTCATCATCTGGCGAGTCTTCTGGAGGCGTGCCACGCCACCATCATCACCTATCATTATCTGGATTTCATTCGCGACATGGATCAGAATGTGAGAAACCTCATTAATCGTGCCGCATGTTTTTTTCTTCAGACGGATCCCGAGTTCACTCAAATCTCAGCCATCTCTCGTTCCAGTCCGTTGGTTGGACGAAAACTTGCAAAGCCCTCGAATAGAATTCATCCTGTTTCAGAGTCGTCTCATTGAGAACTATCAGAAAAGTCTGCGCGTTCAGAGCTATGCGAGAAAGGTGTCGCCCACGCACAATTGAACTCTTCTCTTTTAGAATAAAGATCGCGTGGAAAACCACGTCCATTTTCATTCACTTTTATACGTTCAATTACTTCTCAACGTTTCACATCAAACAATCCAAAAACTTGCACAATATGAACGAATCGGGTAGGCAAAGTTCCAGAACTGTTCACATCGAAAATAGACGCGCAGACCGGGATACTGTATCATTCGTGCACACATTCCGCATTCCCGCGACCGAAATCCGTCACATGATGCCGAAGCAGTTCGTCACTTGCCACGAGTATCAGTTGATCAACTGGCAAGTGGGCCTAACTTCCCCCCAGCCGTATATTTTTAGGCCATCCCTCTTTGCAGGCACATTCAGTTCACCGAATCCGGCAGCCGTCGCCCCTTCCCCGGCATTTCCGCGGATCCAGACTCGATCACCTACGTGATCGCGATCTATCCGGCCGGACAGAGAGAATCGTACCCGCCGGTGCACAAAATACACTTTAGATTGAAGATTATCGCGAAGGGGAACGAGATGATCCATCCGAAAGTCTGCTTCACTCATCCCGGAGGACTTCCGCCTCGGAACATCTTCAACGCGGGTTACTGTAGCCCCGAAACTGGCGCATTCCCCGTGGCAATCTCCAGATGTCTAGACTCGAACCGTCCGGAACGAATCACTTTCGAAGTGCAAACTCGAATTGTGTTCGATGTCGACGACTTTTTGGACATGAAATACCTAAATCGAAGTGTGGCGGCGGTGATGCCGGTGCAAAACAACTTTCGGTTCAACCTTCTGACCAATCAGTGAGTCTCCGATGCTCCAGAATCGCAATCCGATTGTCAGAAGCACTCACAACTTCACGCTGCTCACCGCCGCCGGCCTCTGTTTTCCGTGTAACAAGGAGGCGCTCTACGTGGCTTCTCCCTTCTTCCGCAAACATTTGACGCCCGAAATGAACTTTTTTCGATTGGACGTCGAGCATTTGGAGACTATCGATGTGGTCAGAAACGTCGAATACTTCTTCTTCTTCTTCTTCTTCTTCTTTATCTACTTTCAGATCATCACGTGGCTCCTCACCGAAACCTATCATCCGCCCGACAAAATGACGCCCGAGTTGGCCGAGGAAATTGTGAAAATGTTCGAGCGAATTGTGCCACGTATTCCCCATCAGAGACACTTGTTGGGCTCGATTGAGAGACACTGTTTCGACGAATTGATCGAGGTGAGCACTTTAGAGTCACATGCATACGTATAGCAGAAAGTTTGGAGAACCGCGAAGATGTGCAATACGTGAAACACGTAATGCTCATCGCCAACAACAACCGACTCGGGAGCCTTCTGGAAGCCTGCCACGCCGTGCTCATCTCGTATCACTTTTTCGATTTTATGAGGGACATGAAGATGAGTGTGAGTCAATGTCAACCGGGAAATCATTTACTGAGTGCCATTTTCTACATATTCAGCCGGACCCCGCACTCACTCGTCCGCTGGGCGTCATCCGTTCGAGTGCAATGACCTATCTGACCGAGAACTACAAAAAGAGCCTATTCGTGACGAGATTTGTGAAAAAGAGCCTTTATTGAAGCATAAATATCAATCACAGTTTACTCTCGCCCCTCGGCGCCTCAATGCAATTCAGGCGGTCCCAATCGGCAATTTTCCGTGTCGCTCCGAGCGTTCGTTGGAAGAATCGGATGGTATTCGCCCACGTCTTCTCCTGTGACTTTGCGTGAAGGACCACTTCACCACCGTAGCCGCAGTAGAAGCCCTGGTACTTGGCGTAGACCAATTCATGATGCGGAAAGTAGGGCGGCTCCATGATGTGCCCGCCGTTCACCATTTCGACCTGCAAACAATCGAGAGTTCTTTGATGCTCTTTTTATCAGTTTCTTATCATAGATTGTCCGTGGTGTTTATGTCGTTAGATGATTGACACGGTTCATGGTTCATAATTTTGAAATCATAACAAACCTCAACGTGATGACCGGTCTCTCGCAGTCTCCGTTGTCGGTACAAAGTCGCGTGCACCGACGGTTGACACAAATCATCCACGGATCCCTGGAATAAATTGAGTCTTGACCCGATCGGGTCCAAACTTTATAGGCTGCTTTGACTTGGATTCAAGTATCTCGGGCCCAAGTTTCAGCGCGAACGAATTATCTGGTCCCAACATATACTGGTTTGAGGCCTTTTAAGCTTCTGATCTACACATCTCGGGCCCAGATGATCCGATCGGGCTGAAACAAGTCCCAGAATTTTGCAAAGTTTGGACCCGATCGGATAATTTCTTCACGTACAATGACGCGAATCTTGACGTCCGTGGGAATGCGCCACCACGGAATCTCGGTGTCTGGCGTCAACTCCTTGGTCATCACTTGAAAGTTTCGGTTCGAGCACATGACTCCGTTGAGGAAGACGCAGTGCTCGAGCGTGACTTGTCCGTGCGACAAATGGGGTATCGGCGTGCCGTGCTCGCGCATGTAAATGTAGTCGGACACGATTTGAGGACCGTTTATCGAGACGACTGCCTTGATCTGAAAGTGAACGTGTACTCTGTGAAACATCAAGTGTTGATAAGAGTCTAGACGCCCACGCACTTTGTCCCCATGCCGCGTCGCCAGCAGATCCACAATAGTCGCTCCGAATGAGACCCCTTGAATTCCAATGACATTGTGGGTATACGGTAGTTTTGTCAGGTATTCTATGGGCTTCTGGAACAACTTGCAAAGATGGATATTTCGTGAAATTCAAATTTACCGCAAAATAGTCCAAATCTGCCTCCTCCATTTTCTGCGGCAGATACTTGTACTGGAAAAACGCGACGCACAACACCACAAACCCCTCGGAAGCCAACATGGCGCCCTTGTGCTCGTGAATGCCGCCGCCGGTCCCCGACAGATCCATAACCACGGGGAACGGTCCGTCTCCGGGCGGTTTGAAAAGTGTCGCGCAAAAACCGTCGTCCTCCAGCTCGGTTCTCTCTAATCTCGGGTGCATCCAGTGCTTTTTGATGTAGATCTGATCGACCAGACTGTTTTTCGAGTCCGACAACCTTAATCAAGCGTCAGTATGGCAATCCGAGGTGTATATGGGTTACTGTAGTTGGTAGATGAACGGGACTGGCGGAGTGCAGCGCAGATATCCTCCGTAGGCAAAGTCTTCGCACGGCTTCATGCCAAGGAACAGGCCCATTGGATCAGGTTCTGGAAAAAGGAAAAGTCGCAAGTCGGAATTTCGCTTATTCGTACTGCCAATCGCCTACCGTAATAGGATCCTCTCAACGGCTTCGCATGTTCCAAATCGATCTTTCCAGCTGAATCCGATCGGAACGTGGCCGTCGACTTGTGCGTCCCATAGTTGTGCTTCAATCTGAGCGAAACTGATACTTATGGCTCAATCTGTGAACCTACGTCAATGTGAAAGTGTAAATGTGATTGGGTTGGAGGTGCTCCGCGAGAATGTGCACAAGCTCATTCTGCATCGTATCCGGCTTATCGATGCGAATCGCCATCGCTGAAATTTATGTGAAACTGAGAAAGTTAAGAAAGTTAAGAGACAAATCGTAGTTTTGTTTCGGCGAGTGGAAGAAGTGAGTGCAAACCCCGAAAAGTTTTGCGTTTATCAGTTATCAACAATCAATCACAAGACACTCGGAGCGACGGAGAAGACGGGAAAAGAGCCCCTTTCTGTTATCGTTTTGGGCGTTTCAACTGCGATTTCAGCCGATGGCCTCGCTCAAAAAGTGTCCGTTATCAGTGTGAGTGCGTGGGAGGGAGACAGTTGTTGAAAAACAGACCATATTGGCAAAACAAGTTCAAGTTCGATGACTAAAAAACTTTATTTCACTAATCATCTAAATAGAGCGAGAGAGAGAGAACACGAAAAAGCGGAACCATCCGGCTCATTTGTGCACAATCCGTCGTCACAGCAGCTCGACTGTTTCGGATGAATGTTAGTCACTTGTCAGTGCTCGAATGTCACCGATTTTCAAGAATTGTTCGTGTTTTTTCGATTTGTTAACAGTAAAGACTTATAATGCACGTGAAATCATCATTTAAACCAAGAACTTTGAGCAAAATTGAAGAGTATTCTGTGCTCCGGATTTCCGCCACCCCCAGACGTCTGACAGGGAGCAAAATGTAGCGATTTCATCGAGAAAATGAATGAAATCAGAGAGCCAACCGAGTCGGCATGAACGTGTTCCGGTCGCGCCGGTCATCGCCGATAAGAGGGGTATAAAGGGGGCGGCGAGAGCACGAAACAAGTCAGTATCGAATACCAAATCAAGCGACGGTCGACGATGACTTCTGCGTATTTCGGAGTCGCTGGCGGAGGGAACGCTGGTGCACAATCGGCATATTTCGGAGTTGGGGGAGGACCTGCTGGAGGCGGAGGAGCGCCGAAGATCGGAGGAGGAGCCCCGGCGCCGGCCGGAACCTCGTGCTATCTCGGAGCTGGAGCCGGTGGCGGTGGGGGAGGTGGAGCCACATCGGCCTACTTTTCGGTGACCCCGACTGCTGGAGGAGCCGCGCCATGCGGAGGAGGAGCCGCTCCGTTCGCACCGCCACGTAAGTCTATCGACAAAAGAGTCGTGTTATTCTTGTTCGTTTCAGCGGTGGCCGCCGGAGGTGGAGCGTCTACGATGACAGCCGTCGGACAGCCAGCTGCTGCCGGAGGAGGTGCCTCAACCATGACCGCCGTCGGAGGTGCACCGAGAGGAGCGTCTACGATGACTGCCGTGGGTGGAGCGCCGATCGGAGGGGGCGGAGCCTCGACAATGACTGCCGTCGGAGGAGCACCGGTCGGAGGCGGCGGAGCTAGCACCATGACCGCTGTCGGAGGACTGCCAGCCGGTGGAGGTGCCTCGACGATGACCGCTGTCGGCGGAGCGCCGCGAGGAGCTTCGACCATGACAGCCGTCGGAGGTGCGCCGATCGGTGGAGGCGCCAGCACCATGACCGCTGTCGGAGGAGCTCCGATTGGAGGCGGAGGTAGGACATACACGACAACGACCGAGATCTAAATGATTTTCAGGAGCTTCGACCATGACGGCTGTGGGTGGTGTACCGATGGGAGGAGGCGCGAGCACGATGACAGCCGTGGGTGGTGCCCCGATGGGAGGAGGCGCGAGCACAATGACCGCAGTCGGCGGAGTTCCGATTGGCGGAGGAGCGAGCACTATGACGGCTGTCGGTGGAGCCCCGGGAGGAGCGAGCACTATGACGGCGGTTGGAGGAGCGCCACGCGGAGCGTCTACGATGACCGCAGTCGGCGGAGCTCCGATTGGCGGAGGAGCGAGCACCATGACGGCTGTCGGTGGAGCCCCGGGAGGAGCGAGCACTATGACGGCGGTTGGAGGAGCGCCACGCGGAGCGTCTACGATGACTGCGGTTGGTGGAGCCCCGATTGGAGGAGGTGCGAGCACAATGACGGCTGTCGGAGGAGTCGGCGCCCCGATGGGTGGAGGAGCCAGCACGATGACTGCCGTGGGTCAACCGGGAGGAGCGGCTCCGATTCCAGCTGCGCCAATGGCCCCGATGGGCGGAGGGGGCGGTGGCGGTGCCACTTCGGCGTACTTCGGAGTCGGAGCCTCGGGTGGCGGTGGCGGTGGAGCTCAATCGGCCTACTTCGGAGTCACTGGAGGAGGTGGCGGTGGCGGTGGAGCCCCGAAGATCGGAGGAGGAGGCGGCGGTGGCGGAATCCCCGGACAGTCCGTCTACATGGGAGCTGGTGGAGCCGGAGGTGGCGGCGGCGGAGCCACGTCTGCGTACTTCGCTCCGAAGTGATCTAACTCTGAGAGAATGAATAAATTTTAAATTTGTTTGTATTTTGATTTCTCATCAGTTCTCTCGTAAGAGCTTCTACAGGAAAACCGGTGCCGGCGCCAACTCGAAGGGGTTCTACGTATTTGTATGGAGCAGTCTACAGCTAGCTTCAAATTACTTTTGAAACTTATCTATAAAAAATGACGACGCGTTCAGTATTCATTAAGCATTCAGTGAGTTGTCGCAGAAGAGGGAGAGAATCTGAAATAATGGCGGGCGGAGAAGTATTTGCCATTCTGTTCAACTAACCGCCTTTCCTTCGAGCACGCGTCTCAGTATCCGCGGCGCCTTTGTGCAAAACGACGAAATGTTCGTCGATACGCTGAAAATTTGCGCTTTACAGAAGACAGCAGATAATGAACCGTTTTCACGAGCTCAAACAGGAACAGGGACTATAGTCAATAAAATAAGAGAGAACGATTTGAAAACGAGTGAAAAACGCAAAACAATCGATTAACAGTTGTGTTGTTGGCAAAAATGGCGGAAAAAAACTCGGATGGCCTAGGTTTCCACATAGGTCACGGCCATTTCTGTCAAAATCCATTTTGAGGCGCTTGCTTCTAATCCAACCAGCAAAAATTAGAATTTTCACAAGAGGAAATTTTGATCGTCAACATATTTCAAAGCATTCAACGATTTTTCATTTCAAAATTGAGTCCGGTTTTAATAATCGCGCTCCACTGACAACGTTGGCGCGATCAAAAGAAAATGTTGGCGCCTTTCAAACTGTGTTTTCTGCTCGAAGTCGTAAATAATCGTTATTCAGTCGTTCCGCTTCTATCTTGCAACCGTTTTCCCGTCTTTGATTCGCTCAACTCCCATTTTCAGATATGGAACGATTCCTGCTGTTTCTCTCGGTCCTGTTGGTCTCCGCCGCCGCTAAAAACTACAAAAACACCGAATGGGCATTCAAGCAGCAGCATATTGCATTTTGGGATCTCGAGAAGCCGATTCAGGAGGAAATCGGCCACTTGTTCGACGACGTGTCTGTTGATTATTGAAGAATCGCTGGACGATACTCTTTTTTGCAGATTGTCTCGATTATCGGAGCGCGACGTCAGAGTTCCATCAAAAATTGCTGTGAATCGGATGGAAAACGTCGTTGATAACACTTTCATTGAGCCGTTTTTTGTCGGAAACTCGGTAAACAGACGATGCTGTCGCTTTCCCTATCAACTAATCTATTCAGGACAAAACCAGCGCGTTTTACTACGTGGCACCGCCTCTTGTCAAATGGTGCTCCAGCTACAGCTCCCGTAGCACTTCTCAGATGATTGTGCACAAAAACCGCCGCATCGCCATCACTTTCGATTGTAACAAGAATGCAGGTACATTTTTCACCCATTTTCAACAATTTATGCCGATTTTCAGTACTTCCGTCGCCGCGAACTATCGTCAAAACGATGATTCTCGCCGTGTTCACCGCCGCATTTGTCTTCGTTGTCAAATCGATCCCCTTTGAATTGTATCCTCAAAAAAAAGCAAAATTTGATATAAAACCATTCATTTTCAGTATGATTCTGCAAGCCGCCGGAAAATGCGACGATCTACAAGACGACGAAAGCGACAACACGAGCGAGTCGTCGAGCGACAGCCTCATCGACGACGCCAATGACATCGTCGAGCAGACCTCGTTTATGGAACGGCTCGAGAAGTGGGACGGCTCCAAGATGGACTCAATTTACGACTAATTCTCGCACATTTTACGGCACTCACTTACCCTTCTTTCATTTTATCACTTTTTCATTTGTGTTATAGTTTTTTCAGTGAAATGGAAACTAATTTCAGAGTAACTATGATTTTACATTGATCGACGCTGTATCGGACCGGAAAGAGGAAATCCTCTGGGAAATGGAACTCAAAATCATTTCAAAGACCGTTAGAACTGTTCAATCCGACCCAAAACCATTCTGCGCAAACCTTTACAACAATTCGGGTGGAATAAAATGTATTGAGTATTAAATGATTATAGAGTTGAAAACGCTTGTAAAGTTTGAAAACCGGAGAGATCAGTGAGGATGCACTTCCTGAAGTGGTCGATCGTCTTCGATCGAATGCTCTCCGCTCTTCCTCGTTGCCGGACCACGGCCTCCGCTTCTCAAACAGCGCCAGAAAGTTCCGATACTCCCAGGATCCGGTCAACATTAGATTCGAGCCGTAACTTTTGATGATTTCGTAGTCGACGTTGTGGCCGACCATCTGATTCGTGACGTTCTGCGGGCTGATTGTGTCATCGACAAGTCCTCGTTCCAGGTACAAGATATTGAGGATCGACGGCAAGAGGGTCATGTTCGCGATCCAACCGGCTAGCAGCGCCTTTCCGTACACTGGCAACACACTTTTCAGATTTTGTGCTAATACTAATGCCTACCTTCTCTAGGAAAGTCTTCGGGCATCGGCTCGTCCCGGTCGTACTTGCTGGAGCGATCTGAAGTTTTCATTTAAAAGTGTCATGCCTTACAAAGTCCCAAATTCTGAATGAATTTCAAAAAAGAACACGACAGGAGGAGTTTTCTATTCCTCCGGTTGCCAGACTTGCAAAAATTCAAGATTTTTAATTTCGTTCCGGAGGCCGTCCATAAAAACACAAAAATGTCGAATCTCAGGGTCAGAATCGAATTTCAGACAGAATTATCCGAGAGCCGCACGAAGAATCGATAACTTTGTGCAGTAATTTCTTGTACAACTTACAGTTTCCATGAAGGTAAACGAGGACGATGAGAACTGAGATTCGCATTTTTGGAAACTAAAATCCGTCGAATTTCCACTTGGCAAAGCGTTTCCGTGACCTTTTCATGCATATCTTTGGACGGAATTGTGAAACTCCGAGTATATTGTTTGGATTGTCGCAAAGCGAAAAATACGAAATATCTGAATCAAAACAAGAAGATGCAAATGTTCAACGCTGTCTACCTGCTCTTTTTCGTGCTCGTGGATGGTTTTAAAAGTCCGTCCGCGCAAGAAAACAAACGTGCGGATCCTTCTCAACTCCAACTGACCGACGACGAGAATGCTCGGCTCCAGAAGACGTGCGGAGAGGAAATCGTGCTGTCAGTCGGCTCTCGGAGGTTTCGAAATGCTCTTAACTATTCAGTGCCTCGTGGGAACTTCCTCCGTTTCTTCGAAATGTTCGCTTCGTTAGTCCGAACGAAATGGCTCGAACCGCCGGAATAATGCTGACCAATCGGCATGTTTTGGTGCATGCGAAGAAGATTTTGAGCAGGATTAGCTGCAATGAGACAGATACGTGGGTGTCGAATCGGCTGATAATAAACTCAATTCATCGGTGTTGCCCCTCGGTGCTTGCAGACTCAAGCCAACATTTCTGAAATTAGGCTTGAGTACGCAAACACCGAGGGGCAAGAGCGATGAATTGAGAGTAAGAGGCCGTGCCAAAACGGGAAATTCACGAAAACCGAAAAGAAAAACTTTGTTTGGCCAATTATATTTTTCAAAGTTTCTTTTGACGATCTTTTTTATTGCTCACTGTTTTTGACGTGTTCGTCAGTTTAAAAAACGCAAGCTCACTGTAAATGCGCGTCAAGTATGGCGCATGCAAGAATCCGCGATTTTGGCTTTTTTCCGCGATTTTCGTGAATTCCCCCGTTTTGGCATGGCTTCGAGAGTAATAATAATATTATGATCATGAGTTTAGAAAAAGGTTCCGCCATCAATTGGACGTGTTTTTGCGGAACGGATCGTTCGAGGTGGCCAAGGATATGTGCTATCACGAAGCGCACACTTGCGAATTCGTGAAGGCGCACAGAGTGAGTTCACAAGGTACTTTTTTTTTTGAAGTTTTTTCATGGTTACATCGAAAAGCGATCGAAATTTGGCAAATTTGGCGAAAAATCGGGCCACACAGTGAGAGAACGCTGTAAAGGGGGCGTGGGCTAAACTGAGACGCGTTTTCAGAAAACTTCCGCTATTTTTATGTCAAATATCGATGAAAGAAGGAATTTCAAGTTAAAAACATTAAAAGTTCCGTAAAAACGCGGCGTTCGAGCTTTTGAACATCAAAAATGATCGAGAAATGGCTGAACCCCTCAAATTTTCATGTGGGTTTCAAATTTCGATTGTTTTTCAATGAAATCAAATAGAAATGAGTCCGCAATGAGTTAATTGTAATGGAAACTCGCAGGCAGCAACAAGAAACTCGCAAAAATGTCTAGGGATCACTGCCAAAATAGCATTTTTTCGAAGTATGGTTGCTCGTACGTGCTTTTTGTGTTAGTCTCTTTGTTAGTTTACATCATAATGAACTCATTTCCAAGAAATCAAGTGAAATTAATCAGTTTTCTTCCGCAGGCACGCATCCGAAGTCTCGGAACAGCCAAGGAGCGCGCCCTCCAAGCCTTTCTCCGTGCGCCAAAACTTCAGATGCGTGCCGTCGGACGAATGCTGATTCATTTCACTTGATTATTTTGGGAATAAGTTCATTGTGATGTAAACTAACAAAGAGACACAAAAAGCACGTACGAGCGGCCATTTTTCGAAAAAAAAACCGCTTTTTTTCCAGTGACGTTTCTTGTTGCTGTTAGTTTTGATCATAATGAACACATTCACTATGACAATGAATAAGATGAATCAGTATTTCTCCGGCGGCGCGCATCTTGAGTTCCTAAAAATAGCTCGGCGCCCAGGCCTAACTGGCGTGGTCTAGTATTTCTTGTTCAGCCGGCGGACTCGGCGGAACCCGACTCGCGACCCCGGGCCAAATAGACTAGAATTTCCTCGTCACTCTCGCAAAGAATCACCGTGCGTAAATGAAAAAACAAAGTATTGAGTCTAGTAGAGCGCGCTTGCTACAGCGGCGGGTATTCAGATGTGGGTGCAACATGGATGCAAAAGGGACGGGACTGCACGAGGAGCCATCATATTCGAGCTGGAGAGGGAGAATGCCACTAGCATCAGGTCTCCGCTTTGCATTCCAGGTGGGCGTCTTGCTATTCGACTGAAATGGAGGTACAATTTCAGGAGAGGACGATGTGAAAAGTATGTTCGGCAATGATACGGTGAAACTCCGCGTAGATGGTGGAAATTTGCCAAATACGCCAGGTGCGCACGAATCGAGAGATTATTACTTTCGAGCGGCTGATGTGAGTGTTTATGATTTGTACTCCCTCTGATTGTCTCTTTTTCAGTACAAAATATGTGTAAATGAGACACTGTGCACATCGAATCCATCGCAAAGTGAAGGCGATTTTGTTATCGGCAAATTGAGAGGACGCTATAATTTCCTTGGGTTTTCGCCGCTTGCGGGTTCAAAGGGAGAACCCTGGACGACTATGACCGTGGGCTTATCATCGCTTCGAGGCCACATTTGCAACTTCTCGGGAGTGTGTTACAATTCGTCAGCTCTCGGGTCAGTGCCCACTGCGGCCTAACTTTCTATAAATTGATTCATTTGTAGAACTCGGCCGCCGTTCTTTACAACTATTCCCACGACGACGACGACGATGACGACGACGACGACGACGGCGATGACAACTACCGAAGAGCCGCCGAAGCCGACGCGGAAGCTGAGACTTCCGTTTGAGTACGACGAGAATGACTACATGGATTACGAGGACAAGTTGTTGGTGACCAATGGAGCAGCAGCACGGATTCTGATGATTTCAGTTCTCTCGATTCTTATAAAAATGTTGTAAAAGAGTGTGATTAACCACTGTTCTGTTTCGCAAGTTCGCAAGTTGCAACTTTTATTGTATACTTTTGATTGAAAACGAAAATGCAACAACTAGTGTTTCTCGGTGTGATGATCATGTTGTCAATCGAATGCAAGGGACCACTGACATGGAAGGAGAATGAGGAACGGATGAACAGGTGCAATGGAGCACGGTTCGTTGCCATCTATTCGTTCAATTTCAGCACAAACACCTCCTGGTTCTACAGCATCAACAACATGACGCCGATGATTGTTCTCTCGTCGCGTCACGTTGTGGTGGACGGTCTAGACACTGGGATCTTCCATGGATACTATGATGATACGGTCGCGTGCAGTGATGAGTTCCGTCGGAACCTTCGGAACATCCTAATCTTCTAATACTTTTTGTAAAATGCGTCAACTAACCAAGTTCCCTGCGAACGTCCGCAATTTTCAGCAAATACATACATGCATGTCAAGTACCATGGCAGTGGTGGGAACACGAAGAAGAAGAAGAAGAAGAAAAACCAGAAGAAGGAGTACGGTCACTTTTCCGATCTTTTCCTTCAACAAACAATCCATATTTCGCGCCCTAACCCATACTCTTCATCTTCTTCAACTCAATTCCGCACTTTATTTCGCGTGTCCTCTCGACCGCACACGACCGCCACGTCATCAAGTTCGAACTCTGCCACTCGCCGATTCGTCTGCAGTCAGTTCTTGTTGCACGTCAACATTGGATCAATATGCGAACACTCTTGCTGTTTGTCGCATGTGTTCACTTCTTTGTCATCGTGCTCACTCAGAGGGACGGTAAACTGTCGGAGGAAGAAAATGTGAACGTTCAGGATATTTGTGGGCGGAGCCCGTGAGTTGGATGAGAAGCGGACGGTTCAATTGGTAAACATTTCAGTGCGGGAGAGGGCATAGTACGGATGCAGTCGAAACTGTCCGACTTCACTACGAACATTACGAGAGCAGTGGCGATTTCTCCGAGACACGTGCTCGTCGGCAGAAGTATCGGCGTCGACGACAATTTTGAGTTGAGCGGAACGAAATACGACAATACCACTTGTGTCAACGGGTAGGTCCGGAACTCTCCCTTCTTCCTCTATCAATCCTTTCAGAAACATGCCTCTTCTCCCCGGTATCAAACTGTTTCTCGTCGACAAACCGGACATAGCGCCCAAGAAATCAGTTTACATTGGCGACTGTGCGTCTTCTTTCGGATTCATTGTGGTTGAAATCGATCACGGAGCAAAACCCGTGTGCATTCCAAGATCGGAACTTAATGATGGAGACGAGGTCGAAATGCATTCCGGAGAAGATGTCAACGCGGATGTTACGAGTGGGAGTGTGAAAAAAGTTGATTATCCTCTGCCTATTTGCGTAAAAAGAGTTGTTTTCCAGATCTTTGAATATGTTACGGGCAAGACAGATTTTCAAACTTCGTCAGCAGGACAGGCTGGGAATGGCGTCGTCTTGGCGGTCAACAATAAAGTGTCGAGCGCAGCTGGAATAATGTTCAACGAAGGAGCAAATTCTGTAGAACAAGTGTCTGTCTATGACTTTCGCAAGGAGATTTGCGACGTAACAGGCGTTTGCGAACTGTAAGTGTATGCTCAACAAGACTTTTAAGCCTGGCCTGCTGCGCGGGTCGAGTTCGTTCGCTCGTACCACTTCAGTTAGAAGTATTTTTCTTCATTCCTCTTTTGAGTCGCTTCTGTTTTAGTTTAAGAAAATAAAAATAAGGCAGGTTAAACTGATAAGCCCCCAGCAGGTCCTACTCTCAAAAAGCCTTGTATTGAATTAGGAACAGTAAGATATGTAATTTTCAGATCTGGGACACTATCAAAACATGAAAATGTGTTACGGAAAAAGAATTGCGGCAAGAAACCGTAAGTTGAGCAGTGTTCAACTAGTATACTTTGTTTTTTTTTTCAGAGAATCGTCGAGTGGTGTCTTCTTCGCCAGATTCTCCTTGACTTCTAACACGTACGTACCGCTTATTTCATCCCGACATCTCATCCACGTTGCCGATCCATCTTCTCGGATGTTCGGCAAGAATGTAGTGAACCGTAGATCTAATGAACGCAGAAATAACCACAAGTGAGATTGTGTTTAATTCTAATTGCAAATTTCACCCCTTAAATTCAGAATTTTGTTTCTTCAAAAACCATCTCTATTGCCGTTGATCCGAAGTATTCATTACATTGGAGACTGCGATACACAGAATGGATTGTTCGTGATAGAATTGGTCGATCCGAAGGATACAAAGTACGATGGTCCTTACGTTCCACTTTGCATTCCAGGTACACTTTCGCAGAAATGTAAAAGCACAGAGAGTAGCGAATTGTAGACCGGAACCCGACAACCGATGAGACTCTGCACTTCCATGCGACTAACGATCGGGGATCCGAGTCGGACGCGACAGTAATCGCCTGCTCCGGTCCGGAGCCAGATGTGTGCGCCAAGCCGAAGAGCGGTGGGACCTTCGAGTTGGTGTCGGTCGAGAGATGCGATCCCGATGGGAAGGACTGCCGGACCACGTTTGTCGGGTCGACATTCGGAACGAGTGAGAACGAATCTGGTCCCAATCACTTTATGACCATTCCGTTCAGGCACCGCCGACCAGGCACAACATGCCAAGTCGCTGCTGTTCTATTCGAGGCAAATCTGCAAAGTGACGGGGGTGTGCAACCACAGAAACCTGGGCGAGAGTGAGATGAAATTGAGCGACGACGAGAACAAACTTCTTGTGAAGACGTGCGGAAAGCGGCTAGCGAAAGAGTTGGTTCCCATCGGTCCGTCCGTGATCAATCGATATTCACTGATTTCAGTGAGATTCCGCCGTGGCAGAGTGCTGTGAAGATGACGAGCGCATCGAATCCAGCCGAGCACAGGATACTGTCGGGGGTTGTGATCAGCAAGCGTCACGTCATCATCCATGCTCGCAGTCTGTTCGGAGAGACTGATTGTGTGCCCAAGTGAGTGGAAATCTACGAGGAACGAATGGACGATATCTGTTCAGGCAGGAGCTCAAGCAGCGTCTGGAGACGGCGATCGGCAAGGAAGAGTTCCTGGTGGCCACGAGTCCGTGCTACACGAACGACAGCTACACTTGCGAGTACGTCACTCCAAACCGGGTAATACAGCCGAAATTGAAGAACGTTTTATGCGACATCTGACATTTTAGGTGGACGTGAGTACCACTTGCATCAACAAAAGAGCTCGTGGATTTGTACTTGTCGAATTGTACGTGGGAGAGGAGTTTAAAGGATCGCCGATCTGCATGCCAGGTAGAAAAACCCGTTACTCTGCTCGTTCACTCGGAATAATTGCAGCTCCTTCAATGGATATCTTCGGCAAAACGGACGTTTATAAAGGACAACTGGACGCGGTGAAACCATCGAGTCCTCCGTCCGTGCGGCCCACAGAGAAAGTTGGTCCCCCGACACACTTCCTGTTCACTTTCTCTCTTTCAGCTTCATTCGTGCAATGGGAACTCGTCGACTTCGTGCGTCTCGAGCCTCGAATCTCGCGAGTACGGGGACTATCTCGTGTCTGTGATCGGCGACCAATCGTTTCGCGTCGTTCCTCACCAAGGACGACGAGGCCGACAAGATCTCGGACGGAACTTTCGACATCTCCGTCCTCTCGGCTCTCCGCAACTTGCAGCTCATCTGCGATTTTGCCAACGTCTGCACCCTCGCCAAGTGATCCTTTTCCTTTGGGAACTCCCCTTATTCCTCACTTTTCAGTCACTCGTACCCTACCCTGGCTACACCCCCGCCTCCACCGAATGTCCCTGTGAAAACGACATCGCCTAAAAGACGCGACACCACGCGTGGTTAGTTGTACACAAAATTACTGCACAAAGTTATCGATTCTTCGTGCGGCTCTCGGATAATTCTGTCTGAAATTCGATTCTGACCCTGAGATTCGACATTTTTGTGTTTTTATGGACGGCCTCCGGAACGAAATTAAAAATCTTGAATTTTTGCAAGTCTGGCAACCGGAGGAATAGAAAACTCCTCCTGTCGTGTTCTTTTTTGAAATTCATTCAGAATTTGGGACTTTGAAAACATTTGAACTTCTTTTTCAAAAAAAAACGTATATTTTGTAAGGCATGACACTTTTAAATGAAAACTTCAGATCGCTCCAGCAAGTACGACTGGGACGAGCCGATGCCCGAAGACTTTCCTAGAGAAGGTAGGCATTAGTATTAGCACAACATCTGAAAAGTGTGTTGCAGTGTACGGAAAGGCGCTGCTAGCCGGTTGGATCGCGAACATGACCCTCTTGCCGTCGATCCTCAATATCTTGTACCTGGAACGAGGACTTGTCGATGGCACAATCAGCTCGCAGAACGTCACGAATCAGATGGTCGGCCACAACGTCGACTACGAAATCATCAAAAGTTACGGCTCGAATCTAATGTTGACCGGATCCTGGGAGTATCGGAACTTTCTGGCGCTGTTTGAGAAGCGGAGGCCGTGGTCCGGCAACGAGGAAGAGCGGAGAGCATTCGAGCACGCATTCGCCCTCGCGTACGAACTGAACGGCGAACTCGCGACGATGGAGGCCGTCACCAGTGACGTCATCGACGGGTTTCCTAGGTTCGTCGAAAATCTGAACACATCGTCCCCCGATCGATTCGCGAACTTCACGGACGATGGGAGTGTGGGCGGACTGGTCGAGTGGCTGGCGGAGCTGCACGAACTGGCTCCCAAGGATCAGCCGATTCTGGATCGGGTCGCCGTCGCCGAGTGGTTCGACAAGCATAAGGGAAACACTGCCACCCTCTCGGCCGCCCAAACCTTCTCCAAAAAGTTCTTCGAGAACAACGCCAAGAAGGACTTTTCTCTGTTCCACAAAGACGCTCCTGGAATCGTGCGCCGTGCTGTCGTCACCGTTCGCGATGCGTACCACAAACTTAGTGGATTGCAGTTATCATTGGCCGATGCCAAAAGTTACGAGACGGACTTGCAGAATCTGTAAATGATGCTGAAAGACGGAGCCGCATCGGACCTCCGAAACTTGCTCAACTACGCGAAACGAGGAAGAGACTCGTGCTCTGCGATTCCTAGCCTACTCGATGACGTCGGCAGAGTGAGCAAACAGAAGAATAACCAGTGGATCCGCAGTCTAATAAAAGGAAGACCGACGAAAAAGCTGTTCAATGTGATGGAGCCGTTCCTGCAGCATCTCGAGTTCTTCAAACAGTTTGGCAAGGAGTTGGATGATGTTTGTGAAAGAGTCGAGAAGTACTACGACACCTTCGAACATCTATTCTTCTACATGGACCGCATCACGTTCATCAACGAGACTCTGCCCGCCGGAGACGTGCTCGCCAAGTTTGAAGATGTTCGGAAGTGTCTGGAAATGCCGTTGCAGCC